CATGTTTATGGATGATTGCCTGAGCGGTATTCAGCTCGGCGGTCGACAGGTGCGCATCAGCTGGGATTCACCGGGTGAATTGAATATTACCGGATATTCTGTACATGATATCTCGTGATCTTTCGAGGCTGAATAGACGTTACATGATAGTCATGTCAAGAAGAGCAATCCTCCAAAGAGAGAAGGTCGAGGGTATCAGCGTCGTATTGAAGGAGTATGTTCATTATGCTGCTGGATGAATTCAGTAATGTCATCTTTGACTGCGCCTCTGTGATTACCGCGCCTATGACATTCGTGATGTGATTCCATGCGTTCCAAAAGGTTGTCGTTGTTCACAATATTCACATCTTGATCGTTAGAGCAAACATGGAATCGTGTCCATAAGGGGAATACTTTTTCATGAGAAAGAACATCCTAGGTAACAACATAAAAAAAAACCATAAAATTATAGAGATATTGTAGATTAATCGAGATTAGAGGTAAGAACACTAATTCAAACAACCGATTATCATTGAATCAACGCCATTAAACATTTTTCTGTTGGAATGTAGGGTAAGAGATTTAGCCATCCTCAATGCTTCACCTCTCTGGGTTATTTTATCTCACGCCCCACCAAGACTGAATCCACTATGTTATCGATAGCTTCCCCTGCGATGGGAGTGACGGGAGTATAAATACCATGAGTTCGACTCCCATCTTCCTTTAAGGTTTCCATTAAAACTCCAGTAATCAAGCTGACTGTTTAACAACTAGGCGCGATCTTCCGACTCTATGACTAGCTGTTCGATGCTTTCGATGGATCAGATACTCTATCGTTTTCCAGCTTCAATACAATTACGCAGATGACTTCAAGACAGCCAGCTTCGATACTTTTATCAAGGGCAATGAGAATATTGCCCATACGTGTTAACGTGTATTCTTTACCTTTGTGTTGGGGCTGAAGCTTCTTTTAACCCATCAACCTCCTGACCCTATCATAGATACTCTCAACCGTCATCATGCTTTGATGACCAGAGTTTGCGGTAAAGTTTCAACTCTTAATTTTGAAGCGGGACAGCCGTAAGAACATGCCTAAACAGTGTACTCAGCGAAGTGATGGATTGTCTGCAACAGTCTCTACTTGGAGTCGACATGGGGTGAGGTTGAAGCTCACTTGCGCCCCTTAGTAACATCGTACTTAAACTCTATAGCTTGACTTGAGGTAACTTCAAGGTGACGCTGGAACCTGGAGGTTTTATGAACTGATATCACCCAAGAAACCTCCAGCGACAGTCACATCTGGTATGCTGCCTGAAGTGTGTTTTTGAGAGTGTTATTTTAGTTGATATCGCTGACAGCTGATGCCTGCATCACGCGCCTTACCTCGACAGTCACATTGATAGTCACTAATGCCGGATTATCCAACGTACATTGTTACCTCTGGACTCTCCCCCTATCTCTGACTTCCATGCCACGTAATCAGTCGTAATGCCAAGCCATTTGATAGGTATGCGAACCTGTATTTTGCTGCCGACATCTTGTCTGGATTGCATACCCATGTTGCGTGTAATGAGATGCTTCTCCCTTCAATTTACACCGCACATGTCCTCGAACGCACACAAATACGACGCCGTGGTATTTTATTTGGCCATAATACTAGTGGCCTGATCGATAGCTCTTGTCCACGGGAGCACTGATCATTGCGGCTCCGTATCCTCCATGGAATGATCTCTGATATGACCACTAAACATGAGCTACGCCGAATGAAGAGTATGATGGCTGCTCTGTGCTCCGATCGTGGTTCAACCTATCTATGCATGAGGGGCGCGCTTATGGTAAACAGTAAGTACACCAAAATTGCCTTTGAACTCTATGAGAATATGCCACCATAACAGCGGCATTATGATCTACGTCAGTTCTGCGATGGTGTTTGCTCATCGCTTTTCCCACCGGAAGCTGAAGCACGATGTTCAAGGGGCTTCAAGTCGCCGACCTGTAAAAGTGCGACAAAAAAGCAATGGCCTGATGTGATATCAAGGAATACATCCTTGTCGTGAGAACAGACATCGTTTCAATGAGTCGGGACCTTGAAAGATGTCAAACTGCCCGTTAGGCCTGAATTGGAATAGTGTCAGGAGAAGGGGCAAGCCACAGCTAAGGTGACTAACCCCCCTAGGAATGGTTGAAACGCTTGGAGTGCTGGGGGATGGCACTTAACAGTTCAATATACGTGAAACAGAGGGGACCTGTTAGTGAACCTTTCCTGCGAATGACAACATGCATTGAGTTTAACGTACCTGTATGGTTATACCTCAGGTGTAAACTCTAATTGACATTAAAGGTATTACACTGCAGGTACACAATATTAGCTTCCGTCTAGCACCTCAACCCACGGAGCCGCACGATAACGATAAGCCCGAACCCCACTGACGTCCCCTGTCATTGAAACAGTACGAAACTAAGACGCAGGGATATCGGCAAATCACGTCGATCCGCCGAGAAACTAAACGTCTGGAGTAAAATTAAGGTCCATCGTCGAAAACACTATGACAGGTGGAAACAGATGGAAAAATTCCATAGCTCAAGCCAAGACGGCACATGGCAAACAGCCCTAGTCTTTTTCGCAACTTGAGACAGAGTTAAGCGTAAACGGCAAAGCAAGCTGGCGCCAAAGCTTCTTGAACGATCCTTGTCGTTGCTATGCCGTACGACGTTATACCAGACTCCCACAATACGATGATGATGAGTTGATATATAAACATCTTCAACGTCCCTCCAGACTAAGAAGAAGCATCCTATTCCAATCAGTCCATTCATTCGTTTCAAAGAGCTAGTCTCTCTTCTCATTCTTTAAACTTATCCTTTCATTCTATCAAGTTCGCTTGCGACTTACCCTTCCAATCATTCACCATGAAGACCACCACTTATGTTTCCGCTCTTCTCAGCCTGGCCTCCGCCGTCAGCGCTCACTACACTTTCGACAAGCTCACCCTCGGCGGCGTCCTTCAGGGTGGTGATAACGAGTACATCCGCAAGCACCAGAACGGCTACATGCCCACCAAGTTCAAGAACATCCCCGATGGTTCTATCTCTCCCACCGACAAGGACTTCACCTGCAACAAGGGCTCTGTCCCCGCTGCCAACGTCTTCAAGGTCAAGGCCGGCGACAAGATTGGTCTTAAGCAGGCTTTCGGCGGTACTGGAATGCAGCACCCCGGTCCTGCCCAAGTCTACGCCGCTCCTGTCACGGATGCTGCTAAGGACAGCCCTTATGATCTCAAGTGGTACAAGATTCACCAGGCTCTGATCTGCAAGTCTGGAAACGCCGAGTCTCTCCGCTCCACTGCTTGGTGCTCTTGGGACGAGGATTCTGTGCACTTCAAGATTCCTTCTACTCTCCCTGATGGACAGTACCTCATCCGTGGTGAGCACATTGGTCTTCACGGTGCTCACGACGGCCAGGCTGAGTTCTACTATGCCTGTGCTCAGATTGAGGTCACTGGTAACAGCGCTACCACTATCCCCGGTACTTCTGTCTCTATCCCTGGTGTCTACAAGCAGGACGACGCTGCTGTGAACTTCAGCCTCTGGGGAAGCTCTACCTCTTACGATGTCATGCCTGGTCCCGATGTCATCCCCGGTGGTACTATCCGCGGTAGCGCTGATGGTGCTGGCGGTGATGTCACCAAGACTGTTGAGGGTGGTGCTGATTCTGGTTCCGATTCCGGCTCTGATGCTTCTCCCACCGAAGGTTCCGCCGCTCCTTCTTCCGCTCCTACCTCCGCCCCCGAGTCTTCTCAGGCTCCTGTTGTCCCCGTCGTCCCCGATGTTCCCGACACTCCTGAGACTACTCCCCAGCCTACCCCCGTTGCCGCCGAGACTACTCCTCTCCCCGCTGCTGGTAACGGCTCCGGCAGTGGATGCTCTTCTGGTTCTTCCAAGGCCCGCCGCCACGCCCGCCACTTCGCTGCTCACCGTTTCTAAGTAGCTTGAGATAAGAGGCATGATTAGATGCTAGTGATTTGGCATGATGCACGCGGGACGTGGTGTTTTCAAGTCATGCCATGCGCTGGCGTCTTGGAGGAACATGGTATTCTGGACTTGATAAGAAAGACACTTTTCTTCAGCTTTCATTGTAAACTAGATATACTTCTTGTAAATATAATATTTCTGGCTGAACTCTTGGACCAATTGTTGGTGATTATCTGTCGCTAGCTGATGTTGTTTGAACACCAAATCTCTCGTGCCCGTAATTTGCAAATGTTTAGCTACCAAGATACGAGTACCATGTAGCTGAGACAAAATTCTGTATCATCCCTACGAATCAACATTGGTCTTTTACGAAGCTTACGTAGTAGTTAATTTAGTCCTCGTGCCGCTTTTTGGTGAATTTCGTATCAGTCATCACATTAAGCCCGCGGGTCCCGACAGCCCGGGCTAGCGTCAACACTTCCATGGGATACAGTGTCATGACATGCGTCTAATTTCTGGTATTACCTAGTACCGCCACAGCGCGATCTGACACAAATAAGCAGGGTTCTCGACCAGAGCCCCTTCGACATGCAAAGAGGGAGCCATTCAGCCCCCCTCTAATTCTGATGACCAAATTAATCTCTCCCCATCTACATTGATATATTTTGAGTGGAGGATAAACAAAAAGCCTCGGTAATCGGTGTTTTAGTCGGTAATATGTTTCAATATCGACACAATGTCTATCACCAATTGGAAGTTATACGAATCTGCAACTCGCAAACGAGTCCCGGTCTGGGCTTAGCCAGCAATTTCGACAGGGGGAAAATTCTTGCCCCTGCATTAGTTAGCGTGTTTTGGAGGACGTTGGTGGGCGGGAATAACCTTAATCATTAATTCTTATTCGTGGGTAAATTCAGACTTCTCGCATTGTCTCGGAAGAACTTTAATTGTAGCCACGGCCAATCGCATGTCAGGTTTATTCATCGTACAACGTCCAACATTGGAGGGACTAATCTTAAGTACGGACTCGTTACAGCTTGATCCTATTCCTATAGATACAGGAATAATACACGCCCAGAAAAAGTTCCAAGGACCATCGTCGTTCCTGAAACGTACACAGATTCCGGTCTGTAATCTGGTGGTAGCCACAGAATCTTCTCACCGTTCTTCATAACCCAAGCAGGATCTTGACCGATATAAAATGGCCCTAAAATGTCGTCTGCCCCTCTGTGACCTGAGTGGGCAATGACATCAGTATCGAGAAAGTTAGTCGCCAAATTGAACATCCTGAGCTCTGGACATGGCTGCGACAAGAATAGACATCCTCCCGTAGATGCATCCCAGACCTGCACTTGGGTGTTCATATACATTCCTATGAGTCGTCCATCACGAAAAGCGAGAGTGCGCAAGTATGACACTTTCGGGTACCTATCAGTCGCAACTGTGAGTGTCTCAAGCACAGGAAGACAGCGAATCTCAATGTTTTCCATGAGAAAGTATGCAATCTTTGCACCATCGGGTGAAATGGCGATGCAAGGAAAGTCCATCAAAGGAACTTCAAGTGTATGCTCAAGAACTGCATTATACTCATCCCAGATCTCAACTGAACCTGGCTCTGAAGATCCAATAGCCAGTCGTTCGCCGTTGGCAGAAATGGCTAGACAGTAATAACGCTCCCCAAGACAACTGAATTCCCGCTGTAATGTCTTGATATGACGTAGAGGGTCAATATTCCAAATCTCGACCGTTGTTTCTTTCAGTGTGGCAAATACCGGTGCATCAGTTGCAGCGGCTACAAATGTCTGGGTCATCAACGGGACTTCTGGTTCAAGTGTCTCTTTGCAGGTTCCACTCTCCATATCCCAGATCTTGACTATTCCCCAGCTATGCGAGAGTATAGTGTTATCATCTGCAATAGGAGCCACCAATTCCATCCCCATGAGTTGTTCGGTGGCGTTTTCTGTGAAGGCCTTGGATGTAAGGTCCCATATTCTGACGGCTCCATCTAGCGATTGTCCCGCGAGCAAGGTACCGTCGTCTGAAATAACGGGCCCCGCTTTGAAGTGACTGCTCACGATCTTGGACACCGCTCCTGTCTTCATATCCATAACAAAAGTTAGATAGCTGTCAAGACTGACCACCAACCAGTCCTTTGTCAGAGCGAGTTGGTCATGGACAATAGGTGCCTCAAAATCAAGTATATGAAGACATTCGCGTGATTCTGTGATCCATACCTTGACTATTTTCGATGTCGATGATAATGAGGCGACCAATGCGCCGTCGGTCGAGAAAGCCAGTATGTCATGCTCATGCTGAGGGTCTAGTACGGTCCAGGACGGTTCCGTAGAAGGACTCCATTTCGAGAGGAGCATGGACTCCTTAGCAATAGCTGCTATCCACTGACCTTGCGGCGACAGGAGGATGGGACGTGGTTTGTCCGGTACCTCGAACTCAGAAATACGCTTCCCTGTGTCTAGACAGTGGATAAACGCGACACATTCAAAATCCCGCGTACAGATCGAGCACGTAAACTTTCCATCATCAGAGAATGCGATAGTCTCAGTACCAGAACAACCCTTCAGGAAGATGCTCCAGTGTCAAGATTCCAAATCCTGACTATATCAGGCCATCCCACTGCTATTGTTCTGCTTCTATACCACGAGAGAATCGTGATGGAGCCCCATTTAAAACCTTGATCTAGTCTGTGCAGACAAGAACATGACTTTTGGTCCCAAATCCTAAGCTCCTCCATGCAGCAAATCGACGCCAGCTTGTTGTCAAGCAGAAAGGCCATCTGTGAGAGTCTGTCATCAAGGACCTCAAGAGTTTGATTTTGTGGCCAGTTGAAATTCATGTTGATGGGCTGTATGATGTATTCGGGGTATTGACGGTCTTCGAGTGGACTGGGAGCGATGCTTGCTTTAGGGCTGAAGATAGTTCCGGAGTGGTATAGCTGAAGGGGAGTTTGCTCCATACCAGCGCGGAAGGAGCGAATGAACTGTATTACATCTTGGATGAACTGCAGTATTTCTGTCCCAGCAGTCCCCTGTTACAGTAGTCAGTGTCGGTGTATGAATGGGCTGAGAAGATGCTACCTACATCAACTATACTCTGCAACTCTTGCAGCATCAGAAGGGAATAATCAACTCTTCTGAGTAGACATAGTACCTCGAGCCAGTTCGTAAAGAAACAATGAAAAAAGCTGTACGCGTCATCATCGTCTCGAATTTGCTTCGCAGATGCTTTCAAATGGTGAACCCAATACAAGCATGCATACTGAACCTCCAGAAGTAGATGTTCATCGATAACAGATGGTTCAATATCTGAGCGACTCCTCCCTGGTGGTATAAGCCCACAGATATCAGCCTTCAACGTTCCTCGCATGAGGTTCAGGCATCTGCTTGCCAGGTTCGCATGTGTCTCCACTTCATTCACCTGGAGATCTCCAGCGGACTTCCTGAGGATATAATTTCTGAACGAAAGATGGAACAACTAAAGGAGGCTATCATCTTCCGGAACATCAATCACCGAACGAAGTGGATCGATGCGGCTGGATATATCCCAAACATCAATACCGAGAAGGTTAGCCAGTGAAGTTATCGGTAGAGGACTAGCAAGTAGCACAAGAGAACCAATAATATCAACAAAACTCTGCTTGACTTCATCCTGGTCTTCATCAGGCGCACCACTAAGTATGAGGCCCAGGACAGGCTTGTATAAAGCCTCATACTCAGAGTTGACGTTTGTAGACTTGTCGATGATAAAGTCAATCTTGTAATCAGGACTTTTCGCCCAGTGTCTATCGCGAATCATGCGCACGGAAGTTGCAGCTGCGATGAACAACGGCAGAGCCTTGTGAAGCAGTAACTGGAATCGTTCATCTCCAGGCCAGTCTGGTGCCAACTGAAGATGTTTTTGGCGGTGAGTGCGATTATGTTGGACCACAAAAGCGCTCAGGGTCTGCTTGACAAATGCACGGAAGTCGTTTTCTATAGTTCCGATTTCGAGTTTGTGAAGCACGATTTCTCTATGACGTGATTCATCGGCAAAATGGCCTATGATGTCAAGCTCTGGTCTGCTTGTGATAAATACTCTCAGTATTACTGGACAACTCGTCAGCAGCAGACGAAGGATCTCTCCACGATCTTGTTCATCACATTCATCCAAGGCATCGAGAACGAAAACAATAGGTATGGTGAGCCCCTCGTCTTGCAGTTTGACAAGTGGATTTTGGATCAGCTTCTGCCATTGGATCTGAATAGGTGCCATGGCTAACGAGTGATCTTCCTTCACTGACTTCAAGATATAGGGAAGGATGTGAGGCAAGTGTAAGACGAGTTGATATGCAAGTATGGAGAACAAATGTCGGCCATTTCCTCGATTGCCCGCACCTTTCTTGAAAAAGAAGCTGGCTCCGAGGGGGTTGCTTTTCAGGTTGCGAGAAACAGTACGGGAAATAGTACTCTTGCCTGTCCCAGCAAGACCTGAAAGCCAGCAGATGGTTGGACTGTGGGGATCATACGCCCATTGTTCGATGTCGCTGAGAACTTGTACTCGCGTTCCCTCAAGACAGAAAGAGTCGCGTGGATGATAAATATGATCAAAAACGTCCTTTGGGTCGGTGAGAAGATCTCTGAGCTGCGCCTTGACCTTCTCTTCCGCCCTCCCACTAAATGAATGTTAGAAAATATCAGCCCAGTAGGCGTCACGTCTCACCTAGATTCAAGCCTCATTTCGATCATCAAATCGTGCAAAGACTTGAGTCGATCTCGACCTTGAGAGCTATGATGTATCTCACATAACGAACCAGCATCATGTAACTTATCTTTCGTAACACTGAGGTCTTTCAAATATCCAGAAAAGTCCTCCAGGCGAAAGGCATCTGTTAGAGCCCTTGCTGCTGATTGTTGGCGACGGAGAGTAAATCCAAGGAACCTTATGCACTGAGACATAGCATCAATAATTGTCTGACGGAGGCTTTTATTGATAGGAAGGTCTCTGGAAGCCGACGAAGCTAGGTAAAGTTCGTGGTAAACGTTGCACTGAAAGATTAGAATGGCGATTTCAGCGATGCCTTCAACAATCTTGCCTCTGATCTCTTCGCCAGCAGTAAGATTCTGAAGAACATTAGCTTGGCTGCCAGAGCACAAACACTAGTGAGGGGATGATACCAGAAGAAGGAACCGTACAGCGGCCCATGGCAAGGCAGCGGGGTTGGGATTTGTGCTGACAGTGATATCGCCAACAACGGCGAATCGATTGAGATGCGGAACAATCTTTTCCATCGCTTCAGCCATCTTTTTCTGCATGCCAGCACGCTTCATTTCATTTTCCAGTCTCTTTATCAAGGCTGTTGGAGTCATTTCAGCACATTTTGCAGAAACTTGTTCCTGAACTTGAATGACTTCTGCCAACTTTTCACCGTCTTTCGATGTTTTGGCATTATCAATTGCTTCTTTCCAAAGCTGTTGAAATTGTCTTTGGTAAGCATCGGAAGCATGCTCAGTGTCGAATACGGGAACGCCATGTGGAGCCCTTGGGGCTGAAGATCCAACCGATACATTTCCTGATAGAGGAGCTATGGTAGCTGCGACATTCGCTGAAGGCCCGGATATCGACGATGCTGAAGCAGGCTGCAAACCAGCCGATAACCTGCCTGTTATGAGGAATCAGTGATCTATCGTGCTGTAATAGTGATGTAGAGCCTGGGCGGGCTGGCACGTACCTTGAGACACAGGTGACGTTCCTGGAGGAGTGCCTGTAGAGTCACGGCCGGTTTCTTTTGCCTTCCCAGACTCTGTTGAGGCGCCTGATAAAGCCTCTTAATGATGACCTTTTCTGATCCGACATGATTGTTTAGCCTACAGCCTGTCGCTAAGAGCTGTAGATTACGAGAACCAGCATGAGTAATGCGCGTTGAGAATATGTGAGTTGAAGAGGGGAAGTATGACCGTGAAGTGCGCCATGCATGAAATCTAGTTTGTGTCTTGACGCGATTGGCTACGTATCCGTAAGGCTGACAGACAGGCTGACAGGGATGTGAATGCTGGTGATCTTGGTAATAATCTTCTTGGGGTAAGACGGCCAAGGCTGTCCAAGTGATCTGTTACTCTATATGTACTTGACTAAAGTGCTATGGACTTTTATTATCGAATTCTGGATTTGAAATAAGTCGCGATGCATGTCGTCGTGCATATTCGGAAACAAGTAATTTGATTCAAAGCACCAGCTGCCTAGAAGGCAACATGGCGACACCACTAGAAAGCTATACCTAAGGAGTGAACGGAACAAGACGAAGACGTTATCTTGTCCCCACAGCCGCAGCAAACCAACATCAGACAAACATCAACCAACCCCCATCAAACGAGCGACTACAGTAAGACATCCACCCACCCTTTCATTTGACAGACAAAACCGGCAAGTCTACTTCTCAAGGCAAACCTGAGAGTAGTAGGTAGCAAAGGTAGTAGCCGCGGCAGCACAGCAGAAGATACTCTCCTGATTAGCCTTAGCCGCGCAAGCAACACAAGCAGCGACAAAGTTGATAGAAGAAAAGTTTGCGCAAGATCGGCAAGAAGAAGGATGAGGAGCACTATCACAGCTCCAAGAATGAACACGGCCAAGAGCAGCATCCTTAATCTGAGGACAGTTGCGAGCGCGCTTGAATACCTCAAGATCACGGCTGTGGACCTTCTCAGCGTCAAAGGCCTCAAGAAGGTTCTGCTCCTTAGAGACAGCGACGATGGGCTCAAAGTACTGGTCGAAGAGAGACTCGGGAATACAAGCGGTGGGATCGTTAATGTAGGTGGTTGGGATCTCGGGGAGCTTGTAGTCGCCGGTGGCGTTGAGGTTGGTGAAGGTTTGGCCGAGAGCCTGGAGGTGGGAGAGGGTGATGCATTGAGAGACTTCGCCGACCTTGTAGGTGACCTCGCTGACCTTGAAGGTGGTCTTTTCGAGGGCCTTGTCGGCGGTGTTGCTGGCGAAGGCAGCGGTGGCCAGGGCGGCGAGGATGAGGATGAAGCGAGCCATTGTGAGTGACTTGTTTTCGAGTAGAGAAGTGAATCTGAGTGTGAATGAAGATGTTGCGATGGTTGAGTGAGTTGACAATGTGGACTTGAGCGGCGTCTTAAATAATTTCTCTGGTTCGATGATGCCCTTATCATCAACCCTTAGGTTAGATGGTACTTAACGTTCTCAACTACCGACAAGTCTCCCACGACTTCGCGTTCTTCTATTCTTCATCTCATCAAAGACATAGTTCACTCATTATCGGTCGGTCTCGACTGTCGGCAGTTCATACACGGCTGACTCGAAACATCAACAATGCTCTCTAAAGACCTAGATAGAATACGAGTTGATCTTCGTCCCTCCTATCCTCATCCGCGATAGATTAGTGTTTTGACTCTCACCATCATCTGCCGGTATGAAATGAGTCGACCGACTAACTATAGTCTGATGTTCTCTCGTTCCTTTTTGGAACGTTGCATATTACTGGATCCGCTTTGAATCCGAATTACCCGTTTAAATAGTCTGTGCATATCAAGGAACTGTCCCTATAGGTTGATACTCAAGGTCGTGGTCGGTGTTCGATTGGGCAAATAAACTCACACCGAAACCCCCACGTGGGCTTCATTTTCGTATGCTTTGCGGGCCGCTGTCAGCAACGGCACGTTGCGCTAGCCCTGTCGGTGATGCAACGGTCCCTGTAAACAGTATGAAGAATAAGCTTTTTCTAATGTAAAGAAGGTTTGTAGGATGTCGTTGCCTGCATAATAGGCGTATTTGCCCCCACTGCTCATCAGTGAGGCCTCGACCTTACTTCCGCTTACATTACAGCCAATGAGAGGCTAGCATTTCAACACGAAGTGAGTCCATCATACTATGTCAAGGAACAAGAAGGACTATATTCATTGAACCTTATTTATACAAGTTTAGATTATCGAATGTCTCGGGGAAGAGAACCCCGAGCGCTATTCATGTTCATAGGCTGAGATACGAATGGCTTCACGATTTTCCAAGTTCGGAAGGTGGAACTGATGATGCCGATGAGCCGGATGTGAGATGTGCAGTTCGGCAGTTGCTTCAGTCATGATGATGTCGGATAGTGACTGGCTTTCATGAGCCTAGTCGCCATCCGTCGGACGAGGTTTGCCGGTTGCCTCACCAGATGGCTCTTCAAGCCGGATCATGAGGCAGAATGATTCTTGAGAACCAGTATCTCTAGGAGAAGCGCGAAATATAAAAGGATCAGTTTCCCAACTCCATTTGCAACTCACCACTCTCATCTTCACCAACGTCAGCAACAATACAACAACCACTACTACAACTCCCAGTCCTCAAGACTCAAACCCTTCATACAAAATGAACGCTCTCAGCCTCATCGTTCTCTTCCTCGGCGCGTAAGTCACCTTCCCCCATTTCATAACCCGATCTGACCTCCCAGCGCCATGGCCGATATTCACCACAACTGTGGCTGCACCGTCCGCGGCTCATACAGGCAGGATCTTAGCCAGGCTGCCTGCGCCCTCTGGGGCTCCAACCAGCCTCACACTCACTGGGACGGCTACTCTGTAAGTACCCAGGCACCAACTCACAGAACATAAGGCTGATTATGTAGTGCGTTGACAAGGGCATCGGCCGCGGTATCGATGGTGCCCCCTGGGAGACTACTTGCAAGCAGGCCTGGGACATCAACTTTGGCGGCAACAAGAACGATGCTTGGGGCAAGTGCTGGCACTAAGCTGACTGATGCCAGTTTTGGGATCAGTGCTTCTACGGCTAGAGATTGGAATTCGTGTGATGTGTTCTTTTCAGACTGCCAATCATCCACATGGCTTCTTGTTACTTTAGAAACTATGTAGCACTCTTTTAGTCTTGTCATTAGCTTGTGACAAGAACCTTGCAATTGAATTTATACTGTGCGCAACATTTGAGCTTCCAGTGACCGACTTTGATGAGTCTCATGAGTTTTTGTTCATGTCTTCCTCGGGCGGACATTTTCTGCGTATCGGATAGGGGATGTCATGACTTGAGATGAAAATTAATATATATTTGGCTGGAATGCAAAGCCTTTCTGTATCAATGGAAATTGACTGAGACCATACCCTCTCCTCTTGGCAGGAAAGAGACTCCAATCCTAGTGCGGCTGTTTTTTAGATGCGCTATCTCTGTGATCAAGATCGTTTGAGCAAAATCAGGCAGAAAGACGACTGCTTAACTAGTAACACCGTGTGTAGAAAAATGTCCGTCTTCCATGCTAAGCTCAATTGCGTTGGTTTTCGAGAACGCATGGCTTTAGTGCCACGCGACATCTCAACCGCATGCCTGATACTTGGGAACGACTGAAATTCTCGAAAACCACTAGAGCAATCTAGATGCTCCAAAACCGGGATATGAAAAGATTTTGAGGCAAATAAAGTCATGAGTGTGCGGGGTTTAATTGGAGATTATCCTAATGGTATGTGTTTTAACCGCGAATGGCAATTCAAGAACAATTTACACCTTGCCGCACTCAGACGATACAGTATTACAGGGTTCAGAGACAAGGCTCAATATAGTCTACTAGAAGTTTCCTACCCTAACGAAAAGTGTTGAACGATAGTAAATCTCCGGATCGAGATACCGAAGCTATGGCGAAAAACTACATATAGTTCACTCGCACCCTGTCCACGTATTGCTGAAAGCTGCGGTTCGCAATTTCGGTTTGACTTCAAACATCATATCCCGGTTCTCTGTACAACATGGCATCTCTCCTTGTTACGGAGGAATCTTCATCTTGTCTAATGTTGGCAAGAGTATCCTCGGTAAAAGTGCAGGATGGGTCTTTGATCAAGGCCTTGCATCAATTAACGGCGGAAGCGATAACGACAAGATAAGACAAGACATTGCCAACGTCTTGACCGAAGTCAAGCAAATAGAGACATCTGTCACTGACCTCTCAAATCAACTGCCAGATACTCTTTTGCAGCTTCGCAAAGATGACCTGGGAACTTATATTACCGACATTCAGACGTTTTACTCGACCATTGGCGACATCATGCAGGAGGCTTTTGATCTTCCGAACAAGAATCTTACAGATTCGGTTCGTGTTAGTCAAGCGCGGCACCTTCAAAGCCGTCTTGATGATCGTCTACATGCGAGTGCCGATAATGTTCCCGGGTATCTCGATCAAATCAACGCCTTTCTCAACGACGCTAGTGCAAGCTCCTTTCTCAAGCAAGCAGCTCAGCAAGCGTTCGACGAGTCAGACGACTTCCTTGGATATTTCACCAAGACGAAAGTCATGGTATGTTTGAACCTTCTCCCGGACCGAATTCACGTTGTTAACATGTAAAGGCCTTGAACTATTGGGTTGCGTACGCCAAAGGTATCAGTCTCCTCCAAATGGCACAAGATAACCCCAAAGTCAATTTCGAAGAAGGGTCTTATACCATCAGTCGCCACAATGCCAACTTCCTCGCCCAAGAGCAGAACTTCCAAGACACCGTCGGACAAGAGTCTATCACGCTGGCGGAAGGGATCATCAGCAGCCCCCTTGATACACATGATTTCATTTGGAGAGTGCACAGCGGTCTTTACATCCAAGACGCCTTCTCTGACTACATGAACTTCATCTCATCTGATATTGAGAACCCAACAACTTCGTGGTCTATGTTCCACGGTCCCCAAATCACCGCCGATCAGTTTGATCCTACTGAAAGCTATCCCGTGGTAGTCGTACCCAGTGACAACCAAGATCGAATGCTCTGCATCGGGGGACAGTATGGTCTGAATATAGAGGAGCAGTGGGCGGATGAGTCTGTTACACCGTCCTGTCGCTGGCTGATTAAGCCCAGATATCCTGGAGCAGATCGCTTTTCGTTCAGGTTCGTCGACAATTATGCGGAAGGCGAAGACAATGGTTCCTACGTCGTCGATATTCCTTGGGAAACAATGAGGATGTTGAACTTTGTCGATGCGGTACATAATGAAGATGGTAACCAGTTTTTCAATGTCACTTTGGGCGAATTAGATTCGTCGAGCCCGTGAGGACATTGGGACGTTGGGCTTGGAAATTAAGTGAACGGAAACAAATCTGGGGATACTCAATGCAATAGACTCTTGCAGAATTAGGTCGAGCATAGAAACATGCACATATGAATGAAGGCGGACGTTCAAGTATCAAAGCCATATTCTATTGAACGCCTAATATAAGAAAACCCAAAATTTCGAAACAGAAAAGTTCTTTTCCAGAACGTACAAGAAAGTGAAGCCACGTCTATATCCCGACACCAAGAATAATGCCCTACTCATCCTTGGCCGGGTCGAAACCAGGGCACTGATCACCAGCAGCCTCACGAAGCTTGTTAGTAAAACTATCATCCTTATCCCAGAACTTAGGTCCAACACCGCCATTCCAAGCATCATAGAGGTAATCGCGCAGAGATCGACCGTTGACGACAGGCCAGTTGTCCCAGCCAACAAGGTTACCGATGAACCACTGACCAGTGTAGTTCTCAACAGCGTCGTCGGCTTCGTTGGCCATGCGCCAGCAGTGAGTGAAGCCACCGTCTTTGTGGTAGACGACCTTGGCACGCTGGCCGTCGAGACGGGGGGTGTTGGTGGCGTGTTCGTAGCCGCCGTGGCATGAGGGGGCGACACGCTTGACGTCTTCGCCTTGGACGAATACGACGATGTTTTCCCAGTCGTGAGTATGACCGTTACCACCGCCAGCAGCGTTGATAGTGCCCCAGCTAGTACTTAGTCAGACAATGATGTTATAACGATGGGTAAAGTAAACTTACGAAGACTGGTCCTTTTCAAAGTAGTACTCATACATAATAGCACACCAACCATTGTTACAGCGCTTTCGGCTGTAAACATTGTTGTTCTCAAGACGGTTGGGCTCACGACAATCATCAGCAGGACCCTTGAAGTAAACGTCCTTCTGGCTGAGACCGCGGTTTGTGTTGCCGTCTTTGTCAATGGCGGAAGTGTAGTAGCAGCCGTCCTTGTCGAAATCGGTGGCAGGCTGGAACTTGTGCTCGATCTCGTGAGCTCCGTCGTCGAGACGGCCCATGAGAACTCGCTTGGCGTGCTTGAGGGGTCCGGCTTCGACGCTGAGAGCGCCGGCGAGGACGGTTGCGATCGTGAAGGCGTGCATGGTGATGAAGTGAAGATGAAGTTGAAAAAGAGAACGAAATATTGAAGCTAAGAAGAAGAGAGAAGAGAGTGTTGCTGGATTGGTAGAGTGATGATGAGATGAGGCGATAGACTATTGAAGGCAGATGAAGCCTCCTATATACATGATAAAGCCTGGCTCAACATATCTTCGTCCAAGTTGAAGCTCACCATGACATCAATCAGCCACTTCCCATCTCATCTTCCAAAAATGAAACGGACCACGTAGGATTCACTCACTATACGAGTAGGATTCACCATCTCAACCAATAAGTAACCTCAATTCTATTTCGATTATCTCACTGCATACATGAATTTCATGCAACAGTTCAGCTTGTTGCAACTAAACACCCAAACCGCCAGGGCGCAGCACTCGCTCAGACCAATCACACGAATTTCGCACCCATGCCTTAATTTTAAGCTTAGCAGATCTTATCTGCTTAGCCACAACGATCGGAGATCTGACCAATTAAATGTCAGCTGGACCTATTTTAATCTCGGGGTAAGCTTTTCCTTGAAACATGTAGGATTGATTTGGAAGGAAGGCTCGTGATGCTGTTTGGGGGCAGTGAGGCGTTTTTGAGGGATTGTTAGTGAAACTAGCCTTATGATGGCGGATGAAAAATGTCAGCTCTAGGTTTCATGGTCAGAGGTACTTTGGTCGTGGGCTGGTTTGTGCGGTGGGGAATGTAGCTTTGATCAACAGGATTTAATGAGAACGGGTCCTGATGGAGTCTAAAAACACCTTCGTGGCTCTGAAGGACGGAGATTATTTTTGTGAAAAGCCTAGCAGGATTAAGATCCAGGTAAACTGTTCATTCCACGGCTGACAGTGGCTGGCATTTTGGACATGACTGAGACTGAATTATCCGATTATTGTTTCTATCCCGGTATCATGCTTGTCCCCTCGCCTCATGCGCCTTCTTGTTCATCGTTGAGGACTCGAAGACTTTCAAGCGGTGTCTCAATTACTAGCCAGGGAAGCCTTGTATAATGGAAATATGCCATAAATCCCTCGTGATGGAAACATGGGCGTTGATGAAATGAGAGTAAGCGGGCATGAGATTGATAGTAAGCGAGGATGGAGAAATACCCACCGGGGCTGTGATTAAATCGGGGCGGGTTTGGGGTCCGGGTCGATTGAGGTGCATGCTTCAGGGTAGATCTGAGCTTTTCTTAGATCGATAAGACAATTTGAAGAAGGGAGTTATGATATCAAGATAGAACAGTAATATTAAACAGAAAAGCACTTCATCAGCTAAATGCCAAAGAGTTAGGGTTGCATATGATAAAAACGTCGAGAGCGAAGCTTCTTCATAGGGAAAATTCCAGATGGTTGATTATTATAACAAGAAAACATTGTAAACGAATTTATGAACATAGAAAAAAGGGTGAACAGTGCACTTGCTAGTGCTAACATCAGCTTATTACTATCAAGGACCTCAAAGGATTACGTCATGAACAGGCCCGTCAAGTCTAATCACCGCGCCGGGTATCCTTGCTCCAAGCCTTGGTGGTATCGAAGTAATCGACGGGAGACCGACCAGGGATGAGAGTTCATATGCGGGATTCTCACTCTAGGAATATTGCCATTTGCACAAGTGTTTAATGGCTCTTCTGTTTCTTGATTCTCGTCAAGCTTGGCATTTCAAGTTATCACCAGAATCTTGATGCCCCTTCTGCTTCAGCCAAGAAGTAAACTTTTGCAAAGCTATCCCAAGATGCGATATCTTATGCTTCTCTTCATCTGGCATTTCCGCCAAAGTGAGGTGTATCTCTTCAGGTTGAAAGCACGTTTGCCACCCGTATCGCACTATTCCTCTTGCAGGTACAATTGTCCCGTCAATCCGTCCTTGAAAAAGGATGGGTTCATGTCCCGGGCCTCGGCAATACCCAATTGTCGCGATAGCTTGAGCGGTCTTGTCTGAGAAGCCAGCGAGTAAGAGATGTAGCTTTCTGGGTCCTAAGGCCTCGAGGAAGAATTTTATGTAAGGTCCTGGCATGCCGTTCATCGCATTGAAGCAGAGCGCTGTATCATCCACGACAACCGGACCGCCGACCTGTCAAATCCGTTAGTCTAGGGCTGAATCATGGCATGTGAAAGATATCTCACCATTTCTGCGGCTTTGCGACATTTTGCGATTGTGATTTCTTCGATCGACCCTTGTATCTCAGGTAGATCGAGAGATTGATTGCGAACGGTAATTCCAGCTGGAGCGAGAATAGCCTTGATATCGGCTATCTTATTAGCATTGCCAGTGATGAGATTGATTTCAATCATCGTGGTCATGTTGACGCATTTTTCTTTGCTGCCAAACTAATCTCATTAAGTGCCTTGACTGGCTTATGGGTATGATTCATCAAGCCAATCAGCCTTATCTGACTCCGGTACCGGGCTAAGACCCACTAAGCAATGTACTCCGCAAGCAATGATAAAAGGACGTTTTGCTCATTCCAGTCTTCGCTAGATACGAGGTACTGTTAGCTGCTTCCGTATTACATTCTCTCCTACATAACCCAAAATTGAAAGTAATGCCAAGTTTTCATTTTTCAGCGGAAAAGGTTGCAGTTCAACCGCATCTCCAGTCCGCGAGATAGTTCGTCGATATGTAGAGTCCCTAAGGTTATATCAAGACGATATCCCGCACCTTGCTCTTCAGGATCTGCTCTTCCTCCTTTGTTGTCATTTCGACATCAAAGTAACCAACTCTTTGAAAAACACTCTCGCAGCGAGGGAGCCGTCTGCCTTTGCGAAAGTGTGACAAATCTTCCTGCCTAGCCTCTTGAATAAGTATGCCAATAAGTTTTACTTTATCTAGCCGTTTGCGCCTTGCGATTTCCTCGATTCCCTCACGCATGAGTACCAGACCCAGGACTTCCTGTTGTGATTGCTCAAGATCGAATTTAACTCCTACTTGATACCTCTCCTCTATGCCGTGGATACGGTACCTCGGTTCTCCTGTCTGAGTTTCAAATGGCCTGATCAGTCGGACCATGACTGCTTGCAGAAGAAGCCATCCACGTGCTAGCTGACCAAAGACGTCAATTCCCTTGGGCTCGAGGTGAAAATCAAGGTACGTGACGGATGACATAGGCTTGGGAGACAAGTAGTCACCGGACAGCTGGTGGGGAAACGAGACGGTACCAAAAAGAGAGACCCAAGACCACGACGGTGCAATGTAATCCCTCGAAGCTCGCGCACCTCTTGCAACGCGCCAGCAGAGCACATGGCCGATATCTCCCCACCACATCCCTGCACAGTACTGACCATTCCGAAACCTAGCAACATAAGATGCTAGGCCAGACAATGCTGGAAGCCGGTCTGTATCGACGGACAGTTTTCGTGAGGAATAGTTGCGGACCATGTAGTACCACTTGTGGTGAATTTTCTCGTCAGCCCTTGGGGCCTCGGAAAGCTCAGTAATGGTCCAGTCTCTCAAACTATAGTTAGCGGCCAATTGGAGCTCCTCATGCCTCATTTCCTGACATCTCCAAGTAGTTTGGTAGTCGCTAAACCGGAGCATACGCCGTGAAAGATACTGCTCTTGCAAAGTCCAACCTCGCGTGTCCAGGGGCGCTGCTGAGGGCGTCGTGAATTCATCACCCTGAGCGCGTAAATACACATGCGTACTCTTCCCAACTGAAGTGAAGACCTTGAGTTCCCAGGCGGGAGGCTTTCTTTGCGTCAAGAATCCTTCTCGGTCATCCGAGGCGTTGATGGCTCCAATAGTTAAATATGCACCACGGTATACGTCAGCCATTCGTGATGCTTCCCTCTCCCAGTCAGCAACGTCGCCCTGGATAATGCAAAGAGAATCGATCCACAGATAACGTATTCCGAGCTTTCGAGTAACAATGATAGCATCTCGAAAGGTCTTTGTAATATCTGAAGTTAAGAGAAAGCCCTTCTTCATCTGATCCATTGTAGCAGGAGTAGTAATAAAAGCATTGGATTGCCCCCAACAGTGACTAAGGGCAAGATATTCGACTTTGCCGACTGGTTCTACCAGTGTTACGGTGTCTAAATCTTTGGCACCTACGTCAAGCAGCCTTGTTGGGGAGAATCGAGTGTCTCCTTTCTGACACCATTGATGGTTATTGTTGCATTGTTTGATCCATTCGGTCATGCGAGTTACGGCAACGAATCCCACTGGGTCCGGGAACATAGCAACTTGGAAATCTTTGACGTTATTCGACGCATCTATCAGAATGATGTTCAGCGTCAAAGGCTGTATACAAAGGCCTTATTGTGTTTACCTGGAAGAGCAGTAACGTCATACGAGTATGGACTGCAACTAAAGCAATATCGTCCCGGACCAGGCTCTTGACCCTTGTGCCATGTCTTGTACAAGTCTCTAATAAGAGAGAATAGAGAACAGTCGTCCTCTGCCACATTTGTAGCTTCACTATCTTCCAATCTTTCGTCGAACTCTTTCAACTCATACTCTGCGTAGACGGAGGCGGAGGAACTTTGGGCAGAGCTCGTGGTGAGAAGATTGCAGAAGTAGCACAGTGGCCTACCCATGTCGGGTATTCGACAAGTAGAATTTGAGGTAGATCGAGTATTAATTTGGTGCGGTTGATAAGTTTGGAGCTTCAGATTGTATCTTGGATGATCTGACATTTTGGGTTGGGTATCCATTGGTGCCACGACATCGTCTGACCCACATTTAGATACTTCGTACCTTTACAGGGCGACATGTTTGAAGCCGTTGACGTTGGGCGTAAATATTGTAAATGTCATTAAGCAACGTGGTGAAAATTGCTATTCGGAGAGGCTTATGCTATGGGAATGACTGGACTCCCATCGTACTGTTTGACCTTTGAATGTGCAGAAGGCCATACGCTTCTTATGTTTCCAACGCCAGTTCTGGCATTGTCAGTCCATTGAAAGTCTTCACGCAGTAGATAAATATCTTCGAGAACTTGAAGAGAACTGGCTCCGTTGGTGTCGCAAACAAATGCCGTCCTGTTCGAATGGCGGCAAGGAGCACTTTGTTTCTGTGGCAAAAAGACAACGAACAGGAAAATACAATCTCAATTCAGTAACAGCTGTGTACATAGCAATCTTATTTGTGATAATTCCCTGCAAACAATGGTACTTCCTGAGCTAAAACGTACCAAGCAGAAAAAGGCGAACGGAGATATGAAAAAGAGCTAGACTATGACCTGGAAATGAGTGTATGACTACTTAAGGTGAGCGTGTTGTGACGTTGCCAAAAAGAATAAGTAATTCATCAGTACCGGAAAAGGGAAGGGAAAATAAGAAAATAACCGAGACATCTGTCCATGGATATCAATGAAAGAAAAGGAAAAAAAGATACCTCTGAAAAAAAAGGTTGACAAAGTCACATCGAAAGCCGAGCAGGCTTTGGGGCTCCCTGAACAAGCAACGAGACTTCGGTAAGAACAGTACTAGCCAATTCGGCCAGCTTGTCCTTGATCCAAACGAGAACTTCCCAGATCTTGTCCCAAATCTGCCAAAGTTTCGCTCGAAGTAAACTCCAGACACGATCCCATGGAATAAAGTAAACCATGCCATAAGCGGCGACTGCTGAGCCGATTCCGGCAGCACCGACGGCTCCGGCACCAGCTACTGTAGCATACCCAGCGGCCATGTAGAGCCCACAAGGCCCCTTGACCAGTATGCCCCCAGCGCTCATCCAGAAGCCGCTGGCCATGCCAGCTACACCAGCACCAGCACCAGCTGCCATGACCGTGGCTAGAAGGCTCTTCCATTTCTGGAACCATGTTTCTGTGCCATCAGCGCAACAGTCAGACGATTCTCTGGCTTTCTCACTGACTTCTGTGTCTCTAAGCTCTAGGACTTGCTGCATGACGTTGTATTTCACATCGTGTGAAAGATTAACAACATCCCTTGGCTGCTGAAGAAGACGAATGGCTTCATCTGAACAGTCACTAAGGTCAAAGTTGCAGCCCTCGAGATGAGTCAACTCCTTCTTGCTCTGTTGCAGCTGGTGAGGACGAGCGTCCCAAGCATAGGTTTTAAAACCACAGTAGGTGGAGGAGCTTCCAATTCGAAGAGCATCTGGTCGCCCACCAGCTCCGCAAGGCCTGATGAAAACTTGGTCGACAAAGCCGTCGGTGTTGTATGTCAACTGAGCGACTGTGGAGCTCACAAGGAGATGTAAAGTCTTGAAAGCTTTCTTGGCGGCGATGCTGTTAGTCATAGCGCTTCCGAGATGCTCTTGGAGTTGGTCTTGGGTAGTGACGACAACGGATGATCCTTGAATCTAGTCAGCTACGTGCTTCGCCACATCAAGGTGGTGTTGAATGCGGTATCTCTTGGGACAAGATAATGAAATAATAGAAGAGGAGGGGCATGGGAGAAATATCGTAGAAAGAACTTACGTATCTTTTTCTTCTTGATCTTGTCAGTGATAAGCTTGTTCATGGCCTTGCGTTGCTCCGGTGCTACAAGAGCAAGGACGAGCGTGCTAGGGTTCCCCTCCGTGGACTTGACATCTTGCCACAAAGAGGTATTCTCTTGGTGGTAGATGTCGTGCTCAGACGCCTTGACAACACTGTTGCTAGGCTTGCTTGCGGACTTGGAGGAGTGCTTGTGAGACGACGAGGAGGACGAGGAGGACTTTCCGTGCTTTCCTCGATGGGTAGACGAACGGGAGGAGTTGGAGGGCATTGTGTAGGGGAAGGTTGGATGTTAAGCAATGACTGATGGGTAGACTCTTGTGGAGGTTGCAAGAAGAAGAAAGAAGTTAAGGTTTGAAGTTGGGAGACCTCGAATTTATAGACGAATTGTTCGACTCATGTAGCTCTCTGGTGTCAAGCGTCAGGTTTTGACTTGTAATCATTATGCATATTCTTTCTCTCCCATTATTGGTTTTGAGCGATTGATATCATGAGCCTCCTGCACATGCAATAATCAAGTTATAGAGGCGTTATTGAATGAGTGACGGCTGATGTTATGCTTGGCAGTGTTTGTTCCCCATAAGTCATAACAGATTTACTTTACTATCCATGCACCTCGTCGAAAAAGTGCTTCCAATCAGAAGTGCCGACACCAATTCGATCAACCAATGAACCAAGATAATCCCCACTGACCACTTAGTGATACTCAATGGTATTGCTCAATCAGGCACCCTCATCCCCCGTAGAGGTTGGTCAGCTGGCCAAGCCCTGCATTACCTCCGCTCTTGTGCTACAATCTTGCTTACGGCGGTGATTCGTACATCAAGGCGATGTGCGCTGTCGTTCTACCGAAGGTCACTCTGTCTCTTGTTATTTCAGCATAATCCCTAGTCTTCTCATTGAAGAAAGTCAAAAATATCATTTCACGGCGCTCAAGTATTGATATAGTAGCTTAAACTCGATTTAAAATGGCACAAAATCCTCCAGGAGTATCAGCATATTCCCGACAGCAATGGCAGGCTACACACCCGATCTTTCGCAACATATACATGGATCAAGGCTACAGCTTGGAAAAAACGATGATGGTACTGGAGTTGGTCTACAATTTTAATGCAACGTAAGTGGCTCTTGCAATTGCTAGTAGTTCAAAGAGGACGAGATCTGACATGGTCCTGCAGCGAAGGCGCATTCAGAAACCAGATAAAAAGAAATTGGCGGGATTGTGCAACGAACAACGGAGTAGCCCGTGTAAAGCGAACAAGACCAAAAAGTATCAAGGTCATGTTCCCTGATTTACCAGATTTTATAGCCAGCTTAGCTGTTGGCACAGCCCCTCGGTCCCTATCCTTTCAGCGCTACGAAAGCCATGTTCGGGTACTTCTATCACTAGACAAGTACACGAAAGGCTTCTTTGACACTCTACCGCCACAACCACCGCCACAGAACAATGGTGCGGAAGAAGATGCAAACAGTGCACAAAAGAAAGAAAAAGAACAGAAACCAACGATTGGTGCCAGATGGTGCCGTGCCTTGAGCCTTTGCCAAGAGATCTCAATACTCCCTCAAAAGAAAAATGATTTCATCGTTTTCAGCAATCTTGTTAAGGATCACGGTAGTAAGAAAGCTGCCAAAGAGGAAGGCATCAAAGAAATGAAGAACACAGTCACCAGTATCCTCAACGACAAGGTCTTCACAAAACTTGAAGTTAACGAGAAGGAGTCTAGTCCCAAGGACTTGCCTGCGCTCTGGAGCATTTGCCGCGTCTTGCGAGGACTGTCATCTCAGCTCGGCCATTCAGAAGATTCTGAGGCTCTGTTGATGAGGCTATTTCTTGGGGAATTACGGGAATCATTCGCTCAGATCACGCATGGTTCCAATACTGAAATGCGCCGGGCCTTGGAACATCTCCGGGACGTTCCACCAGCAGATTTTAAAGACATCGCCCGTATAAGCTGCCTCTGTTCAGCTAGAGCCCTATCGAGCAGGCTTGAGCCCCATGACCCAGTTGTTTTAGAAGCCTGGGCAGACTACTACCAGCACCATGACAGGAGCAAATTAAGGAAAGACGTCTTTCTTGATCACTACAAGAGAGCCTATGAAGAAGCAAAAGTAAAGTACCGGACGACGAAGGATAAGCCATATAATGAAAGAAAGCTTCTTATCCTCATCAAGTACAGCTATGTCGCTCATTACATATGTCACGACAACGACTTATCGTACCAGCTTGCGTCAGAGCTTTGGGATCAGACTGGTGCTTCGCTTTCTGGGGAAGATCCACCTGAATTCTGGTCAGTTAAAGTTCAAGGAATGGCTCAGGCAGCCAAGATACAAGCTTTGCTATGCTACGTAAAGCATGAAGACAAACTCAAACGCTACGAGGACCTTAGGAAGAAAATACACAAGTACAATCTCGTCAACAAACGAGCTCGACACAGGTATCGCAGGGAGGTTCTCCAAGAACGTCAAAAATGCCATGAGCGTGGCTATTTGCCTCCATATGACCCGGAGTCCCAATTTGTATTTCGCTTACAAGAAGTGGTTCAAAAGTTGGTCTTGAGTCCTGACCTAGGCTTTCAACTCTTGGCAACAGAACTACACGACCTCTTCGCGACATTGCTCAATACCGAAACTCTGACAATGGAAAACTTGAGGGTAGCCGTGACGAAGCTGCATGCTAGCAATGACCAAGACTGCCAACTGCTGGCAGCAGGACTGTACGATCAGCTGGCCTCCATCGCATCTGCCTGTAGCAAAGATGTAAACAGTGTCCTTCGGTCTGCCGAGTCCCTGTTTAAGAAAGCAGAAGATTCCCCGCTTACAGAGATGGAAGAGTCTAACCTGAAAAGGTACTTGGCGATAAAAAGGCAGGAAAGAAGACTTCAAGGGAAAGAATGCCGCCTTGAAGCAAAAGGACTGAGGCGATTGGTTGTTGATTTTGATAACTTCGTCGACATTTGAGGGTTTGCTCTCTCAAGCGGTATCTTGATGTATTGGAAACTTCGGTTTATTTCTACTCTCCATGATGTAACATAGCATTGGCCATATTACGATACTTGTGACTACAATTCGAGTTTCAGCCCTCCAGCTCATGTCGCTGTGTCTGTCCATTTCTTTCGAGAGGCGGAGTGGCTACTGGTAACTCAGCAGGACCCTGGTTACTTTCCAACTCTTGCAGCCCGCTCTGCTTCGAATTGTCGGCCGAGAGCTCCGCTTTGCCCCATTGCTTCGTGTCCCCTCCATCTCCTGCTTCTGGAGGCTGTTTACTGGTATTTCTCTTGCGACGACGCATCCATAGCCAAACGCCAATAAGAGCCACAATACCAGCTACGCCGCCGACGACACCGCCTGCAATGGCTCCAACTGGCGTCGAAGATGAATCACTAGAATATGGGTTCAGTATTCTGCCGTCTGTTGACCCTGGCGTTGTCGCTGACATTGAAGCTATTGAAAGTCAGCAATTTCATCACGAACCATGATAGATTGTTGGCTTACCAAAGAGCCTGGTAACATCATCGTTATCCCACTTGACCTTATTCCTGATCCATGTCAGTATATTACGAAGCATCGACATCGAAGTACTTACCCGCGCTGATACCAGTCCCTCACAACCTTTGGTGACTCATACTCTTGAGCATCCGCATCATACTCACTAGACCAAGTCAAACTCGGCAAATCGAGAATCCCAATTCCTTGTGTCCAAGGATCCTTGTCTCTCCAACCTTCATCTTTGCCCCATTTGTTGCCACCTATACTCAGCATCTGACGCTTTCCAACAAGAGCACATCCATGCATTCCTCGCTTCGGGCCCTCAACATCTGCTTTGAACCACTTAAAAGCCGGAAGCGATAGAACCCAGACATCGTCGAAGGATTTCGTCTTATCATTCCACGTGTTCCAGCCTCCATAAATGAATCTGAATCAAGTCAGCTAAGCCCACGCTCAAAACCCATTTCAAAAGCGTACATCTCATATGTGCTGTTTGGTCCTTGTACTCCGACAGAGCAAAATTCAACTCTAGGATCTGGAGAGACACCTGAAGTCTGTTGGTAGTACCATTCCTTGGAGCTGGGATCGTATATGGTAATGTTGGTGAAGGACACTGGGTCCGACACGTTCCCAAAAGCAGGCATCTTGACCTTTGCGCCTCCCATAAATATCAATAATCCGGATGAACCGATGGAAGGTATACAGGTAGCCTTCCCGGACCAAGTCGCATAGTCCAGTGCTTTAGTTGACTCGTTCGTCCACTTTTGGGTCGTCATGTTGTAAGTCAGCAGTCCATCAAGTGGCCGTTCAACATAGCTTCCGTCAGTAAACCTGTCATCAGTTCTACGTTCACCATAGCCACCAAGATAGTATCCAACACCGTGGCAAGTGGTGTAAGCTCCTCTCACAGTTCGATAAAGTGAGCTGAACAAAGTGTCGTCTTCAGGATCGTGTATTGACCAGCTTCCCTTGCCATCACTATCGTTTTCAAAGGCATATAAATGGTGGTCTCCAGCTGCCGAGGCATTATTGTAAGATCCTTGACCGCCCCATGAGTAGATGGTTGATCGTTCGTCATCGACCCAAAGAGCTGGTTGTTTCAGACATGGCGATGGCCCTTTCTCACTCTCAGTGAAGACGACTGTATCGTTTGTCCAAGATTCGTCTAGCGGTATTGAAAGGGTGAGACTGACTGGATGGTATTAGCATCACCCGTGGCATCGATCTTGGCGCTGATTTACCGGCTGTTGACCGTGACTTATCCAGTTCGGAACCAACCTCTCCGCCATCGATATAGACATAGTCCCCAAGGACAGCAACTTGATATTCAGGTCAGTCGCCTTCTTGAAAGGCTTTTCCAAAATACTTTCTCACCTGACAGTAGCGATCTTCTAATGAAGTCATCGTTGGCTGGTAACTGTGCTGACCCCTTGGAGCTCTGTCGCGTTTCAAGTTCAGCCGCACAGCATAGCGATAAGAGACAAGAGACAACGGTTCGTCTCCAAGTAAACCACCTCATCGTGATCGAATGTGCAAAGTTGGATCGTCAAGTTGTCAAGACATACGTGCAAGTCTCTGACAGAGTTGTGAGGATGAACCTTCTGGGAGAAGAAAAGACGCAATCAAAAGCCAGTCAGTGTTTTGAAATGGAGCGCGTGATGGCTGGTAGTCGGAGGGGAAATTAAAGGATGATCTTTGGGGGCCGTTTTTGTTGCCAAGTTTTTGTTGGACAACTCAGATCATTTTGGCAGAACGCGGTCGAGGATGTTGCATTTCACATGCGGGGCTGAATCCTTGTGATAGAATGCTGGAAACTGCTGAATGATTTTAAGTCTGTCAGGGAAGTTGATGCGATATCGTCATAGCCCCTGTGGTTGTGTAAACTGGCAGATTATCTTAGAGTATCGCACTATCCGTATATTTGTCTCGAATGGGCTTGACGGGGCGTATCCGAGTTTAAGCGCCGATTTGAAGTTCCAACCCCGGTAGAGTTGGCCAATCTGCACACTGCCTCGCTGCGTGATAAGCACTAATAATGTCTTGGCTTTGAAGGAAATCCGGCGTTTCATTTAGAATCGTGAAATGAGCATATTGCCCCCCAGACACATGACATCATAAGCAGAGTATAGAGTGACATCCTGTTAAATGCTGCTGCCTGCCCCTTGAACCCTCCCATAAACGGTAATGAGTTGATCGAACCCATGGATGTTGCCTAACCAAGACATTTTCCTTCCGTGCCAACACTAGCATGACGGCCAAAACGCAAACTGCCTTGATACATAAAAAACTGTTGTCCATTCCCCTCTCCCCAAAGAGCATTGCTCTTTGTAGTGAATCTTCCCCAGTTCTCGATCATGGCGTAGGTGCAATGAGTGCCGTTTGAGCACACGCAGCAGAACAGACCCCGAATGCGCTGTTACAAGCTGCAATTGTTGCTGGGGCCGTGGCTCCAGCAGTGGCTCCCCAGGTCGCACCGCCTGCAGCGTAGCAAGCCATCGCGACGGAGGCGCATCCCGCTTGACAGACGCCGTATGCGATCGGACCTGCGGATGCGGTCGCCGAGAAGCCAGCGATGATTGCGAGAAAGCTTATAGCCTTCATGTCAACGCTGGATGTTATAAAAGGTATTCTGTAACTATTGATGCTGCTGAAGTAGATGGCAACGAAGAGCGTATAGGTAGAGCTATCGGCAAATAGCAGAGAACACCATCCGAGTCGGTCTGTCAAACTTGAAGGCTGATAGATTGTTTTTATCGGGACAGATAGGATGGCCCAGGTTGCACGTTAGGAAGTGCGAAACAGTCTTTCAAGGCACATTATTTATGTATGAGATTGAGGGGTCACGACAATGGTCGGCCTCCCGCATCAAGCCGCGTCATAGAGCATCCCAGCTAAGGCCGCAAGAATTAAAGGGTTATTACCAACACAGGAAATATTTTCTACTGTTTTCGATTCAGTGAGATTTCGGCACTGAAAGTTTGTAGCTGATCGGGCAAGTCGTATGGATTCTAGACGCCGGTGACCACCGAGTGATGCATGTCACATTGAAGTACTATCCGTAACGTCGCATACATCCAACGCTCAAATTGCAACAGAATTGGAAGTAACCTAGCCACCTTTCGGGACTCCCTATCAACAGATCATTCGGTGCGAAGCGCAATAAACCGTCACTTGTTGCTCGTTCGGCGCCGAAGTTAAGGTGAAGACACTGACGGAACTAAAGGGAGAAAAAGCATGAAAGCCCCCCTAATTTTGACTACTTGTCCCAGCCAGGCGACTTTCAGCTTCGCTTGATCACGCCACAATAGGTTTTAGATGTCGGTCATCTCATCGGGGGTCTCAGATAAGAAGAGCATATGCCTCTCGTGAATGTCTTGCGCCATTGTGGTCTCTCCCGTTGGTTACCTTTGAGTTCCGAGCCTGCTCTCACTCCGCTTAAGGGTAGATTGTCTCGTCTCCCTTGCTCGTGGCTGCCTGATATGTTCCAGTTCCATTTCCCGCCTGAAAGAATCCACTTCTGGAGACTAGCTTCTAGAAATGGGCCATGCTGCTCGGCCCGGCCCGACCTAGCTCTTGCTAAGTAAACGGCTTCATAATCACGCTGGGTCTAATATGAAGCCTTTTCTCAAATTTCAGCTCATTACTCAACTAAACTACTATCTTGTGATGAAAGTCAAGCCAGGGATGGAAGAAGGGCCTGGTTCAGGTATATTACACCTGTAAAAGGTGAGATAGAAACTGGTATAGACCTGATATCACATTCCGCTAGCGACGCCATGCCCAGTGATGGCTGACAGGAAGCCAGCTGAACATGATACCGACTCGGCTTTTGGGAACCAGCCAAGAATGAATGAAAATATTTAAAAGCCTGGATTTCTTCCTTTCAAATCTGACCGTTCAATTCTTACTATTCACTAATCAGCCATCATGCCTCCCGTCGAGAAAGATCCTAAAGCCAATGGCAAACCGTCAGATGACGAGGCAGTCATTGAGAAAGCCAAGAAAGAATACCAAAAGCTAAAAAGCAAATTCAACTTGGGCAGGATCTTCCCCAACGTTATCCTCCCTGCTCTTGTTGGCGCCGCTGTTTGGGCACGCCAGCCTTCAGACAACCAGTTCACAGCGCCGCCAACAGCTCTGCGAAAATGCCTGGACAGCGTTTGTGCTGGCGCTGATAACTGTGTCAAATACCCAGCTAGTGGGGAAAACCGCGAGTACTTCCAGTGGGCGTCTCCTTTTAATCTTGGACGCATTGTTCTACCTGCTGCTGTGGTGAGACCCAGCGATGATGAGCAGGTATCGGGCTTCGTTCGGTGCGCAGCTGATAACAACGTCAAAGTTCAAGCCAGATCTGGAGGTCATTCATATGCGTAGGTTTGATGTCCATCGTACTTTTTCTATACTAACACCTGTCCAGGAACTATGGTATCTCACCCAGCACAAGTCCTTGTTTCGAAAGAATATAGCTGACTTCACTTAGGTGCCGGAGGGTATAACGGCTCTCTTTCTGTTGATCTTATCAACTATCGCTATGTTACACTCAACAAGACGACTTGGCTCACCACAATTGGCGGTGGCAGTCTACTTGGTGATATTGATGATTTACTCGACAGCGAGAAGGGTAACCGCGCGTTTCCTCACGGTGTTTGCCCTGGAGTCGGGATCGGTGGGCACGCTACTATCGTGAGTAGTGCTTGGAGATTTGATTCCCTCCCGACTTTACTAACCTAGCCTGTAGGGAGGCCTTGGTCCTTCGTCGCGCATGTGGGGAGCCACTCTTGACAATGTCGTCGAGGCCAAAGTTGTTACCGCCAACGGAACTCTGGTAACCACAAGTGAGACCAAGTATCCAGATCTATTTTTTGTAAGTCTCAGGTTCCACCTATAAAGTGTGTTCTGACCGCCGTCAACAGGCCATTCGAGGAGCAGCAGCCGGCTTCGGAATCGTCACTCAATTTGTCATCAAGACGTCACGGTCTGACCCAGGAAGAAGCATCGCGAGAATCCCTTCTCAACGTCGTCGCTGGAAGCGACACCTCAGCTACTACAATTCGCCTCATCATGCTCAGTCTCCTAAGCAATCCCATTATGTATCTCAAACTTCGAACCGAAATTGACGACGCAATCGAAGCTGGAAGTATCTCATCACCCATCACCGACGCCGAAGCAAGAAAACTTCCTTACCTCCAAGCTGTTATCCAAGAAGGCTTACGCATCAAAGCCCCCGCAGCCGGCCCGTTGTTCAAACAAGTTCCTCCTCAAGGCGATGAAATCGACGGAAAGTTCATCCCTGGAGGAACACAGATTGGGCAATCGCCATTCGCTGTTTATCACTCCAAGGAGATCTTTGGTCAAGATGCTAGTCTCTTTTCGCCTGAGCGATGGATCAATGCGGATCCTGCGAGATATGAGGCTATGGCCGAGGTTGTGAGTCTTGTGTTCTCGAGCGGAAAGTATCAGTGCTTGGGTAAACCTGTTGCATTTATTGAGTTGAACAAGATCTTTGTTGAGGTAAGTTTCACCAGCGTTATCGATGGAATTAAGACTAACCTGGTTGAATAGTTGTTGCGACGCTTTGACTTTTGTATGGCTCGTCCCGAGAGACCTCTTCATATCATGAATGCTGTGAGTAACATATCTGAGGATGACGTCGTTGGGGCTAACTGGAAATTTAAGGGAATTTGGCTTATTGAAGACTTTCCCGTCCGCATCACACGTCGAGAAGCATAAGCGCACCATGGTATCTGTCTACCAATAGTTCATATCAGCGTAGTAATTGGAATAATTTATAAGAATATTCAGCTATTAAGAACCAAAACAATTAATCGAGTATACCATAAGTGTAATGTTAAAGTAGTAAGCCTCGATTTACAAGCAGTTCTGGTAAACCGCCTCAAGTTGACTTATTTCGAGACCATGTCTGATATGCGCTTAGTCATTTCATCTGGGGAATCTGCAACTACCACTGTTTCTGTAGCTGCTTCAACGACGACCCTCAAGGCTGAAACAACGACTGCTAGTTCGGCCGATCTCTCGATTACAGTCACTTCTACCGTTGAAGATGAGACGACAACCGAGGCTGCAGAGACAGCTACTACTACCGAAGTATCAATGACTCTCGATTTGTCAACTACGCTTGAAAAAGTTGGCACTGTAGAGCCCACCAGGACTGCCGAAGCTACAAGCACTGCGGCCTCTGCTGAGACAGCAACGGCTTATGCTTCCACCACAACCGCAGATGCCTTTGAACCAATCCCAACATTCGACATCCTCGCCATCGGCGCTCAAGTTGACGGCCAAAAGCTCCGCGGCCACGTAACAACAGACTACGAAATGGGATGGAACCTCGATCGCACGCCCCCGATCCTCGCCTTCTCCATCGCCCCGGACACAAATCAGGTCAAAGAAGTCAACGGAAACTCCCTCTGTCTTCAATACTGCAACAGCAACACCAACCACCCCAGCTTTATCAAACTTTGCGACGCCTGTACCGTCACGAGTATCAATAATGGAGTTGCTATGGTTACGTGTGAACAGACTCGCGATCGCAGGTTGAAGTGTTCAGTTCCAGCTGCGCAGTGCGCGGAGGATGATTTTACGAGGATGATTGTTTGTTCGGCGGTCTCTGGAACGTTTACGGGATTTTATACGTATTGTGGTATGACGACGGGTATTACTCTTGTGATGGGGCCAAAAAGTAATGGTCCTACTGCCGATACGTTCCAGCCTGTTGATCTTGGAATTGAACCTGCTTCCGAGTAATGGCTGGGTGGGGATATTTAAATATTTTCCTTTTTCTTTATATACTCTTGATCAACTCGATTTACGTTATCTAGTAATGCAGTGAAGAGTATGATTGTTTTTGTTTAAACTTTTAAGGGTATTCGAGGCCATTAGAGGACCTTTTAGCGATAATATCAAGACGTACCTTGCTCCTGATCAGCAGTATATCATTGAATGTGGATAAGCTGAAATAGCAGAAGTGATACTGTGATTAATACAGGTTGAAGCACGGATCGGGCTGTATATTCGTTGCCTGTTGTCATGTATCTTCTGTCGCTAAAGTGACTCTTCAAGAATAACTTGAAGCGTAAATGCAAGCTGAGCTCAGAAATGCAATTGATAACTTTTGTGACTTCTATCTACTTCGACCAGGCTTATGAGTAGCCAGTTCACTTCCAATATCCCTACCTTTGACTGACTCAGTGATGATACATCGCTCGTCACTGTCCCGGCTCGCTTCCGTTTGCGGCCCAGTGATGGAAATAACTTGATCAGACCTCGATGCATCACTCTTCCAAATACCTGGACGTGGGCTTCTAGCAGCTATATTTGACAAGTTGTAACCCTTTGCGTGGCTACCCGGTCCCGTATAGTATAAAGAACTCTTTTTGGTTGATCCAAAGATCCGAGGGAAGAGTTTGCCCATGGGCTGTCTCAGTACCGGTAGACATGCAGCAATAATGCCGAGATTAGCTTCAATAAGAGTCCATATCCCGCGATCGATGAAGTTCCACGTCATGTCTTTCTTGTTCTTGAGAGAGTTTGATACCGAAGTTACTCGGAGGATTGATGTGATGGTGACACTATTATTCTGGTCAGTCTTTGTTAAGAATAAGTAAGAGCAATTATACTTACAAACTACCGAGAAGGAAGATGCAACAAAGCAGTAGTTTCTCTCGCATGCTCGTTTGGAGTCGCATGATGGGCGAAATAGGAAGGGCCAAAACCATGACATCCGTCAAAATGTTGAGAACAGCGTAGGCCACCCAGAACTTATTCGAGTCGATACACTTTGCATCGACTGACTTGTCCCATGCGCCCTTGATAGGGACGCATTGCCAAATTGTCGCAGCGATACCACCGATGCTGTATCCAACCACAACTCCCAGCACAACGTACGACCAAACACGAAACGACTTTGTAACAAAAAGTCGTAGATACAATAGAATTGCAGCGACTTTGTTGAGGCAGACGGTTGCTTTGTATGGTGTCTGAGCGATGAAGAACATTTTCAACGCCATTCGAAGATCGGGCTTTTCGAGATCGTCTTTGTGCATTCCGTAGCCATGGTGTATCGCAAGCTGTATGTACGTCGATAGAAGAACTGACGATATCTTGAACATTTAGCTTCGCTACCATTGGAAGTGTCGAACAACTCACAAGAGAAACAATAATGGCAACGTCATCTGATCCAAGCTTGTGTATTGAGTACCGCGCAATGCATCTCGCAACGACGAATAACCCGGATGAAATGATCATTACCAGGGATGTGATGTACAACTTCCAGCCATGATTGTCGACACCATCGGCGGGAAATCCCATTCCTCTGTCAATCATATTTACGGCTGCATCCTACACGGACGGGCTAGAGTGGCATTTCGAGAGGGGCCAAGGAGGACCCCCAGTATATAAAGTTGCGCAGACATCGATTCCAACAGCGCGGCACAGCCAATGGTGCAATAGACCTATGTCACTTGGCACATCATGATATGATGCAAAGAGGTATTATTACATGCAGTGCAGGGCTGTCGTAGCTCGCTTCCAAAGTTCCAGAGACTTACCCCCGGTGGCGATGGAAGTGTACCGTATTGTCGGCTCAATAGAACAACAGGGCTGACGAAGAATCCGTAGCGACCATCCTGTCTTGGCCATGGAGAAATAGAGACAATCTCCGAAGCAGAAAGGATAAACGGTCCTTTTGCCTGCGATCCGGGGTGAACCAACAGTTGGTGGTGCTATTTCATGCAGGGGTGAGGCGCAGGATGCTGTTCCTTGACCGTTGGACAATCAAGACTGGTAATGTCGGAATACCGGCAGTACGGATATTTGAGCAACAAATGAGTCTGCGGATACTACCTCTCTATGGTCAACAGGCAAGAAGAAAAGAAACGACGAGAATTAGTGTTTAGAAGCTTCATTCTTCATCGCATTGTTTGCGGGGCCTGCCCTTGTCAAACCGTTGATCCGGAAGGGTCGGCCGCTAAGTTCATCCTGGCCTGGTCGCATCCTTTGTGGATTCCTATTCAGGGCACTTCTCCGATGCGCGTCTTGATGGTTGAATAAAGTTGGGAAATCTCCCCAGCACAACTTGAGACAGTGACTACCTTCTGTCACCCCCTGCGCTACAGCACCTCAACATGTACGCAGTCAATTGGGTATTTGCGTTTGCCCTTTGGGCAGGTCTCGCTGCTGCAGCACCAAAATGCAACCCATCCAAGTACATTACCGTCGAGACAGCAAATGGACCGATTACTGGCCATGTGGCAGACAATTCGCCGTGTGTTGTCGAGTATCTGGGTATCCCGTATGCGAAGCCTCCCGTGGAAAAGTTGAGGTTCGCTGCTCCTCAGCGCATCACCTCATACTCAAAGAAACCTTTCGAGGCGGCAAACTTTGGATATGATTGTCCATTGACGGCTAGCAAGAAGGTCGACTATCCTGATATGACACCCCAAGCCCAGCAGATTATTTCATACTTTGCCAGCGCTGCGGGAACTCCTCAGAGTGAGGATTGTTTGACACTCAATATTTGGTCCAAGGCTACTCCCAACTCTGCAAGAGCAAACAAGCCTGTGTTGGTATTTTTCTATGGTGGACGTAAGTTACTAAACTATCTTCTCTATATATCAAGGCTGATTAAATGATCTAGGTTTTGCCATTGGAAACACCGACAGTCCTTTCTACAACGGTAAATACTTTGCTGATGCTGAGGATATTGTTGTCATCACGGTCAACTACCGCATCAACATCTTTGGCTTCCCCGGTGCACCTGGTGAGACCCAAAACCTAGGTCTGCGCGACCAGCGGGCTGCTGTTGAATGGATCCGGGATAACATCTGGAGATTCGGTGGCAACCCGTCAAAGATCACTATCGCCGGTCAATCTTCTGGTGGCGTTGCTGTTGATTACTGGACGTACGCCTATAAGAAGGATCCAATCGTCAATGGAATTATCGCCCCTTCTGGAAATGCTTTTAGTTTCCCTGTCAATTCCGCTGCCGTCCAGGAGAAGAACTGGAATTCTGTCGTGTCAGCTGTTGGCTGTAACTCCACCAGCGATGTCATGGCTTGCATGCGCAACGTTGACTGGGAGGATATAAAGAAAGCCGCTGCTGCCATCAAGCCTGCTTCCAGCTCCAGCGTTCTTCGATCCATCCCGCCATTCTATCCGAAACCAGATGGTGAGATCGTCTTCTCCGACTACGTTAGTCGAACCAAGAGCGGAAACTTTGTCAAAGTCCCTATCCTGTTCGGCAACAACAACAATGAAGACGGATACTACCGTATTCCAGCCTACGGCAATGGCGTTACACCGACCGATGCCCAAGTCAAATCGTTTCTTCTCGAGTCCTTCACCTGCCCTGTATCCTACCAGGCCAAGGCACGAAGAGATCACAATGTACCATCCTGGGCATATCGATATCTGGCAGACTGGGATAACACTAGGTTATTCCCCACAAGTGGCGCATACCATGGTGTTGACTTGCACATGATCTTTGGCGCATCTGGCGATGTCAGTGGGATCGAGCCATCGGCAGACCAGAACAAGCTCACCAAGATCATGCAACACGCATGGTTCTCTTTCAGCGATGATCCTTCAAATGGTCTCAGTAAGCTTGGATGGCCTAAATTTGATCCCAACCGTAAGACCTTGATTGAGCTGGGTAAGGATACGAAGCCTCGCGTTGACTTTGTGAAGCCCTCAGTCTACGACGCTGCTTGCTCAACAGTCACGATGGGGGCACTTTCGACTTCTTCATAGGATAAAATAGTTTTGTCATTGTTCCGTGTTGATTTTGTAATTTGAAAGGAGTAGATAGTCCAAGCAGCCCTTGATCTGCTCTTCCATAATGGTAGCAAATGCTAGATTCGAAGTCCAACGTAAACCCCTATACCGACAACAACACTTTGCAAATTGTCGCTCTCTCTTTTGCCGTCGAAGATCTAAGAGTTCCTTTTCTGGTACGCACGTGGCCCAACCAAACGCTTCCATCTTCGTATGCGACATTTGTTATTGACCGGGTGCATTTGTAGAAACATTGCATCGTCAAGATAGCATCCGATTCATATCGAATGAGCCACAATCGTGGGTATGGGAGGTAAATTTCGCAAGTGAATGGTCCTTTGTCGTAGAGGTTCGCTCGATATCATCAGACAACGGATAGCGCGGACACCCATTTGTCCCTCACAGCAGAAACATGTCACAGCATGAATGAGCCAAGATCTCTAAACAGCATGCTCAGGTTTCTCTTAGCAGAATGATTAGAAGGACAGATAACTCAGCAAATAACAGATCTACAAAGTGAGGCGAGAGATCGAACAAGCAAGCGAATCCTCGACATGTCTCAGTCTGATCTCCGTGGGAAAACGGGAGTACAGGACTAGGCATCAGATACATCTATCACATTCCTTACATGCCGACATATAGTTTCACCATTTAAGCTTAATTTACGTTTGTTTTTCTAAAACATGCATAAGGCATATCCAATTCGACAGTCTGGACAAGTCTAGGACTTTACGTGAGGGGTGTCGGGACTTGATGCTCCGGTAGAGAATCCAACTGTGATTCGGTGATAACCCCACCATCTTTGAAACCTCAGCCAGCCACGGGCGGGACATCAAGTCTGTCTATCCTTATCCGGAAATCACGTACCCTTGAACTTCAGCCGCAAGCCACTTCATGCAAGGGTATATAAAACTGTCACATATTGTTGTCTCAGTTGACCACCTTCACTTTTAACGGGACATGAGCAATGCTGCGATCACAGACAGCCAAGACCGCCATGTTTCAACCATTTGATCCCAACAGGGCTGAAGACGGTCGTCAGCTGATTGATTTTGCCTTTCAGCCGCACATCGAGACCTAGCATATAGGACCTGTCTCACTTGAGAGGGATTTGTCCGCTTTCTGAAAGAGAGGCGCTGGCAATGCTGCTACTGCATGTAAATATCGCTATAAGACTCCCTAATATCCTGTCCATAATCACCTCGCTCTTCAAAGTGACATTTTCATCTACCGCCAACACTCACCCCGTAATCTTTTCCCCTCAAACATTTCACCATGTCTGACCCCACTATCAACGGCAATCCCTTCTCAGTCTCGTCCCTCCCAGATGACCCTGAGCAGTCTGGTGAGGTCAGACTCAACCATCTTCCAGAGAACACCAACTACATTGTTCTCGAAACCCAAGACCCTCTCAAAAGACCCGAGAAACATGCCCTCAAAGACCTACATGTCGACCTGCAGGAGTACCTCGGCGGTAACACTTGGCTTTGTCGCTATGAACCCATTGACATCAAGTCCTTGCGTGATCTTGCTTTTGTCAAAGATGTGAAGCCCTTGCACCCAGAGCTGAAACTTGAACCAGCTCTCAAGTCTGCTGATGGTGCATCTGGAACTCGCACCGTTGACATTGTCCTTCAGAATCGTGCGGATGATTCTGCTGAGGATATATCCCAGCGTATCCAGGACTCTCTTGGTATTTCTCCCGAGGACATTACTATCAGAAGTGGTGACTCCATCATTCGTCTCACAGGCAACAACGACAAGTTGCAAGAGATCGCCAAGATCGACAGTGTTGGCTCCATTCAAGAGGTTCACAAGCTCAAATTCTTCAACAATGTTGCTCGTGAGATCCTTCACGCTGATGTCACTGGATCATCAAACACCACCATCTTCAAAGGAGCCAATCAAATAGTCACCGTCGCTGACACTGGCTTTGACACTGGTGATGAGAACAACACCCACAAGGCTTTCACCGGCCGTGTTAAGAAGCTCATTCCCATTGGCAGACCCGTCAAGACCAACGACCCTGATGGACATGGCACGCATGTCTGCGGGTCTGTTCTTGGTGATGGGCACTCTGACAAGATGGGAGGTTCAATTCAGGGCACTGCACCAGAGGCGACTCTCATTGTACAGTCTCTCATCAACGATCGAGGTGGCTTGTTTGGTCGACCTCAGAAAACCCTCGGCGATCTACTTCAGGAAGCAATTGACAATGAGTCGTTCATTCACACCAACTCCTGGGGTCCGGAGTGGAGTTTCCAAATTCCCTACAACAACGCGAGCAAGGACCTCGATACTTTCGTTTCTTCTCACAAAGAGATGACAGTCTGCTTCGCCGCTGGTAACGATGGTGGCGAGGAGACTGATCTTGGCCACATTGGCGCTCAAGCAGCTGCCAAGAATTGCATCGCTGTTGGGTCAACCGATAATCGACGCAAGGCCAGGAACAATCAATTCGATACCTTCAAGGCCGATGGAGTTGTTGAAGGTAACCCCAACAACATCTCTTGGTTCAGTAGTCGTGGGCCCACGCTCGAGCGCCGCATCAAACCTGACGTCGTTGCGCCGGGTACCATGATCCTTTCGGCCAAGTCGAGAGATGCGAAGCCAAGTAGCACATTCGGCCGCTCGACTGATCCAGCTTGGGCATTCAGTTCGGGTACTAGCATGGCAACTCCTCTTGTCGCGGGTTGTATTGCTGTTCTCCGAGAGACACTGCAGAAGGACGGAGTCACCTCCCCAAGTGCAGCATTACTCAAAGCCATGCTTGTCAACGGTGCTGTGGACACAGGTCACAATGTCGAAGCCCAGGGTTTCGGCCGCGTTGATCTCGCCAATTCCGTCATTCTCAAGGGCATCACCACCAACAAAGGCTACCTGGAAGGTGAACTTGACGATGAAGATGACGAAGATGGATTTGTCAAGACACTTACGCTTGGAGATCTTCTTATGCCTGATGGACCGGACTCAGAAGAGGTTACGTTGAAGGTCACTATGGTGTACTCTGATCTTCCTGGTGCTGCTCTGCAGAACAACATCAATCTTCAGGTTGCTGTTGGTGATGGACCGAGCAGATTTGGAAACTTGGGTGATAGGCCTGATAATGTTAATAATGTCGAGCAGGTGATTTGGAGTGGTATTCCTCCTGAGAGGGACACAAAGATCACGCTTAGTGTTTCTGAACCGAGGACTCTGGTTGGGGATAAGCAAGCCTTTGCTCTGGTTTGGAGTGTGTCATGATTGGAGTTTACTTTTGTGTAATCTAGCCGCAGAAATGCCCTTTTAGTTGGGTACTCCAGTATCGTGTTGGTCAATTGGTCCTCTGGGGAATTTGCGGCTTAGTTTGTTTCTATCAAGTATGCATCTTAGTGTATCGGGACTGGAATATTACTACTACCTTTTGTTAGACTCATGGAAACCGAGGAGCATACACCCGACAAGTGGAATATCGGATTACGTGATGAAAAATAAGGTAAACAGATGCATCATCCAGCGAACATCCCCTCTTGTACAAAACGGTCCGAAAGTGCGGCTGAGCCGTGTTAACCGGGTCGGCCGCCTCTAGCACCGATGGCACTGGACGGGCTTTGACACAGCTACGACATGAGCAGTTTTATAAACCCCTCGCTGGCAAAGTGGTATCATTCTGTTTCCATTGTTCAAGGTATTGGTAGGTGTTTTTCTCTACGAAGATTTAGCTTTCGGCAGGTATTAGGCTATTGTTTCAGCATCTCGGTTTAGGACGTCTCCACATTCCGCATGGATAGATCTATCGAATCTTGGAAAAACCTGGGACTATGGGTGCTCAAAGACAGTATCCAGGCTTTTGAAATGACCGATATGTTGATTGTGTAAAGTTGACTGTCCAATTCTCTCGTACAAGGTCCACGCAATGAGGGTCGCCAGCCTTGTAGGGCATGCGTAGTGGAGCCCGAAATTGAGATCTGCATGCTCTGTTATCTCTCAACAGCCTTCTTCTACAGTCTTAGTTAAATCCGGAAACCTTCAACACCATGAGCAAGCTGAGCAAGCTATACTGACTGCGCCCCGCGTTTCGCGGGAATAACTCTCGTATGCCAGTCGCAATGACGCGGTCTAAGTTTGTCGTTTCAAAATATGTTTATTAGTGATACCGTCCGACTCGTTACTCAGCAAGTCCGTCCCACTAACGGTCACAAGCGGCCGCTGCACTGCCACAACCGTTCCGGAATAGATGTCATGTAGACATCGTATAACTAAATGCCGCGTTTTAAACCCGGATCCTTCGAATATTTTTAGGTAGTGAAACAGGTCCACGTGGTTTGTGGCTTTGCTTCATAGCTTGATTCCTCATCGTTTGAGACAAGTAAGTAGCAGTTTAATTCATGTCTGATACTTGAGAGTCAATGAAGCCAGGCCATATTCGGGACGCAAGACATCTACCTATGAGGACTTCTAGGCGTCTGTGCTGCGAGTTACTCCAGATCATCAACTTGGTGGAGCCGACAAATTTGTAATTAGCGAGCGGTGAACGGACTGTTGGAGCAACAAGTACAAAAGTATTATAACATGTAAGAGATAAATCAATTCCAGCTGCGTTCATAGCTAGCAACAAGTGTATTTCGTCCTCCATAGGCATCTCTATCTTAACCTCATCTTCATGTGAATTCGAGTACTTCAAGAGGATCAGAATCCATGCACAGAAATAACACCGATAGCAATTGTTGAAACACCAGTGACGAATTCTGGACTAAGAAAGCTCGTATTCTCTCCTTCAGGCATGTCGAGAGGCTGAAGGTTGGTCCCCAATAACCGATCACGATCAAACAGCCCACAGCGCGGCCGCCGCTAGATACACGTAGTAAAACATGTGCCATGCCAAGTCGGCAGTTAAGATATTTCCGTGACTTCTAATAAACAGAGCAGGACTGAAGTAATGTTGAAACGAACATGTAGCATTTTGGCTCTACTTCATTCTTGATCATCATGTTTATAGGACATAACCGACGACTCTTTCTCGTTTATGCCTCCTTGGCTAGTATTTGGGTCTTTCTATTCCAACTCTGCAGACTCTACACGTTCTCCGATCCTTCTTCCTTCTTTTACGACTCGCACCGAGCTTACAAGACGCGATACACGAATATTCGAGAGCACCAAGCTGATGAACTACTCGACCTTGCCGAGCACTTCCCTGTAGAAGAGCTAGCGGCCCTTCCTTTGATCAACAACAACTCGAATACGATACCTACAGCCTCAGAGAAGCGAATTTGTGTCGGTATACCGAGCGTCAAGCGAGAACGGGAGCAGTTTCTCCCCAGAGCGGTTGCTTCGCTTGTCCAAGGTCTCAGCCTTGAACAAAGACAGGCGATACACATCGTCGTCTTGCTGGCAGATGATGACCCAACATCACATCCAGCCTTTGGGCAGCGATGGCTTGACCGTCTGGCGGATGAGGTGCTGTTCTACGGTAACTCTTCAATAACCGATGCTCCCAAGAGATACCGTAATGTGCCGTTGGATAATAGCCATGGGCTCTCCCGAAACGACCGAGTCCACCGCGATTACGCCTCATTGATCACAGCTTGCCAGGAACGAGGAGCACAGTACTTTGCTTTGGTGGAGGATGATATAATCGCTGCGCACAACTGGCTTGGACGTTTATCTACCGCATTAGATAAACTCGAACGGACCGAAGACCCAAGGAACTGGTTGTACCTGCGACTGTTCTACTCCGAGACGTACATGGGTTGGAACTCGGAGGAATGGCCGACCTATCTTGTCAACTCAGTATCGGCATACTGTATCGTCTTAGTCCTCTATCTCTTGGTAGTGGCGATGGACGCACGACGAAGATCTCAGACCTTTCACCTGATGTCTACCATCTGGATCCTGCCGCATTTAACTTTCTGGACCGCATCTTTCATCCTCTTGTACTTCCTCGCTGGTCGTCTTGTAGTCAATCCATATCCAGCAGGAGTTCATGAGATGCCAAACTACGGGTGTTGTGCACAAGGACTGGTGATCCCTCGGCAACATCTTGACGCGCTCGGCGCTGCCTTGGGGACAGCGTCTGATGCTATTGCTGGCGACTCACTCATAGAGATCTTCGCTGACAGTCATCACCTGAAGAAGTATGCTATCACACCAAGTGTACTGCAGCATGTTGGGAGAAGAGGGTCGTCGGATGTTGGAGGGAGTCGGAAGGTCACATGGAACTTCAGCTTTGAGAAGACCGATATCAGACAACGTCGGTAGCATTGAATCAGGAAATCATAGTTCAATCCATCTTTGCATCCATTGTAATCACTAAAGCAAGTCTTCGCCAAGTGGTTCCCTCATAAGGCTCTCCCAAAGGTCCTGTCCATACGGAAAGACCATCTGATACCCCTCACCAGGGTTTGCTTCAACACCATCGTCATCTGCCAACGCTACACGACGTATAGTGTCACCAATCTCAGCCTCAATATCTACCGAGAATTCCGATGAGCGTTCCAGGTCCATCAATGCGCTGAGCAATCGAACTCCTCGACGAGCGATTGAGCTTGCATGTGCTTCTTTACTGAGGAAGTCTTTGCCAAACTTTACGTAACCACGTAGCCTCTCCGAATCATGTGTGAGGGCATTCTGGCCATTGAAGAGCAAGGCGAAGAGGAGAGTAATTGAGCAACTAATCATGTACGACAGCGTAGTCCACATTCTGCGGCAGATGCGCGTCTCGAGAGAGTCAGGCCATCGCTGAAACGCCTCGATACTTCGTTCCGTGATCATCACACAGGAAAGCTGCAGTGAGTTAATTTTATTTACAGCACCTGGTTGTCATGCCATTAATAGTTACCTGGGAGAAAGCGAATCGCCGATCACGAAAACATGACAACTGGAACTGACGATGGATTGTAAAGATCTGATTGTCTCGTTAACAGCAGGATAGAGATGGATATTTGATCATTGCATACCTTCTGGGCGATACTCATCAGAAGCATCGCTGGCATTAGGCCCGTAGGCAGGCCATCGGTTGCTGGACTGTGGCTTGGTGTAGTATTGACATCCCGTAGCGTATCGGACCATGAGAGGTACAGGTTCTTGATCTCTTCGTCGCCTCGGACGACTTCCTCGTATCTTCCATGAACATCCTCAGTCCCTGTGTTGCCCAATTTAGACATGCGATCATGGTGTTTCCACATAAAAACCGACACTGTGAGGATGTTGTTAGTCCGTACTCGTGTACCAGGGCGACTGAGCTTACTTTGGGCGAGACAATTCGTCCAGGTGGTGATGGTGATGATCTCAGCCGGCTGCGCATTGATCCTGCCGTCTTTTATCATGCGCTCTTGATCATCATGGCAATTAGTGGGAAAGGGAGTATTGAACTGTGCCAAGTGGATCTGGCAAGTATTTTGGAACGGAATCTGTAGCCAGTCATAACGGACGAGAAACCACCAGACTCGTTTTCGCACTTCACGGTCAACGATCTCATTGGCACCTCCGTTGCGGCCAGCAGCATGGCCATCGGGTCCCAACCGATGTAGGTTCAGACACTGAGCGATGCGAATAGCAGCGGATACCAGAACACAGATGAGGTCAGACTTGTCGAAGTTGTGAGCCACTTGGACCAATAGACAAATGGTTTGGACCGATGTCAGCTTATGCGTATCCATGAACTCGGCTTCATAAAGCAACTCTCTACTCTTGTCAAACAAAATACGAGACGCTTGACTGTCGACTTGCGTGATGGAACGTCAGTGGAACGGGAATGGGAAATTGCAGGCCAGCTCACCTGTTATTGGTTGATGCCGAGATGACAAGTATTCAATATCGAGATGGTAGAGCGTTTGCTTGTAAAACACAAGATCAGCTTGGCTAGTTGAAGAACACGCAGTTCATCTTACGGAGAGAAGAGCATAATATAGAGCTATCCAACTCCTGTCGCATGTGAGCATCAGGACATTCTCGTCAAACTCTCGAAGAAATGTTGGCATATGGACCGTGTTATGCATCCAAGTCAAATGCTTCTCATGAAGCACTAGTAACGAACGAGCATCCTTGACAGGTAGGAATGTATCCCACTTCTGAACAGGCTGGGTCAAAGAGGTAGAAATTGACTCTCGTCCAATAAATCGGTTAAGGATATTGCGCCGGCCATGAGTAAGGAACTCTAGCATAGCAGCAGCTTCGTTGGTCAACCGCGTGTCGGGCGTCGATAGGGAAGCCAATAGCTGCTCGAGCATCTGATCATCAATCTGCGGCAGGGATTCATCACTGCTTGCAACAGTAGTCGAAGCCGAGGGGACGACAGTAAGAGGGACTTCCTGAACTGGGGTTGGCAACGCTGGCGCAGGGCCGGCACCCTCTGCGTTGTGCACAGGCTCTGGATCAGTTACAGGGTCATCCGGTACTGTCGAGGCCCTGGAACGCCCTACCGAGCGCCTCGAAACAACTGTAACAGGCTCTCGCTGACATTGCGCAGCCTTGTTCTGGCGCACGCATGCTATGCAGGGAATAGCCTTGGAACATCTGATCTTGCGCCGAGAGCAATTAGTGCATGCGAGAACAGACCTCTGACTGCTACGGACTGATCTCGGATTTGGCATGTCGTAATTATTCCCGGCCGGCCGTGTTTTGCACAATTGTGCGGGTGAGACATATACAACACGGCCGAGATTTGTGAATGGATCTGGTCTACTACCTGGGGCGGCTAAGCCTCGGCTATCATTCCTTGTGGCAAGATCATATGTAATCTGTTAAAGATTTAATCATTCAGTACGAATTGCATAATTAATCGACCAGTATGATTTGAACTTAGCTTGTTATATTGGAGCCGCTGCAGGTGTATTCACAAACAACTACCCGTTATGCAAAAGTCGGCCGTGATCAGGCATCGAAGTTCATCAAGCTCATCCTGCAGACGAACCGAGACGTTGCCTGGATACATTGTTTCTTAAATACTGCTAGTCCCCAGTTCCAACTCATATTTTCTCTAGGCTTTCGTTAACCACCGTTTTTCTCTTTCTATATATCGCTTCGCCATTGACTGCTACCTAACTGATCATCGATAGACTTTGACTACCCTACATCATCTCCATCATCAGCGACGCCACAGCAATGGCCCAAGACGCTATGTCTCATCCAGCTCGCACCAAGATATGTGTGTACTGCGGAGCAGGCACTGGTGCCAGTCCCGCTCATATGGAAGCTGCTCGGACGCTTGCACGTGTAATGGCTGCCTATAATATTGACCTTGGTGAGTAACACCAAGAATGTCTGATCACCCAATTGGCTTTAATGATCAATTCTGACTGATGGTACCTACTGACACTGTACAGTCTATGGCGGTGGAACTGTCGGTCTCATGGGAGAGATTGCCAAGACTTTGGTCTCAATCAATGGTCCTCAATCTGTTCATGGCATTATTCCCGAAGCCCTCGTCAAGCACGAACGGGCCGGCTCGCGCCAAGCCCAGAATATTCCTGATGAAGCAATTTTTGGTCGAACAACTCTCGTCAAAGACATGCACACGCGAAAGAAGCTCATGGCAGAAGAAGTCTTTGCAGGTGGCCCGGGTAGCGGATTTATAGGTCTCAGTGGAGGATTTGGAACCATGGAAGAGATCTTTGAGACGACGACATGGATTCAATTGGGCATTCATAGTCGTGGCATTGTACTTCTCAATGTCAATGGCTACTGGAATGGCATTATTGACTGGCTGGATAAGGCTGTCGAACAAGGCTTTGTCAGGCCCGGGAATAAGGGACTTCTCGCGGTAGCTGAGACAGCTGAAGGGGCTATCAATGAATTGCGACAGTACAAGGTATCGAGCTCGATCTACCAGCTTCAGTGGGGAACTCAATAGGAAATGAAAGAACGACTCAATTTAGAGAGATAGAAAGATCATTAGATGAAGCCTGACTGAGAACGCCTTTCAAACTGTCGTAACCAATCAATCACTGGCACCAACGAAGCTGAAAGCTGAGTCACCCAGAATCATAAGCCTGCTTTTTGTTCAGATCTGTTTATTTCTGCGAAACCCGGCCCATCAACCAACAACAAGGACTGTCCCCAGCGATAAGGATGCCGATCAACGAGAACTTTCCCTACGAAATATTACGGGATCATCAATCATTTCGTCTTCTAGAAATTGAAGATGACCCGAGGAATAGCACTATCAATTGTACTTTGACGTCATATTCTCTTCTAGTAGCACCTTTATACCAAGCACTGAGCTACGTATGGGGTCCTCCGGCGACAACTAATGGCAAATCGATTCAATGCAACGGCCACGATTTCTTCGTCACCGACAATCTCTACGGAGCTTTGCGTCGCTTGAAAACAATACGAGATTGTCGGTTTATCTGGATCGATCAAGTCTGCATCAACCAAAATGATCTCCAGGAACGATCTCAGCAAGTCAGTGTCATGAGAGATAGCTACAGCCAAGCTGGGCTCGTCAACGCTTGGTTGGGCGTGACCGACTCACCTGAATCTGCCCGTGTCGCCGACATGATCTCGACCATGGCATCGGATTCCTGGCCTCATACTATGGAAAGCGGCGAAACTTTTGACGATAAAAAACTACAGAGTCTCGGCCTACCACCACAAAACTCTCCGACCTACGTAGCTTTCAACAACATGCTCAGTATTCCATACTTCTCCCGAGTCTGGATCATACAAGAAATCGCCGTGGCTAAATCCTACAGGATCCTCTGGGGCGATATTACCATTCCTGGTGACACCTTTTACCGCTCCAGTGGGGGTTGGCTCCTCGCGCAAAGTGTGTTGAAGCTTCCTGATACAATACACGCTTTCAAGAATGCCGCCATGCTTCTCGTGGGGAATCACCAAAGTAAGGACTGGTACTACCTAGTAGTCAGGTTCATAGGTCATGAGGCGACAGATCCTCGCGATAAAATCTATGCTTTCATTGAACTTGCGGACCAGGCGGAGTATGACATCGTGGCTGATTACAAGCCTGTTCTCGAGGTCTACCGGGACTTCGCCCTCAAGATAATTTCCGCAGCGAAGAAGCTCAATATTCTTCGCTTCTCCACAGTCCAAGATCTCGACGCGGAGAAAAGACCTTTGTAGGTTCCGCAATTTCACAAGTTAGGCAAATGGCCAACCCATTTCTTCGAACCCCAACACGCCTCAAGAGACACTGAAGTCATCATGGATGTTTCAAGCGATCAAGATACACTATCCTTACGGGGTTTAAGGGTCAACTCTGTATCTATTACAGTCGTGCCATCTAATCCCAGTAAAGAAATATGGGAGAAAGCCAACCAAGAATTGTAACAAGTTGATCCCCGTCTAACTGAAGAATTCATCCAATATTCACCTGGCTGGGGACCTACGACTTGGATTCTGAAGGCGTTTGAGAAGGTGGACGAACAACAGCGAGTTATCTCTTACCGAAATGGCGTGGACTTGATAACGTTACTCCTCGGCACCTTGACGGCTCGTTCGGATCCAACATCATTGCTAGTCGATTTCAGGGAGTATTTATCCTTAGCTTTCACCCGTTTCATATGTATTACCGACAAGAACGACGATATGAAACTTCTTGTCAAAATTCTTCGTCTTGTAGTACAAGCAAGCCCCGCACCGCCAGAACGGAAGTCACTCTTCGACCTAGAACAAGATATCCAGATGCTAAGAGGTGTACTGGGAGAAGTCTACAATAACAATGATGAGGTTGACTCCGCTATTGAGCTGATTAAACTTTTACGTATTCCACCAACTAGTTACGAGTGATTCGAATAGCTTCAAAGATGCACTGCAAGAGGATCGACTGTTTTTCATCACGGAGTATGGAGATCTTGGTATTGGGCCCATGTCAATGATGCCTGAGGATCATGTCTGTGTTCTTTACGGTGGATGCATCCCTTTTGTTATGCGTCCGATGGGTGGCCCTGGTAATGAAGATTGTTTGTTCTTGGGTGAAGCTTTTGTTAATGGGCTGATGGATGGAGAGGCTTTAGAGGGTGAAGGGGCAATTGAGAAATGGTTCCATTTAAGGTAATAGATGGAAGTCTCACTCTGTGTACAAGGTCTCTTGAACTCATATTAGCCTATTGAGATTCCTATACCGCCCTCTTATGTTTTCGAGGTATTGGTTTCATATTGATTATAGCTCAGAGCTGAAGACTTCTTAAGTGTGATAATTTTAGAGTGGCCAGCTGAAACGATATTAATAGAATATGTGAGGCCCCCAAACAAGACCCACATGACAGTAAGCTGCATTGAATGCCATCGCCTAACTGGTTGTAAGACACAGCTGTAAAAGCCATGTTTCTAGGACTCATTTACAGCCTGATTTAGTTCTGTAGTACATAAACAGCAATGCCTCAACCTTTATCGCGGCCTTCTGCTTTAACTGCCAGCGAGCATGGAGCACAAGTCATTCTTTAGTTACCCCATTACCCAGCCCTTTCCCTTCAGATGGTTCACCCCAGTTGCTGTCATAGGCGGTATCGTGTTCATCGCTCTCTTCACATTGATGAACTTTGCCTCGAGTAGCTATGAACTGATCGTCCAGAACTCACTGGATCCAAACACGACTGCTTCCAGGCGCGGCTTGCTGCACCGCTACCCATCTTCCCTGACCACCAAGGTCCAGCCCAAATGCCAGCCAGCAACTTTACCAGTGAATAGCAATTTCTTCACCAACAACACGGCTCTTACCTACACGTTGACAAGCGTGCGGGAAAGAGGAAAAGAGGGCCAGCGAGTCATTTCGCCCGCTCTTACATATCACAGAAATATCCTGCAAAACTGCTCCGTTCACTCTGTGGAAATCGACTTTGATTCGATAGACAGGGCCGGAAAACAGATAGGCTTTTGCGAATGGGGCGCGGTGCTGCGATCGTATATCTCGTGCAAGATTGACACCCCGGCCGGAGAAGTCTTCTTCAACATGACACAGACTTACGATTACGTTCCTGATACCACTTCCTTCGATAGTCTCGGCAAGTTCCTGGGGACTGGGTTCCTTAGTCGTAACAAGACCACACAAGCTAGCCTTTGGTGGGGCGAGTCCCTGATGTCAACATTCTGGGGAGAAATCACGTTGATGCTCCAGGATCAGCGGGGGGCATACAAGGACGACGATGACAAGATAGAACTCAACAAGGGAACGGTTTCTTTCATGATAAATGATACGTACCCTAATATTGAAGACTTGCGCTTCTTCAGCCTCGACTACCGTTTCTACGGCAGCAAAATCTACGAGGTGGCCTGCTGTCCCAAACTACCGCTTCCCTTATCGGCAAAGGTCTTAGATGAGAGCAACACTTACCCGAATATATGGATAAAGGCAGACTCGCTGGCAAAAGCGGCTTATTCGACTATTCTCGTTGACCTCGGCCAGGAAGCTGCCCCAAAATCCAACATGCTCACCGACACCAAGTTGCTGACGCGATACACGGACAACTTCTCCACAGCCCGCATGGCGAATCTGAAACCGAGTCCCGCCAACGACAGTTATAGCGCATTGAAGAAAACGACGGGTCTCTTGGGTATTACACCGTCTGTCATCGCCAGGACGTACATCTGTCAGGTCCCGCGGCTCAAGCCAGCGGGCAATCTCATCGTTGCTATCATCGTAGCTGATCTTGTGCTACTTCAAGCTGTATGGCAACTTTACAAGAATTCAGCTGAATTTTATCTCAGTAAGAAGCATCGGGAGTCGGCTCCGTGCGAGAGATGCTCTGGAGTTGGACAGGTAGATGATTCCGTACCGCCATCTATGCCAAGCCAGGACAGTGGGCTGGAGTATTTTCCACTGGTAAACACGCCAAGGCAAAACGATGGTCAATTTACAGGGGGTGAAGTTTAATCATGAAGGCTTAGACGTCTGCAGATTGATGTTTATGGGTCAGATTTACAGTATTGCATGATGAACATAGATACCAGTTGGTACCGAACAGAGACGCCGATAGAGGTTTAACATGACTTATCCTAACACTCATTACAGAGCCCTCGGGCATTTGTTTAAAGTACTTGATTAAGGTTGAACGGCAAGCATTGGAATGACGTGTTCTTGGAAGCTTCCGTCTTCGCCAAGAGTTTAAAGGCTGGCGCTAATGCAGGTTGCTGACATCCCACAAACGGCTCTTGGCTGCAACATAGTTCTTCTTTCCGCCCGATTGACTCACGAAAGCCATGAGAAAAGCGATTTACATCGGGCAAACACTCGGCAAAACTTGTTAATTGGGACATCTTGGCAAAGCTCAGCCTCGAGGTCTACGACGGTGAAGTACGCGGCCTGGTGTCGTTCATTTACTGTTATGACGCATTTGAAGATGGTAGGTAAAATCGGAATCACGAGATACAATAGGCATGGAACATATAACTAGCAGCTTTCCGTCTGAAATAGAGACACTAATCGTCACTATTCCAATCCATCAACTTTGCTCCCATCATCACCATGAAACCATTCCTCAACTATGCCGCCCAGGGCATCATGGCCTTGGCAGCTGTACTGCCAGCTTCCGCGCAAAACCTCTCGTACGGCGCCGACAACTTCTACCGTAGCGAGTCTGTCGCAATCCAGCCCATCCATTTCAATACCGTTTACAATACAACCATTGTCGGCAATCTCTTCACTGCCATAAACACAAGCCGCAGCACAAACTCTCCCGCTATTGTTGTTGGCCATCCCATGGGCGCAGTCAAGGAACAATCCGCCAACCTGTATGCTACCAAGCTGGCAGAGCAGGGTTTCATCACCCTGACCCTTGACCTCCCCTTCTGGGGTAGAAGCGATGGCCCTCATAATCTTGTGTCGCCTGATTTCTACACCGAGGCTTACAGCGCTGCGGTCGATCATCTGGGTACTTATAACTTTGTGGATCGGGATCGTATCGGTGCGCTTGGAATTTGCGGCAGCGGCGGCTTTATCATCAATGCGGCCAAGATTGACGCTCGCATTCAAGCCGTCGCTACTGTTTCCATGTACGACATGGGTACCGTCAATCGTCAGGGTCTTCGAGGAGCTGTACCAGTCGAGCAACGCAGAGCAGTCATCGCCAACGCGTCACAGCAGCGATGGGCTGAAGTCGACGGAGCACCAACCAGATACGCCGTCGGCACTCCGAACCAACTCACTAGCGATTCAGATGCTGTCGCCCGCGAATTTTACGACTTTTACCGCACCGTTCGCGGCGAGTTTACTCCCGAGGGATGGCAGCGCAATCAGACTACCCACCCTAATCTCGTCACCAATGTCAAGTTCCTCAACTTCTATCCCTTCAACGACATTGAAATCATTTCCCCTCGCCCTCTTCTCATTATTTCTGGCGACCAGTCTCATTCACGAGAGTTTAGCGAGAATGCGTATCGTGCGGCTGGTCAGCCTAAGGAGCTTTACTGGGTTCGTGGAGCTGGTCATGTTGATCTTTACGATCGAACTGACATTATTCCTTTCTCTAAGCTCAACGAGTTCTTCCACGAGAATCTTGTTTAAGGGCTATAATGCTTTGAGGATTTATCCCTTTTATTGGCAATGCAAACCCTCTATTTGTGGTTTGCAATCATTTCCATAGTTTAAATGTTCTCTTCAGCAAAAGATTTTTATAATCTTCTTTCAGTTCCTGTAAATGTGAGGATCAATGCCCCAGCTTTCCGTCAGCAACTTGCATTAGCGCTGAATATCACTTTGATTATAGCGCGTCAGCAAGCTGCATTAGCGCAAATGACCTGCAGTTTTTATGACGCGCCAGAGTCAATCAGTCAATACAGCAACTTTAATAAACATCCTTTTTAGAAACATAACCTTTAAAGAATCGTTTTCAATCTTATCTCAATCTCTTCATATATTTCACTTTAAAACAGTCCACTTTCTGTATTGTCATGGGCTTTCCAACCGCACCCAAGCCCAAGACCCTTCTTGGCTTCCACCGCATCCTATCCCCAACTGCCGGAGTCAAAGTGTCACCAATTTGTCTCGGCGGCATAAGCATCGGCCACGAGTGGAAGTTCTACACCGGCAAAAATGAAGAACCATTCAAGCTTCTCGACGCCATTTACGATATCGGAGGAAATTTCATTGATACCGCCAGCAATTACAACAACCAAATGTCAGAAGCACTTATCGGTCAGTGGATGGAAGAACGTGGCGTGAGGGATCAGATGGTCATTGCGACGAAATACACCGCAGGTTATCGTGCATTTGGCGACAACCCAGAGCCTTTGCAGTCCAACTTTACGGGTAACTCTGCAAAAAGCATGCACATTTCGGTGCGTGATAGTTTGAACAAGTTGAGGACAGATTATATCGACATTTTATATGTTCACTGGTGGGATTACGCGACGCCAGTTGAAGAGGTGATGAGAGGTCTTCATGTTCTTGTCATGCAAGGAAAGGTCCTCTATCTTGGAATCAGCAACACTCCCGCCTGGATTGTTGTCAAGGCCAATGCCTGTAGGTTCTCATCCCTCCAGATTGATGATGGTACTAATCTAGACAGACGCAAAACAGCATGGCTTGACTCCCTTCTGTGTTTACCAAGGCAATTGGAACGCGGCCTTCCGCGACATGGAGGGTGATGTGATCCCCATGTGCGAGGACCAAGACATGGCGATTGTGTCTTGGGGTTCCTTGGGCACGGGATCGCTTCTTACAGCTCAACAAAGAAAGGAGAGGGAAGCGGACCCAGATGTACCAAAGCCTGAAGTATCAGAGGTTGCTCTGAAGACTAGTGAGGCGTTGGAGAGAATAGCTGATCGAAGGGGAACGACATTACAAGCGATCGTGAGTTCATGCGCTTGTTCTTATGCCGAGCAGAGAGCTGACCCAAACAGGCACTGGCATACCTATTCCACCAATCCACCTACGTGTTCCCTATCGTCGGAGTCAATACTGCTGAACACATCAAGGCGATGCCCGATGCCCTAAAGATCAAGCTTTCCAAGCAAGAGATCGACGAGATTCACGAAGCATCTCCGTACAATCCTGGATATCCCATGAACTTTACCCAGTATATGCAGCCAGTCAAATATGATCTTTCTTGGACACCCGCAGATAACCAGCAATACCAAATGTCAGCTTGGATAGATGCTCCTCCTAAGCGCCTGGTAAGTCTTCACAATTGCAGAACGGGTCAGAGAGCTAACTCCATTTAGCCGTACCAACCGAAAACTTGGTAGACAGTGTTGCGCGGGTGGGGCCGAAATAGTCATTACTGGAAACCGAATGGGATTTTCTGTAATAAAATCATAGAAAATGCTATATGAAGAAACTCTAGAGATCAAATTACTATACCCACTAATGAGAGCGTCGGACATCCGATGAAGCTATCCCGCTCGGCAGTGACAAACCAGTCAATTTCGATCCAGGGTCTTGTTCTCTGGCGGCCGACTCTAGCAGGCGCCAACGCCCAAACGGCAAAGCTTAATTTATTTCCAACGGTCTCTGTGCATAACATTTCGGTGATGGGTGCCGTAGCCTGTCATTGGAGCCTTCAATTCTTGTCTAGACTATTGTGTTTCTGTATATCCGACTTTTCCCATTCCGGCGGCTCAGACCCGGCTTTTCCAGCAGGCTTCTTGTTCTAGTAGACTGCCAAGCGAAAGAGAGCTATCGAACTTCATTATTACTACAGGAATGAGGTGTGATTAGGAAGCGTCTGTTCTAGAGTACAGCTTCAGACCATATGGTTGGGAGCTCGATTGCACCGGGGGGTAAAGACGGCTTGAATTGACGGCTTGTTAGCAATGAATTCTGGATGTTAACATCTTAATTACAGCAGTACGCCACTTCAGCTAAACTTGCTTGGCCCGGCATTTGTGTTGGTTGTAAAATTGAATTGCGCTATGAGTCGGTAGATTTGTCTCGGTATTCCAGTCGAATGCCGCTGTGGGGAATGTGGAGCTGGTGATTAGAAATGGACCCACTATCTCGCCATGCTCTCCCACTTTGGTGCTCAGTGGCATTAATGAGAAGTCCAAGCTCAAGGGTCACCATGAATTTAGAAGGCATCGTGAATTAGTATATATAGAGGCATCATTTCACGAACAATGAAATAATATCCAGACACTAATCTACCAAGCAATCATAGCAAGGATCTACAACTTACAAACATTCTTCCCAACAACTCTCAATCATGCGTCTTTCAACCACGTTCCTGGCACTCCAGTCCATCGGACTCATCAGCGCCAGAGCAATAACTCATCCCAACCTCCGTGTTGAAACCTTCATCAACCATGGTTCTTCTTTCGACATGGTCTCCTCGTTGATCATCGGCTCTCAAGCCGCTGTCTTGATTGACTTGCCCATGGCGATTGAAGGAGCAGAAGCTCTGGCTGATTGGGTTCGCAACACAACCGACAAGCCACTTGTCGCTGCATTCACTACTCACTTCCACCCTGATCACTATCTCAGCGGCGGCGCATTGTTGTCGCGATTTCCCGAGGCGAAGTACTATGCAAATTCTAAGGCGGCGGCCGAGATTAAGAAGGAGGCAGCTCACAAGGTATGTAAGAGAATACCGTGGTAGTGATAATTACTGACATTGAATAGGTCAAGCTGATGAAGGGAGTTCTCGGTGAAAACTCTATCGTCAACAAGGTTCACCTACCAACCCCGTACGACTTCTCATTCTTCACCCTCCCCGGGGACGAAGCGACGCCAATTCACTTCTTGAACCCACTCACCGGCGACACCGTCGACGAAACACTCTTCTGGATCCCTTCAATCAAGACCTTGATCGCTGGAGATAGCGTTTACGGACACGACATGCATCTCTGGCTCGCCGACTCTCTGACCAAAGCCCTCACCGAATCCTGGCTGTCAACCCTCGATCTGATTGATTACCTCAAGCCCAATGTCGTTATTCCAGGCCACAGTTTGTCGAACAAGAAGTTTGGTTGCTCAATCGATGTTGATCATACACGCACTTATCTTCGCTACTGGCAGAAGGAGATTGAAGCCAAGGGACTTGATCACTTCACACCTCAGGTCATCTTCAACAAGTTCAACAAACAGTTTCCCGGTCTGCTCAACTTGAACTCCACAACTTCAGCGTTTCTGCTGAACAGCACGGCGGAGCAGTTTGGACGTGGGGGAACTCGCCAGGTTCACTATATCAATCTTGCTGCTTACACCGATGTTGAGGCTCTTGATGGGTGGACTATTTAAATGCTGAGTTTGTGGTTGAGGCAAGGGGCGGGTGACACTGGGGAGCTGGTGCTTTGGCGGTTTATGTATGTGTATCGGGTAGCTACCTAGTGGATGTATCATAGTGTATTCGGTGATCGGGATGGAGTTAATTTTAAATGGAGTGGTTTTTAGAGTACAGAGTTGTAATAGATAGAGCTGAATTACAAGTTATCATTCGTCAGCTGTCGCAAGTTAGACTCACAGCGCATCCAATTAGGATAGAGATCAATTTGTCAGCATTGCTTCCGCGGAAGACAAGATAAGCCAATGTCAGCGTCACTTCTCTCAAGCAATGATCTTTTTGTCTGCCATCAGCATCCATAACGTTGAAAATGCCGCCAGCACAGATTGCCAGAAAGGTTTGCCGCCATGTCTTCCTGGCCGGGATAGATTAAATGCTGACAGCGTGTAACAGGCATGCGACGTCTGCTACCGCAAGCGAATTCGATGCGACGGTCAAAAGCCCCGATGTTCTCACTGCGTACTGTACAAGTCTGACTGCACGTTCCAAGCTACTAGTCGGAAGGCTGCAACAAGAAAACGGCCCAGTGGTACAGCGGCGGCTTTGCAGTCTCAGGTGCAATCGCTCGAGACGAGTCTTGATGAAGCGCAGCAGAGAATAAAGGAGCTCGAGGATAGATTATCACAGAAGAGCAGTCGGCAGGTTGATCAGGTTCAGGTGAATGAATATGACGTCAGCTGTTCTGGAAAAGGCTCTCATGAGTTGGGTCTTGAGCTACCACCTCAACACGAAGTCTTGTCCGGAGTCAACAAGTTCCTTACAACCTTCAACACTATCCTACCCCTCTTCCATCCACAGAGACTTCTAAGTCGCGTCAGCGCATGGTACGAACAACCTCACGGACGAGACGCCTCGACTTGGGGGGCTATCAACGTGGTTCTTGCCCTAGCCTATCGCCATATCCCAGACGAAGAAAAACCGCCCAAGTACAGCACCCTCCACTTCATGAACAAGGCTCAATCAGTTCTCAATGATATCATGTTGGGCGATTCTAATCTTCTGGACGTCCAAACAATTGTCGGAATGGTCGTGCTGCTGCAGGCGACGTCGGACTTGAAACCAGCTTCGGCTCTGATTCCCATTGCTTTGCGTCTTGCACATGGGCTGGGACTACATACCCGATCGACCTCTGAGCATATCAGTATGAGTGAGAGTCTAGAACGGGACCGTGTATTTTGGATTGCGTACATCCTGGATCGTGACATATCGATGCGGACAAAGTTGCCGCCAATCCAGAGTCAAAACGACATCAGCATTGACTGGCCATCAGCTACACCTGCCGACGGAGCCGGACTACTCTACACAGTTGATGAGTCGACAAGCTTCAACTTCTTCCTATCTCGTGTACAACTTGCACATATCCAAGGTAAAGTCTATGAAGCAATGCTATCCATGTCACCCGCTGCATCAGACGTCTACGTTCGTCTTGAGAACGTCGCTCGAATCCACCAGGTGCTCGATGATTGGCTTGCCCGTATACCAGTTGAGTTCTCGCCCAGCGCCATTACTCAAAGTGGAAACGCGAACTTGCAGAGGGCGTTTGGTGTTCTGTACTCAAGCCATCTTACTTGTCGAAGCGTTGTCTGCAAAGCTCATGCCATGGAGGCTCAATGGATACCAACTCTGCAGGACTTTGGTCGAAGAGCAGTAGAACAGGGAATAGTCACTACCCCACGATTGCCAGTGGGCTGGCATAAGCTTGTCCATGAGTCTCGCGAGTATATCAAACTGTTCACAGCGATTGACCTCAAGGATCCTGCGTTTGTCTGGTAAGTTTCACAGTTTGCCAATCTTCCTTCATTTTTTTTTAACTGAGAATTCCGCAGGATGACGGCGTGCACTTACATCTCAGGCGCAGTTTGCCTAACAGCCAACAGCCTTTTCAACCCCTGGCATACGAGAATTGACACAGATGATATGTTGATCACCCCTGCTTTCACATTCTTGGAGGATATGATACGGCAAGTGCCGCTTCCGCAGCTAAAGCGCTTGCGTATCTCGTGGGATGAGCTTTTGAGAAATTCACGTGAGATGTCTCTTCAGAATGCTGTACAGAATGTGAATTGGCTCGAAACCACCTGTAGCTGATGCTCCAAGCTAAATCCTAATAACAAATTGGAAGAAATGTCCCGTTAAGACAACAATGAGATTCAGGCGACAATTGCTATTGTGTGTTCAAAATGTGATACCTTTCAGATACATGTTGCCGCAATAACAATCCCCAGCCTCCGCGGAACAGCCAGCTGAATCATTTCATAGACATAACGTTTTGATGTTCCGCGGAAGGAGAAAAGACAATATGCTTATGAATGAAAATAAAAAAGGTTTCTAATGCTTTATTAGTATCCACTCAATACATGGTTGCAGTACCTATATAATTCTCGCACCCACGAGCGAATATGAAGTGACCTTCCCAGGACCAATCTGTCCATTATCTTCTATTTTCTTTTACCCAAAATGGCACCCTTACCCTTACCCGGTTTTTCTTCCTTCACCAAGTCATGGCACGCCGAACCATACCCTTTCATCTCTCCAACAAGACCAGAGCTCTCCGCTGCTGGCAAGAACGTTGTCATCACCGGTGGTGGAACTGGAATTGGACAGGCTACTGGCATCGCTTTTGCGAAAGCTGGGGCAAAGTCCGTCTCCATCATTGGCCGGAGACTGGAATGCCTTGAGGCCTCAGCAAAGGCGATTCAGGCTGTCAATCCCTCGACTCAGGTACTGTCCGAACCGGGAGACGTAACTAAACTTGAGTCTATAAGCACCGCACTAAAGAGCATCGTTGACAAAGCCGGCAAAATTGACGTTTTCATTGCCAACGCAGGAATGTTACCGAAAGCTGGACCAGTGTACGGCTATGACGAGGCTCAGCTCCGTCAAGGTCTTGAGATCAACGTCATTGGCGCTTTCAACTCTCTTCAAGCCTTCCTCCCGCTGGCAGGTCTAGAGGCCAAAGTCATCTACACTGGGTCGGGAATAGGTCACTGGGCCCCAATGGCTGAAGTGCCTGGAGTGTTCAGCTACGCAGCGGCGAAAGCAGCAGCTCTCAAAATGGTAGACTACTTCGCGTTCGAGAACCCGCACATCCATGTTGTGAGCATTCAGCCTGGGATCATTGCGACGGGAATAAATCCAGACCTCTCTGTTGGTTTCGATACAGGTATGATTGGTCTTTCTCTTGGAGCCCTTACCGGCGGAACTAACTGAGTACAGTGGAACTTCCTGCTCACTTTATGGTATGGCTTACTTCAGAAGAAGCCAAGTTCTTGAAGGGCAAATTTGTCTGGGCGAATTGGGATGCACAAGAGCTTCTAGGTAGAGCAGAAGAGATCAAATCAACTATGCTCTTGAGGGTGACCTTAAACGGAGTTGAAATGTAGGACTACATCAGCTGAGGATGTATCGAACATTCAAAGGATGCAAATCGGAAGCACAAATAGAGAAAGTATTCGACACAAATTCTAGTTCGATCATATATTAGGGATACTAGTGACTATGGACAGAGGATCTATGTCAGTTAGCCGTTGAGCGTCACTTCATCACGTAAAAGCTTCGTATATGAGCATTTGTGTGTTGTCTTTGGTGTCAATCGCAGGTTGAAGCGAAAATGAGCAGCACGAGTGCTATTGTATGCTTTGTCGCATGCGAAGCTTATGGTGAAGTCGAATCCACAGCCTCATATTATCTCTAGTCCCAGAACGTCATTAAATCGTTCTTAAACGTAAGCTCGATGCCCTCCCGTTTCATCGTTCACGCCGGCTTCATCAAACCTGTTCTGGTCCACCTTGTCTTGCTACATCTTCGACTTCAGCTTGCACTCTTTTCAACCAATTACAAATACTCAGAATAACAAGTATGTTACTGGGATAAGGAGCCCTTACCTTTAATCCATCTCATTGTCTTGGGCAATCACTGCAAGGGCCGATCGGGAAGCTTGCGCCGACTTGTACATTCGGCCATGGCCTGGCACAACCACGATAGCATGGATGTGCTTCATAAGACGTCGTTTGGTGGCCGCATGAGTAGGTCCGAGTGGAAACCCAGTAAGAACACATGGTGGAAGCTGGATAACTTGTGATGATTTGAGACTTTGTGCAGGTGATTCTTAGTTGAGAGCAACCTCAGACTATGCAGCGTCCTCTCGTGCCACCTTTATAGACTTTTGGCAACCTGTAAGCCTTTTCATAGAGCCTCACAAACGCATGGGGGCTGAGTTGTTATTCCGCTTATCCATCTTGCCATGCAAGTAATAAGTCAAGCAGCCTATAAAGTATTGACACGCTACAGAACATACATCATGGAAGAGATTTCTACTAATTTTGAAAGGTTAGAAGTTGAAAAAGCGAGGGATTGATATGATCTGATCCGTCATGTTGATGGATGCCTGGTTCATGAACCAATGATACAATCAGGATGCGCAGCCTGATTTAAGCGATGTGTCTTACTACCTCTGGGATGCAGCTTACGTTCCTTGGCGTTTACATGTTGGTGCTGACGGAAATTATCAGTCTTCAATAACGTAACTTTCGTGTAATTGTAACAGGAGATTCCGCCCTATGTTACTGACTCATAAACGCTCGTGAAATTGAGGCTACAGGCTCTAATTTCACTGCAGGAACCTTTCTTTTTGCCTCCGCTCTAAGCGCCGTTGCTATCCTGCTTTGCCTTGGCATCCGCCATCTCCTTCATATGCTTTCGCTTCCTTGCCTCCCAAAGAGGATACACGCAAAGACACGACGCGAAAAGAATAGTCAAACCGTTCCATAGTTGCGCACCTAGGAACGCACGGTTGTGCTGACCACCATGAGCCTCATCAGCTGCGAGAGCAATCGGTGGTCCAATCAATGCACCGAAACCTGCAGCACCGTAGACAATACCCATTCGAGTTCCTATGACCGCTAGAGAGGGGCAGAGATACGGGATGATGAATGCTGGCAGGGTTGTGACTGCTCCAGAGAAGAAGCCGTAGAGGATGAGAAAGACAGTGAAACCGCCGAGGTTGTGCACTGCGATCCAGCATAGGGCAAGCATTCCAGAAACAACCGAGTTGAACATGAGGATGGACTCTGCTCCCAGGATCTTCTTATCCACCATCGCTGCAGGGATGATTCTTCCAAGAGCTTGAGATGCATTGAGAACAGCGAGCATATAGTACGCGAGGTCCTCGGAGACGGGGTGGTCAAGACCCAGTAGGCCAAACGAAGGCGTTAGGATGTATGGTACAAGGAAGCCCAGCCACATAATAATGAAGCCAATGTGAAGATACTGAATGCTTTATCCTTGATGATCGACTTGTCAAAGAGCTGTCTCGTTGGTTTCTTGACAGTTTGAACACTTGGCTTGATAAGGATGGCAGCGAGCGTCAAGGTGATGAGGGCAATGAAACCAATGGCTCGACACGCCCAGCCGAAACCTCCAGAGTCTAACAAGCGACGGACGACAATGGGATAAATGACACCTCCAAAAGATCCTCCTGCCGTCGCGCAGCCAAGCGCAAGACCCCGACGCGTCGTAAAGTATAGAGGGATCATAGCAACGCTAGGGATGTACAACAGCCCAGTGCATATCCCTCCAAGGACACCCCATGTCAACATGACTTGATAATATTGCGTCGACAAACTCAGCATCATGAGTGCAATGGTAAGCATTAGGCTCGAGGCGATGAGGATAGGATAAAAGTGTCCTTGGTCGAAGAGCGGACCCGAAATGACGCCGATGATGAGGATAAGGGAAACTTGGAGTGTACCGATCCACGATATCGCAGATGAGGAGTGTTGTCGAAGAAGCGTAGTTTCGTAGTATGTTTGAAAGACGCCGAAGCTGTTTGCTAAACCGAAGTTGTTGAGATTAATGAGAAAAGAGCCGAGGACTTGAAGCCATGCTGTGAGACCGCCATCAGGAGGAGGTTGACTCGTTGTAGATGGCTTCCAGTATCGAAAGAGTCCCTTTTCAGGCTCCTTTTCTTTTGTAGTGGTTGAGTTATCAGATGACATGTTTGCCGATGATGCTAAGAATCTCTTGAGGCCATTTCGTTTCTTGGGTTCACCATTCAGTCTTTATACTCCTTTCCTCTAGAGGTCAAAGACACTGTCTGACGCTGCCTTGTTGCACATCAAGCCAGGGTGAGGTCTTGATAATCCATTTTGAGATAGGTACTAGCGGTAGACAAGACGGTTTGCTGTTTTTGGCTTTGCCTTATAAGACAGTGTCGATCATCGTCATGCCTTGATCTTTTGAATTGCCTAATTGAGAAAGCTTGTCTTGTTATTTTCAGTGATTGGTTGTTGCGAGTTTGGGGATCCATGTTCAGGGCACTGACATCATTGCCGTGTGGGGCAGCTGAAGTCTTGGTTGGGTTTGTCAGCTGTTGTAAACTGGAGGACAAAGAAAAATGCTTCACGTTCCTGTAATAAGCGAATGGAGTCGAGAAATACTGCATGCTATGACTTTGGAAGTATTTCAGATACACTTTAGTAGGCGCGTTCATTGTCGAAATGCCGCAGTTCTAAGCATAAACTTGACCAGGCTAGTGTGGATTTTAAGCTGCATCTGTTCATGTTCCGTAGAGCTTGACCTACCAACAATGTTCTTGGTTTAAAGAACTGGATAAAGAAATAAAATACTTGTTGTTTATATAACAAAAAATAGCTCGATATTCTTCAGCAAGCCAAGAGCCCGTACCACAATAGCTCGAGTTATTGGTCGCTGCGAATGTGTTTCATGCTTACCCTGCACTCATTGACTCCGCCTGTCTTGGCCTTGACAGGATCTGCCGAGTTTTTGCTTATTACTTGACTCAATAGTCTAATCCATAACTCGAAACTACAAATTTATGCAAGAGGCTTAAGTAAACCTTCAAGTGGACAAAGAATACCATTGGTAAGTAACACCTTCTTAACCGTCACAACGGCCAGATATTTGACTCTGGGGAAGCTTAAATAGAAGCATAGCTCGACCATTACTCATCCATGAACCTCGCTTACATGTCTCGGGTGAATTCCCTCCCACATCACGGCATCTACATCTACAGGGTGAACTCGGAGTCTTGTCGCACGAGCTGATGTAACGTTGAGAACGAGTCAGTAATCAATCACAATCCATTGGTTAGAATTATCGGCCCATCCCTTCAATTTTGCTCTTCCAGCAGGGAACCTTTGATTTGCGGGCGGTTTATACTCCACTATCCACTTTCCATGTGCCGGATATCCGTGGTGATCTCTTGCTGACCCCACGAAAGAGCACGAAAGAGCGCGAAAACTTACAGCGAGTTGGGGTAGAGACATTTAACGGGAACCGTAATGCCTTCAATGTGGAGGGTATTGATTACGAGATTCTGTAATATTTAAAGCATACTATCAACTCCCTCCAGCCTCCTTCTCTATAAACAGATACAATGGCAAGTCCCGACTTTCTTCTCGAAGCCATCATGGAAACCTCCGCGTTCTCAGAGTGGGATGCGGGGAAGCACTAGCAGTCACCACCACTCTCCAATTGGACACCCTCGCCTTTCGGGTAACTAAAATAGGTATCTCCGCGGTGACACCGTTGGAATGAGGAGAAATCAAGTGGCGAATTCCCCGCAATCGGCACGTAATATCCGTCTGGAGGGTGCGGAGACTGCCACTAGACCGTGGAGAAACCTCCGTATTTCCCCGCTGGTTGTTGAGACGGACTTGAAGATCCCCAATCATTTTTTATCCATAAATACAATGCTTCTTTCTCACTCCTATGTCTTGAAGTGCTGTACCTTTGTGTCGAGTTGGATATCGTTGAGAATATTGCCAAGATGAAGTTCACGCTTGGAAATAGAGCCGCTATGGCGGATACGCCTAGTGAGGTTATGAACTGGCGTTTATACTGGAGTACCTTTGTATTCGGTACATAATCTCTCTGCCTCAAACGTTCCTCCTATTCTAACTCTTCCAAGGTGTTCTAGGTGCCAGTCGTGGTCTTGACGAAGGTCTCGTCGGAGGCATGGTCACACTAAAGAGCTTCCAAGAAGAATTCGGTCTCGATCACGGATCCAAAGAACATCAAGCCCAAGTCGAGTCCAACATCACCAGCATGGTTCAAATCGGTTCCATCGCCGGTTCCCTTCTTGCGTTCTTCCTCTGTGATAAGATCGGTCGTGTACGGTCACTTCAGTTCCTTTGTTTCTTGTGGCTTGTTGGCTTCATCATCGTTGTTACTAGCCATGGAAGCGTGGGACAGATTCTGGCTGGACGATTTATCGCTGGGCTGGGTATTGGTATGACTGTCGTTGTTGGTCCGACTTACCTTGCTGAGACTGCGCCGAGAGCTGTGCGTGGTATGCTCACCAATATCTTTGCCGGTTCTGTTTATCTGGGTGTCATGGTTGCGTACTTTAGTAACTGGGGCGCTTCGATCAATATGCCCGACTCATCTCGATACCAATGGGTTGCACCTCAAACGTGTCACATTGGTTTCTCTGGGTATGTCCTCCCGCCCTCACTGCTAAACATCCGACTAATCCATTTGGCAGACTACTTCTGATCCTGTCGTTCACCGTCCCCGAGACCCCTCGCTGGCTCACCATGAAGGGCCGCAACGAAGAGAGCACCAAGGCTCTCTGCAAGCTTCGACAACTTCCCGAAGACCATCCATTCGTTCAAGCAGAACTGTACGGCATCCGAGATCAGCTTGAGAGGGAGCAAGAAGCTATCCTTGGTGTCTCACGATGGGGTAAGATTCGAGAGCTTCTGACAATCCCTGCCAACCGATACCGCTTCATGCTTGGCTTCATGGCCCAGCTTCTTGGTCAGTGGTCTGGAGCTAGTGCCATCACCATCTACGCCGCCGAGTTCTTCGGTGTCCTCGGAAAGTCTGGCCAATCAGAGAAGCTGTTCGCTACATGCATTCTCGGTGTTGTCAAACTGGTCTCTGCCTACGCATGCGCTTTCTTCCTCGTTGACTTCATCGGTCGACGTCGATCTCTATATGCTGGCATTACCCTTCAGACCATCTCAGTCTTGTACATCGCCATCTTCCTTGCCATCGTTGGCACCGAGACCCTCGAGAATGGAACTTTGACAAGCACCCAGAAGCATGCTGGTGTTGGTGCAATTGCAATGCTGTACATCTCAGGTGTCGGTTGGACAATGGGATGGAACTCATTCCAATATCTCGTCAACGCCGAGATCTGGCCCCTCCGCCTTCGAGCTCTGGGTAGTTCCATCACCATGTGTCTTCACTTTGCGAACCAGTACGGTAACACCAAGGCTGTTCCGCTTATGCTGCTTCATATGACGAGCTCCGGATTCTTCTTCTTCTGTGCTGCTGTTTGTATCCTCGGTCTCATCTGGGTTTGGGCATTTGTTCCTGAGATGGCAGGAAGATCACTGGAGAGTACTGATGAACTGTTCTCTCTACCTTGGTACAAGATCGGCCGCTATGGAAATAAGCTGGCGCCTGATAACGAAGCTATTTTGGCAAGGGATGAGAAGGCGGAAATGAAAAGGGAGGTTGAGGTGAGCCAATTAGAGCAAGCATAGGGATATTTGTCTAGTAAATAGGGTTACAACTTCTTCCAAACACATGAACTGAAAGTAACTGCCAAAATAAACGGTGTTATTCTTATACGAAAGCGGCGAAGACTGCATTGCCCCTCAATACCTTCTTCAACCCAGCAAGTCTGGTACAGTAATCAAGAGTCGACTCCTCCCAACGACGCCGATAAGATCCTTTCAATATGGTCGCGTACTGTCCTATACCACTCCATGGTCTAATAACGCATTCACCATTGAACGCTCTTTCTGCCAGCTTCTTCTGGTCTTGAAGTCTCCCGACAAGTAGCCACCGAGTGATCTTCGGATAAGGTAGACTCTTTTCGAGTCCGCTAACCATGTTTCCATTCTCATCAGTGTATTCCAGCTTTGCGCCTCGTCGGACAAGTAACTTGACCAGTTCCAAATTCCCGAAAGAAATGGCGCACATAAGAGGTGTTCCAAACCATGAACCGACCATCTCCACGTCCGCTCCAAGGTCTAGCAACAGACCTGTCATCTCCGCATCACATTTCCGTACCGCTAAACATAGTGGCGACCCGTGATATCTCCCCCTCATGTTCAACAGAATACTCGCATCATGGGGTGGTAAAGACTTGTATAAACGCTTGATTTGGCTCGTTGTGCAGGAAATGATGGCGATGTTGAGAATGCTCTCTGGATTTGGTGCATGAGAAGGTAAATGTCCATGGAGCCACCGGGACTGAGACAAGTAGTCGATGTATCGGCCTTGAAACAAAGTGAAAGAAAGCATAGAAGTTCCGTCGTCGCTCTTATGATGGATATCAAGCCCCTTCGACAGAAGGTATCTGAAAGTCGCCAGTGATGAGGTTTCCAGTGTTGCTCTGTAAAGTAGATTTGACCCGTCCATGCTTCTATATTGTAAAGAGGATGGTCGCTCTTCTGCCAACAGCCTTACCGTGTCTAAATGGCCCATGATGACAGCCAACGACATAGCAGTGTTACCATACATGTTCCTAACTTCAACAAGCGCATTGTGCCGTAACAGCTCTCTCACAACAAGGACATGATTATTGCCGGCTGCAATGATCAAAGGCGTCTCGTTACGTTTATCCAACGCATCGACATCAGCGCCCTCATGCATTAAGAGCTTGATCATCTCGACATTTCCTACCGCTGCTGCAAAATGCAGGGGTGTTCTGTTTGGAACAACTGGATTCGGGTATTTGATGAATGCGGAATTGAATTGTTCGGCTGAGTCGCCTCCAAGAGCAGAATCAAGCCCGCCTTTCCATGCGTTGCTGGCTATGTTACTACACCGTATCCTCGATTGCAAAGGCCTGACTTACTAATAGTCGTTCGAATTCTTTCTGAAATGATTCAACATCAGTTTCAAGACGTTCAAGGTATTCTTGTAAATGGCATGGCAAATAGCGTGGATAAGTTGTACCCGGGTGATAGATTGAGACTCCAAAGCAGCTGATAGCAATTTCTCGATAAAGGGTGCTGAATCCATGGTAGTGACCGCGTAGGAGAACAAGTTCTGAGTCGAGTGGTGTTTGCAGAATGAGCTGTTAGTGCTTGCACCTTCGTCGAGTAGCCAGTTGACAATGGCATCTTTCTGAGCTCTTATAGCAGCAAAGATAGGGGTGCAGGAGTGACAGCTTGGCAAAGGCTTGTCGATCAAACACCCTTGACTGACAGCCAACTTGCACTGCTCAAGATTTCCTTTCATAATAGCATCCTCAAAGTCTCGTCTTCGGGCAAGCTCTAGTCCTTCATTGGATATTAGGCCCTTTATCATATCTCCTGTGGCTGCAACCTGCCCTCGGGGAAGAGGAGATCCCAATGATAGCAGTAAAGAGGCGAGCCCGTCGAATCCAGTCTCGAGGGCATAGTCGATTGCAAGTTTCCCGTCTTTGTCTTGAGCAGAGATATTTATACCCTGATCTATAAGCATTAGACAGCAAGCCATAGACCCTCGCATCGCTGCATAATGAAGCACTGTCCTCCCATAAGAAGTGCTGATATTGATATCAAAGAAGTGGTTGTCGAAGAAGTATGATAGAAAGTCGGGTACGTCAGCTGCAAAGTGTAGCAAACTGACTTCGTCATCGAGTATCTGTTTCTTCGTTTTTGCCCCGTATGTGCTTGACCATGTAGCCTTGGGAGAAAGCTGCCATTGGGAGGGACTTGCAGACATGTTGACTATCCACTTGAGCATATCGAGCTGGCGGTTAGTTGTAGCCCATTGAGGGACTCCCCAGCCATGAAAGTCAACGGCAAAGGAGTCGTGTCCAATATCTGATAGGCACTTTACCAGATCCAAGTCGTTTTGCTTTGCAGCCTCAATGATCAAAGGAGTTGCAGGGCTTGTAGACAAGTGAGTAAGTCCCTTTTCGTCCAGTGCTTCGATCAGAGATGTTTTATCTAGGCTTGAGCCTTTGACAACCAGCTCGAGTGGGCTTTGACCAGTCGGACCAACGTGGTTGATTGTTTGAGAAGGAATGGCCTCCAGTATAGCCTTGAATATTTCGATGTTCGCTTCTCCACAAGCCATTTCGAATAGAGACATAGGGCTCTCTGACATACGGTCAGGGACCCGTCGATGAACATCAACACCAAGACTAATGAGTTTGACTGCAACTTCTGGGCTAGCACTTAACATAGCTAACTTGAAGAGATGGTAGCTATCATCGACTGCTTGAAGCGAAATGCTGACCTTTGAAGAGTCCATGACTTGGGATAAAAGAGTAACAATCGATGTTGAGCAGAAATGATCCTTTATCCAACCTTTAAGCGATCCAATCAGCGGAACCACAGCAGATATATTTCTTGTACCCTCAAAAGAAGAAAGAATACCATGATTAAAGAGTGTTGTCAGGTCTCTAGAGAAATAATAGTAGCATTCACCGGCGACAAAGGTTCCAGCCTCACAGCAGATGTCTTCCAACTCCAGCGTACCGCAAAGAAGCTCCCAGGCGTGCGTCACCTTCCCAGAGTTCGAAAACTCCTGATCCTTGGGAATGAGAATCTTCAATATCTCGGAGTCCAGGGGTATCGTCTTGTCCAACTTGAGAGGCATGTTGTGAGCAAGCCAGCGCTGGAAGAATAGTTGAAATGGGAACTTCCCTGAATTATCGGCGCAGAAGGGATCAAAAAGTTCGGCCAAGGATCGGGCAAACTCTGGAGTGCATGCGGCGCTTAGATGATGCATTGGTGTCGATTCCGAGTTGGAGCTGCCGAAGTTTGTAACTCCCTTATCTCGCAATGCAGTTAACAGTTCTAAGGAACCAGTAACTACTGCATCGTGCATTATCGGACTCTTCGACATGAAGTACTTTGCCTCAGCTGGTAGAATCTCCAATAACGCCAGAGCTGGCTTCATATGACCGTTGTGAAGAGTGGCGGAGAAGGGTGTTCGACCATCCTCGTCTATAGTTGCAAGATTCTCCAAAGTGTTTTTGTCTTCTTTCTGAAGCAAAGTTATGATCTTTTCGTGTCCGTTGTAGCATGCCGCATGCCACGAGTTTTGACCTTTTTCGTCTCTGGATCCTGGATCGACACCTCGAGAAAGAAGAACTGAGGCTACCTCTGCATTGTTTGATTCACAACTGATATGTAGACAGTTCTGTCCAGAGGTGCTACACAGAAATCCATCGATGCCAGATCCAAGAAAAAGCTCGACTATCCTGCCGCTGTTGGCCGAAGTGCTTCTCGCCGCGGCACTCAACAGCTCGAAATCAGTCGGCTTAGCAATAACACCACCAAAACGTGAATCCGATATGAGTATCGACAGCTCTTCTACCAACCCAAACTTGGACGCAATATCAAGAGCTTGCCGGTACTCAAGGTCGTTATAACTGTAAGCCATTGGATCGACAGTCATATTCTGTAAACTAAGGCCACGTCCACGAGAGAAGGACAACGCAGTCGCTGCCAATGGTTTCCACTGAGGACAAGCTTTTTCCCCAACAGCTAAGCGAAGAATAGCCTCGAGCACCAAGTCATCGGACTCATCTTTCCATTCAAAATTAGAAAAGGCCGTGACTGCATCCTCTGGTACAGTAGACGTTGGACGGATGAACTGAAGAAGATGATGTCCCCCCAATGACTCAATGGCATGAGCCATACAGCTCTTGCCCTCGACCACAAATGCAGTATCAGCACCATTATCCAGAAGAACCTTGATTGTGCCAGTTACACGCTCAATAAACACAGGATCTGACAGCTTTTCATCGAGAAATTCACTTTCCTCTAGACCGATAGCCATGGCAAGCGGGGTATAGTTATCTCGCACCACATTCACATCAACACCACTGTCAATAAGGAACTGACATAGCTTGGGGCTTAGCAGAAACACGGCGAATTGTAGTGGACCGTTTGACAGTTGATGCATAGTCCACAGTTCGTTCTGCCCCCCAGACAGTACTGCATGAGCCCATGCTCTAAAGTTGCCAGTCTTGCGGATATCGAAGAGGCGCTTGAGAAGGTTGAGAACGGGTTCTTCTTCTAGGATCTTTAGGTGGAGGGGATAAGAACCTGTGCTTCTCTGTATTCCAAGAGGCGTATGCGCCGCGAACTTGTAGAATGGGTGCTTCTGGTTTCTCTCTTTGGCGTAGGCTTCCTCGACTGTGTCAATGATAGTTGGTACCCTATCAAAGTGTGGGAGCAGTATGAAGCCAATTGAGGCTTGTGCAAATGACTGATAGGCATCTGCTTCAGAGTATCGAAAGTCACCAACTTCAGTCCTCTCCAGGTATTCCAAGACTGTAAAATGGGCGAATTCGAAGTAATTCCCATCTAAGGATTTTCGTAGCAAACAGCCACAGTTACGAGATATAACCTCAGGTTCGATAATGTCATCGGCTTCAAAGACATCTATATCTTCCTGAAATGAGACTGCCTCGCATAAGCTGGCGATATTCATCTTGGGCGATCCTAGCGCTATCCACTGGAGGGCTCTTCGAATACAAGACTGTGTTTCAGGAGGACACTGCATGACCCTTTGTAGAACACGATCGTATGTCTCATTCAGAGTTGGGGGTAATTCAGTTAAAGCTTTTCTTCGGGCCTTGTTGTTGGGAAGATTACAAATATGATCAATTTGACAAGCGACCCAGCGAAACCTGGTGAACAGACTGTGTCAGCGAAGCGAACTTGTCATAGCAAATCATGTACCCACATTCCTTGGGCCCCATGTACCAATGCATGTAGGATATCCTTGTAGAGATCCGGATTCGTTCTTTCGATGTTCTTCAGGACTTTGCGCTTGCTGACTTCTGCAAGCGTATAATCCTCCAGGTCCTTCACATGAGCTGAGACCTCAATGTGTTCAAACCCTTCGGCAAGCTCCTCGTGGATCTCTTCCTCCTTTCGACTGAATAAGGCGGAGCTGACGGTTTCAGATCCATCTACTATGGCCTTCAACGACCGGGTCATGCGCGCTACCTGATCTCCGCATTCGTCCAGCCCATCGACTATAACAAAGACTTTCTCATAGACTTCGGACATACATCCAACCAGTTCCACAAGATCGTCTAACCTTGGTTGGGTGTGAAGCTTGTCGTCGGGATGGAGCATGTCGAAGTATTCTTCAAGAAGATCAAAGGCCTCTTCACCCTGAAGACCAAGTTGGACTGCAAGGGCCGCCAGAATGTTTTCGGGGAGGCATGAGTCTGGGTTCTTGTAGTCACAGAACGCAAAACAGACTGCTGTAAGATCATCGCTTTGTTCAAGAACGGTCTCAATGACAAGCCCACAAAGAACTGTCTTCCCGCTGCCTGTGAAAGGGTCAGCCAAGCTATAAACATGATCAAGCAGGGGAAACTTACCTGGAATCCCGCTTAGCCACAATTTCGAGTTAGATCCACTTTTCCAGTTCGTAAATGTAGAATCGTCGCTGGTAAGCCAAGATCCAGTAGCCTCATGACGAAGCTCACGGCTAACATCAAGATAGTCCTGAGGTTTCACGCAGAGGAAGAAGTTCATAACCTCCTTACGTCTCTTGTTAAGCTCAACTCGAGTTTCAAAACTGATCCTTCTTTCAATCATGTTATGGATTTCATCCTGCTTGGCCAAACTCTTGATCAGCGCATCCATACTATCCGCAGAAAGTGCCAGATGAAGATTGGCGCGATGATTTGCCAGCTCGGCGACCAAATCTTTCGTTTCCTGTAGGGAAAAGGGCCATTTTAACTTTCTGACAAAACGCCTCGCTGATTTGCCACTATCGAAGTCAGACTGCGCTTTATCAAGCTTGCTGTTGATCTCATCCAACGTCTTCTGACACGACTCAAGATGCTGAGGCTTAAGCGCCGAGTTCGAGTGTCGATCTTCCAAAGCCGAAGCCAACAGTCTAAGGTTTTCAAAGATCCCAGCCAATTCTCTCGCCTGAGTGGCAAGTTCTTGGGCCTTGGATGGCGCGTCCTTAGCTTCCTTGCAGAACTTGGTCACTTGTTTGAAGACGGACCCTGTAAGTTGAACAAGACCAGCGATACTAGCGGCCAAACCGATGGCCTCAGCCATATTTGAGCCGTGACGCGTAAGAGACCGCGGAAATAGTGATTTAAGATGCTATTTGAGGGGTATGTGAAAAATAGGCTGCAGTCAGCTGGAGCTTGGAACGAATGGATCAGAGTGGCGAAGCTGATGATCCGATGATCCAATCATGTCTATCATTTCACCCCACAGATCCTCATAGCTTGACAGGGATCATGATCAAGTGTAACAGATGAGAAAGTGATTGAAGGTCACAAAGCACCTGGGCCTATCGAATCACCCAGCTAGAGGATTTCGTAATATCAGACCATAAGACGGAGACAAATAGTTGACAGTAACGAAATTATCACTGTCCAATATGCTCGTAAAAAGACAAGGCTTCTAGTCTGATGTTACGACGACAAATCGTAATTTTGTACTGGGGAAAACAGCTAGCTAAGCATTTATCATTAGATCAGAACCCAAGCCTTGGGGTTGATTGATTTGTGCTGATTTCGGACTATTTCTTTACGGGGCGCCCAATCGCGTTGAAGCACGAGCAACCGCTTCCTCTATACGGAACGGGATCGGTTCCAAAGCGGGAGTTGTTACGAGCTAAGTAAATGACCATCCGATAAACATTAAAAGACAGTTCAATTGCCATGTCGAACCTGAAATATTATCAGCAGTCTCAATTCTCTCGCTGAAATACTACAAGTCTCATCGGTTGTTTTAAATCTCATTTCGCCTGATAAATCCTTTCTCCTGATGCGCTATTATCACCTTCTAGCCCTTTGCGGTATGAACCCCGCCAAATATGTCTACAGCCCATCTCTAACCACTTGCACTACAGGGCTTTCCTTGGCTTCAGCCGCGAACACCAATCCTCAGATCAAGGCCGACATACGCGCTGACAGCAACCGCGACGGACGAGTCGACCTACAAGGTTCTTCAGATGTCATCAGCAAGACTCAATGGACTGAAAGGTCTGGTGCTATCTTCCTCCCCAATATCGGCGATACGGATCGACGATGCTCCAAGAAGGCGCTTAGTGGTCCGGCTTTAAGCAACGAAAAGCTCGATAAATGTAACGATGCTTCTGACAACACCCAGAGAGCGCCTCAGTACCTCGCCCCCCTCAAGACGGTCCCCATCACAATCGTTTCCAAGAACGCAAAGGGTAGTGTTACAGTTCCCGATGTCACTCAGCGCAAGTTCGTCCGTATCTTTCAGAAGCAGGGAAAGAACTGGGTCTTTATCGACGATAAGCACACCTTCTCCCAAAAGGAGTTGAAGACTGGCCTTGAACTTGGTATCGATGCTCGCAATACCAGACGTCCCAAGGTCTGGGATGGACGTGTTACAGTTCACTTCAACGTCCAAGACGGTGATGTCAAGTCTGCTGACACAGTTATGCTACGTGTCGCACCTGTGCTTACGCATCATCACCTCCAAAAGGTTGAGCAAGTCCTCGCAGTCCAAGGCAACAAGACTGACAGCCCTTATCTTGTCGACTTCACCAACACCCTCAACTCAATTGCCAAGGCTGCTGGCTTGAAGAAAGACCTGTACCTCTTCAACGCAAGTGATGACATCTGGGCTCAAGATTTTGTTGAGCCAGGCTACGCAAGCATGCCTGGTCCCAAGGGAACAGTCTCTATTCGGATCATGATTCGGTGTCCCCAGGATGAGCGCGTGGCTGGTCGACAACTCTTTGAGTATTACCGAAAGGCCGGCGTTGGTGCAGTGCAGCATCTCGGTGGGAAGCGAGACGAGATCAACTCAGGTGGAAATATCGAAGCTATTCCACCTTATACTTTCAAGGGTAAGAGTTGGCCAGCTGGACGTGTCATTCTGGGCAACCATGGCAAGCAGAGGCATCATATTCTTCCTTACCTTGAAGCCCAGGAGTCACAGAACCCCCTCCTGCTTGATACTGCTTGGCTCTCCATCGGTCATGTCGATGAGTTTCTCCAGTTTCTGCCTGCCAAGAACAAGAGAGGTTGGGTTGCAGTCATTGACGATCCTCTTGCAGCTATCATGCTTCTTCAGGAGACTCGCAAGGCAGGCCATGGATCTCTCCCGGCTATTTCACGCAAGAACGACACTAGTTCTGGCCCCGGTGACTGTGGTGGTTTCGGTTGCGGACCTATTACTGTCAATTCACCCACCATCGCTCAATTACTGGCTGATAAGAAGTTAATGAGACTCAACGAAAAGTGCGCACAGCGGATCGAAGGCAACATCAAGATCATTAAGAAAGAAGTCGGACTTACCGACCAGGACATCGTTCGCATTCCAGCTTTGTTCAAGAACAGCGACTTCTCTGACGGTGATGACTCGAGGCTTCAAGTCGCAGCATTCTTCCCTGGTGTTGTGAACAATCTGGTTCTTACCGGTTACAACACTTGCGTTGCGCCTAACCCATGGGGTCCGGTTGTCAAGGGGAAGGATATCCTTGCTGAGACCATTAGCAAGAAGTATGCAAAGATTGGAATGAAGGTCAAGTTTATTGATGATTGGAATACTCATCATAACTTTGGTGGAGAGGTACACTGCGGTAGTAACTCGATCCGAGACATGGCTGCCAAGTGGTGGTGATCACCTTGCGTCACAGGATCAGTTAGGCCTTTTGTATCCTCCTGCCATACGATTTCATAGTACAGTGTATCATACCTCTTCCATCGAAACCATTATTCAATACTAGCTTCTCAAGATATCCTCCTCACTCAAACCATGGCTACATTTCTTCGATAGCACAAGGTCAAAAGAGAACTCCTCCACTACGACTATACCGCCTTCCAATTCAACGGGTGATTCTTGGTGACTCCGACCAACGCTGTGCAGTTCATAGCCATGGCTAGTCCTCTCTCCGCCCCACTACCGATGTGTATGACAATCTCTCGTTTCCTCGGGTGTATCCTTGTTCCTAGACGTCCCTCTTGATACAAACTTCTTGAAGCCTGGTAGGTGACGTCGGACGAAGGGTGCTAGATGAGCGAGACAGTTGCAGATGATAGCGACGTTCATCTCGATGCAGCTCCAGAAAAGGACAGTGACCTCGGCTTCTCAGGAAGGCTCGGACCGCTTTTGTTCCCCGCCTGTTCGAATGTTATACATGGCACCATTGTTTGTTTGTAAGCAACCAGTATTGCCTACAATTATTGAGAATAGTAACAATAACGGCGGCGGGAAATCTAGCTTTGTAGGATGATTGGTGACAAACGATTATTGATAACCGAGACGTATCCTGTGCCTTGAGATACATCTTACAGTCTCAGATTTCATCTCCTTAACCATCGAGAATTGTGTCCATCAAAGCGATCTGCAACAGAATTAGTTAGTAACCGCCCGTATTACAAGATTTATCATAGTTTCCAGCTCCCGTTTACGTCTTCTGAAACTTACGAAATGCCTATCTGAGCATTTCTTGGCACATTTCGAAGTGAATGGCCTATAGTCCCTTATAGCTCTCGGCCCTCTAGCAGTTCAATACTCTTGTGATCAACAATCGCCGCGCAGTGTCGTTCCACCATGGCGTCGACAATCTCGCGGCTTTGCATCAAGGGTCCAGCAAGAGCCCATGCGAATCCATGGAAGGTTTGTCGCCTGTACTCTTCCCAGACGTCCTCGATCTGACGATCCGGGCCTCCCGCATGGTTCAGCGCGCTTAGGTAAGTTTGGAGGAGATCCCTCTCATGATTGCGGCGATCTTGGATCGATAATGAGCCAGCGATGAAGTAAGCAACATCGTACAAGGCTGATGCAGCGTGAATGACCTGCCAGTCAAGAAAGCCAGGTTCTCCGGCGGGCGATATAAAGGTGTTTCCTATATGTGCATCTCCGTGAACGATGCACTTCATACTGGAATCAGATGCCCAAAGAGCCTTGAACGTCGCGGTCATTCGCTCTCGATCCTCCATAAACTTTGGGACTGGTGGTCTCGCATCTAGAGCAAATCTCTTGGCCCATTCTTCCGGCGCCAACAAACCCGAGATTGCATCTCTGATTGAAACAGTTTCGCTCAGAGAGGGAATGTCATCTCCGGCATCTCCCCAGGTACTAGCATGAAGAGCAGCTAACTGCTCGACACTTTTTCTTGTCCTTTGGACAGGCCATGTCTCAAGTGGGTTGCCAAATGTATAGCCTTGAGCTTTGAGGTCGGCCATTACAACGATACCTTGTCCATTGACGGTATCTGTGCCAGCATACAGAGTAAGGGGGAGAGGGATATTGAGCTTCGGGGCGAGATAGTAGTAGAACTCCGCTTCGAGCCGGTAAATGGCGTAAAGGAATGGCAAAGATTCTCGAATGTCGGGGTTAAATCCGCCTTTGACGCAGATCCTGATAGCGCTGTCAACAACAGGATTCTCGAACGTCAACTCAATCAAGATCTTAGAAGCCGTTCCATGGATCGTGTCAACGACTTTGGCGTTTTTGACAGGTTTTTCGAAAATCTTGGTGAACCAGGCGGTGATAAGTTCATCGACTGTGAGCGGCAACGGCTCATTTGATCGTATGATACCGTTCACTTTGTGTGCACTTGAAGCCATGACTATTGCAGTTTACAACATCAAATAAACACGTCTTCACTCCAGACACGAGCGGGGTTGCTTATGTGTCCAGACAGATAAGAATTGCAAAAGTTCTTTGACATCCTTGGCGAGCAATGCATATCTGACATGTTAGTAATAAGCCAGGATTACTTTGGGCAGGTCTTTGCTGACTTTTGCGGGGACTGTGTCACCCGATAACTGTGAGCTGCAATGTTTCGCGTCGATTTCGACATGACAAGGAATAAATAACGTATGCCAGTCGTATCAGCGATCCACGGCAACTTATCGGCGAGTGAGTCATTTCGGACCGAGCCACGACAAATAGAGAAGGCTTGCCGGGTGCGGGGAAACAGACCGACCTAATGCAGTGAATCTGAACGTCCAACATGATTTAAAACCTGCGCTATCTCGTGCCAAGCCCCCGGTTGTTTCTTTCTAGATACCTATACTACAGAAAGGCGTCAATAGAATACACGGTTATTTCCCTTCTCAAATCTCACCATGACTCCCTCAATTGAAGAGCTGCTGAAAAACTACGATGACGACGCTCCCATTGAGAGAATTGCATTTCGCAAATACAAACACCCCATCGCTATTGTCGAGCCAGATCCAGCATGGCCCGAACTTTTTGCCCGCGCAAAAGCGCGTATCGAGTCTGCTCTCGGTGACACCGCAATCTCAATCAACCATGTCGGCTCAACAAGCGTTCCAGGCCTTCCAGCCAAAGCCATCATCGACATTGACTTGACCGTCAAAGACCACAATGATGAAGCATCCTACGTCCAAGCTCTTGAAGACGTTGGTTTCCATTTTCTCCTAAGAGAGCCAGGATGGCATGGACATCGCTTCTTTTGCGACTATGAACCCGTGCCGACAAACCTGCATGTTTGGGGTCCTGGATGCCCGGAGGTAGCGAGACATAAAATCTTCACAGATTGGCTGAGGAAGAATGATGATGATAGGAAGTTGTATGAAGATATTAAGAGGGAGTCTGCGAAAGCGAGTGTTGAGAATGGAGAGGATGTTATGGGGTATAATAGTAGGAAGCAGAAAGTCATTCATGAGATTCTGCAAAGGGCGTTTAAAGACTTGGGATACCTGTAAAGCATGCCATGGTATTTTTCTAGGACTTATGACGGCTTGCGGGCGAGAAAACAATAGAATGTTAGGCGAGGTCAAAAAGGCTGCAAGGGGAACTTTGGTGATCACAATTATCAGCACCTTGGAACAATTCAAGAAATTAGTGCTACCACTTTCCAAGCATTTGTTCAGTAAACGTAACAATTCATAAAATTTGAATTGCCTCGAGATCAAGCTCTGGTTGAAGCATGCTGGACGGATCTTGCAATGAACTTCTTGTGATACCTTCCAATTCGAGCCTAGGTTTCAGCTAGCCTCAGCTTCGTCCACGGCTCCAAAGGGCAATGACCGACCTGCTGCCTGAATAGTTCCGAGTGGAAATTTACGTACTTATCAGACTGTGCTTATCTGAGTCGCGAACGTCTCAAATCGATTCTTAAACTTCTCATGATATTTCATTATCGTTTACAATGTCTCACTCACCAATGCAAACCTGTCCATGCCACGCCCCAGGCGACGATCCCGCAGAAATTACAACTCTGCATCAAGCAGCTTTTCACCAAAACAACCAACGACTAGAAGACCTTCTACACGACGGCGCTGATGTTTCGGCAACGCAAACGCCACGCGACTTCACACCGCTTCACTACGCCGTTCAGTTCGGCGACGAGAAAGCTGTGCAGATATTCATTGAAGCCGGGTCCAATGTCTCTGCAGCAAGCTACGATGGGGTCACGCCGCTACACAACACAGCCGCCGGTGGAGATGTCAAAATCACTAAGATGCTCTTGAAGGCTGGGGCAAGTTTTGATAGTCGCAATATCGATGAAGAAACGCCTCTGCACGTGGTCTCGTTGTTTGGAGAGACACGAATCGCGAAGGTTCTCATAGACGCTGGAGCGGATGTTTCGGCCAAGGACTGCTACGGAAACACGGCTTTGCATATTGCTACATCCCATGAGCATGTTGGCATTGTCCAACTACTTCTTGACGCTGGCGCTGATGTAAATGCCGTGAACAATAATGGCGATCCAGTGCTGCATCATGCACGAAGCGACGGACCAGAATCTGTCAAGCTTCTCATTCGACATGGAGCAGACATTCACCTCAAAGGGGAAGGCGGCGATACACTTCTGCATCGTGCTGCGCAAAGTTCACCTGCGCTTGCACGAGACTTGCTTAAAGCCGGGATTGATATTGAAGCGAAAAACAATGAAGGAGCAACAGCTCTTCACATTACTGCAGCATACGGGGATTTTGAATCACTGGAGGTTCTAATTGATAGTGGAGCCAACATCAAGGCCACAAACAACGATGGTGAGACGGCTCTGCATCTAATAACAGGGAACCCTTCGGCGCCGTATCTCGGCAGCGGGCGTGATTCAGACAAGAAGGCAAAGTTTTTGATCGATTCAGGAGCGGATATCGAGGCTAAGACAAAGTTTGGAAAGACACCTTTGGACTATGTGGTTGATTGTGGCCGTGAGGCGGTTGAGAAAGTCCTTCGCGAGATGAGAGCGTAGGGCTAGAATAGACCGGCAAGATATCAATTATTCACTCAGTAGAAGTCGAAGAATGATTCCAGCATAATATAATTAGTGACCATAGATATATCAAGCAAAAAAATATCCTGTTGTGGCATTCTTAGTGCACTGTTTCCTTCATGGCAGTCAATATCTCATGCGTGATCAACAAGAGCCCAGGTATGATCAGCAATCTTCCTCCTCTCCTCCTTACTCCACTCTTTCTTCCCCTCAATTACCCTCCCATGATTGTCCAAACAAGCCCACGATACGCCTTTTGCTTCAACCTCTTCAGCAGCTTTATACAGTCCATCAAGTTGTCTCTCAGCACACTGCTCAGGCTGCATACCAACCAATCTCGAAGCGACCTTTGACACAGCTCGGAAATACCAAGCTGAGTTCTTCGGCGTAGCAGTGTTTACGACTCCCGGATATCCGTGCGCGAAAAATTGCTTGGTACTTTCGTTTTGGAAAGCGTGATGCTGCACCATGGCGTCATTCATGCAGATGCAGTGATTCGCTGCGTGAGCGAGACTGAAGGTTTCCTTGAGATCGAGATCATCCCAGTTCAACTTCTCAGGATTGCCATTGAGTCCGTCCAAAACGAGGAGAACTTTCGCATCTTTACTCAAAATTGGACTCAGCTCTCGGATTAACAGTTGACGGCCATAGTAGTGCAACGCCATCTTTCTGTCAATGCCTTCGGATGTTTCCGTCCGTCCGGCGAATGACATGATTCCCTGCGTCATTACTAGCAAATCAAGAGTATTGTTCTGGCTGTTGCTTCGGAACTCTTGCGCAAACTGTTTCAAGGCGTGCATGGAGGTTGCGTCGACAGAGCGAAAGGAGACTTTCTCAGCTGGCATGACTTGAGGTTTTGTCCGACCGACAATAGTGATTGCTGAGAATTGATACTGAGGAGATGTTGCCAGACGCTTGGCTATTGCGTAGCCGATACCGCTGGTACCACCGACGACAAGAGCACTGGAGCCTGATATGACTTTGTTCATGATGAATATGAGATGAGGAGATGCTCTGTCAGACAAGATGCGGGGGACAGAGAGCAGGACGTCAGGTTTTATGGTATGGCCGGCCAGTCAAATATGACGGAAAGGAGCAAATCAGCATTATTTGTACAGAAAGGGTGTGATTAACGATAAGAGTTGATACTGTGCCACTCTCATGCGCGCAGGTGACTAGTGCTTATGTCGGCGCATAATTGTCCTTGAAGGGAGATTTTCCATACTCGTCTTACATGGCATGATGTTCCGAACCCGAGACCGAAAATACCCGTAGCTCTCTCTCTGCTATGTGAGCGATTCAGAGATTACCTCTTGAAAGAACTTATAATCTCCTCCATATGACTAAAAGTAAACTCGTCCATCACTTCCCTCCATATTCTATCCTGAACACTCTTGCCCTGTTCAGTGTAGTAAAATGAGCCAAATCTACAGGTTGTTAGCGACTGCCAAACTCTGGAGTGTTGAGGTACTTACGGGCAAATCTTCCAATCCATGATATACGACCCATGAGATTCCTCTCCTTTCAGAACCGCAGCATCAATGTATGCTGAGGCCGCTTGTTCCGTTGTACGGCCGACTATCCGAGTTCCCATGGCCATGGCGATCTTCATGAGCCCAGAGCTTTTGTCCATCAATCCCGTGCCCTTAGTCAGGCCGGGGTCAACAAGGTTGATGATAACATCACTTGGGTCAATGTGTTGAGATAGTTTGTCGATGAAGAGTTGACCGAGAAGTTTAGACTTGGCATAGTGCCCCATGCCATCAAAGTTGGCTTCTGAGTCCAGAGCTGTGGTGGTATGGTCTGCTTTGGCCTCGGGCAATTCGCAGTGCATGGCCGTCCCAGAGCTGACAATCGTGAGACGCCCTGCTTTCGACGCTGGGGCCTTGCTCTTGAGCATAGGCAAGAGAACAACAGAGAGGTACATTGTGGACAGAAAGTTGACCTGCATAGTCTCTTCATGACCAGTTGCCTTATTGATGTGAAAGGTTGTACCGCCCATACCAGCGTTGAGAATGACAAAGTCAATCCTAGGCAGAGTCTCGCAACGCTTTGCAAAGTCTTCAACCGAGCTGTAACTTCCCATATCCAGCTTCCAGACGTCAATCTGGGGATTATTCGAATCTGATGAACGATGGAGTTTCTCAGCAGCAGCGTTGCCCTTGTCTTCAGAACGCACCGCAATGATGAGATGGCTTAACCTATTCTGGAGGAGGAGTTTGGCACATGTGAAGCCGATACCATTATTGGCGCCAGTTATAATAACTGTTTGGCCGGAGAGGTCGAGATCCTTGGGGGATATTGTGGTTTGGTGCAGACTTGAGATTGGATGAAAAGTTGACCAGGCGATAGGGTAAGTGCAGGCATTTTAGAGGATGCACTTTGGAAGGGAGATATATCCTTAGCCATATTGAAAGGTCACAAAATTTATTTGATAAGTAACGAGGTTCAAGTAGTGCTGAAATTCTTTGCAAATACCGTTAGTGAGGAAAAGCGTTCTTTTATATGATATTTTTATGAGTCAAAATCTCTACCAGTTCTCTGCATACCGCACTACTCTGTCAATATCGACATGAACTATATCCCAACTGGGATAACGATGTGGTCTTCGCATCTAAAACGCCTTTCATTAACGCGCGTTACCGGACTTGTCCGTTAGCTCTTTTTTTGTTGGCAGTCCCTCGCATAATCCTCCGTGGTTTTCGTATCGACCTTGACAAACAACCAGATTGATGTCTCAAAGCGGTTAGTACACAAAATGCTAGCTCGGAGCATTCTAAAGTCCGAATGCATCGGAGACGGGTCAACAGGTTCCGGTAATTACGCTTAGCCTAATTGAGGTATCAGTCTGGTCAAGGTGGTGGAGCCCCAGGGCGAAGGATTGAGGCTTAGCGGATGCGAGATTTGGGCCAGATTGAGACCCTTTTTCGGGTCGGTCAGCATCACTCTCATTTATTATCGGTAATCAAACGATGGCGGCCACTGAGTATACGTTTCTGACAGTTGATGGTCATGGGCATCCACTTGAGCCCGGCAGCCGAGCCTCGATTCGGAGTCGGTGCATGAAAGGCGTCAACGTACGCCAAGACTCACGCCGCTCCAAGCGGAGAGCTCGAAAGAATCAAGAAGAAATCCTTGAAATTCGAAGAGGCGAAGAGAGTATCATTACACAGAGACCTGACTCACCTTTCTCCCGGAGTGGTTACTGCGGAACCGTTGTGAAGTCATTGCAGGTTCGAACTGATGAGCTTGGCTTTGACTCTTCACGCTTGCCATCTGCTGTGTTGCGGTCAGGTATGCATGAAAGCTGTTCCGTGTACGGATACATCGTTACTAATACATAATTGCAGCTGTGAAGTATAATGCCTTACTCGATGCGGCATATCCACTTGAGATATACCTTGAGACCACACACGCTCAAGGACACAGAATGACCAACGACTTGACATTATTGAACGACAACAAGACTTTACTAGAGTCGATATTCCTGGCAATACATGCCGTGGACGATCTATGTTCCGGAAATACGCTATCCCTTCGGTCGCAGCGATTACTCTGCACCATCCTCTCGTCATTGAACAACAACCTTCATAACACTTCCACCCAACAATCCTACTCCACCATTCTTGTCATACTGATCTTGCTTTTTGCCGCTGAGTCATTTCAAGATTTTGATGCTGTTGGAACTCACCTTGACGGACTGAGGAGATTATTGGAACTGCGTGAGACACAGCCAGCGCCAATAGACTCCAAACTAATGTTCAAGATCCAGCAGGTCGATCTCAGGATGTCGTTGGCCACCGGTCGGCCATTGTACTTTCCTTTCAACTACCCAAACCCACAGCAACCTGTTTGCGTCATCAGTCCGTCAAGTATGCTGCCCTGGTTGATGGTACATCCCACGTTGATGAGCTGCTATCAGACATTGCAAGCGTTATCAAATCATGCGAATCAGTGTCAAGTCCCCAAAGCTCAAAACCTTCTCAATTGGGCAGATTTCCAGTCTCAGGTTAGCACGAGTCAAACTCACTTGCTTGGCCTTGGAGACCGTCATCTCCCTGTCGTATCCGAAGCTCTGCGACTTGGCATGCTTGCCTTCTTATCCACACTCTCGCGTAGTCCGGTCCGAAAACCTCACCTACCAATATTTACCTCACAGCTTGAGGAGTGCTATATGCTTATGAAACAAAAACAAGATTCCCACAAGCCATTGCTTCTCTGGCTTATGCTGATGGGACATATCTCTACTATCGACACGTCGAGCTCGATATCATCTTCAGTATGGACATCTATTGTTGAGCCCGACTTGTCTTGGGAAACTGCGCGAGGAATCATTAGTGAGCTTCCGTGGATTGAAAGGATCCACGATGAACCGGGAGAGAGAAGCCTGAGGCACCTACAAGTTCGAAGGGGCGATATAGGACGTCAGTGTTGAAAAGTACAAATAAACTTCGGATGTTGAAGTAAGTATTAATAAATAAGATTGACTAAGACCTTAGATAAGGTACCTAAGAAAAGAAAGGAATGCAAGTCAAGCAAACAGGGAGAGCACAGTTGGATATGATATTCTATTCTGCAATCTCATCTTCATAGGTTCAGATTTTCTCTAATTGAACATTGAACGGACCTTTTGTCTAATACCGATTACAGTGTTGCTTATATTGAAGTGCAAATGTCAGTAACGTCAGGCCAGTCATAGCTATACCCCTGATGCCGAAAAGACCTTCAGCTAGTAGACAACATTGGATAACCCTTTGAGGTATAAAGAATTAGTGTATTTAGGTCCAAGTAATTGATACTTAATATTTACGTTTCTTGTTACCTTACAGGAATAGATTCCCCGGTAACCTCTGTAGGTCGCTGGCCACTGGACCTGAAATAACAGCCATCTCGATGAGCTGATTGATTGTACTGTCCCGATCTCGGGACGATATCCTTCCAGCTCGCCAGACACTCCCAGCAGAACTCATGGCGACATAGTGTACCTATAATTGAAGTCAGAACAAACACAGTGCGATTCATGGTGATGTGACTTACAGGTCATGTGAAAGCAACCCGGACCTTTCTGTGCATTGATTCCGCATGAAGGGCACTGCTTGGTGTTGGCATCGACCCAGTCTCTCGTCTCTCGGAACCGAGGGTCCCCATTCTCCCCCATACTATCAAACTCCTCGCAGGTCAAATTATCATGCCATTTCACCTGGTGCTCAAAGCACATCTCGTAGCCACATTCCTCGCATGAGACATGGTTGCTCTCGATCAGGTCATATATCTGACCATAAGAACAATTCTCAGCAAGACACCATCGAAAAGAAGGTAACTTGCTCAACGCCTCTAGTGTCAAGTACTCATCGTATCTTTCGGCTTGTTAGAATTTGCTTATGCCAATACCGGCTAGAAATGGTACTTACTTCGAAAAAGTGTCTTGCCGCGCGTATAGCTTCACCTCATCGTATTCAAGTCGCCGACCGCAATCGAAAGAAGGGCAACTAAGAAGATGACATCCAGCTCTTCCATGTTGATCAAGCTGGGCTTCCATATAGTTCCGCAAGCACTCTGTGCAGAACTCGACAGTATGAGAGCACTTCTGTTCAAGCTTGCGAGGGAAAGGCAGAACCTTCCACTTCCAGTCCCCACAGTATCCACTGCAGATAGTATCCCATATATTCAAGGTTCTGTTAGTGAGATCATGTATAGGTTCAGTGCAGATCGAGCATTCAACCGGAGACTGTTCTAGTTGCAGAAGTCGTGTAAAGATAGGGACACGCAATACCCCATCGGTGCCATTTATTTCGAGGAGCTGGACAAGTTTGTATTTCACATCATTTGGTCTACCCTTTTCAAGAGTATATAGCTCTGAGATCCCCAGATCAAATAGTGGTTTCATAACACCATTCGATACTAGGTGCTGATGCAGGCGCTTCGCTACTTGACGTGCTTCTAAAGTTGGCTGCGGATCAAGGCTGTCAAGTATTGACACAAGGTGCTGTGCTGTATCGTATCTATACGAGAAAGCTTAGTGATTTGAAGTCAGGTCCCCTTGGATATACCTACATTCTCAATTTTGCTTCCGCATCTTGGACTCTCGCGAGTCTAAGTAGTTTCTGTAAAGTCCCACGATCCCCGATAGCGATATTAGCCGAACAGCGACCGCATGGACAGGATATCAGGATTGTAGGCCCTAACATTTCCCACCAGCTTTCACCTGATTCTTGTATAGACTTGCAAACAGATTCCACATAGCAAACCGAGCAGACAGGAGTAGTACAGGTAGTAGGCCGTTGAGGACTTGTCAAAAATTCGTTGACTAGAGGGTGTGAATTATTGGGCGTGGTTTGTTCAAACCTCATCTTATGACACACTGCGCAGCGCCGCAGTGATATCAAATCCAGATCTTTCTCGTCAAACCAATTTTGAAAGGAACGAAACAGTCTTCGAGCCTCTTCAGCACTGAGTATACTGTCCAAAGGACTCTTTACATCAGTGTCCGCACTCTCAATTTTGGAATAGAGTGGCCCCTCATCTTGCATTGCGCTGAAACTCTCATAGATGGACTGTGATCTAGATAGTAGTTTGCTAATGATGATGCCTCTTCGTGTTGTTTCGAGCATGTGTAGCGGGGGGTCGGCAATCTGCCCTCGCAGCTTGTCAACCTCTGTTGTTAGTATCCTCTTTTCATTGAGGGTTGTTTGTATGTCAATATTCATAACGCAAATCCTCTGTCGTAGGGATATTAATTCTTCAATCTTTTTGGATAGTTGAGTCTTGAGAGTTTTGTTTTCGTCTAAAAGATCGTTTATAGTGCCTTGCAAGTATTCGATTTGCTGATGCATTTGCTCGACGTTGTTCGTTAGACTACCATCCATGCACTCTCCAGATATACTTGATTCTGGGATGGCATCATTGCGTCCAAACCATGGAAGCTCCGAGAGCTTTGGAATGTGCTTGGCCATGGCATGGATAGGATGCGGTAGCTGTTTTTGCCTAACATGAATGTCTGATTGAACTCGTCGCAAGGATGACATATCTAAGATGACATAAAGTGATCCGCGGGATATGGAAGACTGGAGGTTTTGGTTGTAGGAACATATATGAGGGGAGAACCCCCTTCTTATAATCGAGAGGAGACCGATATCAGTTGTCAAACGCCACTGACGAAAGTGAAGTCCTGTTTCAAATGTGCTGGTACGCAAGTCCTATATTGAGGCCATTACAGCCAATTAACCTCAACAAATGGCAGAGAGGCTGGCCTCCTGCATGTATAGCGGGCCCTTGGAAAAAAGAAGATTGGTAAGACGTATATAGCGGAAGCTTGTTGGTTGAGCTTTGAGGAGGCTTTTCAAACCCCGCACCAGATAACAGTTATCCAGAAATAAATTTTTTTTTTATATAATTTAATATGCCTTATTATATTAATAAGCGGTACGTATCTAATAGCCTAACTTATTAAATAATGCTTAATTTATATTTACTTCTTAGAGCCAGTCTGCTACTAAACTTAATACATACTACAGGAGGTGTCTATAAACTATTAGATTTTATATAGATACTTATCAGTCAGTCATTCAAGCCAACAAGAGTCTGATTTGTATTACTACACAGGAACTATGGCTTGGCAACTTGGCAAAGGTTTATTAGCCTGATCCCTCTAGAAACCCCGGTTTAGTATACATTCTTATATTCACTGAATACATAAACGCCAAGTGACAATCTTAAATAGAACAAATTTAAGTTCCCTTTTACTGCTTTGAGATATTTATTAGCTCTATGTATGTTTTATCCGGCCACCACTTTGTATGCGCGTTGCCAACACATCATTAATGCAGGAGGCCTACCAAGCGGGGTAAACGGCCATACACTGAGATCTAAGATGCAGATGGCTCGTATAGAAATGACTTGTGTTATCTCTAACTTCTCCTCTTTCACTTCATTCGGCTTTTTTCTCTCAAACGCTTTTGCAATGGCAAAGGTCGACCAAAATAGCAAGCGACGCTGTAAAATCTGTTCCATTTCTTTCAAAACTCATTCCCAATTTGCGAATCATTGTTTAGATGCAGATCATCAAAGCGATCAGTGTTGCGAGCACTGTATCAGGTGGTTTTGTAGCACAGAAGCCTTGGCCCAGCATAACAAGTCAAAACATGGGAAGTTGCCGGAGGCTATGGCATTTCAAAATCAAAGGCTAAACGCCTCGACGCCTCAAATTCTACAGCAATTTCACTTCAAAGACCGGAACTACAGAAGATTCCCGCTACTCGACATGGCAGTTATTTACACTCGTCTCATTCTCAAATGCCATTCTTCGGAGCGCCTCAGAAAGGAGGGCTACATTTTGGGCCAAGACAATCGCGAGAACGGGGGACAAGCCGATATCACGAAACAAACCATTATGGCTTCTTGTCCAAGCTCTCTCGAACCGAAAAGAAAGGCCGTCGCTCTTGACTGCGAAATGGCAGGGGTCAGAAACGGTGATAGCGAAATCATATCCATCTGCGTCATCGACTTCTTCACTGGCCAAGTTTTAATCAAAACTCTTGTTAAACCTCGGGAGCCCATAATTGAATGGCGCACCAACATCCATGGCATACGGCCGGCAACACTATCAATAGCTGCATCCCAAGGACAAGTCCTTTATGGTTGGGAAGCAATACGACAAGAGCTATTTAAGCATATCAACACAGAAACAGTAATAGTTGGACAATCTCTCCAGCAAGATTTAAAAAGGCTACGGGTGTCACATGGAAAGGTTTTTGATACTGCTATTCTTACAGCAGAAGCGGTGTTTGGAGCAGATGCTAGTTTCGGTCGTCGATGGAGTCTACAATCCCTTTGTGCAGATCTGTTGAAATTACGTATCCGACAGGGTTCCAACCCTCACGATGCGTTGGAAGACGCTATGGCAGCACGAGAGGTTGCGTTGTGGTGCATATGCCACCCTGACAAGTTGAAGCAATGGGCAAAGAGGGCACGCAAGAAGTACAATACTGAAAAGGCGAAACAGGTGGAGCGCAGGCGAAATAACAGAAGGAATGTGTATTACCAAGCGCCTGCTCGCGACGATGAGGGGTATTATCATGATTATGGTGACGATGATGATGAGATCCTTCGATGGGAGGATGTAGTAGACTGGGATACGTGGCCAAAGTCTCCTCCCTCTTCTGATTAGCATTACGAGATGAGCAATTTTGCCCCAGATCCAACTACTGAAATTCGATTCTGTTTACAAGGCGTGGTATAGTTCTTTGGTACTTAATCGTGATGGGTGATGATGTTTGCCAACGAAAGTAAAGACAACAGCCTTGGGTTCACTCGGTGCGATTAGATGGCGCAGTCAAAAGGGCGAGGTGATTGCCAATGAATTTCAATTTATGCAGACTAAAAATGATTCATGGCGGCTTCGCATTTTGCTTCTGCAGACCAGGGAGTATGCATGTGCTACAAGGTCCAAGAAAACGTCACCTTCTATGTAATAAGTTTCAGTTGACGGATATTCTTTACTTTTAGAAGCTCTTATCGTTTAATTTCCTGGGATCGATGTGTTGTTCAAATAGAGTTTTTCTCTAACGTTTAAAAGTATTAGTGCGATGGTATACCTAAACACCCGAATTTACAAGCCTCCGACAAGATCAAGCCCGCGAAAACGAGCCTGAGAGGCAAATAGCCATTTCATGCCCACAAAGAGGCTTTCTATCCAGGTTATATAAATCTTTCAATTAAGTAACTGCCTCTGTTCTAAATGGGACGGTGAGGAAGTCTCTGCGCCAGGGAGATGTAGATTTCCAAGCTATGCCTCCTTTTTTACACCACGAAGTAGCCCCTCCGCCCTAACCCATCGGTCTGGTTCGAAAAGGTTTGGGCCATGATCCTTCTGTCTCATCTCAATGGCATAATCCAACGCTGTATTCCCGTGTACATCACGAAGGTCCACAGGCAATTGCGTATCTTGGCAAAGAAAGTGTAGTACGTCCTCCACTAGGGTTCCCTTTATGGAACTATGATGGAGAGCAGTCCGACCTTGTTCATCCATAGACCTTAGGTTTACACCCCAACTTGCTAATGTTTGGAGTACACCCACAGAGCATCGATGCGAACTAGCGGTTAGATGCGCTAGATTCAACCTTTCTGCGGTCTTGAAATCGGGGTCTGCTCCGTAGTTGAACAGAAGATCCAGTAGTTCTTGGTCATCCTGGTACGCACCGAGGACAAAAGAACTGAGATACACGGCAATCGGTGACATACCTCTGTTGTCGAGGCTGTTGATGCCATTGAATTGTCCCAAGAGATGTCTGGCGACAGCAATGTCAACAGGACCATCGTTGCTCAACAGATGATGAAGCACATTCTGTCCATATTTATCTTTTGATTCCAAGAATGTTTCGGCTAAGAAGCCCGGGATGCTTCTTAATACCTCCTGCAGTATTTGTAAGTGGCCTTTCTGTGCCGCATAATGCAAAGCATTAAGTCCGTCGACATCCTCAGCCATGGGATCTGCCCCAAGCTTAAGAAGAATGGAAACAACATCCGTGTTCTCGTTAACAACGGCGAAATGTAACGGCGTCCTGTTCTCTTTTGTGCGCAACGAGATATTGGCACCTTTATCGATGAGCTTTTGGGTCACGGACTCAGATAAGTCCTTGCTGCGGGCCGCAATATGCAAAGAAGAAACGCCAAAGATGTCTTGGGCGTTAACATCGGTCTCGGGACTCTCCAAAAGTAGGTCAATAATCACCGACCTTTCTTTCTGGATCCAATCCTGGATTGAGCAATATTCGTCCTCCTCATCTGCTTCGATATAGTCAAGAACACATTCCACGCGGTTATCTGGATAGTTCCAGAAGTCCACAATACCGGGCCATCTAGGCCCATACAAATCCCGCCTCAGTGCTAAATGCAGCGGTGTCTCACCACTGTCCGAAGGAAAGTTTGAGTTCGCTCCATGATCCAGAAGGAACTTCGTCATCTTTTGGCTCCCGGTTAAGGCAGCAAGGTGTAAGGGAGTTAAGCCTTGCTCTGTGCAGGGTTTTCGGACAAGAATGTGCTCACTATCTCTTGTAACATACACCACTTTGTCCTCTTGATAAGTGGGTATGTGTGTCTGTCTCGCCACTGACGTATCTACTGCCATTCCGGCGCTGAGGAAGGTTCGGGCAATCGCTTCGTTACCAGTCTTGACTGTGTAGTGCAAAGGAGTCATGTTCTCGACATCTGAGTCCACAATAGCTCCTCTTTTCAGCAAAAGCTGAACACATCGTACCCAGCCGTTAAGCACAGCATAATGCAAAGGGGTTCTCCCTTCCGAATCCCGTACATCGGTGCACACGCCTTGCTCTATGAGCCATTCAGCAGTATCTTCTCCTTGATTTTCCCCATACTTTGCTTTCAGTAGTAGCCAGTTCTTGGTAACTCTTGAATCTGAAGATAGAAACCTAGCGACGGAGGGGGGCTTGGTAACAGCGAGGTGGGCATGCAGCGCACCGTGGTCCAGCGAGTAGTCCAGCAGCGGATAAACCTGTCTCCCAGATTTTTGACGTTGTAGATATTCGTCCATCTCTGAGAACTCGATGTCAAAGACAGGGAACAAAAGATAGGTAAAGCATGACGTCGCAATTACAGTGTCTGCATTCGGGTGCCAGTTTGCCCATGTCCGCTTCAAGTAATCTCCCGTCGTGTAATGAATTAGAGTAACCCTGTCGTTCTGCTCATCTATCGCCACCAAGCCCGCACAGACAGAGACCATGTCTTCGATGTCCATTAATCTGTCCGCATCAATATCTGAATCTGTTTCCTGGACAATAACCGCTGTTCGGAGCTCTTCGATGTTGAGTGGTCTTTTTGCAAATGTAAGCCATGCCAGAACATCTTTAGCGACTGCTGTTCGTTCTGGGTGCTGCCTCTCTATTCTTTTCATTGCATCCTGATAGGCTTCATCGTATGCTGATACACCAGTGGGCAAGGTGGTGAGTGCGTCCCTGAGCCTCTTGACAGACATTTTACTTGCTAGAGAGTCGAGATGTAGGCGAGCAAGAAGGAACCTATGGTATTTTAGCTTCCAATAGTGGCCGCAAGGAAAGATTGAATAAACTTACATCCCTCCGCTCGCTCTTAAGATCGCTTTGCAGATATCCCCCTGAAGCTGCTCATCGTGCCTGGCGAATATACCAAGCTTCGTCATGTTCCTATCGAGGTATTTACGAACATCGGTATCTCTGGCCTGTACTTCTAGTACCCTGCTCCCTTTCAACCGTCTGTCGTTGGCAATCTCAGGGATAGCCCGAGAGGTCGCCAAGATATTCACTCCCTGCAAGTCTCTGAGCTGAGCCATAAGGTCCCTCCACACAAGACACTCATCAAGACCGTCAATAACTATAAAAGTTCGAGAACTCAGACACGCCACAGTCTTCAATGTACTTGTAATTTCTCTGAGCGAAGGTCGCGTGTCCTTGTCCTTGTGCTTGCTGTATAAAGTGCTCATTGCGTCTGGTACAGAGCCCAAACACTGGACAAGCTGCTTGAGGATACTTGAGAGAATAAGATTGACAGTTTCGTGGTCTTGGTGCCTGAAGTCGCAGTAGTGATAAGCTATGCCAGTGCTATTGTCATCGTCGAAGAGGTTTAGAAGATGCTGGATCACAATGGAGACTAGGACTGTCTTCCCTACTCCTGGAAGGCCTGGACAGAATAACATCCCGTCTTTAGTTTTGATCCATTCCTGGAACTCGCCAGAAGCGAGAAACCATTCACAAGTTCCTTCTTCGTGTTGGTCAAATAAGGAGCTTTGTCGTGATCCATGGTCACAAGTTCCAAACCAATTGAGGATCTCAGATCGCTGCTGCTGATTTACTCGCCCGGTGACATAATGGATTTCTTGTTCCATCCCGGAGGACCTTTGACTACGATCGCTTCAGCCCATCAGACTTCGTAGAGAGAATGCTGTAAATACCTATATAGCTGCCTCTCAATAGAATTGAGTAGGTCAAGATTGAGCGACAACCGTCCTCGAAAGTCTTGAACGTCGTCCTGGTCCCAGTTCAATCTTTTCCAGGCTTTCTTCGCACGCTGTGCCATGCTCTTACTGCTAGTTCCAATTTCTCGATACTTGTCAAGTCTCGCGAGAAGATCATTCAAAAGACAGATAGAGTCGTCACTGATTGTTTGGAGTTTTTCTCGCTCCTTGATCGCAGGTTTCCATCCCGATAAAAGGATGTTCATATCTTGGATGACGATGGAAAAGTTCCTGAGACTTCCAGTCCAGTGAGTATGTTGTACGTGAAGAAGAGCGAAATTGACTTACTCTTTTGATATTGCATCATACTGGCGAGGAGCATCCACAAATCTCTTCCGGGCTTTAATAACAAGCTCTAGGATTTTTATAAAATCGCCTACACCGACCCCGACATTCATTGTATCGTTAAAGGCTTAAATGATAAGAAAGTCCAGGCTCAGTTTTCATATCCCTTAGTGCTTAGATGGAAAACACTTTGCACCTTCTGTGATTCTCTTAAAAAGTTCTAGGTGTAGTTTGCTTTTTAAAAGGTAGTAGCAGGATATTTAATGCCTAAAATGCATATGCACATATCTTAGGCAGCAATGTGGCGTCCTCGAGGTTGAAAACTGTCCTGCATCTGAGACCCATGTCAGGCTGCAAGGCAGATTCTACTAATCTTACCAGCTAACAGTCTTATAAGTTAATGCTCATATAGAATTTATGTCAATGTCTCTTGCGCTTGGTATCGATCGCCTTATAGCCACTTGAATACCCAATGAAGATCGCAATCGTTATTGAAACCCTATCAAGAGTGGGAAAACTGCCGATGTTAATAGTGATTGATGAAGAAGTGGATTGCTTAGTGAGGCTTGGTGGCAGGATAGCTACAGGGTAGTCAACATGCTTTGATGGATAATACCTAATCCGTAAATTCATATCATAAGCATAAGCAATTAATAGAAACAGTTATTCCAAACAAGAATCAAAGGGATTTATGCATATAACCTATATTAGCCACCTTTATTTGTGGTGTAGGTCTTGAATTGTCCTTTCGTGGTGCATTTGGCACCTAGCGCGTCTTACCACCATCATAGCGAGCCATCCACTAATTGCATCAACATTCGACGGACATCGTAGTTAGGTACACCGCCATGAACTTGACCTACACCAGTGTATCCAATTACGAACATTTACTTGTAGTCCCTCCAATTGCGTTCGCCGAAATTGAATGAGAAAATAAGTATCGCGGGAGCATAGAGTCAGGCGCTTCCTTCGTTGTCAATCTTGCAATTGCAAGAGCATAGAGATGGTGCAAAAGACCACCAATCACTACATGAGTCATGCCTAATCCGGCAAGCCAGGAACTAACTGTTCCGAAAAGGCGGCCCGAGCCTCGCAAATTGTTACCGTACTCTGTTAGATCTGTATTACTTGCAGCGTAGAAGTTGCAGTGATGCTAGGGTCGGCCGACTAATAGCAAAAGATCTTGCAGCCCATCAGCAGCTCAGCGGAGCAGCTTCTCCATCCAGCGAAGGCCGCTGATATTAAAATGGTAACAGTGCATTGAATGAAAAGCCGCTGATGTCAGCATGGTAATCGGGTAAACGGAACAAAGTTGCATGGAATATGGATATCATGTACTAAGCTGACGCTCCAGCCTTTATTGGTTCATAACTTCAACCTTTTTGCGAAAACATGCATTCTCGCATTATATAAATATGTGGTGTTTTGGTCAATAGAAATCAGAGTATCCAACTCAACCATCACCATTACCATGAAGATCACCTCTTTTCTCACCGCTACCCTTGTTGGGGCTGCCGCCGCCCGCGACACAGTCTACCTCGTAAACTCTTACAAAGGCAACGAGATCTCCAGCGGAATGGCATACTATGCCGACGGCCACGAAGCAACCGGAGGGTCCCGTCCCGATGATTACGTCGACGTCGTCCACGGAAGCAACATCATCTGGGAGGGTCGAGCTGTAAAGGGTAAGTTTATTTTAAGCTTCCGAAAGCAGAATATTAACTAGAATCAGGTACCTTTGGCAGTGGGGTGTCCTTCACGTCAAACATCTTTGCGGATGCGGGTGGCAAGCAGGCTAATGCTTGGTCTGGTACGGGCTCCAACGGGTTCCATACCTATAACTGCTATAAGGGTACTGGGCCCAGTGGTAAACCTTGGGTATTGTACACTGTGGATGGCTGGACCGTTAACGTTATCTACTGGTGCTGGCCCTTTAATTAGAGTGTGATGGTTGGGATATATATGTAGCGATTGTATGTATCTATGCACTTTGGCTGGTGGTCGCTAGCGGCTCGGGTAGTGGCCGTGCATGTTCAATTACTATTTATTGCCTACAAAACTGCTGAATGAGCAATTGTCCTTGTGTCTTTGGTACCTCCAAGCCGTCGTTGAGCTTCCGAAGTAGTGAAAATGTCAATCCCAGTCGGTTGGCAGCGAGATGGGAAAAGAACCACTTTGGTATTAAAGCCGCTGGTTTCTAGAGGGGCCTTCACTACAGCTCATTCGTATGCTTTGGCGGCAACATAACCTGAACCAACGCCTGCGTCAACTCCTTCTGTGCTTCAGCCGGCCATTCCTTCGCTCTCCAAGCAACAAAGCCATCTGGTCGAACCAACGAAGCGCCGGTATCCTCCAACCCAAACAGCTTGTTGAAGCTCCCATCATTCTTCTCGGCAACATCGCCTCCCATGTGCACAAACGCGATCTTTACGTCTGTCCCTTTTTCTACCTCTGCGACAAGCAGCGACCAGCTCTCATCCTTTGATATAACGACCCAGGATGTCCCGAAGAAGTCTAGAGTTGAAGTATGTTCTCCCTGAAGAGCGACATGAGGTGCTCTTGTGCCTGGCTGGCCGTTCCACTCATCTGGCCTCTTCACAGGGACAGATCCATCTGGACCACCGATGATACTCTTTGAGTTGTAGAAATAGCCAAACTCCATCGCGACATCGTCCATAATTTCAACATTCTTTCCAGGCCACTCCTTGCCTACCACGTATCGTTTGTAATCTTCTCTCGCAAAGATCTGATCATGTCGGACATCCGCAACAGGTCGTCTTTCAATATCATATGTATCAAGAAGCTCTGGTAAGGATTCTCCACGTAGAACTGATGCGAGCTTCCAGGCAAGATTGTGCGCGTCGGCAATACCGGTGTTTGCGCCGTAACCACCACGGTTCGGAGGCAGAGCATGAGCTGCATCGCCGGCAAGAAAGACACGACCAGAGGAGAATTTGTCCGCAATAAGACCTCCGATATCCCATTTCCCCGTGGTAATGAGTTCAATATCCCTATCGCGCAGATCCTGTACACCAGAAGCTTTGCGGATCATGCCATGCTGGGTCGCTTCATCAAGAACAGCTTCAGGGTCGTCGACCTCTTGGTTCCAAGCTAGCATCCATCGCCCGCCACCATAAGTCGTCATGAAAGCCTCGAAACCATCCTCACGACCTTCGATCTGGAATTGGCTGTAACCGTGGTTGAGAAAATGTTGAAGGGGCTCGCATCTGAACATGATGCTCTGGAGCTTGCGAAGGAGACCAACGCCATGACGTTGAATGCCGAGACTTTCTCGAATACAGCTTCGGTTGCCATCGCATGCGACCATGTATCGAGCTTTAATACGAATGTCGTCACCGTCACTTCCAGTAGCATCGACTGTGACACCATTATCATTCTGGCTCCACCCCGTAACGGTAAAGCCCAGTCTCAGATCCGCGCCAAGCTCCCTCGCGCGATCTCTCAAAACAGGCTCAATGACGTCCTGGGCGATAGCAACACCTTCAGTAGGCGAGTACTCCGCAAATGAAACAGGCGGTCCTCCTTTAGGCTTTTGCGTCCATCCTTGCTCTTTCGCCCACTTTCCAGCGAGACTCTCAACAACGATACGACGAGGAGGACCGCCGGACCATTGGATACCTTTGAGTTTTGACTCAACGCCAACGGTACGGAAAAGTTCAATTGTTCGGGCTGTGTAGCCAATTGCGCGAGGGTGGAGAGAGCTACCGCGATGACGCTCAATGAGAATAGTGGGGATGTTGAGATGGGAGAGGAAGAGGGCTGTTGAGAGGCCGACGAGGCTACCTCCGACGATTACGACTGATGTTTCTTGTGTTGTTGCCATGGTGTATGTAGAGAAGGTAAATTGGTAGGGATTGGAAGAATGAGCCGCACTTGAATGGCGAGACTTGGCCATATATAGTTCTGATCACGTTGCTTACACAACTGCTGAGAAAGCCCCGAATAGACAGCATTCGGGTCCGACGATGAGATCGGGCTAGGGACGGGACGGCGCAGGTGGTTCGGGACCGGTGTCCCACTTCTCGGGATCTAGACAGTCCGGTCTCGGGAACCCCAGATTTCGCATAAAAAAGCTAATCGCTCAAAACTTATTCTTATATTAAACTTTTGTCCTGTCTACCAATATTATCTTTGATGTTCGAGACTTAGTTACAACTCAAACTAGCTGATGCACCGCAATCGAATCCTGCGACCGCCCATGAACATCATCCGAATGCAGCTCATAGTAAGCATGCTTCGTTAACTCCACTTCATCTGTATTCGACGCGAGAACACCATCTGTTAAATGTCTCGAATTTTGACGAGACTTGTTTCCCCACATGCTAGTTCCATTCGATGCAGGTTTTGAGCGATCGGTATTCCCGGTTGAACTCAATTGCTTCAAGCCGAGCTTCTTCCAGACAAACTTGACGAGGGGTCGCATTGTTGGGAGGCAGCAGCAGATCACAGCACTGACCAGTCAGAATCTTGAGGTGTGAGAGACGTGAGCGAATGGTGCATACCCGTAGACTCCCATCCCGGTCCAAATCATCCAATCAACAGTTCCCCAAGTCGGATCTGTCAGATCAACAGTGATGGCTTTGGTGAGGCGGATGATGGTGACAAACCAAGCACTTCGTTGATTAGTACGGGCATAGTAAATATGGGCAAGGGGCTACTTAAAAACTACCAAAGACGAGCATGATCGCGATCAAGATCTTGTGGTACAAGGGCACCTTCGAAGCCCAGATATAGGGCAACGGAACGACCATCAGACCAATGTCAGTGATAATCCCACCAATCGCGACTCCGACATAGAATTTGGAGAGGTCGATGCAATTCTGGTTCGTGCCATCCCAGAAGCTGGAAATAGGCCAACACGTCCGGATTGAAGGAACATACTATACCCTGTCAGCGCTGTCTACGAGACTTTTTGGTTGTGAGCTTTACCGTTGAGATGGCCCATGCAATTATGAAGAAGACAAATCCATGAAGGAAATATCGCATACTCGAGACACCAAAAATATGGTAGAAAAACGCTACAAGTGATAATCTCGCACAAGCCAAAGCCGTCGTGTACATGATCTCATTGGTGATGATGGCCTTGAAGAAGTTTTCAATGTTCTTCGGGTCGTCCTGCATAACCCACGCAAGATGCCTCCCGAGGCCAAATCGAAGCCAGAGCATACTTGTGATAAATACTGTCACGGTATTAAATTGCCAAAATGGTTAGGTACGTCAGTTTTGGAGACAGACGACTTACCGCGGCGAAACACGCAAGCCAATCATCCCAAGACAGCGTCTTCTTTGTCAACCTCGATGAAAAGAACCGGCACGGCACAATGATCATCATGAAAACAAAAAACGCAATGTGCGTCGCATAAATCTCATTCTGTCGACTCTCATTGAGAAAAGCCTCATCGTAGGTAACATTACCTCCTGAAGCCGCCATACTGCTAGCCCATGGGAAGAAGCCGTTGAAAAAAGATAAAAGTTTAACTAGATGGCACTTGGAGTTGATATGGAATAGCCAGTTTAGATTGATCTTCGGGGGTGTTTCCCAATTCAATTGGGTATCAAGATTGGCATGAGTCGGTGCAAAACTAGGGCACCGTGGGGTACATGACTCCGTGGTGAAGTTGAATTCGGTATACTATTTGTGGAATGACCCTGAAATTGCATGAGTCTCGGCGTCTCTGCCAGAGCGCGGTTTCGTAAAGTTGAGGCTAATTATTGGCACGCGTACGAAACGGAACTCGATCTATTGATTCTTGAACGAGTGACTATAAATCTGCGTTGCGCCACCCACACATCATCTGTGCGGTTGCATCATCACTCATCTTTTTGCTTTTTCAACATGTCTCCAACTATCTTGACTGTACCCGGTGCATGGCATACCGTCGAGTCATTCGAGCCCATAAAGAAAATCTTCACGCAAAAGGGATACCAATTCGCCAGTTAAAATGCACCTGGGTTACATGACGCAAATGCCACTTGTCAGGATGACGCTGAGTCATTGCGGACGAAACTTCTACTCCCTCTTGTCGAGGATGGCAAGGATGTCGTTGTGTTAATGCATTCTTATGGTGGAATGTATGGTTCACAGGCTGTCCAAGGCTTGAGCAAGAAAGAGCGGGAACGAGTGGGTAAGAAAGGTGGTGTAATTGCCCTGATATACGTTTCAGCTGTTACACCCGTTGAAGGAAAAACAACGTTGGACATGATGGGCACAGACGCAAAGAATCTTCCTCCATGGGTTGACTACAACGTACGTAAATCAACATCCCCGCCTCTGTGCTGCAGGGCACCCCACAGCTAACAAACTCTGAAATCCCAGGAGACAGCAGGCTGGGTCAAATTCACAGGGGCAAAAGAAACAATGTATCACGACATTGTCGACACAGAAGCAGAGTATTACATCTCTCTGCTGAAAGATCAAGCCTTGAATAGCATGAACACGCCGATTTCTTATTCTCCACTCACAGATGAGAATTACAAGGGAAAGGCGGGCTATGTTATCTGTGGGGCTGATCGTGTTGTGCCCCCGGCGGGACAGGAGGTGTATGCGGCTGTAGGGGCGATCGACAGGAAAGTTACAGTTGAGAAGGCGAGCCATGCGTTTTTTGCTACGGCGGCTGAGGAGACGGTTGATGCGGTTCTTCAGCTGGTGGAGAGCTGAAGTTTTTATCCCTGTGGGGTTAGAATTAGAGTCTCAGGTTAATTTTGCACGTTTGAACTTTTGAGGCTTTTGCTAAGAATTCGTAAATGAAGCGTTCGGAAGACGGGCTGTCAACTTCGTGGCATGGCGGATCGTGTACTCGTCTGTGTGCTTTTGACGTTGGCGACTTGCTTGATCGCGATTGGTCTTAGTACGGCTATTTCTAATGCCAGGCCATAAGATAAGGTGTCGGTAATCTCAACTTGGTTAACCGAATGCATAGCCGTAAACAGAGAATAAATGTTCTATGGATAATAAACATAACACTGGCATTTATTCTGCATTCAAATGTCATAGAATCCCTTAAAGTTGTACCAGGTTATCATAAGTTTTTAAATCAACGTCAATGACTCCAAGGCTGAGGGATTCTGATGCAACGATCTAGTGAGAAGTGCCTCTCCTCCCAAGATTAGATAACTCCCAAGCTTCAACTTCCTTCTTTCTCATAACATATCCTTCAAAGTGCGAAATCACTTCTTCTCTGCCTGCTGTTCCGGCTCATACTCCCGCCGCCTTGTCAGACCACGAAATAAGGAATTTCTGAAGTGAGCTAGGGCTCGGCATCAAGACATTATCCTTCCTCTTTCTATCCTCATACGCCATGAAAAACGGAACACCTGGGACATCAAGCTTCTCAGCTAGATCGGGTACTTCATCGATATCGAGTTTAGCGAGGACAAAATATTTCGGATTGTAGGGAATTTGGTTGGAGAGTTTGTCGTAGATAGGGCTAATGGTCTTGCAAGGGCCGGCCCATGACACACATGCGTTTATTATGACGATTCTGAACTTCTTGATGAGTTCTTCGTATTCGCCTAGACTTTTGGTCTCGGTGACGGGCATTATGAAATTGTGACTTGGCCAGGATTGAGAGACAATAAAGATGAGTTGGGGCACTTTGACACAAGTATTGGGCACGAGAGAGTTACAGCTTATAAGTGGCTTCGGAAGCCATTGATATCCGGCAAGATGGGAGATGTCTGCAGAGGAGATACTTTATTATCCAATTCGACACTAAAGCGCTGCACTTTTGACACCATTACGGCCTTCAACTGGAATGGTGTCATGCATACTAGTTATCGGCATGGCATTACCAAGTGGCTGGTAGGGTAGGTAAATTATAAATGGCACTATTGGCGAGGAGGCTTCAAAGTGGCATGAGTTTGGGATCTAGATCCATGACTTCGCCGGAGTCCATTATCGTGCTGCCTCAACGTAATGCATTCCAACGATGTCTAATTATACAGTGATTTCAATAGCGAAGGCAAGTGCCATGGATCCTGGAAGTACAGAGAGATGCTCCAATTTCATTCTGACGAACTACTACCTCTGTTTTCGTTTATTAATTCTCTAGTTTCTTCCAGAAATCACCGATGAGACTAGCAACATGCTCAGCCTGATCCCTCACAACACTATGCACAGCCTTTGGAACAATGAAAACATTCTCAAATCCGTGCTCATTGAGCTGTTCCTTGCTGCACAAGTCATCCAGCTCTCCAAGCACAGCGAGTGATGGAATTCCCACCTTGGCCGCCTTATCAAAGTGAGCATGCGAGTCCATAACACCACCGTCTCTGAAAATCGCAACGACAGAGGCAGTATGTCCAGGATGTTCGCGCATCTGCCACTCGCGTACTGCTTCAGCGACGACTTCACCGTTGGCGACTCTTTGCTTCCAATCTGCTGGTACGACGAGGTCACCGCCTTCGAGAATGTTCAAGACACATTTCTTTGCAGCAGCTCCGTCGTCTCCTTGAAGGCAAGCTTGCTCTTCGGACGTGAACATGGATAATTGTAAAAGACCAGCAGGCGCGACAAGAGTGAAGCTCTTGACGCGTGAGGGCCTGGAGACAACGTAGCTGACAGTAGTAGCACCGCCGAAAGAGAAGCCGACAAGATGAACAGACGGCCAGTTCAAGCGATCCAGTAGGTCGTCAATCAGCTGATGGAATAGTGATGCCTCGTGCGGAACAACAGGTGTATCGCTCAGTCCGTGGCCCCAGAGATCGATCAAAACCATATGCGCAGCCGGGAACGATTTCTGAAGAGCGCGGGCGAGGGGGAGCATGCCTAGCGCCGGAGTCTGAACACCATGGATGAACAGCACTCTATCGATTGCGGCTGGACCATCGATGGATGATGAAGGGGTGATTTCATAATAAGCAGCCTTTCCGCGGGGAGTCTGAAGGAATTGAGCGGCTGGCAGTAGAGCGCCGAATGTTTCGACGAACGCAGCCTCGGTAGGTCCCGCAACTGGCGGCTGAGACGTGCAAGTCGCCCCTGGGCGCGGTAGGACAAGGTCTTTTGTATTTTTGGACATTTTGATGCGTGGACCGAGACTGAGTTGTATGGCTATGCGGGTTTTATGAGGCCAAGTGGAGATTGGTAAGCGAGCTATGATACCGGTCTAGAACACCGAGCTCACCATGATCCTTCCGAGATCCTTCCATGCCAGCTGCTTAATGGCTAGACGAACAGTTAAATGACCTGCTATTAATGAAATACGTCATGTATATACTTGACTTCTCAATGGTACACGGCTCGACCGCTTCGGCGCAAAGTCTGATGATCTGTCAAACGGAGTGGAGCACATATCAAGCTAGTCGGATCAGTGCCGACTCTTGATGCCGTGGGGTTGAGTTGAGTCATCCCGGCCTCGGAAACAGAGAACTAGGTAACAATTCCATGCTGCCCAATATCGAGCAGGCCACACTGTTTTCCCTCATCAGGATCTCGGTCCTCCATCACTAACCCTCGAAGAGAAAGTCTTACCAGGCAGCATCAAACCATCATGTCTGAATCTTCAGGCCCCGCTCCGAAATACCGCATCCGGCCGGGAACCTTCTTTGATGTTCCAGCCACAACACGGATCTATGCTGCATCGTTTGGCAATGAGCCACTGATTGACTTCTTTTTCCCTACGCGGAGACGGGATCCTTTGTCTTTCTATACCTGGTCTTGTCGAAGATTTCAGCGTCGGTATTGGACGCCTGGGTATTCGCTGACTGTCGTGGTTGATAAGCATGATCATCCCGTGGGCCTATCGTGGTGGAAACGACCAGTTCAACCTATATCACTTATCCAAAAACTTCTCTCCCCTTGTAAGTCTCGTATCTCCAGCGTCTTTTGAACATTTATACTGACTTATCAGTATTCTGGCTGGGCTCAGTCGTCAACACTTTCATCGACCTTCAAGATTATCTCTTCCCAGTTCAGGGTCTTGACAAGAAAAACATGGAAACCTTTGAGCATGCATTTTCAGCTGTGGAACCGCATGTGCTTAATACGCCACCAAGACAAAAAGCGCACTACCTTTCTCTGCTGGGCGTCGATCCTGTTCTGCAAGGAGAGGGCCTTGGCAAGAAGTTGCTGGAGGATGGACTACAGAAGGTAGATGAAGAGGACTCGGCGGCTTGGCTTGTTAGTCTGGCTGGTCTGGAGAAGCTTTATGCGAGATATGGGTTTGTTGAGGCGACGAAGGTGGAGGTTGAAGGGCTGCATGATTGGAAAGGTGGTATGGTGATGGTTAGGGATTGATCAGATTTAGAAAGTTGAAATACAATGAAAATGGTGTCGTTTGTTCTCTATATTGCTAGTCTATATAGACTATCAGCTGTCGAGAACGGAGAGAAGTAGTAGAATAATCTTATAATAGAAGTAGGAGCTCCTAAAACAAGGCTGTAATTAGGTAAACATGTTTTATTAATAGCTAGTAAGCTAAGTTCTGGCTAGTGCCAAATAAATATATATATACTTAAGAGAAGTTATTAGGTTATATTAGGATTACTAAGAAATTCTAAGGGTTACTATCCTAAGAAATACTAATAATTTTTTAAATTTAATAGTGAACCTATCTTAGTAATATTTAAATAAATTCAATAATATAAAATAACTTTGCCTAATTAGTAAAAAATATAAGATAACGTATACGATAAGCGAGCGAGACAGACAAGCGAGCGAGACAGTATACTGTACAGCAAAAAGTAGCTTACCCTATAGCTTCTTAATACTTAAATAAAATAGCTAAAAATCTAAGAAAATTATTTCTTATAATAGTATAGCTTATTATATAATAAAGTATTTTTTAAAGACTTTTAATTATTTTATTTTATATAGAAAACCTTAAAATACAGTGTAAATTACAGTGTAAATATATTTTAAAGTTTATAGCTATATAGGATTTTTTTTAAAATCTAAGAAATTTTATATAGCTTATTTTAGGACTTATATATATGTTGTTAGGATCTTAGCTATTTTAAGTTTAATTTGAAACTTTAAGAATTATTTAAAAATCTGCCTTTAAGGTGAAAAGTAGGGTGTCTCGCTTGCTTGTCTGTCTCGCTCGCTTATCGTATACGTTATATATAATATATATATTTAAATATAATACTAAGGTATAATATATAATTATAAAAATATAAACTTAGTTTTATTTAAAAATACCTTATAAGTAAATAATTTTAAAGATTTAAAATATAATTACTTATTAAAATTAAATATATTATTACTCTTATATTTATCTTATTTAATATATCTTTTATATATAATTTAATTATAATAGAACTTCTATTAAAGCTATTTATAATAAGTACTATATACGAGTATATAGCTGGCCTAATGCTGAGGATTAGAATACAAGTATTAGTTATAAATCTGCCCGTGAAATATTACATTTAAAGTTATCGCGAGGAGAAGCAATTACCTATACCACCAAATAAAGAGTTAGCGCCGAAAGATCTCACGCACCGGTTCAAATAACACAGCAGCATTAACAAGACCAATAAAATATCTCGAGGCGGCCTGCTCATTTCAGCCACAGTGCCATATTTAACTCTGAAGTCACTAGTATCTTGGCCGTTGTAAAGCGGGATGCTCTATGGGGCCGAGGAGCCCAAGCGGGAGAAGTCGTAATTCCCACCACAGATGGACACGAATGATTGTGACGGGCGGCATAAAGTAACACAAGCAATAGCGCTAAAAGAATGGAAGCGTTTCAAGAAAATGGCAGTGACTTGCAATAAGAGAGAGGGATATAAGCGAAGCCTGTGGTTGTTGTTTCCCTCTGAATAAGAAGTAATCTGAAGCTGTGTACGCCCTATATTAACTGTAGGCAGTATAACAGCTAAGACAGGGAAGTAACTTAGAAGGGGTTCTTTATAGAGAGTGAATATAGTAATAACAATGCTCTTAGACTTTGGTGATGTAAGCCTCTATGTTTGGTTAGAGAAATGTAATATTGTTGTCTATAGTAGTCGAGTGGGTTGATGTTGATCACTGCTTTTATGCAGGAGATTCTACTCCTGGGGCTTTGGTGGCTCGGGCTTTGGGGGCTCAGGTTCTTTAGGCGCATTGGGGCTGTTATGGTCATGCATTACATCAGCATTTGGGTTTGCGCTGTTGTAATCGGAGGGGCTAGGATAGCCAATCTATTGGTGAGTAAGCGTCTGAACATATAACAAGGAGAGAAGGGACGACAGACCCCAGTTTGTTGATCGACCAAACATCCATCACTGGGGTGAAGATTACTGCCGAAATGCACCTCGCCATCACTCCATGCAGAGCTTGAGTCAGTTGGAGCAATGGCGTCAAGACTATCCAGGGCATCCGAGACATCAAGAATATCACCAAAAACTATGAAGATGTTGCCTTCGCCACCACTGGCCGCACCAACAATTGCATGACGAATGAGCGATCGGCCAATAACGCCGAAGATTGTATCCAGAGTTTCTCCCATATTAGCGATATTAATATAAATACCAGCTGGTATGGATGGGAAAAGGGTGTTAAAGTGATAGGTAGGAGCAAGTTAAAGACAGGGTCTAGAAAGGTTCCAGAAGGATAGAATAATACAGTGCTTAATTTAAAACATAATTGCGCACCGTAAGGTTTCATGCCTTCTTATAATAAACCCTTCTCTCATAGCAATACCATCCTTAATTAAGTAGAAGTTGCCGAGTTGCCCTGGCATTTAAACTCTATTAGCCCTACTTCCGTTTATTTTCGGGCTCTATCAGCCATACCTCCGTTTCCCTGTGGGCTTAAGTAGCCCTACTTCCGTCAATCTTCGGACTAAACTGTTAGACCTTTACTCCAATTCGATGCCCTCAGCCGTCTAGACCACGACAGCACAAACACCCTCCTCTAGACAGCTAACAGAAATCTCCTTGCATATTATGACATTCTGCCCATGGGTGATGGGCATGATAAGAGCTGTGTTTAGTTAGTATTCTCCTTAAATCCTGGAAATGGCGGAAGATTTGTGTAGTTAGTAACTTGTGGTTAGTACTGGTAACAAGGCTAATCTTCGGGTAGTCTCAGCGGCAATCTGCAGTCGGATACGAACTCAGCGACTGCGATCGGCGCCTTTGCGTTTGGATGGCATGCATAATAATATTTGGATCACGACTTCGGGAATGTTTGACGTGCACTCTTTGCGATGTCTGTTGGGAAACATGCCCCTTGAACCAGTTATGTTTAGCGTCGACTATCCGTTCAGCGATAACAAGCTTGGCAGAGAGTACTTGGAAACAATTCGAAGGGAGGAGATTCTTGATGAGGATGGGATTAAGGCTTTTGCATCTGGGAATGCTCGCAGGTTATTGTTCAGGGGAGGCGATGGAGCGAAGGTATGATTGCATGGACTATTGGTAAAAAATATAGCCATGTCAGAGAGAGCGAAGAGAGAATTGCCAATTTTGCTCGCCCTCTACTATGGAAGCCCAGCCGTCACATTTCAAAGTGCTGACATAGAATTATCAATGTCTCACTAATCCCTAGCAACCAGTGCATCAGTCTTCGTATAGCGTCAGGCTACATCCCGATGTACCATCTGAGACTACCTCAGCGCTAATCCAGTTTGATACACAGCCACGTCATCCAATCAATTGCCACCTTTAAATACGGCACAGCGTCATTCTTTCGTTTATATCGAATCAACAGCACATCCCCACCGCGACAATGCCAAATGCTAACGACCACTTCCATGGCCGTCATTACCACGCTGAGCGCACAACTGGCCCGGTCAAGTCTCTCAATCCAACGAAGCGATATTTAATTGCCGACAAAAAGGTACTCAATGCTGACTCTGGCGCAAGAACGGTTCAAGAGGAGTCGCGACCGGGCGGAAAGAGTCCTGGAGTTGCCTATGTATGGAGAAGTCGCGACAACAGAAAAGGGCGGCATGCGCTGGCCATCAGCGTTGATCCTAGAAAACATGAAGCAACGAAAGGTCCAAGGCCATCGAATTCGTATCACCAGACTTTGCGTGGTATCTTGAAGATGTTTGTTAGATATCCAGTCTGGGATGTATCGTACGATGTCGCTGTCGTCTTCACAATAGGTACTCACCATCTTCTTACACGTGATTTTAGCTAATGTCTGAAAGGATCGATTATCTGGGTCATCAATGGATTCTTCTCCTGGCTACCCGTTCTAAACCCCTCCACGAAATTCTCGGACTGGGCCGGCGGATTGTCAGCCTTCATCGGCGCTACGATCTTTGAGTTTGGCTCAGTACTACTAATGCTTGAGGCAGTCAATGAGAATCGTTCAGATTGCTTTGGGTGGGCTGTTGAAGAAAGTGTAGATGGAATTCTTCATCTCAATCACGCGCATAATTGCAAGCATGCACATGCCCAGAAGAGAACATTTGTGAAGCAAAGCGCTAAAACGTTAGAGAAGAACACAACGGAAGTAGCGGGAAATGATCGAATGTGGTCTTGGTGGCCGACGTGGTATGAACTGAGAACGCACTATTTCTTCGATATAGGCTTCTTGGCCTGCTCTTCGCAGACATTCGGCGCCACGGTATTTTGGATATCAGGTTTTACAGCACTTCCGCCTATCCTCAATAGTCTTTCTACACCAGCTGAGAACGGCGTCTACTGGCTCCCTCAAGTTATCGGTGGCACGGGTTTCATCGTCTCGAGTATCCTCTTCATGCTCGAAGTTCAGCCTCGATGGTACATTCCCGCTCCGGGAGTTCTTGGATGGCACATTGGACTATGGAATTTTGTCGGAGCTATCGGATTCACTCTCTGTGGTGCGCTGGGCTTTGGCATCACGCATCCGGGTGTTGAGTATGCGCTCACGTTGGCAACGTTTATAGGTTCATGGGCGTTTCTGGTGAGTACGACAATGCTTTGTGGGCAGAAAGGTGGCTGACATGAGGTTGCAGATTGGCAGTGTGATACAATGGTATGAGAGCCTTAACAAGTATCCAATCTGGGTGGATAAGAAAATTGAGCGGCTTGGACGACAAGCGAGCTGAACCCAACAACCATGTCGTCTATACATATATATAGGTCTGGTTGGTGGCCGTCGGTCCAATCATATCTATCAAATGAATCAGTACTGGAGAGGATTAGTGGTGTAGTACCTCCACTCGAACTTCGCCCTGATTGTATTCCGTGACCAAAGGATTATCGCGTGATCTAAGAACACACCAATTATAATGGCTATAATCGGCAGGCCCGGTGAGTATTACGGGGCTATGAAATGAATCAGCGCTAATATGCAAGCTTTCATGGTGGTTTTTACCGTGGTTGTGACGCTCGCTTGTCTGGTCGACCCAGGATGTTGACATCGTCTACTCTGTACTAGCATATGATACGTGGTTATCATCATAAAATCCAATACTGATCTCATGCGCTGGTGCACCGCAGATAGCACAATACGTATTAGTGTCAGACATTTTTTGTTTAGTTAATTAAGGATGAAGTTGCAAGTAGAGAAGACGATGAAGAGAGCTGACACTTCGGCAGTTGTGTTTGTGCCTGAGGCAAACATGATCCCTTGCATTAGATCAGTAGGCTGAAGAATCACTGAAATTACAAGGTCAAGCAAGGATAAGACACCAACATTTCAAGTAGCCGCCATTCTCTGTTAGCTGTGCCGAAACATTTGCTGTAATTGTGAACAGAATGGGAGTCTTCCAAGCATCTTAAGGCGCGGTTCAAGCAAGTAAGGCGAATTAATCCTTCAATCGGTTTGATATAGGCGGTCTTATGTATACTTACTTCGTCCTCCTCTGTTGTATAAATTGAGCTGCCACGGCATGTTGACTTTATCATTTTCATGTAACCTATCCTTCAACCACGTCTAATCTATCAACCTCGAAATGGTTCTTGTCCCTATCTAAAATTGATATGCTGGACCTTATCTAGTATCGAGATGCTAAAACCCTATACCCGCTTTATTCCCAGCTACCCGAATACCCGCGACCCCACTTTAGAATCTTACCCTCCATTTGCCATGCCATCAACCATAATTGTTTCGTGAATTGCCGATTCACCATGGATCAGCTGGTCTCAACGCGTGTCCAAACACGTTCTTCGTTAGCATGTCTTCAATGCCGGACGAAACACGTGAAATGCGATGCCAAACAACCTCGATGCAGTCGATGCATAGCCTACGACAAGACTTGCCAATATACAGCTTCAAGACGCGGTGGCCTTGATCGAGCGGCTTTGACGGAAAGGCGGAGACGTCTTGCTTCTAAGGATGATAGGCAATCGAACAATATTGTGCCGGAGATATCCGTGGCAGTATCTGATGAGGGAATCACCTTGGGCGATGAATCTGTGATGGGGGCGGATTGCATGGAGGTTTTTCAACATGCGAGCTTACCCGTTCCAACACCAGTTTCAGAGAACCGCGAAACACCGCATTTCAACTACGATGGCCTCGCTGATGATACTCTGGTTAAGTCGTACTATGCCAACTTCCACCACTTCCATCCTTTTGCTCCTCCGTTCAAGCACCTAGTCCAACTATCCCAGGCGTCGGCTCTCAACTTTAATCCCCTCATAGCTGCCATGCGACTGATTGGCCATATTTACGACACTCACCAATGGTCAGAATCACTAAGCCGCGACGTCGAGGCTCAAACATCCCAGCTTAAACCATCAGATGCAGTGCAAGTCCAGGCTCGTCTGCTATACTCCATCGCTTTGTTTTGGTATACCTTCAAGGCCGAAGCAAAAGAGCAGATAGATGCTGCAATCAATGTTGCTGTCAATTTGGAAATGCATAGGCAGGAGTTCGCTGCTATATATGGATTCGGAGACCCGATCATGATTGAATGTTGGAGACGAACGTGGTGGATGTTATTCATCGTGGATGCTTCCTACGCTGGAACACTGGGGACGATGAACTTCAAAACAGTACATGTCGAACCTACCGCGGAGCTTCCTTGTGAAGAGTCCGAATATGACGCAGGTGTAAGTACTTCAGACGACCTTGATACAAGAGACTGACATGCGATCCGTAGACAATTCCCGCACCAAAGACTTTACAAGACTTCGATTCTCGTGAGTTCGATAGCGAAGACGTGGTATTCTCGTCCTTCGCCTATCTCATCGGTGCAGTCCGCTGCGCAGCACAAGTCATTTGCATGTCACCAAAAAAGGCGACAAGACAAGATTCAGAGGCCATCATACAATCCGCTGACTCGGCGTTCGACGCCTGGCTACTGCTACTGCCCAAGGATAAAAAGCCAGTGCTGAAGGGAGACGGAACCATTGATGAGTTGATGTTTCAAGCTCACTTACTTATACATGTGTATGTCCTTCGTTCACAACAATGAGAGTTGAGCTAACTGTCTAGTGCAACTATTGGGATACACAGACCATTATCGGATCTGAGATTCAACCCCGTTGAAAAGGTATCAAGCTGTGCTCGAGAACCGCCCACAGACACACCGAAGCCCAATCTCATCAACGTGCACACGACCAGAATTCTCAAATCCGTCAACGCACAAATTCAACTGTTGGCATTACCTGTCCGTCCATTTCATCACACCCCATTCACTACGTGCATGGTTAGCGAAGGAACACTTGCCCTTCTCTCAGCTTGTACCTACATGTTGGAAGGTCAAGCTTTGGCGGTGGCGCGAGATCAGATTAGGTTAACTATTGGGTGTCTCAAGGCTGTAGGTGAGGTTTGGCCGAGGACGGCAAGGAATGTGAAGGAAATACAGACTATTGCTCGTCATGTTCTTGGACTTGGAGGCGGTAGTAGAGCAACGGAGAGCACTCCGGGATCAACCCAAGTCCCGAGTTTGACGCAAAGCGAGGGAGAAGGTAGCATGGAGTCTATACCAACCATGGACCAGGGGGATGATGTTTTTGCGTCTTTGGGGTCTTTTGAGGATATATGTGGGTGGGTGAATATGGGTATAGATTTGGATCCCAACAGCTGGATTTCAGGAAGCTCAGACTAAACCTGGGCGGAGTTTTTCTGGGTCTATGAAAATTAGTATCTATTAAATTTCTAATGTTCAATATCTCTACTCTTGAGTCATCTCTCAACTAACGCTGTAATACTTCTCCGCCTTCATAGCTTAGAACTCAAGCACGACCTTATAGCCCTTTCCACGTTGTCTGGCATGTTCCCAAGCTTCAACCGCCCTATCAAACGGAAACGTCTTCACGGCCAGTGGCTTAATCACCCCCTCATCAAACAACCGAGCCATCTTTCCCAAGCGATCCGCATTCGGCGAGACGATGAAATACTTGTACCTCACTCCTGGTAGGGACAAGGCCTCGGAGGGCTCATCACCACCAAAGGCCCACGACGGTGCAGGGTCGCCAATCGTGATGATCATGCCATCGGACTTGACAGTTTCCCACGTCTTGGCCAGAACTTCTCCGCCTACCGTGTCAAAGACAACATCGACGTCTTGTACAGACTTCTCCCAGTTTGGGGTTTTGTAGTCGACAATTTCGTCTGGTACGTCCCCCAATACCTGCTGGTTCGTCGCAGATGCTAGCGCAATCACATAAGCACCGGTCAAGTGTTTAACAAGCTGCACAAACTGCTGGCCAACTGCGCCCGACGCGCCAGTCACCAGGACCCTAGAGCCCAAGTGAATATCGGCATAATCCAGAACTTCCCATGCAGTCAGAACCGGAATCGGCAACGCAGCAGCTTCCGCATGTGAAAGCGACGCTGGCTTTAAAGCAACTTCGTTAGGAGAGCAAACAGCGTAGTCAGCTTGTCCTTCGCAGGTGTCTGCCGACAGAAACGCATAAACCTCTTGGCCAATTTTCAAGGGACCAGAGTAGTCAGGGCCAAATGCGGCGATGACGCCGGATATATCGTGGCCTGGAATTCGGGTTGGGCGTCGATATGTCTCTGGCCACATAACTTCATCGCCAGTGATTCCGGCGGCGTGAACACGAACAAGAACATCAGAATTGACGGGTTCTGGTTTCTTCATTGAGAAGTTTGTGGTAATTTTTGGAGAAGACATGTCTCCGAGGATCTGAACAGCTTTCATCTTGAGTTTGGGGAAATTATTTCCTGATGTCTAAGATGCAATGATAGGCTAGTGTATGAGAGTGTTAACAGATGATATAATTCAAACAATTTTCTGTGCCAAGAAGTGGCTGTTTATATGCCGATAGTAGTAGTCGGCAAATGCGCCGGGGATCCGGCGACTGAAGGGAATACCCGGATACCCGGGCCCGTAATTGACGATTGCCCAGCTTATTGATCCCCACACGAAAACCGGGAGGCCAAAAGGCAGGATAATCGTCCTTTATCAATTGAAGAAATTATCATGCCATAAGTATAAGTAGTTCATTCAAGTCAGCATCAGTATCTATCCTACTTCTCATCTTACATTCTTCCTTACTCCTGAGTCTTCTACACCACTTCGCAACACTTATATAGCATCTCCCCCATCAAAATGGCAGACAGTGTTGAGAATAAACGGCAAGTTGAACATCTGCGTCTTCCGGAACCCAGGCTAATGCTTATTAGCAATCGCCCTCGCGAAACCGTCAAGATTCTCTACGACTACGAGCTCACCAACGCACCCGGAAAATCCATCGTTGGTCTCGAAGTCCACTACGGCCCCAACGGCTGGACACCTCCGCATACTCATTCCGGTGCAACTGTCGCCGCCACTGTAATTAAGGGTCAACTGCTTAGCGGGATGAACGGTAACCCGCCGAAGGTGTATCACGCGGGGGAGAGCTTCCGTGAGTTTCCTGGATGTCATCACACTGTTAGTGATAATCCCAGTGAGACTGAGGACACTACTTTCATTGCGGTTATGGTGATTGACACTGAGGTTGTCAAGAAGGGGTATCAGTTTCTCGTTGTTCTGGATAAGGAATGGGAATAAATTTGAGATAGAAACGGAGATAGAAACGTGGCCAAGGACTATGATTACTTAGTTCATCCAATATTAACTCTCAACTATACCGTCTCTAAAACCTCATAGTTCTTTTCCTTCCAGAAGGCTCCTCATCTCTTACAACAACTGTAGAATACAATCTAACCACAAAGTGCACCCAAGAGTGGGATAGTTCCTGCTCCAAAAGGAACCGTCTCTCCAATAATAGCTCCAAGCTTCTCAACAATTGACTTGCAATCCCCGCCCGAAGTGAATCCAGTAAGACCATCAGTCTTTGCATTCATCCAACCATATTGATTGCAGTTGTTGAAGATAGCAGACTGATGGAAGTTGGGAGCATAGCCCTGCCAGGCCTTGACACGCGAGCATGCTCGTCCTCCACTTGGGCATGCAACTTCTTCAGACCAAACTTGGTTTCGCCCAGAAGCATCGGCGAGAGACTGTGCAAGAGCATTACGCATGTCCCAACCAGAATAAACGCCCTGAGCACTGACTTTGATATCCTTTGAGTAGATACCAGTAGCTGTGACGTACTTTGTGCTTCGGGCCCAGTCACTGCCACTGTCACATCCGCCTTCGTGACACAGGTCGTAGACGTGGTGGAACAGGTCGTAGGGATTGAAAGAACCAAATTTGACAAAGTTCTTGCCACTAGTGACGATGGTGTGCATACCGGCGCCGTGGCAATTATATCGCTTCTGATGGTTGGTCTTCTTTGCTTCGACGTAGTAAGGGTTGTCGAGGAGACGGTCCTCGCAGTTTCCTTCAGCGAGACATTTCTCGAGGATAGGACCGCCGAGCCAGAAGCTGAAGTCCGTCTCAGGGGTTTGAGCTGGGGTTGGCGTAGCTGCTGCAAAGGCTGCTGAGCAGAGAGCGAGAAGGGCAGCTGACACGAGCATGGTGATGATGAGAGATTGTTGGATTATAGAAAGAGAGCAAAGGGACTCTGAGAATCTGAGGATGAAAACAAGAGATGAATTAATACGGACGGTAGTTAAGTATTTATACATGGTCCTCCAGGTTCACCGCTGTCGTCAAACCTATCCAATCACTTTCCCTTGTAATGCAGTAACACGTGCAAGGCTGAACTTATTGTAAAGTCCAAGAGTTCAACCTTCCATGTCTGCATAAACAGCTAGGTAAAAATTGCACCAAAACAGATATCATTCCACTTGTCCCATCACGAAAACCTCTCAATCAAGCAACTCTTGGCAGGGGATATAGTTCCAAATGGTCTTGACTGCCAGGGACGACAAGAATCCGGCATTCACGCTTGGCAGAAGCTTGTTCCTAAGCTTGTATTTTCGCTTATTTTTAGGCCTCTATTTGCTGTTTGCGGTTGATGACCCTATCACAGCGCCGTAATCCTGCTGTAAAGTCGGCCGCTGTGGTGGAGTTCAATGTCCCCCAGTTCTGCGGCTGACTTGATCCACTTATTGGTCTGTCAGCAGCTTACTTAAGGGACTTTTGCCAAGTTCCAGGGTTCTGAGCGATAAGAAACTTATCAATACGAGATAAGATAGCGAGATACAGGACTTGTCTCATTCTCGCTATTTATAACTGGTGGCTTGGAGGTGGTATTGTGGAATTGGAGTAACATCGGCTGCTGGGCTTGGCTTTTATTTCTCAGCCGCATTGGTTTTGCCTCGGCGTCATCATCCATAATTGGGGGGCCAGGCTAAGGGAAGCATGAAAGTTTAGGTCCTTGACCGCAAATGATGAAAAGATTTAGGTAAGTCGGTATAAGCTTAGGGGTTATTTTAATAAGTTTATTTCGGCATCTTATCCATTGTATTCGGTGAGGCAATCCACGCTTAGGATACCCTACAGCTCCATTCTAAAAAAACATTTCTCGATAAACAATAATTAGAAATGTTATTTCTCTGCATGAAGATTCATATTAGAGTCTTTAAGCAATTGCGTCCAAACCGTAATCACGAGTCGTCTGTATTTCATTCCTCGCATTTTGGTTGAACCGATTCAACATGCAGATTCGAGGCAAGGCGCGCGAGACACGCATCAGTTGTCAAGTCTATCAACTCAAAATAACTCCTAGAGTTATGACAACTTAGATCAGGACAACTTGATAATGACAACATAAACAAAGCTGACTACAATTTCTTCACACTTCTGGCTATTTTTACATCTTGGAGCCATAACCGGCTAAGGTTTTACTACTACTATCACTTCCCATGTTCTATCTCATTGGCGCTGGCGTGGAGGAATTGTCAAAAAGAGAATCCTGCTAAGCAGAGACCCGATTGGCGAGAGAAAATGGCCATGTGAGTGGGCCGGGTCTTTCAGCAAGATTATCCGTGACCAGGCCAATACAGTACCTCCGTGAAAACACCTTCTGCCTTGCGGCCCTCAATGCCTCAAATATTAAGTTTTGTCTGTCTCCATATGCCCGATAAAGGGAAAGCCGGCAAGGTCGGTAAGCGCGGCAGGAAAAAGGTTCCAAGTGATCATCATGTGATAGCTAATGATCTGACACTTAGTGGAGTATCTAAACCGCGGCAACGCTTTTACCTCAGGGCGTCATTAAAATTGAAAACCAGGAACAGGCCATAAACCGAAAAGGTCAACAGCTCTTATTCCAAGCCAGAGGCTTTCAATTTTTCAACGTCATGTCACCTTGCTCTCTTATCTTCAAGTTCGCCGTATTCTTCATTTTTCGAGCAATGGCATTTCTCTCTCCGCGAGATGCAATCCATGTCGATGATATTGAGCGCTACGACGCGTTTATGAAAACACTTGCCGGGAATCAGTATCTGCATACTTACCCGAAGAATCAAGTTATCAAACTCGATGTCTACGAGCATCCATCTGATGAGCTTGTCCTATCTGGTGAATTCAAGCCAAGCGCCAAGGCCGATGCATATTGGGAACAGGAGGATAAATTCGAAAAAAAGTTTCTGGGACGGCAAGAATGCCCTGGGGAGGATGTATCAGAATTCACGATGGCGTAGCCTCCTGTACGGAAGGATGCAGGTGCACGCGATATGTAATATTGCGTGTGTACTAGATAATCAGACTGTCAATTTGTTAAGGTGAATTGAAGTGAGAATGAATTTGTATTTGTATGATATTTTAATAATTATAAAGTAATACCCTTCATAGCTAACCAGCCTTTTGCTTCAGTAAGGCCCATTAACGATGTTAGACATATCTTGCCAAAAGCATCAATGTCATCTTTCTGGGCATCGTGAATTATTATCTCCAAGAAATTCGGCCTAAAACTCATCAGCTGTAAATCCCAAGACCAAGCTTGATATGCAGCTTACGCGCCGACGTTTATCACAAAGTGTTTTTTATTTCGCCACGCCAGTGCAAAGTCAACTGGATCCTGCGCGTTCCATAAATGAGCAGACATGGTAACAGAGCGATTCACAGCCATATTCTTGTTCTGACCGCATCTGTTACCAGACTCGCCTTTCATGAAGTAGTACGTCAACATGAAGAAGTTTATCATGCCGAGGGTTCTTTTGGCTGATTCTTGGAAGATCCAGTTTGTCCAGAATGCATGTGCTGCAGAGGCGGGGTATAGTGGAATCAGATCTGATGAGTGATCTGGTGAGTTTGCTGCTTCGTCAAAGGCGATGTAGGGGATGAGCGCGTTAGATGCTTCTTCGAGATGAGGCATGGTGGCTTCGTAGATGGCATAAGTCCGGGCGTCGTTGTCCAGTAGGCGGAGCACCTGATACATGAAGAGGGCTTGTGCGTATGCAAGAGTTTCAATGGGAGTTGTTGCTGGAGGGCTAGAGAGTAGATCCTGTACACGGCTTTCAATGTTGTCGCGTATTACTCTAGCGTTGAGGTGGTTCTTGGCTGCATGGAGTGCAGCAGAAGATACCGCATCTGTATTCAAGTGTTATCCGTGAGTCAACAACATATGGAACGAACCCACGTTGCATAGATCGAGGCATTCCATCATCATACAGATGCGAATGGCACCACGGCGTCTGATTCTCAGAAACCATTTGAGAAGGGCCCTTTAATATTGTATCCATTGCATACTGAAGTCGAGACGAAATTGCTCTTGTAACTTGAGGAACTGTGACAAGCTGAGACCGATTCAGCGCATCTTGAGCCGTGGTTGAAAGTCGCGGCGTAGACCAATTGGACGCATCGCAATCCAATGACCCTCGGAATAGCTCGTCTGTAAAATCATCCGTTGTTTCCAAGATCGAACCAAGCATCCCCAGGCATGACGGCGTATACGACAACTCGATATCAGAAACTGAAACCATGGGTTGCGCATCGACAATCACACCCGCGCTCTCACGCTGTGGAGGCGCATAAGGATAATGGCAGTGGATATTCCGCTGAGCGCAGCGCTGACACGTCGGACGCGCCAAGTCGCATCTCCGACGCGCTTTCTTGCAAGCTTGACAGGACTTCCGTCGGGCTGGCGGATCGTTGCGCTCCATAGATGATGGGTAAGATGGAATTTTGATGGTCTGTGATGAGGTAAGATGGTGGAAGTGCGCTGAGGGACCCAGATAGCAGCGGAACTCCGCTGGCAGCCCCACAAAAGGACGACGGAATAGCGCGTAGGAGAGGAAGACGGACGTACTGCAGCTCACAATAATAAGATATAAAGGAGCTTGACCGCCAGCAACCAAAAACAGGATGATCATATCAAAAACAAGTAACCATTCAGCATCTATCACAATGTCTCTCCCAACCGTCTACGTCGTCGCAGCTACAGGCACCCAAGGTTCAGCGGTATGCCGCCACCTCCGCCAATCAAACTGGTCCGTTCACGCTACAGTGCGAAACACTGAGTCACCTCAAGCCCGAGCTCTCGCTAAAATCGGCGTCGTCTTGAACTCTGGCGATTGGGACGACGAAGAAGCCCTCACAACCGGTCTCGCAGGTTGCAACAAGCTATACCTTGCTCTTGGACCCAATTACAGCAATCTTGACGATGAGCGCATTTGGGCTCAGAGGATTATTGCACTGGCTAAGAAGGCGGGCGCTGAACATGTTGTGTACTCGAGTTCTATTAGCGCCGATGCTCCTGAGAAGCGCACTCTTCTTCCTCCAAGTCACTTTCTCTTCAAGACCCTATTCATCAAGAACATCATAGAAGGTCTTGTTCAACGAGCCGGATTTAATCACTGGACTATCATTCGTCCTGGGTTCTTCATGTCCAACCTCCTCGCACCAAAAGCTCGTATCTACAATGACTTATTCGAGCGCAACATCTGGTTAACCGCCCTAAAGCCCGACACCAAGCTCAACCTCGTCGACCCCGAAGACATCGCTAAATTCACTTTGGCGGCTTTCCAAAGCCCTGAACGTTTTAACGGAGAGCGAATTGATCTTGTCAGCGAGAGGTTGACGGCTGTGCAGATGATGGAGATTCTGGCTAAGGCGTCTGGACGAAACATGAAGGCTGAGTTTTACACTGATGAGCAAGTGGCTCAGGCTATGGATAACAACCCATTCATTGGATCGCAGGTGTTTTTGAGGGATGGGGAGAAATGTGTTGATGCTGATAGGGTCAAGACGTGGGGAATCGAATTGGGTAGTTTCAAGGAGTTTTTGGTCCGGGAGAAGGATGCTGTGGCTGAGACATACGCCTCATAGGGCAACCAACAGATCGGTTACATCTTTGTATGTATACATTAGCATGCGGTTGCTCAGATACAAATTTCTAGTTCCAATTTTTGACATATGGCGCCCAGAGTAAATTAGTACCCCTCAATTCATCACAGATTATGGTTAAACTCATATTCGTTATCTCCTGGCACATGTCATGTCATGATGCTCCTCACGGACTGAACAGCATTCACATGAGTTCCAACACTGCTAGCGCTCGTGTTACTGCTGTGATGACTACGTTGCCGACACCTACGGAAACTGAGACGGATGAAGAGCCTGCGTGTCGTGATGCGTCAATGGTCAAGAGGGCGGGTGAAGGGTTAGGATACTAATTTCAGGACGATTGGGATGTCATACGTATGCCTGGGTGGAGATATTTCTAAGCCTTTGGGTTATTATTAAGATGCCTGCGTCTCTGATGGTTGGTACCAGTCTCTTGTTCTGTGGGATAAACAGTATTGGACTGATATGCGGCCATGAACTGCTGAGCCTTCCGGCTTCGAGAACTGTGTGGTGAAGTCAAGGGCCAAAACCCCGACGGCGCTCATCATACTGGTTATTGCCTTGTTTTACTGTTTATACTTTATGTGTGTTGTTTTTCTTAAGTAAAGTTTAGATTTAATTTATAAATTATTATAACAATTCTATGAATTTATAGGAAGTTTATTTAAAGTTTTATAATTATTTACAATTAATTTTAATATCTATATGTAAAGATTTATAAAGCCTTAAAGAAATTTAGTGAATATATCAGAGTCTAGACCGAACTGGTATTATACTTACAGAGCAAGAGCAGCTACATAACTTATGTATTTAATCACGGCCATATACACAAGCTACAATTACAAGTAACTAATGCTCACAGTGTCCGATGTATAGGTTGTTCTTATAGCAGAATTGGCATAGTTATATATGTATTATATACAGGAATTAAACAATGAGTCTCTTGGCAAAGATGTAATCAGATTAAGAGTATGTGCTCAATCTTCAGTCCAACCACAAAGATAATCATGGCCCTTCGCTGGCGGCAAGTTGAACCAACACTTCGTGTACTGAATAGGATTGTCAATGTCCAAATCGTCATGATCAGGAACAGTCGCATCCTTGATGGTGCATTCCTCAGGAACATTACCAGAGAACGAGAAACACCGGTCTGGGTTGTCGATCCTATACTTGACGCAATCGTAGTTGTTCTTGAGAGCTGCTTCAAAGTCGAAAATATAGCTCTTGAGCGTCTTGAGGTCGTCGCCTTTGAAATTGAATACCCCGCTGATACTTCCAACGCCGTTGGGTTCCCAACCGAAGCAAATACAGCGCTGAAGCAGATGTCAGAATACTCAGATTCGATCAAGGAATAGAATGCTTTACCTTGTCATGCCAGATACAACCTTCCATGTGATCGTTGCAAACTTGCTCAGACATATCTACTTGAGTAGAGATCGAACCAACGCCGCCGTGATGCAATGTGAATGTTAGCCATGGATTGAAAGAGTAAGTTCTACGATTAGTTACCTTCGAACATTTAGTGTCTTCCTGATTATCCGAAAATCTATGTTAGTATTACCGCCCTTTATCAATGGAAGCTAGGGTAGCAACTTACGTCACTGACCATGAGATTGTAATTAGCCTTGTTTCTAGACTTCATGGCCTTGACAACCGCGAACTCATTCTATAGCCAGTCGTTAGCGGAACATACAGATGAGATCCCAAAGTTGAGGACTGACCCATTTGCTGTGCACCTGTTCGATATATGTCTTCATCGCGGGTTTCGTAATGTCCTTACTCAACCAGTCGGCGTCCTTGAAGAAGTCATACACATACTCCGTCATCTTATCATCGCTCCATCCTTTGGGGGGCACACCACCGAAGATATGCCCCACAAACCCCTTGGTAGAGTTCATGACATTGTTGAACATGTTACCATAAGCTATCTCAAGCTTGTCATTCAGTGTTTCTGGCGACACTGTCTCTTCCCAGCTCGTACCTGCTCCCATAGCTGTAAAGATACCAGCAAACGAAGTCATCGTGCCGGTCAAGAGGGGCTTAGCGGCACCAAAGCCTGCTAATGAAGTCAGGATACCAATGAGCATGTTGAGAAAGTCGCTGTTCTCTTCCTGCGGTGGAGTGCCGTATTCGCTGACGATTGCCTTGATGCCAGAGGAGAGTTGCCCGATGGCATCTTCTACAGTCTCCATCCAGAACGCGTTGAACCCGTCAAAGAGATTGCCGATCTGGAGGTGCATGTAGAACGCCTGAGGTGGGGTATATGTCTTGCACGATTTGGCGGCCGGCCCGGGACAGTTTGATGAGCTCAAGGCGGTGCAATCAAAAGTCGAACCGCCTTGCTCACCATCGGCTATGACTTGCTGGAAGAACTTATCCGACCAGTCTTTAGCTCCGTTGTCGTGAATCCACTTCTTCCACCAGTCAGCTGCACCGCTGTCTTTCCAGGTCTTGTGAACCACGTCGATATCGTCAGTCTGGAACTTATAGCTGCAAACCTCGCCGCTGTGATCTTCGCCTTTACCGGGAAGGTCAATAATTGGAATGTCGTCGCCTACGGATCCGCCGCCTGTCTTGGGCAGCCTAGGGTCCGCTGCAGTAGGTTAGCATACATGGTGGTCTGGCGGAAACAACCACGAGGGGCTCTTACTTGTCGGGGGACTGTCATCTCCACCAGTTGAGCTACACCGGTTCCAGTATGTCCAAGCCTGAAGGGTATTATCAGCCAAACACCCTCTGTAAAGTCATTCCCAGGCAAAACATATACCTTGTTCGTTTGAGGATCAACCTTGACTAGATCCGCGCGACCTTGACCACCTTGGTTCGTAAAGTGCTGACAACAATGATCAGCCAGCCAGCATAACCACCGCCTCAAATGGTCAACTTACCATGTTTTCGCCTCTGTCAATAGGGTTGTAAAGCATGCCACGATTTGTCCAAGAAAATGAGCTGCCCCCTTGAGCCTTGTGCCCATTGTTTGTAAAGACATCAACGGCGCCCGTGTACTTATCAACATGAAGAAGGTCAGCTCGTCCAGACGCTTCGACGTCCGCAAATCGTATGTTGGCGCGGTCCCTTGAAGAATCATCAGCTGTGATAGTGAAGGACGATTGTTATCGGGACGACATACCATCCTTCAGAAAACTTAATCTGGCCGACGTTTTCCAAGCCGTTGGCTTTATTGAGCCAACCAGTGATACGACCATTCTTCTCGATGCACAGGGCATCAGCCCGACCATCACCGCTGAGTCTTTGGTTAGTTCTGGACCTAAACAACTCACAAGAGGCATGTAGACGAAACCCAAGTGTACTTACTCAATGTCATGGAATCTCATTCCCAGATCGAAAATACCAACGCCCCAGCCTTGGTTACAGTCCGTCGCACCAACGGCTGTACCACTGTCAAACGAAATGCGGTCAGCTCCCTTGTCGTACTGATTCTTGTAGACCGTCAAATGTCCGGTTGCCTTGTTCTGCACAATCACATCGCATCTCCCATCACCAGTCCAGTCAGCCAAGTGGATACCGTTTCGTGGCCCAGGAACCGTGAGTTCAATCTTGGTGTTATGTCCCCATGCAGGCGGTGAGTGGATGTTGGCATTGATCTCAGCGGCATGACCGTCTTGGTAGATCCAGACATAATCATCGCTGCCAGAACCACGCATGTCGCAGTAGTAGTTGCCATCAGCCTTGAGCTTGGTTCCACCGGCGCCTTGGTTCTGCCAGACAACAACGTCGTAGTACTCCTTTTCCTCTTTGAGGAAGATGTAGTCCAAACGGTTGGAGCCGTAGATACGTCCGAACTTGATGCTGTCTTGGATACCAGTTACGGCTTGACCAGCATGGGTTTGGCCCGCAGATCTCCAATTTGGCACCTATTTGCATTTGTTAGCATGGATATCTTTCTCTCTCGATTCTTTACTGTACGCGTGACGTACTATGCCGCTGCCAGTGCCCCTATTGTTGATCCATGTACTGACTTGACCATGATCACCGATATACATGACATCGCTCCGGAAACTGTATAGGGATATCAGTAAATCTCTTGCCGGCATGAGAAGAAGATGGGTGATGGGGTATCGTACTCTCCGTTGAGGTCGGCTGCCGATTTTGTTAGCATGCTAATCAAGGAGCAATGTGGGAACAAGACTTGCTAATAATTATGCCGGCCTTGTCGGGTTGGCCAATGTTGAAGACAGTGCCACGGATGCCATTGGCTGTACTGAACCCTTGCCATTGAGGCTTGTCGCCCCAGCCACCATTCCGAGAGCACCTAGAGTTGTCAGTCACGAGCTACCATCCTCAGGGTGAACATACGCAATCTCGCCTGCAGATTTGAGCAAGCAAAAGTCTGCTCTTCCGTCCCCATCGATATCTGATCTTGGGGTCAGTGAAACTGGTTTGATGAAGATATTCGAGGGAGGGTTGGTGACAACTGACCTGCGATGCGTACATCGGTGGCTTTAAGACCACCGAAATCGCCAATGACCTGCCCAATGCTCTCGAACTTGGGAGGGTTTCCGCCTCGGTTAAGCGAAACCCATACAGCGTTCTCCTTGATGCAGAAGAAGTCGTCCAAACCGTCGTTGTTCTAGTCGAATTGTCAGTCTAGGCCAGCACGAAACGGTGTTGCGAGGCAATTACAAAATCGGCGAATGAGTAACCTGTTCAATGCATGATTAGTAGAGCTCGGAAAGCAGAGAACCACGAAGTACTCACGAGGGCCCAGATCACAGTCCATGTCAACGTTGAACTGAACCGACTTATCAAACTTGCCTCCTCCCAAGTTTTGTCGAAACCAGTACGCATTCTTGTCTTTGGTGTTATGGTAGACACGGATCCAATCATCAAGAGAAGCCGATCGTTCTGCATTCGGGTCACCCTTGACAATGTTCGCGAAGAAGATATGCCAGGGGATCGCGTCAGTAATGGACTTTGGATCACTCCCCTTGTCGATCTTTGCGCTCTCAATAACACCCTTCGAAGTGCTCTTGTGAGCGTAGTTACCATCATCATGACCGCTGCCCATCTGAGATTGACCAGGTAGCCCCGCGTTGCCAGCAACCTTCTTGCACTGGTTGCTCTGGCCACTGGCTGCATCGTCGATCTTGTCAACTTTTGCTGGTGCCTGGATCTGGTCTTCGATCTTGCTGATGGCGTCCCACCAGACACCAGCAAACATCTTGTAGCCATCGTCAGTGGGATGATCTTTGTCAGGTCCAATGTCGTCCATAGACATGACGCTTCGTACGTCGGCGAGGGCGATGCGAGCTCCTTTGTAGCCAGCTGCGACACTTCTGATTTGCTTGCTAATATTGTCGCTGCAAGCATTCCTTGACGAGTCTTTGTTTAGGAGGAGCGTTGATAGGATTACTGTCACGCCAGGTACGCTGTTAAAGATGTCGTCTACCAGGCTTTTCGTTCGTTCGCCGGCTTTGCTGGGGTCGCCTCCCGAGTTGCAGTCGTTCCTAACCAGTTAGTTGGGCATATGGAGGCCGTTAGCTAGATGGACTCACAATCCAGCGTTGATAAGGACCAGGTTTGGCTTCATCCACTTGCTCTCAGTCCATGCGCCATGGACGGACTCAATGGTCCAACCAGGATGGCCCTCGTTGTCCTAGCAAATATTAACCATGTCTCCACTGGAGCAATAACCTTCCTGTGGCTTACCGAGTCTGCCATAGTACCATCTCTCTCTGACCCAACCATGTTGACCTTCCAGCCACTGAAACGGAGCTGAGCCCGAAGCCATTTACGATAGCCGTTGCCGTCACTAGACTTGTAGCCTTGGGTAATGGAAGCACCAAGTGGCATCACTCTTAGATAAAAGTCTTTAGCAGCTCTGCGATCAAGTCCGGAACTCTGATCAACTGTGGCAGTCAGGTTGTCGAGTTCATTCGGGTCTAGGTCGGTAACTCTCGGCGCCTCTCGAGACCCTTGCCCTCTCACGTCCAGACGAATGACGTCGGGCGCATTTCCGTTCCCATAGGGTAAGATGCCATCCGAGTGATGAGAAGCGCTTGCGTGGGTGTAAAGAAGAATACCAAGTATGGTTGAGACGGCGGCATGGCCGCTGCGAAGTACCCGCATGTTCACGTCCCGATGAACTTAGCTAGGAAAGAGGCTTAAATAATATAACAGAGCTCCGGAATACGTGAACTATGTAGTTTTATATTAATTTCAACTTTCGCAACGGGTCTCTCGCGGAATTTCCATTATAGGCCATACGTATTTCTGCGGCCGAACATCAAACGACGGTCAATGGATTCGATCCTACGATGGTTGAGATCACCATGCCATTGTATCTGACTAAGATAAATATATCTATGGGTCCGCAAATCTTGGCATTGTCCGTTCCCATCCTTCTATGATTGGGTTGTTCGTTCCGGCCCTTCCATCATTGGCTTGCTTACAAGCGAGACATGGATGGGAAAATATCCATACGATTACTGAACGCAGCATCCAACTCATGAACAACTAAATTTGGCTGGAACCTTTGCACTTCTTCCTTCTTCCTTCATCTTCAAGTTGCCTCCGTGTGACAATTCATTTAGTCTGTCTTGTCGATATACCTCGGCACCTGAATTTAGACAAAAGTGGACTTATGGCCGATTATTCTAGACTTTGGAGGCAATCAGAAGAAAAGACGGTAATAACATCTTCATTAAGCGGCTTTTAGTAGCTTTCTGACAATGTACTCCACAGTATTGTAATTATGTACACGCTTTAGTAGTTCATAATGGGTCAATGGTCTTGTATTGAAAGAGAGACCTGACATTGATCGCGTCTTACTATTCTCTTGGCCCCGTTCTTCGTCCTTCGCTGGGTGAAACAAGCGTACCAGACAGATTTCGCTGTAAAAGCAGTCTGCTAGGTGAGGTGGACTGCCTCTCCTAATTCCCAATTTAACATTAACCCCACAGACGACCTACAGAGCCTGTCAGAGAGATTGCCTTATGACTTGACAACCTTACAGGGCTGTGTTAGAAATAGGAGCATTACCACGTGCGCCGCCTTGCATCCTCGCATGTCAAACCACCAGTCAACCATGCGCCTTTCCTGAGGTCGGCTATTCCGGGAATGAGAGGGTGATACTACCTAAGCAGCGTCTTTTATCCTTGTTGATTGGCTGAGCTTTGATTGATATGTTGCCTGCCAAGACTCCCGTTCGGCACTTATATCCGTGAACTCAATCTCACCTAAGACGGAGAGTTAATCTTACCTAAGTCGGGAGAGGCGCTCGAAATCGATCAATTGAACCCTGTCGCTAGAGTCTAACTTTGCTATATGAGCTGGACAGAGTGGAACCATGCAAATTGAAGGGGCAGATATCATCAGTTTCACTGATAACGAACAGTCCAGAGCATGTCAGATCACGCCTCTCAGAAGGGAAATTGTCATTCTTTGCAAGCAGTGAAAGAAACACGTTACTGGTCCACTATACTTGCTAGCAGTAGATGAAACCCCTTTCCTCTTTTCTCTGTCTGTATACATAGCGCACAAGTCTTGAACTAGCTGTTGGCTTCACATGCCGCCATGTCTTGCATCCCTCAATGCGCCTCTACAAGTGACAGGCAGGAAAGCAACTTCACAAATCTACCTCTACGTCCCTTGTGATCGCCTTCTCCTCACATCCCTCCCCATCAATAAACATCTCCCGAAGCCTTTGCCTTGAAATGCGAGGGAAGTAGTAGGTGTGCCTCCCCGGACCCCTCCTCAAATTTTCAATCTCACCTGCGATATTACCAACTTCTTCGCGTCTATGACCCGCATGAACACCAAAATTCATATGTTCCTTCCAGAGTGGATCATCCCTTCTTAGACAAGTCCCAAGGTCTTTCCACGATGTCATGACGATAAAGTTCGCGCACGAGTTTTCTGAACGAATGATGTTCACTGCGTAGTCCGTTGAACAGCCGCCGCAAGACCACACCCGACCTTCCAGGGCGCTGTCTAGCCTTGCCCTTGTTTGACAGTTCACCCAGCAATCTCCCTTGTGAGTCCACAGACACTCCTGCAGTTCTTCCCCAGGGAGATCAAAGTCTTGTAACGATGAATGGCGGAATGACCATTGCCCACGAGGCCATTCAAAATCCTTGTCTGGGCTGGAGATGAAAGGATAAAGATCAGCCCACTTAGCATGCCCACAGATCGTGCCAAGTTCGTAGGTCTCAGAAAGAAACCGATGTAAAATTCCAGTTCCCTCAAGAACTTTATGCGTGTCGCGGCCCGCATTTCGTCCAGGAAATAGTACTCTCTGTGACTTTATCAGGACGTGCCCCTCGGCGGAGAAATGTACACTCTGCTGTAGCCGTATAACAAGTTCGTTCTCATCATTGGCATACGGAGCCACAAACTGGACACTTGGTTCTCCAGGAAGTGGCAAGTCCGGCGTGAAATGGTGAGATCTCGATATAGCTGCCATGACATCGAAATGAATCTCTCTCGAAAGGTAAGGCGACATGACCATTCTCTGAAGGGCTAAAGAGCCATTACCGATACATGCTCGCTGGCCTTCCTTTGGGGTGAATCTTCGGCTCTTCCGAGGCTCGTGGAACTTTTGACAGATCTCGCAAAGGACTTCAGAAGGCCACATGTTATTATCTTCGAGTCTGCGAAGAAAAGTCCAACGATCCAGTTGGTTGAGTTTTAGAGCGTTACCGAAAATGCTATGAAGCCAGCTGGATGTGAAGGCGAGGCTTGCACGGTCGATTGGAGCGAGGAGAGTGGCAACTTTGATTAAAGGCTCTGTAGGAAGACTTTGAAGGGTTTTCAGTGGTGTCGACTTTGATTTGGGCTTGCTTATCATGTGAACCCCAGCCACAGTTTCCTTTGCGGGGCGAAGTCTCTTCTTGCTGCTCTCTGAACTATGACCGCTATGGACCAGTTTTGGTCTCAGTATTCGGCTGGGAGAGACAGACGTTCTATGTGACTTGCGGACAGTCAGCTTCTTGAGCTTCTCGAGGAGTCCCATTATGGTGATTTGGTTGATCAAACGAGACAACGATATAGCAGAATGGTTATGGCTGAGACCGTGGAGGGCGGTGTCCTATGATACGGTGTAGTTAGGTTGGTGAATGGTACATAATGAAAAGGAAGAAAGACAAAACGGAGGTTTTGGTTCGTAGTCGCTTATATAAAAGAAATGAATCACTTTAGTGAAAGCGAAAAAAGATACTTTAAATTATATTGCAAAAGATAAGAGGTAAACATGTTCCAGCGCATAAACTCAAGGTAAAACACCCAATACCTAATGCGAGAGCGAAATATAGTTTTTGCTTATTTATTCACCAAACCATAAGTCCCTATAACGGTTTTAGATAAGGTGCGGCGTGCGTTACAAGTGACCGTGCTCTTTTGTGTGAGTTTCGCTTGGAAAATAATATTTTCGAATCATCAGCTTATTACTGCAATCCCGACCTCATAGATGTTCACAAGTACGATAGAGTTAGAGTGTTAGCGAAATTTAAACTCTTGGGCACATTTTCTTCTTATTCTTATATAATTATTCAGTAAGCTTTCATTTTATTAGCCCATAGAAACATTTATTCCCATGCATCTTCCTCATCATCGACTGCATCCTGCTCCTCCTTCTCAGTTTGATCTTCATAGCGTACTTCAAGACTTCCGACACCTGAATCATCTTCAAACGTTGTCAGAGATGCAGAGGTTGATGGACCTTCTCCTCGGAATTGCCTTGGACTCTTCTTCTCTGCTAACTACATACAGTCAGCTATCTTGTACTTCATCGATCAAGCTGCTGGCTTACCCCTCTGATAGGTACCCAGGTGAATCGGATACCATGGAAGAAGACAACATGGCCTTTATCCTTCTGTAACCATTAATCAGTCGATCAGCAAAAATGGACATAGGAACTTACTTCATCACTCTGAGTGCTTATCCAGCCTTCTGCGCTTCCTCCGTGCAGATAACTTCCTTTTGGGGCCACTTCCCCAAATTCAAGAGCCGTTGTACTGAACCCGACATCAACCACCTTGCCTTTAGAGTTCCAGCAATTCACAGATGCATCCTCTGCCGTCCATGTGGAAGTAATTACCCACAAACCATTTTCTCTGACCTCGGGATGTGATTTCACTATGCTTTTTGCGTTCTGCTTCATCCATTGTAAAAGTGGCTCTTTATGATAGTATCGCTCATGGACTACAGGTCCACTGGTGAGGAGTACAGCCCCATGATTCTGGTCTGACTGGAATCTGAAGCAGGCGGAAACATCGAAGGGAAGCGCAGCTGCAGCCAGCATAGGTATTGCTCCAAGGCCGACACTCAAATCTATCGCCCTGCCTCTTGTCTCGTTACCCAGCTTGGGTCCCCATATCTGTTTCTGAGATGGAGCGCGCTTCAAAGTGGTGCTATCGATGGATGACAAACCCGATGGCAGGCTTGACGACGATGTGAGATCTCCAATAGGATTCCAGGCACCAGTCGAGTCAAAGTATCCTACGAAACCAGGCTCAAACTGACTCGAGGGAATTGGCAGGTACAGCGCTGTGCCGAAAGGATGCGCTCGCATGAGCTCGGCATACTTGAGATCCAAAGCTTTGCCCATTATTGTTAGTTGTTTCGAAGCTGTTGATATATGATGGAGGGGTAGCTCAGTTCTTATCTTGGGTAATTGGCAAGGAAGCACAAATACCTCGTATCTCAGCCCGATTTAGCCGACGTGGCGCTAATAGTGTGCCAATATTTATGCACGCAATGTCACATTGCATTTCAGCTTGTGATACTGTACCCTATCAGCGCCGCTGATCGCGTTGCACAAATGGCTCGGCCGTTCGATATTGGATGAAAAAATAAACTCATCAAAGACCCTGCTAAATTCATCCTAAATTGTCCTAATACTGTCTAAATCTTTATGTCGTATATGCCTAATGTTTCAAAAACATTACATACATTAGGATGAAAACCCCGCATCAGAGTCCAGTGGTCATATTTCTTGCTCCTGGTTCTCTCTAGTGCTTGCGCAAGTCGTCTTTCCCCTCTTTTCCGGTCACTAAATGACTGCTCAAGTGCCGACTTCTCACAACACTCACGATGGCATCAGATCTCACAAGTCAGCTCGAACATGCGGCAACATTGATTGCATCCCAGGAGCAAGATGAAGAACTTGTCCCAGATGGCCAATTCTGCCGTAATAAAGATTTTCTCAAAGACGTGGATCCGGAAACCTGCAAGTATATCTATGCTGTAATGCTTTCGGACCGCTCTGAGAGGGCGAGGCGGTTCTCCATGGCAAGTGAAGAAGTGTTGATGACCAGAGGCATCGGGACCAATACCTCCGGTCTGAAGGATGCGGCTACTCTAGGCGCCCTGGCTGTATTCAATGTTCTCAAAAGTGATCCAATGAGAGGAGTCGTCGTCAGCATGTTTGGAAGAGTTCTACGGAGGCAATGGGAGGTTGCAACTCCTGATACCGAATCAGAGGCTCTCGATCGAGCCGTGGAGTATCTCAGAAAGGCTGTTGAATTTGGTCCTCGAGATCAGTCAAACCGAGCATTGCATCTGGATGATCTTGGGGATATTCTGACACAAAGGTACAAGGCCAGTCACCAGGAAGCGGACTTTCAGGATGCGTCTGTTGCATTTCATGATGCGTTGGCAACAGACTTTCCAGGGAAACCGATTTTCTATCTTGGCCTGGCAAAGCTGCAACAGGAAAGGGCCTTATTTGAGAAGGAAGATCAGGAAAGCTTATTTCGCGACAGTATGGCCACACTCCAGCTTGCCGAGGATTCCGTCCCAAGCCAATTCGACTCGACGCCATTTCGATACACCGTTGCAGATATCCATCGTGCTCGCGCCGCATGTTTCGTTCACTTATACGATCTGAATCAAGAAATCGAGAACCTCAGAAAGGCAAAAGCGTCTCTTAACAGGGGTCTTGCAGTTTCCGATGAGAAGCGTTCAAAAGATCGATTCAATTGTCTCATCAACCTCGCGTCGCTACAGCAAAAGCTCAACGAAGAGCAGAATGTCAGAGATCCCTCCGCAGAAATTGGCTATCTGAGGCAGGCCCTTCGTGTTCACCCGAACTCGACAGAGGCGTTGGAAGAATTAGCGAACGCACTTGGTGAGAGAGCTGAACAGAACAATCACCGGGAAACACAGGAGGAAGCAGACAGGCTTGTGGAGCGAATGAATGAGATCCAGATCAATGAACCATCTTCAAAACCACCAGCTCGCCTTATTAGAGAGGCGGGTGCTCATGAAGAGCAATTCAGCAAAACTGGATCCTTACATGAGATTGACCAAGCCATCAAATGCTTACAGGAAGCCCTCGACCACCCAGATTTACAAGGCCATCAACAGATCAACTGTTATCAACAACTCGCCATAGCACTTCTCCTCAGATTCGAAGCGAGAGGGGACAAAGACGATCTGCGTAACGCTTGCCAAGCAAATCTCGATGCACTTCCTTTCCTTAACGACCTCGAAGGCCCGATGAAAGCTCGTTGCTTGAGGGCTTCTGGGAGGACTGCTTTTGTGTCAGCTCAGATTCCGGGACAAGAGCGGTTCATCGACGGTGCTTTAACGGCATTCCTTGCAGCGAAGGACCTAGCGTCACGGACAGACCCTCTTTACCATACTGTCGCGAACGACATTGGAAACGCATACATCGTCAAATGCCAATGCACTGGCGATGCCAAACTTCTGTCTCAGGCCACTGAAGCATATCAAGACGGCCTTGATGCCTGGAAGGAGCAAGGATCTTCTGATAGCGCTATGAGCATCATGTTGACGCATGGCATTGGAAACACGGCCATGTATCAGTTCAAGTTCTCGGGAAGACTGGAAGATATCAACACAGCCATCAAATCCTTCGAGAAATGCCTTGACTCAACCGGGCCTACCGAAGTTCGAGCTGGTTCTCGCACTCGAAGTCTGAGCCACGCTCTTCAGTTGAGATACAATGACACGGAAGACGTCAGGGACGTTGTAAGAGCTGGTCAAATTGTTGAAGACGTTCTAGGCAGAAACCTCAGTCTTCCCCCAGTCGAGATCTCAGCATTGCACAATATGCTGGGAACAGCATATCTTCGCCAATATCATCGAGACGAAGATCTGGGTTTTCTAGCGCAAGCTGAGAAAAACTTCAACAAAGCTCTGTCTTGTGGTTGCACAGACAAATTTTACTTGTTTTCAGCACGGATTAATTTGACGCGCACACTACAGTATAGAGCCAAGAAGACACACAACCTGCGAGACCTTCGCGATGCTCTTGTCAACTTCCAAGAGTGTATTTCAATGGGCGGTATGGACGACATTAATCGTGGAGGACTTTTGATCAACCAAGCAGAATTATTCATCGCGATCTATACTGTTAGTCCTGCTCCATTGAGTACCGTCGCTGCAAATGCCTACCTGATCATGACGGCTCAATTCTCATCGGCACCGGGTATTGCTCGTCATGTACTAGCCTGGATGAAGGTCTACGCTTCCATGTTTGCGCATGTAGTGGCAAAGGATTCAATAGCTGCAAGGAACTATATCCGAGAAGCAGCCGAGGATCTTCCCTTTGCGGTATATGCCTGCACTACCCGAGCTGATCAATTACGCCAAGCTAAGAAGTTTCAAGCTGTGCCGACACTTGCTCTCTGCTTTTCGATTGCCGCTGGAGATTCGTTAGTTGAGGCCCTGCAGCTATACGAGAGAAGTCGATGTGTATTATGGGAGGAGATCCTCAACAAGGGCGTTGATTCTGGTTTGGATAAGCTCAACGAAGTCTTTCCAGACCTTGCACGTCGGTTCATTGAAGCGAGGAACTCTGAGAAGGTTAAGGGTCAGCGTGCAGCTCGCTTCGACCTCGACAAGAGGTTTCTGCAGAGTCAGACAGCCTTCAACAAGTCGACCTCGTTTCAGGAACTGATAGCCGAGATCCGAACGAAAGAAGGGTTCGAAGATTTCTTGAGGCTTCCTCGAGAATACTCGCACTTTCATGAGCTTGCTGAGACTGGTCCAATTGTCATTGTCGAATCGGAACCTCTGGCTGGGGGCTACGCTCTTATTATTACCTCCACGGAGATCCAGAAAATCTCGCTTCCGAAGTTCACTGTCGATGACATCAGGGAGCACAAACAACTCTTTCGCAGTGCCATTGATATGTCGAATGATGGAGATGCGCAAGGTGGGGACCTTCTCCATTATCTACTCACATGGCTCTGGGAAGTAGTAGCAGAACCCATCTTGCTCAGCCTCGGGTATAACGGGTCTCCTAAAGACGGAGATTTACCCAGAGTCTGGTGGTTGACGACGAGCAGCATTAATACTTGGCCTATTCATGCAGCAGGAGATCATCGTCGTGCAGTTGAGACAGGCGAGCCTTGCACAGTGCTTGATCGGTGCGTTCCATCTTACACAAACACCCTTCGAGGCTTGTCATTTGTGAGGGGGCGGGAGAAAGAGATCATGCAACAAAGTGGACATCAAAAAGCTATGTTGGTCAAGATGGAGACAACAGACCACCTTCAGCCACTGCAGCACGCTTCAGCTGAGGTTGATACCATCAACACAATCCTGACCAGCACAGGCTTTCCCACGACAGTCCATGACCGTCCCGTCCGCAAAGAAGCGCTCCTGGGCCTCTTAGACTCCCACATCGCCCATTTCGCCTGCCACGGCAAGGTCGACGACGCAAACCCAGCACGCAGTGGCCTTCTCCTTCGAGATTGGTGGAAACAAGATACAAATGGCGAAATCACAAGAGGAAACGTCCTCGACGTTCAAAGCATGATGTCAGCACCAAAGAAGTTAAACTGTGCTCTCATATATGTATCTGCATGTGAGACGGCTATTACAGGTGATCCAATGCTTCCTGAGGAGTCGATCCATCTTGCTGCTGGGTTCCAAATGGCGGGTGTACCTTGTGTAGTGGCTAGTTTATGGAAAGCAGAGGATGAGACTTGCGGCCTTGTCTCTAAGGTCTTTTATGGGGAGTTGTTGGAAGAAGGGAGGGGTATTACGGGAGATCGGTCTGCTAGAGCGTTAAGATTAGCTGTTCTTGAACAGCGTCAAGCTGGAGTTGATCCGGGATTTTGGGCGACTTGGGTTCACTACGGTCCTTGAAAGTTAGTTCAAGGAGAATCTAATTGATATCTGGTGCTTCTGGCGCGCCTTGCCCTATTGTCCTTTAGAATAAGCAACCCTAACGTTATCCTAAATTTAGAGGACTATGTCCTAAGTTTTGAAATCTTTATTTACCTTGAGAAGAATTTATTATTATATACCTTCTCTCTCGACGGCGCCAGGCACAGCGCCCGTCCGCAGCACCACCACCTCCTCCTCCATCACCAGCCACAGCTCCAACTCCAGCTCCAGCTACATCACCACCACCGGTCCGCTCGCCGCCGCCCGCACACGTTCCTTTGCCGAGTTCGCCAAATCAGAAATCACTCGTGACCGGGCCTTGGTCACTGGAAGGTTCGCAGGATCCTTGGGAGGAGGGACTCCTCGAGGCCAAGAGGAGTAAAAAGACATAAATAGTCAAAGTTTTGAGTCTACAACACTAAACTTATGGTAAAGGTTTATAGTAGCTATCCTAAACTTATGATGAGACCTTGGAGTGACTACACTAAAATTAAGCTAAACTTGGTCTAGCATCACTGTGATTCAGGGCCGAGGGCTTGTTTTCTTTTATCTCCGAGGTATGCAAACACGCTTTCACCTATTAAAACCAGGTCATCGTATAGACAGCCAATTGGATAAAATCGGGATCGACCGAAAGTTAATGTGTGGCGGCGAATGCCGAACTTGACATGGATCGACGGTTTCAGGTGCACAAAACATGTGAAACAGTTCAGCTCATACTCATCCCTTCATAACTAATCTCATACTCGCTATCCAGATAACACCAATACAGTCATTCCCATCAACTCGCAAACTCCACATCGCTCCTATGCAAAAGTATGTACAAATATTTATATACATGTCATCTCATCATCACAAATCTACTTGCGGTAAGTGGTCCAAGCAGTGTGCATGCGGGTCCTCTGACCGGCAGTAAACTCCTCATAGCAAACACTACAATACTTATTAGCAATCGCATCAAACAAAGTTTCGGGAATAACTTACTCATCGGAGTAATCCATAAAGTTGTGGATGGGGTCATCACCAGCCTGGTTAGGGCAACTATCCCGTCGAGCAGGGCATCCACTCGTCTGGCTAGCCTGAGCAGGGGTATCGCTAACCAGATCTCCACCAGTGCAACCATCCTGGAAAGTATGGAAGAGGTTGAACCAATGACCAACCTCGTGGACGGCGGTTCCACCGAGGTTATAAGGAGCCATAGAACCTCCAGGGACGGTCTCAGCGACAATGACGCAACCGTCGCGGATGAATGTCTGAGATCCAGTTGAGACATTGGGCTCGGGGAAGAAGCAGTATCCAAGAGCGTCAAGACCATCAAGCTTAGCAACATCAGTGAAGTACAAGTTGAGAGTCTTGTAATCACCCTGACGAAGCTGCCTCTTCATAGCAACCTCGCCATTACCAGCAGCCCAGTTGGAGTTGGTGGTGAAAGTGGTATCGATGAGGTTGAAGGTAACATCATGAGGACCATAGGCATCGTTCAAGGCCTTGAGTTGGGCTTGGAGCTTGGCCTTGGTGATGTACTTTGAGGAGGATGAAGACACAACGTGGAAGTAGGTGTCGACGGTGATGGAAGATGCAGCGACTTTGGAGATGGACTCGATCTTCTTGAGGTTCTGAGCGTGCTGGACTTGCTCGGGGGTAGGGTCGGCGATGGCGCAGCGAGGAGGAATGGCTCGTCCGGCCAGACCAGCGAGGGCGTTGCCGAAGAAGAGAGCGAGAGCGAGCTTGGAAACCATTGTTGCGGTGATGAGTTGTGAAGAGACAGATGAAGATGAGGATATCGACTATAATCTTTGCAACTACACTTCATATTTATAATGCCCTTCTGTTGTTCTCAATCACAACATACAACGGGCATAATCTATCCATCTTACTATCTCATGGCGATCGTTTCCGATTATGCCATATCTCCGTTCATCCAGATCAAAGGTCCATCCCATCACAGCATAACTACCCATCCTTATCTATCCCAATTCCCCATAAGAGCAACTACACAAGTTATTCCGTTATTTGGACCTGCCATATTGAATCATGAGTGGACAGCTTGCCGCGGTGTCTATTCCGTACATATGCTAGTGTAGAATACACCACGGAAATGGACCCCTGGACCTTCTGTTAAAGGAAACGGCCGCCGTGGAAATACGAGACAGCCGAACTTCGGACGCCAAGAGACCTTCCCGTCTTGGAAGGATCTTCTGCCGACGCACGGGCTTGATCTGGCAGGTCATCCTTGTAAGCTTAAAATGAAGCATTATGGTTAACTACCGAGAGTTGAGAACTTTTGCTAAGCTTATGTTGAGTGATCACATTATCTTGATAGACTGTGGAGATGATACTGGGGTTGAAGCCGATGCCGGCTGGGCAAGTCAATTGAGGTATTCCGGATGAAGGGATGGTGAACTTGCTGCAGAGTCTAACGTCTCAGCATGGTCAAGTCATGAAGGTCAACTTTGACTAGGTAACCCGTTTAAGTTCATCGGCAAGATACTACTAACCATCAGGTTACATAAATAGTACAAAGCTTCGAATGAGTTTCATACATCTCGATGTATGTAACAGCAACTTACTATATCGATTGCAAGTGTTTAGTGTCCGAATGTCTCACTGTAGGGTAGCGATCTAAAACCCTATCACTCCATCTTATCTTATCATTCACCAGATCTCAATTAGACGGCCTAATTAAATCACATACATGGCTAAGCTTGAACCAGCACCCTGCAGGGACTTTTTCATTTGACGTTATCGGCTTGCATATCAATTTCATTTTGTGAATAATTGACAACTGAGATATAAACTCCGTGCATCAATCCAGCCAGTTAGACGTCGTCACATGTAATCCGACAATTTGTCAGAAGAGTCATTAATACCACTTTTGGGAGACAATACTTGGTATGCATTTGTCACATGAAAAAAGCTAAGGTGATAAATCGGCTGTAGTTGAAGGGATTCACAATCAGGTCAAACCGGCTGATTGATCTTAAGTTTATTGATTCATTATTTACCACCAGGGCTCTCTAGTTGGTCTTACATTTCTATCTATACATTTATTCTCCGCTCAGTTCAGTCCTCGTCTCCAAAAACAACCGCATGCTCAAATGCCCAGTCTCGAATAGCATCAAAGTTGCGACATGTATGCAACGTGCTGAAGTCAGGCCAGTGGCCATCATAACCATCGTAATACTTGAATGCGAAAACACCAGTATCGCTCTGGCACATTATATTATTTCGCAAAATCTCAATACAGTGATCTACAAATCAGATTAGCATTTATCAAGCGACTATAAAACTCTGACTTACCGAGATGTCCTCTCAAATCCTCTGGCTCAACCTCAATATCGCCGCCCATTTGAGAGTAATAATCCCTGTAGGTTTCTTGTCGAAGCAAGTTCAGACAGTGGAGTTGATGGAATACTTGGATACCAACACGGTAGCCTGTATGCCCTGTCTTGGGATCCTTGACCTTGAGAGACTTGGGGTCAAGACCCAGTTTGTCAAGCTCCGCTCGAGAGATCATCTGATCGCCAACATCGTATGTAACATGATTCCAGGCTTTATCAACTTCGGGGCCGTATCCGACAAACTCGGACATCTCGAGGGCTGGAGTAATGTTGTAGCGAACTGTATGGAAGTCTGCGACGCTTTCTGCAGGAGCTATTTGATGTTAAAGAGAGGTCGGCAAATGGCAGCGATAGACTGACAGTAAGGAAAGCTTGGTTGATTGCAAACGCCATTTTGTAAAGGACTGGCGCGAAGTAGCAATGAAAGGGCGAAGAATGCCAGAGAGAAAGATAGTAAAACACCATGACATATCCAGATCAAAATTGGATGTGCGCTGGATTGTGAAATGTATGGTGAAATATTGGTGTAGATTGGTAGAGGTGATAGAAGAGCATTCTTCTCATGTGTTTGTTGCTCTTCATCATCAGGAACTGGGCGGTATTTTGAATCCATTGTTGCTGCACGTATTGAGATAATTGATTGAACTTTCGAGAGGCTTAAGAAATGATTGACGTGGAGTGAGAAAATGAGGATGAAATGATGATGAAGATGAAAGTTAAATGGATGTGACGGGTTTTGAAGCAACGCTGCGTCACGGTGTATATATCAATGTCCAGAAACCCGATTCTATAATTGGTCTTCTTTGACTTGGCGTTTGGGTCTGTACAGTGAGCGGATAATCGGCTCCCAATAACAACTCTTCAAACGCCAAGACGAAACGTGAAATGGTTCGTGCGACGACAGAATCCTACATCCCAAGACTACGAAACTCGTCCAGACCGCCCACTTAAAACAATGTTCCAGTTTCGCGGGTTTGACAGATCTCGAATCAGGAATGGTAAACCATTACTCACCGAGAATACAGGCCTAGACAATATCTGTAACAGGGGTTAGTGATATTCTCAGGCAACGTGAAGCACTATACGTCGTAGCGGTCAGGGGTGGTGGCTTCTAGGCCAATCATGTGAAACCATCGAAACTTGTTTGAGTTTTATTTCCACCAATGGCGCGCCACTAATTATTTTGGCATGTCACTTCGCGATTTCGCGTTTTAGCAAACAACGACCAGAGTCTTGGGTTTCGGCCGAGGCTATAGTTTCATGATTGGCCGTTCTAACCGTCCCTACACTTTCGTCCCAAAACTATCTAGTGTGAGGCCGATGAGGGTATCAAGGAGAAGACCTTTTTTCGTATACGGCGGTTATTCCGTTGTTGACTCAACAAAGCGGCAATTCGGCATCATGTCCAACGAATCTTCAAACACTATCGGTCTTGTCTTGGCGCTTGCGTTTGACGATTCTCTGAACTTGGAGATCGAGAGAGGAGATCTATTCTAAGACACAAAGAATCTGGGGGAATGAGGGTCATCATCTCAAGTTAGGTTTTCATACCAAGATCAGAAGTATAAGAAGCTTGGCATCTTCAGCTAGAATTTTAGTCTCTTCAACCAACTCACATTTCCTTCTTCAACTATCTGAGCTTAGCTTTGCTTGACGCAAACGTTCTTCTCTTCTCATCAACTTTCAAGGCTAGTCCTACTTTATTCTACATCACTCTCATTTTACCTGCCGGTCAGAACCACTTCTACACTTTCATCACTTTATCAGTCAAGATGTATTTCTCCAACGTTGTCGTCACTGTCCTCGCCGCTCAGGCCTTCTCCCAAGACAGCCGAGTTCCTCGCTCTAGCTTTGGCCAAGTTGCTGTAAGTGCCATTACCTCATCGTGATGTATTCAAGCTAACGAGTCTCAAGGCCTTAATGGCTGCTGGAGCTCTTCCAGGACACGCTCTTGCTCTCCCTATCTTCAGCAGCGTTCAGAAACGCGAGGTTAGTGGCATCCATATCTACTAGTAGCTCACCCTTTAACAAGAACAGCCTCATCACCAAGGTGCTCAGAACAAGCAGAACAATCAGGCTCAGGGCAACCAAAACAATAACCAGGCTCAGGGTCAGAACGCCAACGCCAATGCCAACGCCAACGGATGCAACGCCAACAACAAGCGAGATGAGGAACTTGTAGCTCGTCACCACCAAGGCAACCAGGGAGGCAACGCCCAGGGCAATGCCAATGGCAACGCTAACGGCAATGCTAATGGTAATGCCAACGGTAACGGAGCTGCTGCGGCTGCTGCTAATGATTGCAACAACAATAACGCCGCTGCCAACAACAACAATGCTGCTGCTAACAACGGTAATGCCAACGGTAACGCCAACGGCAACGCCAACGGCAACGCCAATGGCAACAACAAGCGAGACCTCGAAACCCGACACCACCAAGGAGGTCAAGCAAAGGGCAACAAGGCCGCAGCTGCCGGTGCCAACCGCAACAACGCCGCCGCCGCCGCTACTGGCAACAACGCTAACAAGGTTGCCGCCGCTGGCGCTGGAAACAACGCTGCCAATGCCCAGGCCAACAACAAGTGCAAGCGAGATCTCGAGGCTCGCCACCACCAGGGAGCTCAGGGCAAGCAAAACGCTCAGGCTGCAGGTTGTAACTAAGACAATACACTTTAAAAAGTCTCTTGTAGACTTGGATATGCATAAGCAAGGCATGTAATGGTTGGGGAAAAGGAGATGGAGATTATGCCTTGGCTTGGAGTGATGGGGTGCTGGAAGTGATGGGCTGGCCCATGGATTCTGGTAATTAGAGTGCTAGTTAGAATAATAAGACTAGAGAGTTCGGTTCAACTTCGTTCTAAGACCCGTTGGTGATTTGACTTCTGATATGTGGCTTGCTTGCGGCTCATGCCGTGGCCGTGCTGGCAATGTTTCAACGTTGACTCGCTTCCTAACCGAAGCTGAGTTAGGCTTAGTCTGCTCTTTAACGATGTCTCCGCCCCTCCACTATCTTTCAGGGTCCTTCACGTGATACCCCTCACGAATGCCCTTTTCTGTCATGGAACTATATCAGGTTTTGTATAGATTAGACTAGGGCCTCCATATAGAGATTATAACTACTATACTATAGACACTGTTAAATGGACTCACTGCATATGAATATTCACCGTTTTCTCGTATTTTCTTGAGGTTACAGTGTATCAACGTGGCTTTCGACTAACTGGCCAGAACACTCTACACCCATGTCTTTAAAGTGGGCTATCAGGCCATTTCTGAAAAGTCTGCCTCTCAATCCCATCCTTTGAACCCTCTCAAAACAAAAACACCAACAAAAACATCTCATCTACATTCTTGGCAACTATCGACGAAAAAAATGCCTCCCAAGAAAGCTGAGCCCGTTATTGACAATGTCGTCGCCTTTGGCAGAGTTCGCAAGAACCTGAAGATGGGATGCGTCGGCCTTCCTAATGTTGGAAAGTCGAGCTTGTTCAATCTTTTGACGGAGCAGAGCGCTGCGGCGGAGAATTATCCTTTTTGTACTATTGAGCCTAATGAGGCGAGATGTGCTGTTCCGGATGCGAGATATGTGAGTTGAGATTCTGTGAAATAATTATGAGGGACGGGCTGATATTGATGAAATTCAGGACTTTCTTTGTGATCTTTGGAAACCTCCTTCAATGTACCCTGCTTATCTTCAGGTCACCGACATTGCTGGTCTGATCAAGGGTGCTTCTCAGGGAGAAGGTCTTGGAAATGCCTTCTTGTCACATATTCAGGCTGTTGACGGCATGTTCCATATTGTCAGGTAGGGGTTTTGTCGAACAGAGCGGTGAGGAACCAGGCTGACTTGGCTCGACTAACAGAGCATTTGATAACGATCAGGTCTTGCACGTCGACGATTCGATTGACCCTGTTCGGGACCTTGGTTAGTTCAGTACAATATCTTGAGGCAACTAAACTGACCAATGGTTCATGTAGACACCATTCAAAGCGAGCTTTGCAAAAAGGACCTCGGTATGTACTTTCTCTTCGGTAACTAAATAAAACTAACACCAATATTAGACATTCTCGCGAAGCAAATCGTCGCCGAGGAGCTTATTGTGAAGAAGGCCGGTGGAAAGTACAAGATGCTCCCTCTCTTCACTGAAACAACAACCAAGATCAAAGAAGTCAGTGAAAAAAGAACCTTAGTTGGAGAATGAGAAGAAGGCTGACACGAAATAGATGCTGGAGAACGATAAGCCAGTTCGAGATGGAAGCTGGACACCTGCCGAGATCGCCCTCATCAACGAGAAGATCCAGCTCATCACCACCAAGCCAGTCATCTACCTGGTCAACTTGACAATGAAGGACTACCTCCGACAGAAGTGCAAGTATCTTCCTGGTATTGCCAAGTGGGTTACTGAGCATGGCGGTACTCCTCGTGATATCATTCCCTTCTCCATTGAGTTTGAGGAGAAGCTTCACAGCTTGAAGGATGATCCGGATGCTCAAGCTGAGTTCCTGAAAGATATCAAGGTTAAGTCAAAGTTGGACAAGATTATCACTGAAGGATTCACAAAGCTTGGACTGCAATACTACTTTACAGGTTTGTTCAAATCTTCTGATATGGTGAAATCAACGCTGACTTGGATGTAGCTGGCGAGAAGGAGATCCGATGCTGGACTATTCCCAGGGGGTGCTTGGCACCGCAAGCCGCTGGTGCTATCCACAGCGATTTCGAGAGAGGCTTCATCAAGGCTGAGGTTGTTGCTTACCAAGACTTCCATGATCTTTGCGAAGGACAGAAGTCTATGGGTCCCATCAAAGCTGCTGGCAAGTACCGACAAGAAGGAAAGTCATACGTAAGTGCACGCAACTCGACTCACACCACATAAAGCTCACTCTTGCACTCTGCAGGTTGTCCAAGATGGAGATATCATCCACTTCCAGTTCAGTAAGCAACAACCCCCATAATGCCTCGGTCTTCTGTTGTATGCTGACTGTCTTCACTAGACGTTTCAAATAAGAAATAAGTTTATTATAACTGTAGAGGAGGTTCATGAAATTAGAAGTTACAAAGGATTCAAGTTTCTATGATAACTTATAGATTAGACACCTAAAGAATACCCAGAATGCATTTAATTTGTAATGGGATGTCTCAAGTCTCTGTTTTACATCTCTTCGCTGAAAATTGCAACGTAAGACCCCAACGTCACTGGCAGAATGGTCCAGCGCCACTGATATAGCGACAGATGGTCAGTGAGTAATAATACCATCAGTCACTGAGAGGCCATGGTAAATTGCTTTGAATCACTCTTCGGGTTCAGTGACGGCCAAGACTTTTACACTAAGAGGTCCAGTGCAGCCCTCTGTTACAAATTTCTATCAAGATTATTTATTTTATATCATCTTTTGCTCCTCTTGTGATAACAGCGATTGAATCTGTTCAGGTTTGCCAATATTATTTACAGAATAGACGCCCAGAGATAGACACGACCAAAGATGTATTTACTTCGTGATTGGCCGTTTGGTATCTCTTCGACGTGAATTACAGCATGAGTTTCAAGTGTCACTGACGTAAATATCGACATCGGTGGAGAATCATGATTCCAGTCAGTCACCAAGAGACCACAATGAATTCTAAATCACCACATTATATCCCAGAATCACTCTTGTATTCATAGACGTCGGTGATTCATAAAAATAACAGTCAGTGACTAGGAGACCGCGGTCAACTCTACAGAGTGCTTCAAGATTCAGTGACAACCAAGACATTTGCATTATTTAAGTTCAGTGCTGCCCAGTACTACCCTCTTTTCTCACAAATCACTTACAAACGTGCCACCCTCTACAAATTACAACAAAGATTGCTGATCTCGCATTGTCGTTTGTTCATCTCGTTACAATGGTGACTGAAACTGTTCGTGCCACTTACACCGAGCAAAACGCCCTAGAAAAGCTTCTGACCAGCATATTTGGTCAAGGAAATGCAACGATTACTGACAAAAAGATTTAGGTAAATTTAGTGTATACTTAGATAAGTTTAGTTAGGACTAAATGGGCCTTTAGACTAATCAATTTTTGGACCCCGATTTCCGGTCAAAAGCTTTCTTGCTCCCTAAGCGCGGGATGGGCTCAGGTGATTTGTGTTTGATGGTCTGTACGTACTACAGTGGCGGGACCTGGTGGCTTTGACCCGAGACGAGTACCCAGTCACATATTTAAGTATCGTTACACAAGGCTCTTAGCATTGAGTGTTATGCCGTCGCTTATGCTGGCCTACTCGTTGCTTATTGGCGCGGTCACTCGCCAGGAGGTCAGATAAGGTTCCGATTCAGGTAATCAATCCGAAGTAGGCTGTCAAAAGGTGAAGATAATTGGCCCAAGATTTCACAAACTGTCACACAACGGAAACCAAAGGCGAATGAGCGCTCTATGTTGCCGCATAGAGTTGACATGCGGCTACACAAGATCATCGAGGAGGATGTGATTGAGGCCTGCCAATATATTCTTGACGTGCATATTGGCTTAAAACATGGCGTAAGGAGATATGCCTGGCGTTATTGCCTTTTTCTGAATTAGTATTGCACGTTGACAAGAGCCTCATAATGGGTTATAAGAGGGCCACTCTTCACTGAATTACTAGACCAAGCCCGACTATTACCACCCCATTCATTGAACATTCATCAAACATTCATCTGTGGTTCTGTCCTTATTCGCAATGCTTCCCCGTAGCAATGACGGACCGCCAGTCATTATGGTCAGCCAAGTCGAGGCTGATGAACATCGTTCACCAGTGAAGAAGTCGACTGAGAAATACAAGTATGACGGTGATGGCCTCGTACCAATCGAAGACAAGTCTGATGACCTGGGGAAACAACTGCGAGAATATAGCGTAGAAGGTATAAATGGCCAGTTTTGGACTGACAAGTTGCTGCGACACATTCTGAATAGGGAGCGGATCAGAGCTGAACTACAACGTCCTGAACATAACTTCAAGAAGCACCAAGTCGACAGCTACGTTGACAAAATCCATCCGCGAGGCATAGCCCCCTCAGCAGACCGAAGTCCACTCGGAACGTTCCTTAAGGTCTTCGCACTCCTCGTATTACAAGAACGCTGCGGGGATTTCGGCCATTTTGTAAAGGCCGGATTCAACGACGAAAAGCTACCTATCAGGATTGAGAACAACAACACCGTCTATCCTCTTAAAGGGCCTGATGTACCCCTTGCGTGCTTCAACGGCTGGAGGACCGCGGACAAGGAATATTTTGAATCGTACCAATGGCGAATCAACACACCATATTTCAGCTCAACTGAGGGCGAGCCTTTGAAAGAACTCCAGCTAGACAAGGGCACTCAAAGGCCCTGGCGCCGGTCTCTGAAAGAGCTGAGCGGCCCCCCTATTGAGCACTCAGACAATGCGGGAGCCTTTGGAGCTGTAACTCGAGTCGACATCCACCCAACGTCACACTCATATCAGCGGCTATTGACAGGTGTGAGTAAAGATTATAGGACAAGTACTTTTTAGTCAAGAGGAACTGACCAAAGAAAATACAAGATCAACTTGGACTGCACAAAGTTTGCAATTAAAACCCTTCACATCACGGGCCATGACATTGAGTCGAAATTCAAAGAAGAGTGGGAAATGCTCAAGCGATTTAGCGGACATACTCATCCTCACTTGGTAACCGTTCTGTGTGCTTTCAGCTGCGATGAAGAAAAAAGCTTCATTTTTCCAAATGCGACTTGTGACCTGAGCGAGTATCTGGAAAAGAATGAGCCCCCAAAACAACAGAATGGAACACTTTGGATATCCAATCAACTCGTGGGACTGATGGGTGCCCTCGATACTATTCACAACCCGAGGCACCTGCACCAGGGAGTAACACAGCGCTATGGGAGACACGGTGACATCAAGTGCGACAACATTCTCTGTTTCAAGAGGTCAGGGACTCAAAACGACGTGGTTCTTGTTATCTCTGACTTCGGACTTTCAGCCTTCAACAGTGACAAGAGTCGCTCAAATATTCCTAACAAGAATGTCCCCCCGGTTCCAGGATATCGGCCACCAGAGTGTGACATTGAGGGAGGTACTATATCGAGAGCGTTTGACGTCTGGACACTCGGATGCTTGTATCTAGAACTCATCACTTGGTTCTTAGGAGGAGGTAAATACGTCGAACAATTTAGCAAGAAGAGAACGACTATATTCATAAATGGCTCAAACAACGACATCTTCTTTACTCTCAAAAGTGGCAAGAAGAAAGGGACATATGTGGCACAGGTTAAACCCGAGGTTACCGAAGTAAGAAAAATCTTTCCAAACTGAGAAGAACTCTTTTAACTCTATCAGTGGATTCTGCTGCTCCATCAGCATCCAAACTGCTCCGAGTTTTTGCACGATGCACTGGACGTTGTTGAGCAAGAGATGTTAGTGGTTCTGTCGGCTGATATCAAACGATCTCCATCTGGAAAGCTCCGGGAAGAATACGAAAGGCTATCTCAGAAATGCAACTCAAGACCCGGCTACACACAGGGAAGACCATGGGGAGATGAGAAATTGGAGATTGCTCGCAAACGAATGTCGGAACTCAACATCGCTGTTGAGGCAGTCCCCAACGAGAATGCAGAGGCACTAATTAGAAAATTCCCGTCGCAATTACCAATTCACGAGGGGAAAATCAGGAAGTCTTTGCGAACTGCAGAATTGGAGAATATTGATAACAGGTGACTAGCGACGGTAATAGGGACTCATGAGCTTGATAAGAGGTTGGACCGAAAAGATTGGGTTGAGTAGGAAATTTGTTATTATGAGGGTTTTTGCCACGATGTTATTTGACGTATTACTTGATCGTGCGCTGGATGCCATGCATGCCCTTCGTCATACACTCCACTCGTTTGAGAGATACAAAGCGGTTAATAATGTTCGACCATCGTCACCACTTGCTTCATTTTCTGGGTTTCATCCTTGTTCAATGTTAAATACAATAAAATTCTGAACTGAATATGGCATACCTCAGTCAATTCTCTAGGAATGTTACATTGAAATCTGCCTCGCTTCCACTGGATGGTCAGTAAAGGCGAAGTGATAAGGCGCACTCATGCAAAGGGAGCGCTGTGTCTTACAAGGACAGTCGCGCCTCCTCGACCAAAAATGTTGGCAAAAAACCGCTCTAATGCATCCTGATCTGTGTAGGTTGCGCGAACAATCGCAATTGCCATTGTGACGATATGAATAACAGATGCGATATTGTCAATTAGAGGATTTATGACCGAGGTTGCCAAGTGTACATGTAAATCACGAGGTCTTGTGTTCTTATGTGTAAACATGGAGACATTGAAAAAAAGAAAAAGGTCTGTCATGCGCAATTGGCCTCACTCGCTATGGTTACATTTTCATTGGCTTGACGAGAATTATTGCCTGGTCTGTGTCACCTTGCGTATGTCAATATCCATCAGCATAGCCCAGTTGCCCCGCAGGCAATAAGCAGGCGTATGGTATCATATCTCAGTTAAAGCTCTGAGAATGGGAAATGTGAGACACAGCGCCCGCCACTTCGCCTCCCAAATTACACTGATTACAGTCCCGTGCAAAAGTTCCGACACATCCGAGGTCCGGACCCCGCTTTCAATTAAACATCAACATCAACACCACAACTTCATCGCGTTATTTCTATAGGAAAAGATGCCTCGAATACGGCAAAAAACACATCATTCTCCTTGCAAAAGAACGAGGTTTGTGACGATGTACGAATCAGGTGTTCGCGTGCAGGATATCGCAGACAGTGAGGGGCTAAGTCGGCACGCGATCTATGGAGTCATTCGACGGTACCGTCACCAACAATCAGCAAAAGATTTACCTCGCTCTGGAAGGCCATCACGACTATCAGATATAGATAAAAATCATATCAAAATACTCATTGGAAGAAACGCTTTTATCTCATACCAAGAAATAATTGATTGCACCTGTTTGAACTGCAAAAGAAGCACAATTCGTCGCTGGCTTATCAATCAGAAGATACAACACAAGCTTGCACTTCGACGCCCGTTTCTCAGCGAAGAAAGTGCTCAATTGAGAAAAGCTTTCTGTGAAAAATATCGTCATGAAGATGAGTCTTTTTGGTATAGCTGGTGGTTTTCTGATGAGGTCTCTATCGACCGTACAGACGGTGACTATACCAAGTGGTCATTTTACTCTGCTGTAAGTCTAGCCCCTTCTATTTCAGAAGCTTCTTTTGACAACACCACAGGGTGAGAGACTCCATCAAGATAAGGTGCAGCCCTGTAGACGGCCTGCCAGACATTCTCAGATGTTCTTTGGTGCAATTCACTATGATAAGCCGTCTAGGATCGTCCCTCTTGCCGGCGATCCTGAGTCTGAGAGGGGAGGCGTAACAGGAAGGATTATTCTATCCTGTTTACAGTCTTATCTTCCCGGACTGGTCGAGGAAGGAGAGACTTTTCAGCACGACAACGCCCGTACATATAAATGCCGGAAAGTTCAGAATTGGCTGCTGCCCTGGGCAAGAAGAACAGGAGTCTTTCTTGCTGACTGGCCGCCATACAGCCCTGATCTCAACCCCATTGAAAATCTATGGAAAGTCCTGAAGAAGAGGATATGCGATAGATATCCTGAAATTGCTGCTTATCCAAAGTCTGCAGCAGCTTTGGCCCGGCTGATTGAAGCTGCAGAGGAGCTTTGGTCGGAGGTCGAAGATGAAGTGGTCAAAAACGTGATAAAATCGATGCCCGACCGGTTGAACGCCTGTTACAACGCAAATGGCTATTATACCAAGTATTAAACTATATTTCTGGAATCTCCTTTTAAGTCTCTACAGATTGATATATATATTATCTAAATTGAAGAATTATTGCCCATGCAATTGCAATCCGAAATGGCAGTATGAGATCGAGGTAGTTGGGGTGGATCCGGAATGTGTCGGAACTTTTGCACGCCCACTGTAACAACACAGCCCCCTAATACCCACTAAGCAGCTGCATATCTACTGCCCTTGCCTCCGTTACCAACATCTCTATAGTTGAGATAATTATCTGTATTCTTCAGTCAGACGAAATGGATTGGGCCAATGAAAATGCGATATGCTGTGAAAATGGAATCAGCAATGTATTCCGATATGAGGAGAGACCAACCACTGTGGTATGGATATCTTCGGATACAGCTGTTCGTGTTCCATATTGGAAACTACTACACATCACTGATATTGAAGCTAGAAACAACTGATATGGACACTATCAAATGACTGCGACTGGAAAAACTGGTTTGAGACTGTGAGTTCTCATCAGGGCCCCGGCAACTTAGCTTACATATTTTTAGGAATATCCAAGGCTTGATGGGAAGCATTCAGGGCTAGTTCTAATGTACGGTCCTTTTCTTGTATGTTTTGGTTATTGAATCTGACACTTCTTTTCAGTCTAGCAAGGCGAAGCGGCGAACCAAAGATTGATCCAGTCAAGAGGGTCGAGTCAGATGAATGGATTAAATCGATTAACAAAGCAACAACCGTCGAACCAGCATCGGCGGGTGCATTACGAGGGACTGGTGGAAAGCGAAACCTACGGAAACTACCCTTCTGAGATCGAACTTTTACGGAAATTGCGAGGAAGTTTTATATTCACGATTCAATTATTCGAATCGTGAGCCGCGCAGATGTCTCTGAATTTTCAGCTGCATCGTTGGAGATGGGAGAGTCACCTGCTAATGGTATGTTGCCTCTTTGTAAAAGTGAACTCAGACCTTTTCTCATAGTGCTCCAGTGTATAACATCCGAACCTCAAACGCCTGGGATCAGGATCTTGCAGTATCAGCGACACACTTCCCGCATTGCGGCTTAACGTTCGCCATCATGTTTGGCTGCACTCTATCAGTCGAAGCAGAAGTGTTGACACGTCTCACCGCGGCTACCTACGAGATTTCCCACCCTCTTTTAGTGCCGAGTATTATAGTTGAGATCGAGCGAAAACGCCATTTGCCTATCGTTGAAGACACTCTTGATGAACTTGAAGCACGAATTCAGGAGCTTGATGAAGATCCCGAGTCTCTGCAGGGTGTAGCCGAGGCGGAAAAGACAGCTCGCAAAGAGGCAAAGAGATCGGCGTGGCTGGATATGCTATACCTCCGCAATCAGCTGATAAGTTGGAACACCTGTTTGGAAGCACTATACAAGCATATAAACCTCCTGAACCGCACAATACCCCAAGAAAAGAACATGCGGTTTCAGTATAGGAATGAGTATACTGGGGATTTGGGCGAAGACGAAGGCAGTTTTTCAGATTTTGACTCGTATTCGAGTGGCTCGAACAGCGACCTGTCTCTAGCAGATATCTCGCCAGATGCTCATACAAAGGGCACCAATATTTCACAAGTCATTTACGAAGTGCCACAAGCATACAGCTATCCGAAGCCCAAGTCTGAGACTTTGATGCTTTCAAAATCGCATATGAGACGTACCGGCGCAAAGATTCGAGGCAGACTCCAGGAGATTATAAAAGACTATAATGAGAAGATCCGGGAATGCACAACCGGGGTTGAGGGTATGGTCATGGCGACGCAATGGGTAAGCCGTAATCACATGTCCAGTCTGAGTATTGCTGACCAAACGTAGGCTCAAGGGGAAACGAACGTGGAAATAGCACTAGCGACGAGCCAAGACTCTCGGCATATGCGCTCTATCGCCCTCGTTACCATGATATTCTTACCAGGGACATTCTTTGCAGTAAGTCATCTTCCTCCAGTTAAGTTCCTGGGCCTGACTGTGATTCCAGAGCATATTCTCGATGGGGTTCTTTGAATGGAAGGGTATGGATGGGACCGTAGTCGTTTCTCAGTCCTTCTGGATCTACGTCGTCCTTGCAGCAGGCTTTACAGCTCTTACGGTAGGAGTGTGGTGGTATCTTGGAGTCTATCGCTATAAAAGACATCGAAGCATGGTGTCATCATTAAGCCAAAGGGGCGCTTCAAACTTGAGACACTTGGGTCTACTACTGGCTCGAAGGCAGCAGTAAGTAGAGCCCTGAGTGATTTCAATCACGATACGCATGCAATAAGTTAAGGCTCCCGGATCAATCTAACTATATGTAAGAAGCTTCAGGCTATAAGGCGGAAGGTTTCGAAAGTGCCTGAGTAGTCTCAGTCACTACTCCCTAGAGATCAAGATATTCAGTTTCACAGGACTCACTTCACTGATAAGATATGACTTACGTTCTCAAGAAAAAGCCTTGGTCTGAAAAGGTGTTCTTACCGACTTCAAGAATCTATACAACATCTCTGACTCTAATGAAGTTCACATCTATATATCTAATCCTTTGACATGTCTACTCTACCATCCATGTTAACTCCCGCGGCTGATGGCAAAGCTCCTCTTTTTACAACGCTCATACAAAGTCGTCTACGAAGTAATTAGCTCTTTGGGAGCATAAGAATATTTTGTGGTGCTATACTAACCACATTGAACTGCTCAGCAGTTTCGATCTCATAGATGTTATGTCGCATCTGAAAGTTCATTAGTCAAAGAATCAAATCTATAGAATGTTTGAGGTCTTACATCGACAGTGAATTGAGCACCAGGACCAAGAAGATCTCTAAGCTCTTGAACGAGCCGACGGGGAGACGCATGATGCGTATGGAATTCGGTTCGGACTGACAGTTCTGAGGACATTTGAAACAGATGCCTATTTTAGGGCTGATAACCGATGGACAAACGTGGATAGGGGAAACGGGGCAGATGTGAAGGGACAACACACATCCTACTTGGATGGGGCAACTTCACACTAGAAATAGTTAAGTAGGTGACACTGCTCTGGAAATTTGCCCATCAATCAGAAATGTCCAGCGCAGCCGTAGGCTGTCGATTGAATACGATTACGCCCACCTGTATCATAAATAGCCTCGCTTCGGTAACTGGTGGCGAAGCAGTCTTTGGAGGAGAGGGTCACACGAGAACATCGGATGCAATCAGCTGAGCCAGAGGTAACGCAAAAGGACTGTTGGAAAAATCAGGCTCTCGAAAAGCAGAGAAATACCTCAGCTGACGCCTTGGTGGTCCGCGCTGGTGCGCACTTTTCGCATTTCCGGCTTTGCCGCCATATTCGGCGCTTATGCCCACATCATTTTCTATTCATACTTCGCTTTTGAACAAACGAGGGCACTTGTAGGCTGGCGGTGTGTTGGTGGCGGAGATGTGATACCCTTTGGGCGCGCACAGAAGAATCAGGCTGCGAGTCCAGCGTTGTGACTGGTGCACCGGAACGATGATGACAACAGTCCTGCAGCAAGCTGAAAACTCTTGTCCTTCCTGCATGTCTTGACTCGTACCAACTGAGAGCAAAAGAATTACCAGGGGCTTGAAATGCTCATCGCAAGCCTGGCGTCAATGGTGGCGAAGCCACAGCGCGTATTTCATAAGGGCCTGAGTTGATCGAAAATGCAGACCGTACTTGTCATTGGTCATTTGTCTCAGTATCTCAATTGTTTACTAATGCCTATCGCCGGAGTGGCTTTGCCACTCGAACTTGGTTGAAATGTCGGTTGCAATCTGCAGGTTCATAACACCCTTACATTCTTACTCGGCAACACCAACAGTTTATTGGCTGAGAAAGGTCAAAGCACTGTGCAGCAAATGGCTCACCGGCTCTTTTTCACATCTACCGGGCGTTTTCAGCCTCATGAACCGAGTTTGGGAATTCGATGGCTTTGAACCGCCATAAAAGAGCTTTGTGTGTCCAAGATCAGGCTCGAAGACAAATCAGGTGAACCATCACACAATAGCCTTCTGGTACGATTGGCAAAGGGTGTTATAACTAACTAACGAGGCTTTCCAAAATGGAAGAAGTATGTGCATCCATTGTGAGACCCTGTGAGTGGTTACGAGGCGACTGACTCTGACACACATGATACAGTCACACGAATCATTATCACTCCACTCGCCAGCATCTGATCATGTCTCTCCAACGAGTCACGTCTCACCAAGGCGCAAGTCGGTAACTTTTAGCGACGACACGTACGAGCCTGCCGATGCCGGTACTACCGTGGAAAATACTCGGCCAAGTTCACCAACGTCAGCTGACACGCAACCCTCCATTCCGCATGCCATTTCTGAGGAACCGAACGGAGACAAAAGTGATTCCGCAAATTTTCGTGAGAATACTTTGGGAAATTTGATCAGAGAGGAGTTACTTGAGCTCCACGATGAAAACCTCGAGTCATTTTTACCGAGAGACCGTTTAGATGAGATTCTCACCGAAGAGACAATTAAGCGAACTCTTGAAGAAGAGGGAAAGTTCCCGAAAGAACGACTAAATGTCATTGTGCAAGAGATCTTGAGTCCTTCAACTTCCAACCAAAACGTGCAACCATATCTCAGATCTCGGAAGGTGATATTGGTGATATTGTCACTTATAGATCGAGTCTCGACTATTGAACGCTTTATCAAGGAGGACATTTGTGATTATGATCTGCCTTTCCGCTATGTCCGAGAAACAAAACCACAGAGTGGCGATCGACGGCGGTGGGTAATGAAAACAAGTGACTTTGAAAGGGATCCTCGGCCGATCTTGCTCTTCAGTGAATGGAGGGATTACCAGGCAGAGTCCTTCGAAGACCAACAGTGGAGGATACACGTTCCTGTTTTCAGCCTCAGCAGGGAAGGCATTCGCGAACCAACACATTACTCTTTGGCACAAAAGGCGATCACTCCATATTTGACTCGTAAGGGGGTTGGCAGAGGCGGCTTCAGCTTTGTAGACAAAGTGGAGATCCATCATGGTCATATCGATCCAAAGGGCTCAGTAAGTAGTTCTTCCTTTCTAAGTTCAATTACTGGCTGTTTCATCTCTTACTAAAGACAGTCAAATACAGAAAACAGTATTCGCCATTAAGAGATTGGAGACTTCGACAAAGTCAATGTTTGAACAAGAGGTGTCAGCCCTTAGCCGATTTGCAGACAAAGAGCATCCTCACTTAATCAGGCTACTTTGGACCTTCTCGTTAGGATCAACCTATCACCTGGTGTTTCCATGTGCCGACGGAAACCTGATGGACTTGTGGAAAGAGCACAAGTCTCCACTCGCAAGGAAAAAAGATCATGGTACGGCAATTTGGTTCGCAAGACAATGCCTAGGAATCGTTGAAGGCCTCAAGATGATTCATCAGGATACCGACCATGAATCAGACGAGCCAAAAAGGCATGGCCGACATGGAGATCTCAAACCAGAAAACATCCTATGGTTCAGAGACTTCAACAGTTCCAAGGAAGGTTACAGCCTGGGTACGCTGAAGATATCTGACTTCGGCCTTGCAAGATTCCATGGAACGAACTCAAAATCCCGGATCAACACAGAAGGAGTCGGGGGGTCTCCAACTTACAGAGCACCGGAGTACGATGTTCACAATGAGGTTTCTCAGAGTTATGATATCTGGTCGCTCGCATGTGTCCTTCTCGAGTTCGTTACATGGTATCTCAAAGGCTGGGATGAAGTCGAGAACTTTTCCAGATCTCGGAAGAATGAGGACCGGAACTCAATGGTAGGAGAGGACATTTTCTTCAATTGCAAGCAGACGAAGACCACGATAAGCGCGAACGCGAAGATGTCTGTTGCGGAGGTATGGCATCCTCGCCTTTTGATTATGAGCATTACTAACTTAAGCTAGGAGGTCCAAAGCCTATATGAGCATCCGAACTGTTCAGATTTTACACTAGAGCTTGTGCAGCTTATACAAACAAAACTCCTTCGAATGCATCCTGATGCACGAAACAGATGTTGTGATGCCTATGAAGAACTGAAGAAGTTCTTCGATGACTGCTGTCGATATCCTGAGTACTGTCTGAAAAGGATCAAGGCACCACCTGCGAGGAGAAATACAGAGATTTCACTTTTAGGGCCAGTGGAACTGCCTCGACCTAGGCCAAGATCATTGGGCGAGGATATACCGCCGCAATTCGCCACGCGGCTAGGTTCCGGGTCTCTGACTCCGCGATCTAGACCAGGATCTCCGGCATTATCAAGGAGTCCATACATTCCAGAAGAGACTTTGGTCGAGGAGTCAAATTCTCAAGTGGAAGAATCAGTATCGAATAACGAAGTCCATGACGTTCTGTCCCCAGCCGCTACCCCGAGTTTAGACAAGCCAATAGTTGACACAAACGCGCACATTTATGGTCCGAATATTCATCAGCAAGATACACAGACGCGAGATTCCAACACGACAAGAACCCCAATTGGCAATAACGTTACAGATGTTGACACATTGCAAGGGAAGGAAGAAGCTCAAGGTGCGCAAACACATGACGTACCTAAAAAGCAGTCGGATGAAACAAGCTCCCAGAGCGGGTCAAACATCGAGCCCAATTTGGGCCAACCCCAGGAGGAAGGTTTAGTGAAGAGCCCGTTGGGACGGTTTAAGAGGTGGAGAATGAAAACTATGGCTATTATTTGCTGCTATAGATAGAATTCCACATATGTACTCAGAGTTGTATAAACAGGCATCAGCAGCAGAAATACAAAGATAAGTGTACACAGACTGGAAGAGGTCACATCATGGTTGATGAGTGCACAGCAGGTCAGCCAACAAGAACTCTATTATTAATTACTTATTGAGCAACATGTAACTCTAGATAGCAACGGAGATCAATCTTGGTATCGCATCGACAAAGAACATAGGTTGAAAGCCTCTCAAAGATCGGTTGAGCCAGCAGGCCAGGCGATGTCAGCACCCCAGTGATGTTTGTTGACAGGGTCTTTCTGATAAATGTTTACTTCAAGAAAATTGTTGTGGCCACGGCACTTGTAGTTCTTATAGCTGGAAGGACTCTTAGTATCATCGACTTGGCTGTCATGACATAGTCTAGAAGTATTCACTTACGTATTGGCCTTCTTGAAGTTGGCCTGGATCAAGTATTGTTCAGACTCTTCGATGTATTGCCCTTCGGACGAGTCTTGAGGGATGAAGTACCGTTTAGACTCGAGTGGGCCAAAGTTGACTTATCTAACAAGCTGAACCGCATAAGATGGGTCGAGCTGGGAGAGGTCATGCTGGATATCACCGGTATCGAGAGTAGATTCCTTGGGAGAAGACCCCCATGACATGAAGCTGTTGAACTTAGACTGATGGGAGAGATACTGAGAGCGATAAGGCTCAATGGTATCACAGCGGAAAAGTGTAGACATTCTGGATGTATGTAATAAGATAGAGTGATGAAAGGACGAAGAATCACCGAAGAAGAATCATAGCAAGTGCTGAATATTTATGTCTTCTTGTCAAGCTGGCTGTCCTTTGATGGTTAGCCAACTGCCAATTCACTACCAGTATGTGATTGGCCTAGCTGGTCGGATGCCACTATCATCATCTCGCAGATTCTGAGGCCTAGCCGGCAGTTTGGCCAATCGGCCATCCTAAATTCATCCGCCACATGCGATTGGCCGCACTCGTCTAAACTGAAATGGTTTACATAAAGCTATTTTGGTGTGCGGATAGTTGAACCTTTCTCTTCCTTCTTCACGGTTGACCCTGGTGGTACTTCCGCAGCCACTCGTTGCATCCACTTCTGTCGCCAACTGTCTAGATTCCTTTGCAAATTCTTCAGCCGTTGAGTTCTCTCTTCCTCTACTGTCTTTCCTCAGTAGGCTAGCACATCACCAAGTCCCCAAGGGGTCTTTTATTTGTAGTCAAGGCTAGTTAGGGCCACCGGAACTAGAGAGGTCATTTCACCAACGCTATCACGAACATCGAGGTCCCCATTTCATTGACTCCAGCTGGACTCGATCCGGAAACGCGGGTCCTTTGCCTCCCTATGATTGGGGGTATTCAAGTACTACTACTCAGCCTGCTGGACAGCGCCCACAAGTTGAAGAAGATTCACGGCTAGACTATGTTGTTGAGAGTCACAACTCTCACGAAAATGACAAGAGTCAGGGTGGCGTGTCTTCTACAGGCGCTCAAAATTGCACGAGTGTCCAGCTGTTCTTGTTACCAAAAAGCTGTATACCTGAGTCCTCAGTCTCTGATACCTATGATAGTACTAACGCTAAGACATACGAACAGTGCTCATCTCAAGACTCACACAAGACTATTCAAATGCACCAAGACTGGTTGCAATGCAAGTTTGGTACTTGGGAAGGATTGTACCCGCCACGTCAATGAACATCATGGCTTTACTTGATGGTATTGTAGCTTTCCGGGATGAACGTACTAAATGGCTCGCGATGGGACGGCGCGGAGAACCAACGTTGAAAGGCATGCAAGGACATGGCATAAGCAGCAGGATCCAACTTTATAGCGTAAGTAGCTATTTCGCCATTGGAAATAATGTTACCGTTGTTTGAGTAAGCTTTCTGTGGGTTCCTGCTTCAATGCCTTGGATCTTAGATAACATACTGGGGGGACTTTTGATAATTGCCTGGATAGGAAGGAGGTCGAGACGAGTGACAAAGGATGAGTCACAAGTAAGATTGTCAATTTCTTATAAATAACGTGGGTTGATACAGCCTGATGTTATTGACACCAAATGTTCCGAACATCGAAATAGCAACACAGCCCTTTTAGAACTTCCATTATTAGCACTTCACTACTGAAATGTCTTCTCAGACACAGTTGCAAGACATACCGCCCTTGCCCTTGTCACTCGCCCCTTCAATAGCAGCCCATTCGCTGTCAACGCCAGACTCTTTACAAATTGAGATTGATCAAACAACTCATCGTCTTGAACTCCTCAATTTCTTCCATATTCCACCTTCATCTAATATTCTCGAGATTGGGTGCGGTCAAGGCACATGCACCGTTGTCTTGGGTCATGTCATTGGGGAAGATGGCCATGTTGACGCCATCGACCCCGCACCTCTTGATTACGGTGCACCATACACCCTCGGCCAAGCACAAGAACATATCGCCAAAGGCCCTTTGAGCGGTCGTGTAAAATTCTGGCAGAATCAGCTCGAGGATTTTCTGCAAAAGACCGGAGACAAGGCGTGGGACTATGCAGTCTTTGTGCACTGTTTATGGTACCTCGATGCACCTGAAACCCTTGCACGTATGCTCCGAGCGTTGAAGGGACGGGTGAACAGAATCTGCATCGCTGAGTACGCCATGAAGGCATCTGAGCCAGCCGCTGTCCCTCACGTTCTTGCTGCTTTGACGCGGGCTACACTTGAGGCACAAACGCCAGAGAGCGAAGCGAATATCCGCTGTCTGCTGAGCCCACCTGATATCAAGAATATTGCTGGCGATGCTGGCTGGAAAGTTGAACGAGAGACGGAAATCGTGCCGCATGAGGGACTGCAAGATGGAGGCTGGGAAGTTGGAGATGTGAAAAGTGCGAGTTTTCTTACTGGCGTTGAAGAATACGTTGCGGATAGCAAGATTAAGGTTGTTGTTAGGAGTGGTAGAGAGGCTGTTATAAGAGCTGTTGAAGGGCTCGACGGTAAAAAGGTGCGGACAATGGATGTCTGGGCAGCAACATTGGTTGAAACAGATTAAAGGAAGATTTCGAGTATAAAGGGCTATAGTGAGGATAGAACAACTCAAAGTACTAGTTCGCTTGTCAGCTCAAGAGTTCGTCCCCAACAACACCGTCGTGAGGTCTGATTTCCATTGTTAAGGCAAACATGAGGCCCAGATCGGGTGATGGCAGAAACTTGCTACATGTAGGAGACGGATTCTCGTCTTCATACATAACCAAGTATGTCATAAACAAAATCGAAACCAAGCTTGGGTTGTTAGTACTCAAGGACATGCTTAGAGAAAGGAATGAAGCCGGGAGAACACCAAGAGAGCAGGTAGAATACAGTGATGATCTAGAAACTGTGGAGATTTTGGACGCAGGGATGAAAAAGTTCGAAATGCTGGATTGAAGAAATTGAAAGTCTTGGGCTAAGTTTCGATACTAATTCCTCATTTCCTTTTCCTACGAGGACTGCTGAAGACCAACGCCTTGCAACTTAACCCCTTCCACAAAATTGACCGGAGGAGTGTACGCCTTCCTGCCATGCGTGACATATGCAATGGCGGCGATGATGATAACGCCAGCCCATATCAAAGGTGCCCAGTTCGCTGAGGCAGTATCGACAGGCAAGGTAAGTGGAAAACAGCAAAGAATGACAATGAACAAGCTGTAAAGCACAGAAAATGCATTGATCGCCAGGCCAAAGCGACCCAGGCTCCAGCGGGCAGAGGGAAGCTGCTCGCCTCTGATGCGCTTGAGGAGTACGCAGCCAATGCTGAGAAGGTATGTGCTCATGATGCCGAGTGTTGAGAGCGAGACTAAGACTGTGAATGCAACGTCGGAACCAATTTGGATGAGACTGAGGAGAGCGGCGCCGATGGACATGAGATAGACTGCGTTGAAGGGCATATGCCATTTCTTGTCCCTGAAAAGCTGTTAGGATAAGATATACGCAGTTGATGTCTGAACTTACATATGGCCAATCCATTGAGAGCCTGGAAGTCCCTTATCTCTCGCAAACGCCCATGTCTCACGAGCGCAAGTCGCAAGAGTCGTGATGTTGCCAAGGTAGACCAAAAGCCAAAGGATAACATTGAAGAACAAGTTCAGACCTTGAGATCCGGTGCGATCGAAGAGGGCGATGAAGGGCCAGTCTGCCTCGATGATGGGGTCAAGAGGACCAATGCAGAACAGCATGGTTATCAGCATGATGAATCCGAAGAAGACATTGCCAACGTATGACCACCAAATCGCGCGTGGGACAACAATCGAAGCGTTCTTCACTTCCTCTGACAGATGGACGATACTGTCTGAACCGAAGCAGCACCAGAGAACGTAGATCTGCGATGAGATGTAGGCAAAACCCATATTATCCCATCCGCTCTGGTCAGTGAACTGCAGAAACACGTCGTGTGCGTCGTTCTTGTCGCAAAGGACCCAAAGAGGTATCATGACCGCAAAGAATCCAAGCAGATGGCCAATCAAGCTTGCTGTCTCGAGCTGAGGGAAGAATGCGGTACCCCAGGTGTTGAAAGCGATAGTGACGATGATAACAGCCCACATGATAAGAGCAATCTGCCACGTCGTAAATGCGAAGTCAGGCATGGTAACGTTAATACACGCCTGCACCTGAAAAGCGATAGTATAACAACTACTCGCAAAACTAGCCAGCCATCCCAGCGTCGTCATCCAACCCGAAGCATAAGACAGAACTTTCTGATACCTCGGCGGTGAAAACTCGCTAACCCAATGGTACTGACCACCCGAAGTCGGCGCCATAGAAGCCATCTCCGCCAAACTCGCGACAACAGCAGAATACGCTGTAGTCGTAGTAACAAAACACCAGAAAACACCAGCGTATCCACCGTTCGTAAAACCCGGCGCAAGCGATATCAGCACAAATTCCCACGTCGCCATGTAAATAGCTACAAAGCCAATTGACGACCACAGCGAAAACGTTCGTTTGAACTGCTGTTTCTTGCCAAGACGCTGCATGTCCAAGTGATCTTGGTGGTCGTTGTGAAAGCCATCTTGATCGAGTTCTGTTTCGTCGGGGAGGAGTTTGTTCGCTTCTTTCGAGGGACCGACGGCGGCGGAGGGGTCTGTCGACGATTTAGATGAATCGTCAGCCATTTTGGCGACTGGAAAAGGACGATGAGGATGAGGAGAAATTTAGAATTTAGGTGGCGAGCACTATTTATTAGGTCTTACAGGGGAAGAGATTGAGCTTTAATCCTTATCGAAGCCACCGATGGAAGCCCCGCAGTGACTGATGAGTACTTTCATGCGTTATAATGTACTAGCAAGTCTCGGCAATATGTTAGGACACTCTTGGTAGTGCTAGGTACTGTTGACCAACCAATTTCGACGCCGGAGGCGGCCCGAAGGTCAAGATCCATAAAATGCGTTACACTAAGATCAAACAAACGTAGATCGTCCGAAGCTGCGGGTCTGCTAAGGCTGAAACTGCTATTTGAGGAAGCTGCAAACAGCCGCGGTTCCATTGGCTTTGCCTTTCACATAAAGACAGTAAAATATCTTTGATCGCCAATTGCGGTTCAGTCACCAGTATTTAGTGATGTCTTGATGTCGAAACTGTCATGTCACCGCTCAAACAGAACGATGGATATACTAAAGCACCACTTTAGCTACTGTCTTCCCTGGTCGCATCTCTGCTCTTCACTTTCTCAATGATTCGCACCAGTGGGTTTTCCCTCGCCTCCTCTAGGTCTTCTTGTTCAATCTCCAATTTTGATCCACTTAGCAAACCTTTGAGATAGCTCTCCACCTCCCAACTCCTCTCCCAAGGCTGATCCTCAAATTTCAGCGCTGAGTCGAATGAATCTTTCTTTGAAGCAGGCCCTTTCACAAACGGGTCTGCTCCTCTTTCGACCAAAAACTCAACAATCTCCCAGTTTTGGTGGTGAACTGCTCTCGACAGTGCTGTGCCGCCTGAATAAGTTACACCGTTGATGTCAGCGCCGCGGCTCAAGGCCATCTCCATCAGAGGTCTCCAGTCTTCCTGCGCCCCTGGGATTGGATAACAGTGCAGTCTCTTAATAGCGCCATGTAGTGGGCGTGAGTATTCTGGGTGGGCGCCGTGCTCGAGAAGCATCTCCACCACAATCGTTGGACTCTTCTCGACGGCAAGGTCTAGCGCTAGGCCAGAGGTGCGATCCATTGGAGGCGTGGCTTGCTCACCCCAATTTCGTGTTCTGCCACATTTAAACGGTGCAAGATCTGGATCTGCGCCGTGTTCAAGAAGAAAACGGGTGATATCGACATCTTGAACGCAGTGATGTATAGCGACTCCAAAATACCCATCTCGGCTAGGAATCTGCTGATTAGGATGATAGCCGTGCTGAACACATAACTCGAAGAGCGGTAGGGAAAGGTTATTGCAAGCCTCCTTCACCACTTCACCGTTCAGAGGAGTCCATCTTTCGTTGAGCAGGTAGCGAACTACTTCAACCCGATTGGCCCTCGCTGCAAACACCAAGCCGTCTTGGAGTCCCATCTGCTGAAGGTCTTCTAACAGTTCTCCATCTTGCGTCCAAGCCTTGACTTGATCAAGCAATCCTTTATCACATGCAACCATAAAGGGCCTCACCTTTTCCCTTTTGCAGGTCTCGGCCCGAGTGTAGACTAACCAATAGCTGCAAGCTGGGAGAGGGAGAGGTAGGGGTGGAAGGTTAAGCTGTTCAAAGTAGTTGTATATCATGAGTCTCAAAGGCTCTCTAGCCTCATCATACCTCGCGCCATCTCTGGTGATAATATCCTCAAATACTTGGACATCCTCCTGACTCCAGTTCCGTGAGCCACGTGCATACAGATACTTGATTCGCACTTCATCTTCTTTACTGCGAAAATATCGGTCAGGCTGATATGGTGGGATGCTCGCAGAGTTGGGGCTGGAAGGGCCTCGAAAGCAATAATAGTATTGAACTGGTTTGATACCATGGGGCATCATGTGGCGACTTCTGTATATCATTCTTGCCATGATTGCGGCTCAGGCTCTGAAATGCTGACGTCTTTGTTTTTCGTATAGATGTTTCAACTTGCCGCAAGAAATCAGCTCATCAGCTTGGTGTTGATGCCTCAGGCGCCATCTCTATGGCTGCCTAAAGCACGTCTCTTATGCCGATGTGTTGTATCATGTATATTGCCATTATCCGCGTTGGTCCCCAAATTATATTTTGTGTAACTACAATAAACATCATTTTGCCGAAAGAAAAGCAATCGCCGCATGCTGTGCCTTAAATATTGATCCTCTGCTGAGGCGAATACGATACCTGGTTTTCGGAGCATTTGCCCCAGCTCCACTACATCTCGCATCACTACACTAAGACTCCACGATGAATGTTTCACATGGTATCAAACGACGACCGGGTAGTCCGGCCGAATCTATCGGTGCATCTTACATGACATGGCGTTGATAAACGGCCCTTTAGCGTGAAACGGCATGATCTTGACTTTTTCGTTCTCCCAGGGTCTAATGTATCTGAGGTTCTAGATGCATTACACAAACATGGCCATGTCCTACTTGTAAGCTGAATGGACCGGTAATCTGGTACTCTGCGGGGCTCAATGCTAAGCGCACCACTCCATGACACGATCGAGCATGCACTGAATTCCCAATCTGTCTATATTCCTGACGATCCCCTTGCAAGTATAAACTCAAATGAACTATTTTCTCACCAACATGAACAAATACTACACGGATAATTCTGGATAATAAAAATTCAATTTAGCCACAAATGTTACCGTCATGGACGTCGTATCTGCTTACGCTTGGCAGGGTGTTTATCGCCCCCAGTTGCTTAGTTGAGGGCGGATTGCAGCATCACAAAGACAATTTATATAGAAAACATCCAGTAAACTCTATTAAAATTATTTTATCCGGCGGGCCAATCCTATGCCAAGAAACTACCCCGCAACCCCGTATTTCCAGGGGGAATAGGCTGATTTATCAAGGGGACAAACTTGAGGTCATCATCACGGCAGTTGGTACAGTAGTGAGAAACTGGGTATAAAAGAGAGGGACACGATGCCCGATAATTCAACTCATCAGGCTCTTGGTCAATCTTCTCAATTAAGCATTCGTTTTACAATAGGCTACGATGCAGCTCAAAGTTTTGTCTTCAGCATTGCTGCTGTCTCTGACCAGCACATGCGCTGCCCAAGACACAAATGAGATTCCACCTCTGATCACCGGCCTTTGGTCCGCCGATCCCTCGGCTCATGTTTTCGAGGGCAAGCTTTGGGTGTACCCTTCTCATGACATCGAAGCCAATGTCGTCAACGGAACAGGAGGCGCTCAGTACGCCATGAGAGACTATCATACATACTCCATGAAGTCAATTTACGGAAAAGACCCCGTTATCGACCACGGCGTCGCTCTCTCAGTCGACGACGTTCCATGGGCCAAGCAGCAAATGTGGGCTCCTGACGCAGCCCACAAGAACGGCAAATACTACCTGTACTTCCCCGCCAAGGACAAGGATGAGATCTTCAGAATTGGAGTTGCTGTCTCCAACAAGCCCAGTGGTCCTTTCAAGCCTGACAAGAGCTGGATCCCTGGCACCTTCAGCATCGATCCAGCTAGCTATGTCGACACTGACAACGAGGCATACCTGATCTGGGGCGGTATCTGGGGCGGTCAACTCCAAGCATGGCAGGATAAGAAGAACTTCAACGAGTCGTGGATTGGAGACAAGGCTGCTCCAAACGGCACTGCTGCTCTGTCTCCTCAGATTGCCAAGCTGAGCAAGGACATGCACAAGATCACCGAAACACCACGCGATCTCGTCATTCTGGCACCCGAGACGGGCAAGCCTATTCAGGCTGAGGACAACAAGCGACGATTCTTCGAGGGACCTTGGGTTCATAAGCGCGGCAAGCTGTACTACCTCATGTACTCCACCGGCGATACTCACTTCCTTGTCTACGCCACTTCCAAGAACATCTACGGTCCTTATACCTACCAGGGCAAGATTCTCGATCCTGTTGATGGGTGGACTACTCATGGAAGTATTGTTGAGTACAAGGGACAGTGGTGGCTTTTCTTTGCTGATGCGCATACCTCTGGAAAGGATTACCTTCGACAGGTTAAGGCTAGGAAGATTTGGTATGACAAGAAAGGCAAGATCTTGCTTCATCGTCCTTAGATAATGTGCGTGCTTTTTTATCAGCATGTGAAACTTTCTCTTCTTCGGACTGGAGGATAGTAACGAGTAGATGTTAATGTAAATACACAATATTATGAGTGGAGTCAATTATACATTCTCTGACAACAGACTAGTTTCTAGCCATGTCCGCCCTGCTATTATGTCTGTAGTGATTTCCAGTGTCTTACCAAATGATCCGCAAAAGGTCCTGACCTTTTATAATTTCTCTTCCCGTTCTCGCTGCAGAACGGGCAGTTGTAATAGTTATCTCTGTCTCTGAAGCCAGCCAAAGTAAAAGGCATGTCTCCTGCGGCAAGGATCTTCTCCAGGTACTCTGCTAAAGAAGTCGGGATCTCATGAAATGTAGTGCCAGCCTTCTTGTCACTCGGTATCCGGCAAAGATCATCACTATTCTCCAAGTCGCCATGAGGTCTCGTGTTGTTAGTAGGGTTCGACTTTAAGCTCGGCGCTGCCTTCTCGTGAGGATTCGGCTCATAGTGAATAGGTTGCAATGGGTCGAGACTTCTATTTGAGGCAGGGTAGGAGACCTGGCTTGCTCGTCGACTACTCTGGGGAGTGTGAAAAACAGGCGACCCTGCTATATCGTCGCCAAATGATATGATGGGGGGAAGAACTCGCGGAGATTCGGAGCAGTTACTTCTGGTTGTCGGAGATGACGTATTGAACGGAGAAAAAGAACCATCTTGAGGTGTTCTATGATGGCTGGGCGGTAAGTGAGATATGTATCTCGGATGCGATAGGTTGATATTATCCGCAGAGGCGCGACGGATAGGTGGTAGACAAAGGGCATCCCGAAGTCTCCCCGCCCGGTTCTGAATCTCCATTTCTTGTATCGAAGGAGGCGAAGATGATGTCCCAGGTGTCGGCCTCAATGACACAGCATGATCTTCAGCTCTTCTGTCCTCCTTTTCAGATATAGGGACCCAGGGCGCATTATTTTGTTGCTATAAAGCCCATTAGCGAGAGATACTGTATGTGGGGATTGAGCACTGACCAAATGGCGGTAGATGCTTGTCTTCTCTATCAACTTGGTGCCCTCCTGCTCAGGGTATACTTCAGACCATGCTTGTAATGACCTCTCAACCTGAGGCCGTCCGATTATTCCGATGATATCGTGGCACATGGTGGTGATAACTGCCCGCAGTTCCTCCTCATTTCTCGCTGATTGAGCGTTAGCAACATCTCCGCGGCACTTGGCGACAGCTTGTTCTATAAGCATCACTCGATCCAGCCATTCATTTGTCGACATCGCGGGCTGCTTTTCCTGTTCAGCACAAGACACGACATCTGTAAAATGTGTCAGAGCAAAAAAGGCAGTGTTCGAGAGATCATGTGAAGGGCGCTATTGACAGGCATTGGAAAGTCTGCTTAGTGACTCGAAAGTCGGGCAGCGCTATTACTTGCCGAACCTCGGAGTCATGGGCGAATGGTTGCTATGCGGCTTAAATAGTGGCTGTCAAAAATTCATGATTCCGCTCTAAACACCTTAGTCTGGACGAGGACGCTCGTTCTGGTTGGCCGATGTAAGAAGGGAGGGTATTGCAGCTGACAGCGGGTAGGTCGGATAAACCGGAAATGACGTTAAAGGTGATTTAGTTGTTGGGCACTTTTTTAATTCTGATATAAAAGGTAAGATGTTAGTGGTAATGAATGTTGGTAAGTAGACCCAGCGTCACTGTAGTTTTTCTGAGATGAAATAAATTCGACTATAAACTTCTGCTTTATGTGGCTAAAACTAAACATGGCGCTATCTACCTGGTAGTCCAAGAATTAAACATGTAACAAACTACAGATTTAGTTGTGTAGGTATTCCTGGAAATGTTTCCAAGTAAAGAGCTTAGAGGAGAGAGCTTAGAGGAGAGAGATATGTGGTTTTGATTTATTTCAGATGTTATAAACTCATCTCAATGTTCGCACTTAGTAACGAGATACCGAGAATATTAGGGATCCGGTGTTGTTCACCGAAATTCACCGGTCTACACTAAGATAGGCGAACAGTGATAGTGGAGTACATCGTCGAAAGAGGAAAAAGCAGCCACCAATCAGAGCAGTGTTTGTGGATAGCATCGCATTCCGCTTTCACGGAACGAAGTGCTGTGGCGGGTGAAGTATCCATTGTGGCTCTGTTTGCTCGCTTCTGGGGAGCAAGCAGGCCGAGAACGGAGTAAGTTCGATGAAAATTACAAAGCAACGGTTCTAACAATTCGAATTCAAGGAACATGTCATAACACCATGCAGTTACTTTAAAGACAAGGAACCGTGATTGTGTTGCATCGGGGCAATAGATGCCATGTTCACAGGAACTGCATAGGGTTACAGCCAAGTGTCTGTTAAGGAATACCTAAAACAACACCTAAACTTGGGTAACGTTTAAGTATTCTTTAATGCAGTATGCTCCGCCAGAGACATCTGAATCTGTCTAGCCTCAATTGGCGGGCGGGGTTTACTGTGGCTGGCTGTGGATATGGGCCTATCCGCCCGAGATTGGTCTGGGCCAAAGACTAGTGAGAGAAGCTGAGCAGACTACTGAACAGTGTACGCCATGTCTCTCAGTGTGTTCAGAAAGACTGCAGTCATAGGTTCCTAAAGTTCGCTAGCTACAGTAAGTTGTCTATGGTCAACCGACCGCCTATGTTTCTTGGGAAGTGGTATTAACTATGATAAGCTGCATTAATGTGGCCAGCTGAGCTCCCATCGAAAGTCCAAGACTGTTAAGGTAGTTAACTGGCTCTCTGGTCGCAGGCTGTAAGCTATAAAGGGCGTCTATGTTCCCCTCATTCAGTTCTTCACATCTCAGAAAACAACAAATAATTCTTCATCGCAGTTTCTTATCAACCCCTACCACAACTCCTTGTCAAAATGACCAACTATTCTCTGACAGTCAGGATTCAAGGGCGCATGGCCCTACAGCAATTCGCACAGCAAGGTTATAATCTCTGCTTTGCTTCCGCAGTGGAACGCGAGGGATACAAGGTCATAGCATCAAGCATGAGTAAGGCTTCGTGTTCCTCTACTTTGACCTGCACTAACGATTATAATTAAGACATTGCGCCCAATGCCCAATTCCAGTGGAATGATGACTTTGGTGTTGCTGCCAGTCAATCCAACTTCATGAACGGAGGTATGGAAGCCATCGATATCATAACTCAAAAGTCAACATGCTAATCAGCTCTTCAGTCCAAGTCATGGCGGCGACTGATATCGAGTCCATCAGACCCGGCCAGACCTACACCTTGACCCCAGACTGGCAAGGCAGTGTGGACGACGGTGGACCTCAAGGCGGTATTCGCTTCAACAACAAGGCCGACAGAGCATCCCCCATTGTCTACAGAACCATCAACGGCTCCAGGGCTCCCATCTACTTTGGTTCCATGCAACTCCCGAGAGGCAGCAGTCAAGAAATTAAGCCTAATAACAGGGTTACGGTCTGGTTCCAACGCGATGGCGAAACTGGCACCATGATCGATGGAATCGATGGACAGAACATTGAAATTGACATGTCGGGAAGGACTAACGCCACAGTCGTCTTCAATGACGATTTTACGTGGTCGCTGCAGTAAATACATCCTAGCTGGGGCTACCAACAAACTGAACGTGACAGAGTAGTCTTCGCTACAAGACTGAACTTTACACAACATTTTCAGGCCACCATTCAGAGCCTCGCCAGTTTCTATGTAAGAAGCTAATTAACTGAGACAATGTGTGACTCTATTCCACCTCTTCAACATTGCACAACCTCGAGGAGGTAAAAAGAATCACCCGTTTACTCAGATAGTTAGCGTCTTGCTATAGCAACTGTTGAGGCATTGTGATAATGGAAGACAGATACCGTTATTGGATGACTGCTTTTTTCAAGTGAAGAGTAAAAGTACAGAGTAGTGGTGACGTTCCTATATCAATTCGCAGACAAGTAACTGAAGACAAAAATACCCACTGCAACTAAAAGGCAAGCCCCATAACCAGCAATGAACTGAATCTTCTCGCTGAACTGGTAAACTTCTGCACCGATGAATGCACTGACATCTCCGTCATGAGTTGACATCTTGAGCGAAATTGTCGAAATCACCACATCTTGCAGGTATTTCTCAATACTTGCTGCCGAGATATTGAAGCGAGCATTGTATCTATCAACCAGTCCAATGTAAGGGCTGCCCAGTACTTGTGATGCATTGCCTTGGAAGAAGATCACACCCTGCCCGGGGCCGTCTCTATCTAGATGATGTCAGCTTTGGAGAGTAGCTCAACAAGAAAGCAATGTACTCACGCATTTCAACCTCGCCTTGCAAAGCATGAACAACAGCACGACTAATAGCAAATGTCTGCGCATTCGTGAAGTTGGTTTCTATAGTGTTGTTGGCGATATGCGGCTCAATGACGCCACCATAAAAGAAGTAATAAAAGAACTGTGTCTGAATCCAAGCTTTATCAGACCATATTTCCCTCTCGTTTTCAATATCCACAGTGATAGATTGAGAAGAGTCCAGCGAGTTATTGATGTGAAGATTGTACGTCGCTAACGTCATAGAGCAGTCGAGTGTCTTGAGGTTCTCCGTGTTGCATCTTGGTCTGGGACTCGTGTACCAGCTCATCTTGAAAGAGTTGTTTGTGCGACTATATAGTTCGTCAGTGCTGCTGTCTATCTCATCCTCGGCTCTGTAGATGATAGAGCACTCGGTCATGAGAGCATCGCGACGACCACGCTCCTTGCAGTTAAACCGAGGGCCCTCGATAGAGATGTCATAGACACATGAGGCACCGCAGGGAGAGTCAAGTTTGACAGGACCTCCAGATGATAGAACCTGGGCTGCCAAAGCATTAAGACTCGGTCGAAGCTGGTTCCTGTGGTACACTTAGAAAAGGCCAAATAGGTTTCAACTAAACGTAGATACTCACATGTAACTAAGATCCCCATTCATCTCAAAAAGTGACTTTTCCACAAAGTCCTGGTAGGTACCGTTTCCATAATCGCTGATGTTCATTGTTGCAACGCTATTCATAGTTATAGGCACAGAATTTTCAAACTTGACGGTCAGAGCACCGGGAGGAAACACAGCGGCAAAGGGGATCCCAGCGCAAAGAAGTCCAACAAGCCAGAGCCTCTTGATACGGAGGACTTGTACGAGAATCCTGGGACGAAACAGATTCCATGGGCTGGAAGCAAGGGTATCTAGCTTAGCCTCCAGACCACTCGCGGGTTTCTGTCCAAGAAAGCTGCCCAGAATCTGGTTATAAGCCACTCCAAGGCCGCCGAGGAGAGAGATTTCAACGAAGATTGCTAGTATGTTGGCCAAGGCGGTTGAGAGACCTTGACCAATTGTTGTATGAACGGGACTGTTATTTAGTACTAAGAAGAAAGCAGCGTGGATGCCCATGAAGCACACAGCTGTGATGGAGTAATATTCAGTGGGTGATCAAGCATTCAATGGAAAAGTAGCACTTGCCGACAAAATAGAAGATACAGATTGATCTCATGGCCGAAGAACGCTTCTTGTTTGTGTGTGCAACTGCCCCCCGGAGAGGACCGTAGACTGGACCGCCATTTCGAGGCATATGAGTCGAATTTGTCATGAAGACAACAAGTTGCTCTTATGCTCCAGCTGTTCTGGAGGCGTCGAATTGATCTTTTGTAAGAGGTTATATCATGCACTATTTTCCAGGATGAGGCCGTGGAGGGACAAGTTCAAAAGCCTCAGCAGAAAGGCTGGGGATCCTTATGCTGAAGAGGAGGGGGGCTCCGGCGCCTCATGGAAGACGCTGGTCTCGGTCAGAAACGCCTCCGAATTGGAGATGCTCCCGGCGCCTGTTATCTCTCCGTAATTGGTAGCCTGATTCTTCTTGGGATACACAACTTAAGACAACACAAGCCAAAGAGCCATCCCATTGGTGGCTAAGGGAGCCAAGAGTGCGGCTGAATCTGAGCTGCAGCCGGGGGATGTGGATCCTCGGAGCCCGATTTTCTTCTCACAATTGATATGCAGGTTGCGCTATTATAAGAAAGATTAATATTAATATATATTAAGTTAAGTATAGATTATATCTATTAACTATATTTACTAGATGTTTATTTGCTAACCTATCTTCAGTTTAGATTAAATTGAAAGTCTAAGCGGACAAATAACCCTCCGAACTCGTCGACGTCATAGCTGAAATAGCCCGCGTCGGCGATTTAGACGTGCCGAGCGGCGTCACAATGTAATAACATCCTGAAGTCTAAGTAGTAGTGATACAAATATTAGATATAAAGTCAACAGTAGACTCCCAGTACCTCTAGAACTATTAGGCACATCAATTAGGCTACAATTCCCATCTTACATCACTGCACGAATCAGTTACAACTCAACAAAATGCCCGAAATCCATGAATCAATCACAATTGCAGCTCCTCCCTCGCAAGTCTGGAGCGTTTTAATGGACTTGGAATCTTGGCCAAAATGGAATACCTTTGTCTCATCAATCGAAGTACAACCTCCACACAATGAACTTGCCGTTGGAAGCAAGCAGACCATCACCATCAACAAGTCTCAGTCCTACACCAATGTCGTATCAGTTTTACAACCTGAAAAAGAACTTCGCTGGAACGGCAGTATCTTGACACCGATTATCTTCGATACGAAACACTGGTGTCTTTTGGAAGCTGTCGACGACGGACGGTCGACGACTTTTACTCAGGGCGAGCGTTTTTCTGGCATCCTGGCACCTGTTGCTGCGGCGATGGGCAAGCTGGATGAACTACGTGAAGGTTACGTGAGGATGAATGAAGACCTGAAACGAGCTGTTGAGGCTGGAAAAGAACAAAGTTTATTGTGAGAGTATAGGTAGATAGGGAAAGTCAATCAAGTCCCTTCTTCATGACATGGGATGTATCAAATGATAGCAAGGTCAACACTCTCCAATACTATTAACAGAATGGAGCTACTCTAGCGAGGATCGCACATCAGCACTTCAAAAGATTCCACTACAAACTTGAGTCTCAAGTCTGACGCCCCCCTATTACCTGGAACCGTTTCGGTATCGGTTCAGGCTATACTCTAGATCCCTGATCTTCCCCTCCAGATCGCGGATCTGTGCCTCCTTGTCTGATTTGTCTCTTTCGCATATCTGATATTGTTGGAAGCAATGCTGCTGCTTGATGTTAAAGACTGTAATAAAAATACCTGAGATAAGGCTGAGATAGATGTTGGGGTATCGAGTAAACATCGCACATACAGCTTGAGTCTCCTGTCCAGCCTCGTAATGGGCGGTATATGCATTCCACCATGTCGCAATGCTAGTGCTTAGGGCTGCAGCCGCAGCTGTGAGCACTGCTATCTGCTGATAATATGAGTTTTGGGAGCCCGACATGCTGTGCAATCTGGAGGAACAATGTTTGGTTGTAAGATATATAAAAAAATGTGTTGGGCGAGATGCTTTGGTATCGGATTCCTTTTCGAAGGAAGCCCGGCCCTTTTGAACTACTTGTTGTTGGGCTCAGCTGATGTTCTGGCCACCCTTGACAAGAAAAAGTGAAGTCAATCACAGAAAAACACGCATGATTATATACGCCCTGTCTCTTAGCATTCTGCATATCACTTGCCGTGATGTGCATCAGGAGTATGACAATACCCACATAACTACTGTAGTGATTGCTTAGCTAAGGATGCATCTTCGTCAATTAAGGTAAACGGGCTAATGGATAGCCATTGAAGGGCCAACACGGGGTAACAGGCAGAAGTGCATATGGTAAGCCTCAGCGTCTACAGCCAGCTCATTACTGGCTGCAAATGAAACCAACCACCCGTGGATTGTAGATGTCTCAGCGACAAGGCTTACTGCATGGACATGGCTTTTCGACCCGGTATCAGCTCTGTTAATTAAAACTACGATAGTTTGTAGTTTTTATTTATCATGATAGATTGACTTCTAAGAGATGAACGTCTGTCTTGAATCTTTTAGATATGCTGTAAGCCTCGAAAACTTGACGCCGCTCCAATCTGCTCATAAATCAGTCATGTCTCAAAAGATGCAGGAAGAGACTGACAGCGGAGCGGTCTTAGAGAATCCTCAAAAGTCTGCGTTGAGTCAAAGAACAAGGCTGGGGGGTCCTCCTCGAGTGTGGATTATGAGTAGCGAGGTCGAATCTGGAATACCACCGGAATATCTTTACTAACTCCAACTCAAGTTATAGGTTTGAGCACTTCCATCATCATATCGCTGTGGACAGCTTTCAGATTGCCTCGATAAACTTGTCTAAGTGGTAGCTACGCGAGAAACTCCCACCGGAGAATTGCCTATTGGAGAGAAAAGGGAGATACATCAATGTCAGGAATCTGTCCGCGCATAAGTTGGCTCATGACTCGCCCACTGCCCATTCCCAGTGTCAGACCCCATAAGCCATGGTATTACAACCCCCGCGGTTACATCACCTGGCACCCACAAATTTCGCAAATTAACTAACAACATATACTTCCCTTGTATTCCTCTTATAAGCTATTAAACAGGACTTATAATAAGACTTATAGCTTATATATAAGTATTAAGTTATAATTATAAATTACTATAAGTATACAAATATATTTATTTAATATTAGATAAGACATAGCTTATTAACCATTAATAAAACTTCTTTATATTAATTTAGGCCTAATATATTAAATCTATTATTAAGAGATAAAAAATTTTTCTGTACTTAGTATTATACCTTATATTATTTACAAATATAAACTTAATATAAACTAGTTTACCTGTTTAAAACTAACCCATTATATTTAGCCCTAATAGTCAAATATTCCGTTAGGATAGGACGCTGTGTTCGGGCTAATATATGAAGACTTGACCTCTGATATTACCGGAAGCCCAGATTTAGACGCGGGCCTGAAAGCCCGGCCCTGCTTATGGATCTGGACGTCATCACCGTGCTGCTCGTCGCAGGTACAATTCCCATTCAGCCACTGGCGTGCACGTTAACTGATCTCCTGAATAAGCTCTTCGTCTGGCTCATCGAATTGACTTGGTGAGGGCAGCGTCGCATCGGTATTTATTCGTCCACAAGCCCAAACGGTTCCGTCGTTCCGACCAGCGAATTCGAACTTTTCTCCAATAAGTGGCTCGAATGAAATAAATGCCGTGCTCTCCACCGTTTTCAGGCAAGGATTCTTACAAAGAATCCAGTCTCCGGCATTTGTAGCCCATTGGAGATGGACAGGAGCGGAAGGACACAACCGCTCATACACTGTTGGAGTCCATGGGCCACAAGCTAAGAGCAACTGCTTGCATACAATAGTTGTCTTTCCCTCACCATTTACGCTCAAGGTAATGGCCTGCACCTGATTCAAGGTGGAAAATTCGACTCGAATGACCTCTGAGTATGTCATGATCTTGACGCCTCTCGCGAGGCACTGCTCTTTCAGCCATTTGCCTTAACCATTCGGGTCCCTTTCAATCAGCATTAGCACTTGTAACTAAGGACAGTAGATTTGGAGCTGGAGAATACGTGCACTGTAGCTGTGCTACCCCCCAGAACCTGGGTGTCAACATCCCAAGAGGTCTCTGTCTTGATCCAGGTGGGAAGTTTATCAAGGCCCTTGCTATCACCTTGATAAATGCCGTAGGAAGAATTCGACCGGTACCCCGTTGCGATTCTGAAATCGACATCCTGCGCCTCTTGCGCCCATAGATTGAACGAGTATTTCCCAAGAGGTGTAAGTATTTTGCTTAGCGGGCCAGGGAAGTGGTATTGAAAACAACCTGTGCAAGCTGACGAAGCATCGGCGAACGGTCTGTCACTGGCGTCAACGACGATCTTGGACTTCGGATCCTGTGTGCTGAGTGACTTGGAGAGATGGTATGTAGTGCAAAGCCCAATCCAACCCGCTCCAACAGTAACGATGGCGGTGTTGTCCTGCATTATAGCCGTTTCTTCGTGATATCGTTGAACCTGCTCCTTTGTTGTGAGAAACGCCATGAATTGTGGCAGGATAGTTATATGTTTAGTGGTGTTTCTTTCGTACTGCTGAACGCAACTTACCGCTTAGGTGCATACGGGAGCTTAATAAATACTTAACCTTATTGGCAAAAGTGAGGCTACAGGCTTAAACATTATCCTCGGAGTTATTGGTGCACTGGGGTCAATGGTTGGATTATTGTAAGCCCACTTCTTGTAACTCTATAAAACTCTGATACTTTAACTTAGTTATGTGCTCCTAACCGCCCAATCTGATTTGTATACCAAAGCTATTCTCATTATCAGTCTACAGTTGTCAAGAATACCAACGAGAGACTTACTGTTTCAGCCCCCATACCGACAGCCTTGATTCCAGTATACTTGGCCCAACTCCACGCCTCAATTCTCTTAGCATATGCCAAAGCCCCATGCTCTGGTATACTGGTGTCCAGGACTTTCTTTGGCAGAGCTGGATCAATGACCGATGGCCGAGCTAAGCCCACCAAATCACAACTGCCTCCTTTGACGGCAGCCTCCATACCTTGGCGTGTCCGAAAGCCACCAGTCAGCATGATGGGAACGTTCGGAAGCTCAGATCTGATAGCGTTCGCGAAGTCGATGAAGAAGGCTTCCCGGGCCTTGGTGCTCGCCTTCACAGTTGTGTGCAGGCCAGTGCTGAACATGGGATCCTCGATGGACCCTCCACTGACCTCTACAAAGTCAACTCCAGCATCAACTATGGCCTTCAATTGGGTGATGAAATCGCCCAGATCTGTGTGATCAGTCGAATTGACCTTTATGCCAACACAGGTCCCAGCTGGTACAGCTTTTCTGACGGCTTTGATGACGTCAATAACAATCTTGGCTCTTGCTAGTGGGGAGCCTCCATAGTCATCTGTTCGTTCATTCGAAAGTGGCGATAAGAACTGGGCCAATAAGTATCCATGGGCAGCGTGTATTTCTACTCCAGCAAAGCCCGCCTCCACTGATAGCTGCGCTGCTTCGGCAAATCTCGTCACCACATCATCTATGTCAGACTGAGTCATCTCTTTCGGCGTTCCATATACTAGTGACCTGACAAGCCATGGAAATAGACCCTTGCCAAGATCCAGAGGAATTGGGCTTGGAGCAAGGCTCTTGACAAATGGTGCTTGCCGTCCTGGATGGTTGATCTGGACTATGGCTTTCGTTCCGTTGAGTGAACAAGCGCTGGCCCAAGACTTCCACGCTGGGAGAGTCTTTACTCTAGGGAGATCCCGGTTTACTGTGAAGTCACCCGGTGCCCCGGGATGAGCGGGATCGATGTGCACATTACCTGTCAATTGATTTCAGAATGCGGTGAGTTCTGGTAGTTTGAGGAAGCCTTACCACTGATGATCAAACCCCAACCCCCTTTCGCCCATTCACTATACGTTGCGAGACATTGCTTGCCACCTGGAAGGCCGTCTTTGTCAGCCAATCTCTCGGCCATGGCCGCTTTGGTGAGTCTGTTTGGTAAAGTGAGACCGCATTCCAGCGTGATGGGTTGCGCGATAGCCAGTTCCATGGTGCAAGTATTGTCTAGACTGGCATTCAATTCGCAGTGAAGGGTGACGCCAAAGAAAGACCTATAGTTGAGGTGAGGCTACGGGTAAAAGCAAGGTTACTATCAAGCGAGCTTAAACAGCGCAGATAGAATCTATCATTGGCTCTTTCTACAGTGCTGGCAAATGGTTCCGAATTGTTGGCTGCAGATCCACGCGATAATGCGTGTCTGTCGGATGTCTAGGCAGGGCCCGGAATAACACGTAATATCCCGCTATTCTCCGTGCCCAATCAGACGCTTCACCTCCAGCTTCAACTCTTTCGGTGCAAACTTCTCTATATCGGAAGTTCCAAATGCGGTCCTCGGCAGAATCTCGCTTGGGACTTCGCAGGTGATTTAGGTAGAAACAAGACATAATTCGGAAGACGGCGAGACAGTCCAGTGATATCGCACACGAGCTATCTGGAAACTACAAAGTAACTGTTTTTACTGATCTATTTCTAGATTCCAGTATAGGTGACGGCGTCAGGCGTGGTTAGATAACAAGATACATGTTATTCAGTGCTACATTCAGAGTACTGCAATATGGCCGTTGAAAGGAGCTAGAAACTGTAGAATAACAAAGAAATGCCATTTAATCCCTCAAGCATGCAGATGTCTAACAAACAACACTGTATCATCTGTATAGAGCGACCTTGACACCCGTCTTATTCGATGGCCCAATCCTCATAACTGGCACATAAGGCTCTGGGTCCCGAGGCTCGATGCGCTTGAAAGTCTTTGCAAGGTGAGCAAGAATATACGCTGCCTCAGTCTGAACCATCATCTGAGCTGGGCACCGTCTGGGTCCACCACCAAAAGGCAGGAAACCCCATGAGCCTCGATATCCGTCAAATCTCTCCGGTTTGAACTCATTAGAGTCCTCACCCCATGCCTCGGTATCACGGTACATGACAGTCTTGTTGATGAGAACTAGATCGCCCTTGCGGATGAGAGTTGGTGACTTGCCATCTGGTCCGCCGCCTACTGGTATCACGACATCCTCAAAGGCACCACGAAGTTGAGAGACGTTGTTGGGGATCATGCGGTGGGCTGGACCGTTAGTTACGAACCGCAGACAAAGAATGTCAAGAGGGTAACTTACTCTCATTCATGACACAGTTCAAGTACTTCATGTTTCGAAGAACTGAGAAGTTCATCGGAATATCACCCAGTTCGTGGACTTCCTGGCGGATCTTGTCCCAAACATCAGGATATCGAGCAAGCCACCAAACGCAGTTGCTAATGAAAACTGACGTAGTGTCAATGTTGGCGACAAGGATCAGGCAGATCTGTGATCTCAACTCTTCAACGTCCTGAAGATTCTGTACCATAGTCCACAGGAGATCAGTGCGCTCAGGCTCCAAGTCAGTCGCACCCTCCTTGATCTTTTTGTCGCGTTCTTCTTTCTCCTTGATGGTGTCTTGGATAGGAGGAGTGACGAAAGCGTGGATCTCTTCCACTGACTTCAGCCAGGGAGTCCAATCGCGAAGAAACATGAGTCTGTTGAGCTGAGCGCGAAGTCGACCACCATCGAGAACGTCAAGCATTGTGTTGGCAATCTTGGCGCGCTCCGGGTATACTAGCGCTTCAGTTGACTCGCCGAAGATGAACTCCGTGGCGATGTCCAGGAACTTGATAAGGTTTGTCAGCGAGTTGAGCAATGCGAAATACGACCTAAAGACTTACCCATCGTTGGAGCAATGGCTGCAGGTCCACAGTCTCCCCATTCTCAGGCAGCAGCTTGATGAATTGGTCCGTGTGCCGAGCCACTCTGTCGGTGCTTGTATACACCTGACGATCAAAGAAGGGCTGGATCAAGAATCGACTATGCTTCCACTCTTCACCATCAGTTGTGATAGCCCCCTTATCAGCAAAAGGCGTCAGTCCTCTTCGAAGATTACCAATCGGTGTGACTCCAAACTCCTTGAAGTGAGTGGCATAGACAGCCTTCAAAACCTCAGGATCATAGGTGTAAATCCACTTGACACCAAACATATTGATACTAAAAGTTTTGGTGTGCGGCATGCTAGCGTGAAGTTTGGCAAGCCAAGCCAAGAACTGGTTTGATCGCAAGGCATTGATTTGACTTGCTACGAGGTCGAGACCCCATATTGGATCCCATTGCCAGTAGCGAGGTATTGGCTTCCAGCCTTTTGCTTCAGACTTCTGGCTGCTTGTGAAAAGCTTCCGAAAGATGAATATGAGAAAAACAGCCCCAATTGCAAGAACAGGGAGATTCCGTGTTGAGATTTGTTGGGCGATTAATTGATGAAGTGCCATTGTTTCGTGTATAACAGCAGAGAAGTCTGTGTAGTTACCTTGAGTTAAGGTGGTTCAGAAAGAGGAGTTTGAGTCAATCCAGTTCAAATCTGGTGGCGCATATGGATGGCTATGATAAACTCTGAGCTATTGAGATAATACTAGCCAACTCACTGAAAGAGTGCTACTGACAAGCAATTAGATCTCAGCCGCCAAGAAATGTCGGGGCAAACACCAAGACAGTGGTTCGTTGGTGCTGCATAGCACATCATCGCACTGTACGGCAAGGGTGAGACGGCGCGGGAGGAGATTCCCCGAAGGATTTCCCGTGGGATTTTCCGTGCATACATTACGCCATTGACGATACCGAATAGCCTTGTATTCTCGGGTTTAGAGTTTCTGTTCCAAAAACAGTATCCATTGTGGAGTATAGTGGTCGTGGGGAGAAGTAGCTATCACTTGAAGAAACCAGTGACCAAAATGTGCTATCGACGATCTGATAAAATAGCATCAGCTTGAGGCGACGGGAGTCAAAACACATGGGAAGAATAGATAGCTGTAAAGCTTTTGTATCAATTTCAGGTATCACAGGTTTCGACTATAACATGGTAAATGTGATATGAAATTTGAGTTATTGTAAATATCTCGAATAGTGAACTAACTTTCAGCCCATCCAAATGTCTGTCCCTGCGAGCGACTGCCTCCGCCTCTGCTGTTCTATTTTATCACAGCAAAATTTGAGAATATCCTTTGCTGACTCCCACATTCTCTCGTCCTTTTTCTTCACTTCTTCCTTTTGCTGTATAGTCTCAATATAAGATAACGCACATGAGAATAAGAGAAACTCTTCCGTCGATTCTGTGCCGTGTGAAGCTTCTACACGCCGCTTGAACATTGCAACTGAGTTAGACAAGATATCTCGTAGTTTCGCTCTAGACGCACTGTCCAAGTTGGGGAATGAGTCCTCTTCGTAGTCTCTAATTAGATCAAGACACAGAGACATTGTAGCTTGTCTCTGCATGAGAGAAAGCTGCCCCGATCCGTGAGTAAGTAGTGCTAAGTACGAGCCTTGGTTTGCTTTGGATGATAGTAGCTGGGCTGAGATCTCCATTCGCATTCTTCGTGAATAGTAGTACTCCGGTTTGGCATATGCTTCTTCGGCAAAAGCGTCATGTAGTGCCAACACAAACGGCTTGGTGAAGCTAGCCAAAAGACTGCTCTGAAAATCGCTGAGCAGCGAATCTAGCTCGGATTCACCGGCGGAACATGCCGCATTGAGCTCGGATGCAAGAGTGTGGCATTCTTGATACGTCTTTGACGAACCGGGTGCGTTAACGAGTTGGAGTATTCTCAAACGCAGCCTTTGAGTTTGCGCAAGCAGCGTCAGAACTGAGGACTGAGTCACACTCTGTGACTCAACCCCCAGCACCATATCATCATCCGCAATGCTACTTGGCACCTCGCAATCATAGCTCTCAGGCGCAATGGGAGCCGGAAGTCCCTGATCGACAGAGACCTGTAGTGACAACTCTAGCATCGTAGCCCAGAGCCGTCTCCGTATCTCGGCTTCCTTCACGGACATATTCGGTGAACGGACTCTTGGTTCCCGATGTAAACCTATCTGGACGGCCATGTGAGTTAGACCGTGTCCTTCGGAAAGCCATGCTACGCCCATGGGGGCCGAATCCTGGTGGTGCGTGTGACGTGTCAAGGCTAAGAGGCAGGCGATCTGTGCCATACTTAGATCTCCTCGCATGCCCTTCATGCTTTTGCGGGCGAGCCAGTCTTTGACGTAGGAGATCCAGTTGTTTGACTGCTCTCGGCATGAAGTGGCCTGATCATGCTGTGACTCTGGTGGAACGAGAGTGATGGATCCAAGGGCTGCTACTAGAAGTAGCTTGCAGGCGAATGTCTCATCAGTACTCCCGATGGTCGAAGCAGAATCTTCCCAAAACTGTTCATAGTCTCTCAGGAAAGACGGGACGTGAATGATGCGTAGCACAGACTCAAAAGTCTTGATGTACGCATCAACAAGTGAGTCGCACGTTCTTCTGGCTGGGAGCATCCCACGAGCGCCACTTGGGGACAGGCCTGAGTTCTCACTCGTAAGTCTGCTTTCGTGGTTTTTTCGAGCCTGTCGAAGAAGTCTCTTGTACGACTCAAATAGTGGGCGAATGGCTTCTTGCTCTGGGGAAAGGCGAAGATCGTCTCCAGAAAGGTTGTCCACGAGGAATTTCAACTTCTCACACTTGAGGAACGGCTCATACCAGTGACTCTCATGGTCTTCGGGACCAGCATACTCTTGTTCTCGTGTTTGGGCTGCTGAAGATCTTCCTGAACTCTTAGTATGCGTCAAAGGCAGATTATGTAGCGAGTTTGTGATGCTGCTGGCCATTGTTGAAGGGAGACTCGAAGTTGTCCACGATGGTGATCTCGACAGACCGTGAAGAAGTGAGTTTGTTGAATCAGTAGAAGCCGACTTTGAATGCGAAACATCACTCATCCCAAAAAAGTCCATATCAACAAATCCCAGCGACACATCAGTCATGGGCGCAACATCCATATTAAAAAGATCCATCTCCTGCACCTCATCAAAAGGCTGCTGTCCAAAGATCGACTGCTCATGAGGTATCCTATGCGCGTGACTACTCAGAACCAACGAGTCGTGCTGCTGCATGTGGTTGTGCATCCCGGGCTCCAGATAATTCTCGGGAATTCGAGTTGTTGGCTGGTTGTTGTACACGCATCGTAGGCTCGGCATTGATTTGCTACAGGGCCCGCAGGGAGAGTGACGGTCGCAGCGAATCTTTCGTCTACGGCATTCGGTGCATGCTACGGCGGGACGACGCCGTTTGTATGCTGGGCCTGGATCCATTGAATAGAACTTAGTATGGTCTCGTAGTTGGTAGTTCAGTTTAGCCGTGAGTGGGTGTTGTCTAGATGACAGGAGACCTCTATCTTTGAAAGGAGCTATTGATGACGGTTCATATGTATGGGAGCTTATGTCCACGGCAATAGGATTTTGTCACGAACTGTGGAAAGGATACGCCCAGGGCGTCAATGTTGTCATGCAAGTACAGCATTCACCTTGGAAGTTGTCTCTTCTCGGCAGCTACGAACCGTAATCAGAAACAATACCGATTCCTCTCAGTAAATAATGCAAATAACGTTCGACTTCCACTGCAGTCAGCCATATTCGACATACTGTGATACGCGTCGATCAAAGGATGCAATCCTAGCCCTATGGGGTTACACCTTCACATAGCATTCGGCAGCTCGAGGTCAATGCGAAATCTTTAGATTGGTGGATTTAGAGCCTGACATTGTTTGCAATCTTGACAAATAAAAGTCATGACGAATATGTCAAGGTTGTTGCTGCGTGTAAGATCCTCCGGATAAAGTTCTCCGCCTAGATGCAGATTCCACGGAAGTCTAATCAGATCATGTTTTCTCAGATATGGCCAATTTGGTGACCCTATCAGTATCTGACTGCGGCATCTTATTTGCCAACTCCTACGGACTTTCAAAGAATTGCCGTCGGCAGTGGGGCGAAGGATTACTGAGACATAATGCCATCGGACCCGAGTGGTCAGCGTGTTGCGAGTGCATTGGCGAGAATTGGACGCGTCTGGGTGGATGTGACACACCACACCAGCTCATAAGGCTAAAAAGCTTGGTATTCTAGGCGCTTAAACCCAGTTGCGTAGGTCCAATGCGGGATTCCGGCTTGGAGAAACTCCAAGAAGTGCAAGGCTCATGGTTCTTGATCCTATGGGATTTGTCACTGAGCCCAATCTGATATATGAAAGCATCTCATATAATTGTTATGTAAGAGTGTTATCAGAGTCGATAGCATCTTTCTGTGTTGGCTATCGGTCTTGCAGGAGGTATACCCCAAGGACTTTTGCTTATCTATAGACTATTGACGTACTGCAATGCGGTGGCATTACTGTACGCTTCCCCAACACTTCCCCTTTGGGGTTCTTTACAAATCTTGGGGTAAATAAAGTGTTGATCTCGATACAGGAGGTAAGTGGCATTTAAACTTTGGCGACGTCGCATTCATGGATGATGACAAGTGGGGGAAGTCTCAACAATATCCACAACTAAAGCTCCTCTGACATGCAGAACGAATCCTACCAGCATCAGTGTCGTAGCAAGTGCTCTTACGAGTTACCTTGTACAGAAGTGAATAATCATCTCACTCGCATTTGGACCAATTGAGATCGAAGGGGGTTTGTCCGAGGCGGGTCTTCGCACTTCATCACGCAGATCCTTCGTACCCCACAAGGCTGTAAGCGTTCCAGTTTGATAGGTAAACAGGTAATGGCCACCCAATGGCAGTTATCAAATGTGCATGTCGTCGGGTTGATTTGGTTTTGATTGTCACTTAGCTTACAATGAAGTGCTTCTAGCCGAGATGAACGTTTGCTGAATATTGTGATCCAATGATGCAATTTCAAGATTCTGCATGATTGAGGATATTCCAAGGCGGCCAGAAAACGATTGGATTGTAATTTCAGATATTGCCTTGGCTAGATCCTATTGGTAACTGTCCTGAACCATACAGACCAGGTTCAACCATCGAATCACATGAAGTTTTAATCTACTTCTTGGGCTTCAATCCTCCAGCAGGAACACGACCCCTGACAGCGAAGCTCTGAAACTCAGCCCCCTTCTCAGCAAGCTCCTTACGAACTCGAGTATCAAGAGTATCAAGCTGCTCACTTGTAAAACCTTCAAGCTCAGGGAGAGCTACCATCAAAGTCAGCACTAATCACAAGGATAAAAGGTCCGAAGAACTTACTGCGCGCCATAGCCACAATCATAGGCCCCGCACCAGCTGCACCGTTAATACTAGCCTGCTTCAGCTCAGGCTTAGCCTTCGCGCCAACCTTGCACTGCAAAACATCAACCTGAACATCCTCCAGCCCCGCATTCTCCATCCACTCTTTGAGATTAGGGCCAAAGTTACCGCCCATCTTCTTGATCTTCCAGATCTGCTCTAGAAGGCGGAAGAACTCGTGAGCAGCGGTTCCTTCCTCGAGAAGACTCTGGTCGCAGTCGAGCTCTACGAGCTCGACCCAGCCGCCGGGTTTTGCGAGGGCGCAGAGGTTGGCGACGGCTTGTTCAAGGGAGAAGTTGCCGCAGAAGCCGAGGACTTGGCGCTGGTGGACGAGATCGAAGGATTCTTTCCACTCAGTGGGCCATGGCTCCGTGATAGATTGCTTCTTGAACTCAATGCCGTGAGGTCGAGGTTTGGGGAACAAGTCTTCGACCAGATCAGTGCCAATGTAGGTCTGCTCATCAGCAACAGGCCCAGCTTGCTTGCGAAGGTCCTGCAGCCAGATGCCTAAACCACTGTTATCAATACGCAAGCGCCATGTCTTAGAAGGGATACATACCGTCTGCAGTCGCAGAATCAAGGATTCTCAGACCTGGCTTCTTCCAATCAACTGGCGCATAGGACAACTTGCCACCAGCAGCATCAGTGTAAACCAAATGGTTATCAGTCAGACGAGAAATCTCTTCCTGCAAGCCACGCTTCTTCGCATCCTCCATGAGAGCATCCATTCCAGTGCCATTAGCAACGCTGGAATCAGGACCCGTCTGGGGAGGTTGATTCACTGCTTCAGTAGCCATTCTTGATTTGTGCAAATATCAACGAGTTGTTTTGTTTGTGGAGTTCAATTGCCAATATTGCAACTCTCAACTGCATCAATTACCACCTTCTTTTAACTCCTCGCTCCTTATCTGTAAAGCACCAGAACTAGTGGCTGTAGTGCGCGGAACGGCCCGTATCGTTCTTTGATACGGCGGCCGACGGTGCATACCAGTATTTGCCGTGCTGATTATACTAAAGCCGGATCTACGGCTCACTAGCCTAAAGAATGAGATAGATCAGGGGTTTTCCGTGGGGTGCCGAAGGATTCAAGCACGGGAACGGAAAATGGAGGGGAAATGGGCTGACGGCTGACGCACCAAAGTAGACTATGCCGGATACAACATTGTATTTTGCCGCTCGCGTAAACCGGAGTGTTTTCTCCGGGCTGATGGTGAGAATTCACATGCCGAAGGATGGGCGGGAAAACGGCACCTTTTTGTAATGGTGGTTTGGTGAGATGGCTTTCGTATATGCTGTCATGCCTGGCAGGATGGGTAGTAGCCATACTGTCTCATCTCTACAATGAGTGAGTCGAAAATTCGGCACCAAAGACAGCTATGGAGAACTTGCAACTAAGCGCTGCTTCACTGCTCGCTGTGGTAGCGTCTCTCATTGCACTGCGCATCACCTACACCATTATCTACCGCCTCTATCTATCACCTCTAGCAAAGATACCAGGGCCCAAATTGGCAGCTCTCACTTTCTTCTACGAGTTCTACTACGATGTCATCAAACGAGGCAAGTTTCTCTGGAAGATCCAAGACCTTCATCGTGAGTATGGTCCAATCGTGAGAATAAACCCTTACGAGGTTCATATCAACGATGATAGCTTCTATGATGATATCTACGCCAGCGGCCCTCATCACCCCCGCAACAAAGTTCGCTTCATGTCTACGCATGATGAAAGCATGTTTGACAGCTACGCTGCCGAAACTCATAGAGTTCGGCGAGCAGCTTTGTCAGGGTCCTTCTCAAAGCAGTCTATTCGTGCTCTTGAGCCACAGATCCTACAGACGATTCACCAACTCGCTGGCAGGATGAGCTCACTCAGAGACAGTGAAGAGGCTGTCAACCTCAAAGCTCTCTACAGTGGTCTTACCATGGATGTCATCGCTCAATACTGCTTTGGCGAGAGCATGGATAACATGAAACAAGACCAGTTCGGAAAAGAGCTACTGGACTTCTTCCATGAGATGCCTCAAGCTCATCCCATTGGACGAATGTTTCCATGGCTGTTTGACATCATACAGAAAATTCCCATTAGCTACCTTGCCAAGCTTGACCCAAAGCTACAGCCATTAGCTGACTATGACAAGAAAATCTCGGGACAGATCTCAGATGTCCTAGCAAAGGAGAAGAAGGATGGAATTAGAACTGTCTTTCATGAGATGAGAGATAGCAAGCAACTTCCTGAAGCTGACAAGACTCTTGAGAGGTTCAAGTCTGAGGCAGCTATCTTCCTTGGAGCTGGTACGGAAACAACGGCAGCGGCACTGACGACGTTGAGCTTTCACCTTACTGAGAATCCGAACATGCTAGCTACACTAAGGAAGGAACTTCAAACAGTTATTGCAGATGCTCATGCACCCATCACTGTTGCGAAACTTGAGCCTCTTCCATATCTGGTAAGTCAATGTGAGCCATACAATGACTAGTTACTGACAAGAACAAGACGGGAGTGATTCAAGAGGGTATCAGGCTCTCATTCGGTGTTCCTGGACGCTTACCTCGTTATGCACCAACGGAAGATCTTGTTTATGCTGGATACAAGCTGCCTCGAGGTGTAAGTCCTCATTCCTTCTCTCGCTACCAGGATCCTAACTCCTCTAGACTCGCATGAGTTCATCCTCATATCTCGTGGACACAAATGAGGAACACTATCCAGACCCCTTCAAATTTGACCCGGAGCGCTGGATGCATGGTAAGGCCAGTTTAAGCCGCCATTTCGTGCCTTTCTGTAGAGGAAGTCGTCAGTGTATTGGTATGAATCTTGCATATGCTGAGCTGTATCTCACTGTTGCGACGATCTTCTCGAGGTTTGATCTCGAGCTGGTTGGCACGACAAAGAGGGATGTGGAGATTGCTCACGATTTCTTTGTGGGGATGCCGCCTCTGGATTCGAAGGGTGTTATGGTCAGGGTTGTGAAAGATAGCAGTGAGTAGAGTAGTCGATTCGCGAACTGCAATGAAAGGACATTTACTGTTATAACCGCAAGGGTCCGCAAGCTTGGCGTATTGATCTAGACTTACTCCAAGTGATAATCAGTGAACTTTGTACACTTCTTTTAGTGGATCCTTAGGCTGGGGCTGCTTCAAAACAGCCTCTGCTTCCGGCATCGTAAATTTGAGAGGGCACTAAGGTATCACAAGCTCTGTTTCCTTGCTCACTGAAGGTTCAGTTCTACGGTCAAAGGATTCGAATATCAAATCTTATAATACGGAAAGGTTCTCGTCCAACAGTAGTGTATATTCACAGTTCGATCTATCTATGTTGATGCTTCCTTGACGTATGCCATCAGCGGAGGCTTTGACCTCGTACCAAATGTGAGCTGCCCGTCAACCCAACTCTCAGACTCAGGTGTAAGCTCAATATCAAAGCGGTACAAGAGTTTACACAACGCCAACCGTAAAACATAAAAGCTCAGTCTGTAGGCGGTCAGTATAAGTCTCAATGAAGTTCAGCAGCTGGTGAAACTCACTCTTGTCCGAAGCAAGACTGCGGCCCAACAGAAAACGGATGAACACTGCCCTTCACATCATTGATACAATCCTGAGGCCGACCCTTTCCTTCAGGAAGCCATCTCTCGGGGACATACTCAGCAGCTCTCGAGAAGTTGTGATTGACTGAGTAGGTGACTTGATGCAACATCATGACCACTGTGTTGCCGGGCACAAAGCGGCCAGCGATTTGAGCCCCAGATGCAGGTACTACACGGTCTGTACCGGTTGCAGCGGGGGAGTAGCAGCGAATTGACTCTTGAAGGCATGCTTCAAGGTATGGAAGGTCTTTCTGAGACTGGCTGATCTTGTCCATTGTGATATCAAAATCACTAGAGAAAGCGCCTCGAACCTCATCCAGAAGCTTTTTCTTGATATCTGTACTCTTCTTTCGAAAGACAAAGTAGACAAAGCCAGTGAGCACAGTAGGCATAGCCTCGCAACCGCCAAGCATCAAGAATGGTGCAAACTCTCGAAGAAGGTCAAGAGGCATGGTTCCCTGACGCCCAGTACCCTCTGAGTCTCCATCGAGTACCATTTGCAGCATGTCATGTCGAGCTGAAGTAAGAGCTACACGACGATCAAAGCGTGCAAAGATGGGTGCCATGAAAGAGTCTCGTTCACCACTTCCCCAGCGATGAACAGCAAAGAGAAGGAATTTGTGTAAGAATGGAAAGCGATTGAGAACAGCGAGGATGGTGACGCCACGAGCAAAGCGATCGAAAGAGTGAACCCAAGGGATGAACTCTGGGACAGTGAAGAGATGCAGAGACTCTCCGAGGAAGAGATCCGCGATAAGGTCACAGATGAGAAAGCTGTTCATATCGCGCATATCAACAGCCTCTTGCCTTTCACTGGCTTTCTGCAAAGCCGAGAGGTACTCTTCGATGTGACCGTTGATCATGCCCTCAAGCTTCTTAACATTCTCACGCTTCAGCGCCGGAACCATGGCCTTTCTCATAATGCTATGAGTCTGCTGCGATCTCGGCTTTGCTGGATCAGGATTCACCAAATCACCGCCGACCAAAGCTGCAAGACGAGGATCTTTAGCCATGCCATCTTTTGCAGCTTTGGATGCACCGCATATATCAGCCCAGGCACGCTCATCAGTGAATGTGAGAGCATCTGGGGCAATACGTACGACGCCTCCGTATTTGTTGTGGAGATTGATAAGCCAGGGGAGTTGACGGCCGCTGGCTGTTGCTATGAGATGGGGAATTCGCGAGATGGCGCAGAGTTTTGGGCCTGGGAATTTGGAAAGGGGGGAGAAATAGAGTTCGTAGATAATTGAGATGAAAAAGGCTGTGAGTGAGAGGGCACTGAGGGTGACGATTACTCGTGAGGCTGGTGAAGCAGTCTGCCAGATTACGGCAACACGCTCCCAGTCCACGTTTAGCTGATTCATGGTAAGATTTGTGGGGTTGGTCATCTCAGTGAGCTCAGATTTCCAAGTGATACAAAAGTAATGATTTAGCAAAACCCATTCGTCCAGTCTACAAGATCAATTTCTAAGCTGTAGCACTACCTCGTAGATGCCTTTGGCATTACGATAAGGACTGTAACCACCGTGGCTGTCACACTAACGGCACTCGCCAGGGCTAGACAGACTCTAATTCTCCGTGCCGCCCGGGCCGGTCGTGCAAAGATGCATCTGCCGGAGAATCCTTCATCACGTCGGGTATAGTACCCATTGCAGACCTCGTCCTGGAAAATGATACCCCGACCTCTATCTCTCTATGCACTTCGGTCTCGCGTCACATTTTCTCTCGCCCGTAAAAAGGCGGAAAGCTTTCTACTCAGAATCATGGCCATATCAGACGATAAGCAACATCTTCAATACCCCGTCAGCACAGAATGTCGTCATCGCACCCCGCTCCCAAATCCTTCGTGGCAGTTTTCGTAGGGGCAACGAGGGGTATCGGTCTCTCTACTCTCAAAGTTCTTACCCGGACTTTGCCTAATCCGCGAATCTACGTTATTGGTCGGTCGAAAGCGAGGTTCGCGTCTGAACTTGCTGTTCTAACCGAATACAACCCCAATGCTACAATCCAATTCGTCGAAACTGAGGTTTCGCTTATCAAAGCTGTTGATGATGCTTGTGATAGGATTATGGGCTTGGAGAACCATGTGGATTTGTTGTTTATGAGTCCAGGATCATTGGCGTTTGGTGGACCGCATTGTAAGACACCCGTTCGGTGGGGTTCATGGTTGCTGACTTACTCCACAGATACAGAGGAGAAGCTTGATCTTTGTTTTGCTTTATCCTTTTACATCCGCATGCGTCTTATCGAACGCTTACTCCCCTTGCTCATGCGAGCACCCCACCCACGGGTTCTCTCCGTCTTAGCCGGGGGCCATGAAGGTCCACTATTCACCAATGGCGGGGATATTGGACTGCGGATGAAGGGTAACTATACAGCTCCGAGGGCGGTAAATCAGGTCACTACATTGCACAGTCTTGCCTTCATGTACTTTGCTTCTCATTACCCAAAGGTGTCTTGGTTGCATGTCCATCCTGGTTGGGTGGCGACTACGTTTCTATCTGATTTGCTCCAGAGCGCTGGAGTTATTGGTAGTTTGGCTGGGAAAGTCGTTTTGCCTATTTATCGATGCATAGCTATGTCTGAGCATGAAAGTGGACAGCGACAGGCTGAGTATGCTTTGAGTGGGAGATACCCCAGCCGAGACATGATTTGTTCTGCTATGGTGGACGTATGTAACCAAGCGGCCTGTCATGGGCCATGCAGTGGTTTTTATCGTGTCTTGAGTGATGGGAGCACAGCTACAGATAGAAAGGTGTTGGGTCCTCTGGAGGAAGAAGGATGGCCTCTCAAGATCTTTGAACATACTCAGCGGATATTCGATGAGGTAATGAGTCAGAAGTAGCGATTTGTCATTCAAATCGTTCCAGCTTCTCATTAAGGGAGCATCCAGAGCTCAGTGATCGCCATTCCTAGGTTATCAAGTTTTGGGGTTATGAAGGACCAAATGTGAATGATTGTGCTGAACTACACCTCATGTTCTCTTCCATTGATAGTCCCGTCGGCGCTATTTCCTATAGTGTCTTACCTCGGCGTCACAGCAATCTTGACGCCATTCAAACTACTTGGCCCAACTCTCATAACCGGAACATACCCCCTCTCATCCCTCGCCTCGATACCCTTGAACTTCTGACAAAATCTCGTCAAAACATAAGCTGTCTCAGTAGCAACAAGAATATGAGCAGGACAGATTCTAGGTCCGCCACCGAATGGGACAAAGTGCCAAAGCGGACGAAGGCCATCCCATCGTTCTGGTCGGAACTCTGCTGCATCTGGACCCCAGTAGTCAGGGTCTCGATGCATGAGATAGCGGTTGCAGTGGACGATGTCGCCTTTGGCGCAGAAGATGGGTTGTTTGCCGTCTGGACCGCCACCGCGGGGGAGGGTCGTGTCATGGGCTGCGACACGGATCATTTGGATGCCATTTGGAATGGTGCGATGAGCTATGATGGTCAGTAAGAGGCTTTCTAAAGCTCAATTTTACTTACTCTCGTTGATGACCCAGTTCAAGTACTTCATCCCCCGAAGCTTGGAGAATGTAAGTTCCTCGTCACCGAGGTCCAGGACCTCCTTCTGCAACTTCTCCCAAGCATCCGGATGTCTAGCCAACTGATAAATAGCATTTGAGATATGAATACTCGTGGTCTCATTACTCGGCACCCAAACAGCAGTGATCTGATCTCTCAGAAGAATTCTATCCTCAGAAGGGATCTTCTGGACCATATCCCAGAGTAGGTCCGTTCGCTCAGGTTTGTCAGCAAACTTCTCACCGTGTTCCTTTCGCTGGTGAAGTTCATCGTATGCTTGGTCGATGTACTCATTCATAAAGTTGTGCACGAAGCGAATACTCTCATACCACTTTGGGTCTCGGTGGAGAAACATGAATTTGCTCATTGTGAGACGGACACGTGCACCGCGCATGATGTCAACCATAGCGAGCATAACGTCTTCGCGCTCAGGATAAGTGAGACAATCGCGAGACCTTCCAAAGAGGAACTCGGTTGAGGTGTCCAGAAACTGTTTAAGACAAGTCAGTCTGTGTTCTCACTGAGTAGATGCTACTTACCCATCGTCTTGTCAGAACCTGCATGTCAAAGGTGTCGCCGTTTGTTGGAACGAGATCCAGCATCTTATCCGTGAATGGCTTCAGTCTAGCCACATTGGCAAATGCCTGCCTCTCAAAATACGGCTTGATGATGCCCCGACTATAATGCCAGAACTCACCATCTGCCGTACTAACACCTTTTCCGGTAAAAGGCGTCGCGACACCATTATCCACACGAATCGGCTCAAGCACGAATTCCTCCCACTGAGACGTGCTCATCGCCTTCATATTCTCCATCTCAGATGAATAAACCATTCTCATGCCCAGAAACCTCGCCTTGAAGGTCTTGGTTCCTTGCGCGGCCCAAGTCTCCTCCATCCATGATAACCACCGATGCTCTTTGAAAGCACGGCTCATGGACAGAACAAAGTCAATGCCCCAGATTGGATCCCAGTGGGGATAAGTCTTGAGAGGTCCGCATTTGTACTTCTTCGTCTTGATCGAGTAGCTGATATGGTCCCATAGTCTGTTTAGGAAGTAGAGAATTACAAGACCGTAGAATGCTACGAGTGAGATCGCGGACAGACGAGATGACATGTTGGATGGTGTTGGGGACTTCAGTGCGGAGAGGGATGGCGACGACGTAGGGGCAGCCAAACGTCATTGGTATGAAGAGTTGAGGTAAAATTGTGAATAAGGGATGTCAGTGGTGAGAGGGGATAAGTTACAATGGCAACACAAATTGTATGAGACAGATGAACAGCGGACGAGACGTCTGCCAAAAATCCCGATGGATAATGAGACTGGGGGTGAGCGTATCCACCTCGCCGTTGCGGGGCCGAGGCCGGAGATTCTCCACTTCAACGGAGATTTCCTCCATCCTTCACTGAGCGCCTATGACGGGCTGCGGAGAGAGATAGGCTACCAATGCATGAAGGATAGTGTAAACCCGCGGTATAGTCCAGTAACTAGAGGTCTATAGGCTTAGTTCCCATGCAAACGAAGTCTGCTTTGCTTGCTAAATGAATTACATGACGTCATTTAGATGTACAGGGTAACTGAGAAAAACGACAGAATGCAAGCAAGCTATGGACTGCATGAGAATAAATCAGGTTTAATATTAAGAAGTTATTGTATGGTTTTAATAGAGGTATGCAGTTGCTTGAGGATCTATTTCTGCGTATCAAAGCGGCGAAGACTACTGGTAATTGAAAAGTTGATCTGAAAAGTGACTGTAAAGTTTTAGTAAAATGGCATGATGAAAATGAACAGACAAAATGGAGAGGATCAGTGAAATTAATGAAGCTAAAAACAATGTACGCGTCAAAAACATAAACTACTCATATGAAGTGCTCTATCAAACAACATTGAATATGTTGAAGCCATCTAATTTGCAGATGTTGGTGATGTTGAACAAGAGAGGTTTCCATGATTGAGGGTTACTAAAAATAGACACTTATATAGCCTTTGGACAAACGCGTCGCGAAAACAAAACAACACGACGCGTCACAGGATGAACTGAACCAGATTGACAGACAAAGAAATTGTTTACAGGTACCATAAAATCCAACAATCCCACGTTTCAAGATGTCGACGGTGTAGCCACTCGATATATCAGTTTCTTGCCACCAGCTGTTCCCATCTTGACCCTCTCCGCTCCCTTCGCGACCCCTGCAAGTCCCTCATCACTAACCTCAATCGGATGCGTCATAATATCCTTAGAGTCCAGTAACTTCTGTGCAATAGGCGCCCATCTCTCCGCAAACGCCTTATCCTTAGGCTTTGCTTCCCGACGATATGGCTTTCTCCAATCAACAGGTTTGCCTAGTGCTGTCCACGCGAGAACCCAGCCTGGACGAACATCGCGGCGCGTATGACCGCGAATAGGGAATTGATCGAGACCAATGTAGTTCCCGCCGTGACTACCGATGGCAGCGTAGCAGATTTTCATGCTGCTGCTTTCGGTGATACAGTCGAGAACGTATTCTAGACTGTCGTGTGTGAAAGTGCGGATGTCAGAGGCGCAGGAAGGGGAGCGGTAGTCGAAGGCTTCTACAGCGCCTAGAGACTTGACGTGCTCGAACTTGCCTGGTGAGCAGGTTGTGATGGGCTTCAAGCCAGATCTGAATATTATCAGCTTTGGCTCACAGAGTCAGGGCGATGAACTTACAGCTTGGCAGCCTGGATGGCCAAACCTCCAGTAGCCGTTCCACCACCATAGATCAGAATATACTGGTCCCTCGCCTCACCAGAATAAGGAAGTGGAAGCTTCATAGTATGATACAGCGACAACCCAACAGTCAGTAACCCAACACCCAACGTAGCACCCTGCTCAAAACTCATCCAATCCGGAAGTCTTAGCAACAACATCTCCGGAACACTGACATACTCTGCAAAACCGCCATTATTCGGGTTATCAGACCGATTGCCTGCACAAGCACCACCAACACGATCACCAGTTTTAAACTTGGTGGTCAAGTTTCCTGCCGTGACAACTTCACCTGCGAAATCGCAGCCCCACGTTGCGCCGGGAGATGGTGACATGTCTAGGGATTTCCAGTCATGGGGATTGACGCCGACGCAGAAAATTCTGACGAGGACTTCATCTTCTTTTGGGGGTTCGGTGGGACTGTTCTCCTGGAGTGTGACTGTTCCTGCGCCTTGAACTTTGAGGGCTTTTTGAGTAGCTGGTAGGGTTTGACGGGAGATAATTGATTGGACTGCCATGATGAAGGTAGTCGACAACGACTGTGATGAGTGAGACTGCGAACGCTGTCACAGTGAGATGGCTCGAACAAATTTGAAATGGCAGATCAATCAATTAGAGAAGACGTCGCATCTCTCTGATAGTAGATGCTCGTCGGCCAACGAAGACTGTTTTGATCACTAATGCTTCCAAAGTTCCATTGCCACGATACAACCTGTTCCCTGGAAACTGCACAAAACACACCTGTTTCGCTACGAGCGATCAGAACCGTAAGCCGGCGTCCACTGCAGGACCTTTCTCCGCACTCTCCGGAACCTGCTCCGTTGGAGGATCCATACCCCTGCTCGGGATATTGACCCATCCCGGTTGGTCTGCGGCCTCCTCCGGGATATGCTCCACACTACGCACGGCACTAGTCGTAAGCACAGCTTGCCTACCCGATGCCGAAAAGTTTGGGGTGCCGCGGAAGTTGATGCCGGATCGATCTGATCGAAGATGGGATACGAAATTCCCAATACGGTTCTACGCTGAAAGTGCTTTGCCTTAAACTTGAGTTAAGATGAATAGCATCCGTCGAGTGAAACAACTGCAACCCTAGACAAACAGCAAGTAACCTGTCGTCCTGAACAAACTTTCAACATTTTTGACATACACTTTGTCTTCAACAGCACGGCACTGCACTCACTACCCAACCTTTCAACCAACATGCCCTCCCCAGGCGAGCCCATTGCCGTAATCGGCTCAGCCTGTCGCTTCCCCGGCGGAGCATCCTCCCCCTCCAAACTCTGGTCCCTCCTCAAATCCCCCAAAGACTGTCTCCGCGACTTCCCCAAAGACCGTCTCAACCTCGAAGCCTTCTACAACAAAGATGGCGAGCACCACGGCGCCACAGACGTCTGCAACAAAGGCTACCTTCTCGAAGAAGACAGTCGCTTGTTTGATGCATCATTCTTTAATGTTAACCCTGCTGAGGCTGATGGTATGGACCCGCAGCAGAGATTGACGCTTGAGACGGTTTATGAATCGCTTGAGGCTGCGGGGTATACTATTGAGGAGATGCAGGGGTCTTTGACGGCGGTGTATCTGGGTGTTATGACGGGTGATTATCATGATATTCAGTCGAGGGATCCTGAGATTATCAACAGATATCATCCGACAGGGACATCAAAGAGTATTCTTTCCAATCGGGTGTCGTACTACTTTGATCTTCGCGGACCATCAGTTACTATGGACACAGCTTGTTCGTCATCTCTTGCAGCGCTACACTTTGCAACACAGTCTCTTCGCAGCAGCGAATCTACAACCGCTATAGCCATCGGCGTGAATCTCATCTTCGACGCAGCGGGTTACGTAGCTGAGTCAAAGCTTCACATGCTGAGTCCTACATCACGCAGTCGTATGTGGGATGCTGGTGCAGATGGCTACGCTCGCGGCGAGGGCGTTGCCTCTGTCATTCTCAAGCCTTTGTCAGAGGCTATCCGCTGTGGCGATCACATTGAGTGCATCGTGCGTGAGACGGGAATGAACAGTGATGGTCGCACGACTGGTATCACTATGCCCTCTGCTGCTGCACAATCAGCCCTGATCCGTCGAACGTATCGAAATGCTGGGTTGGATCCTATCAAAGATCGACCGCAGTATTTTGAGGCTCATGGTACGGGCACTTTGGCTGGTGATCCAGTTGAGGCACGCGCTATTCGACAGTCATTCTTTGCAGACGATGCAACGTTATCCGAGGATGCGGAGAAGCTTTACTGCGGCTCCATCAAGACAGTCATTGGACATACCGAGGGCTGCGCTGGTTTGGCTGGCTTACTCAAGGCATCTTTGGCAGTACAGAATGGCACTATCCCACCCAATCTGCTCTTCAACACGCTGAACCCATCCATAAAACCTTTCTACGACCGACTTCAAGTCCCTACTGCAGCAATGCCTTGGCCAGAAGTTCATAGTGGTCCCAGACGAGTCAGTCTGAACAGCTTTGGATTTGGTGGCACCAATGTCCACGCCATCGTCGAGAACTACGAGCCCGCTGCACTCGCGACAGCTCCGGTGTCTGAGAAGTTCGTTGGCCCTCTAGTCATCTCCGCTGAGACTGAGTCTTCACTCGCAACAACAGTCGGGAAGTACGCAGACTTCATCCGAGCCAATCCAGACGCCAACCTCGAAGACGTGGCGTTCGTCACACAAACACGCCGAAGCGTCTTCAGCAGACGGGCATTCTTCTCCGGCGAGAACAGGGACAAGCTTCTCGAGTTTCTTGACTCCGCTGTTGAGACGTCCAAGACTGGCGCTGAGATTGGTATTCAAGGACCAGGCTCCTCCTCCGAGCCACCGGCGATTCTTGGCATCTTCACCGGCCAGGGAGCGCAGTGGGCGTCCATGGGTAAAACCATGATTGAGACGTCTTATCAGTTCCGGGAGTCGATAAAAAAGTGTCAAGATGCTCTTTGTGGCATTCCTGATGCACCGACGTGGTCTCTCATGGATGAGCTGATGGCATATGAGGAGAAGTCCCGCATTGGTGAGGCTGCTATTTCTCAGCCTCTTTGCACAGCTACTCAGATCGCTATAGTGGACGTTCTCGCTTCAGCTGGAGTTCACTTCGACGCTGTCGTCGGTCATTCCTCAGGCGAGATTTCTGCCGTCTATGCTGCAGGTCTCCTCTCAGCCACTGATGCAATGTGCATTGCTTACTACCGAGGTCTCTACGCCAAACATGCCTCTGGGCCATCTGGTTCTAAAGGCTCCATGATGGCTGTAGGCATGGGGTCTGAAGACGCAACAGCATTCTGCGACCAAGAGCAGTTCAAGGGACGAATCAGTCTCGCTGCTAGCAACTCTCCTTCCAGCGCTACTATCTCTGGCGACGAAGATGCTATCTTGGAAGCGAAGGAGATACTCGAGGGTCAGAAGACTTTTGCCCGTCTTCTCAAGGTTGATACGGCGTATCACTCACATCATATGAGGGCTTGTGCAGAGCCGTACCTTGAGTCGCTCAAGGCATGCAACATCACTGTCAACCCTCCTTCGAATAACTGTATCTGGGTTTCATCAGTCTACGGCAACGCGGATATGCTCGACGATGAAGATGACCTTTCTGCTCTCGCCGGTCAATACTGGATCGACAACATGGTTCGCCCAGTCCTCTTCTCTGAGGCGCTAGAGTGCTCGCTGTGGAGGGCTGGCCCCTTCAACCTCTCGCTCGAGATCGGTCCTCACCCAGCTCTGAAGGGCCCTGCTTCACAGACGATGAAGACTGCCTTGGGTCATGTTCTTCCGTATGCCACTTTCTTGAGACGTGCATACGACGATGCCGAAGCCTTCTCGGGTGGAATTGGCTACGTCTGGGCTTATCTCGGATCTCATGTGGATTTTGCTGGTTACTACAAAGCAATCCATGGGTCTGAGGCCAGCAAGCCAAGTATGATCAAGGGACTCCCATCTTACACGTGGAACCACAACAAGGTCCACTGGAAAGAGTCTCGGCTCTCTCGCCGTTACCGTCTCGCCGACAAAGCTCCACATGAACTTCTCGGTCGTCGCACCCCAGACGATTCAGAGTTTGAGATCCGTTGGCGCAACATTCTCCGCCTCAACGAACTTCCTTGGATTCGCGGACACGCTTTCCAGGGCATGGCTCTCTTTCCGACATCTGGATACATGGCCATGGCTATTCAAGCCGCTATGGAAATTTCTGGATCAAGGCCAGTCAAGCTTGTCGAGATCCGCGATCTTGTTATCCCTCGAGCGCTGACCATTGAGGAAAACAATCCGGGTATTGAGTCTATCTTTTCTGTCAAGAAGACTGGCGGTCATGTTGATGAGGATGTCTTTCATGGAGAATTCTCTTGTCATACATGTCCTGCCGAAGCTGAAGGGACGCTCGAGAGGAACTGCACTGGTTTAATCACCATTGATTTTGATGAGCCTTCAGACTATGATCTTCCACCACGAGCACCTGGGAAGTCGGGCATTACACCCGTCGATACTCAAGAGTACTACGACTCGCTTCTGAACATCGGTCTCAATTATCAAGGACTCTTCAGAGGTCTCAAGTCTGTTCAGCGAACCATGGGATATGCTACGACAAAGGCAACCTGGGACAAGTCAGAAGTCGGCGACCAGTATGTCATGCACCCAGGACCTTTGGACGTTGCATTCCACTCCATCATCGCGGCCATGTGTACCCCTCTCAGTGGAGCACTTTGGGCACCGTATCTACCTGTCAAGATTGACAGGCTTGCGATTGCTCCTAGCACCAACTACGAGGGAGTACCAGGCGAGATCAACTTTGACGTTGACACTTTCATCACTGAAACAACGTCCAACACCTTCAGAGGAGATGTACACATCATCAGCCCAGATGGCAAGACCGGTTTGCAAGCTGAAGGTCTCACCTTGAAGCTCTTCACTGAGGCGAGCTCTTCGGATGATCGACACATGTTCTCCAAGACAATCTGGCGCGCTGATGTCTTGGACTCCTCTGAGAATCTCGATGAGATCAATCCTGATGAGCAAGAGCTTGCACTCGCTGAAGCTATCGACCGCACGTCTTTCTACTTCATCAGAACGGTCTTTGACCATCTGTCAGATACAGATATACAGGATTGGAAGTGGTTCCATCAAGCCTTTTACAAGGCTGCGAAGGAGGTGCTGCAAGAGACACGAGATGGCAAGCATCCAACTGCGCAGAAGGAGTGGTTTGATGATACCGAGGAATTGATCATGGATTACAAGCATAAATATCCTGAGCAAGCTGATCTCAAGCTCATTCACGCTGTAGCTGGGAATCTCGTCGGCGTTATGACATCCGATACTCAACTGCTGGAGGTCATGCTGGTTGACAACATGTTGAGCAACCTCTACACAGACGGTCGAGCTATGCAACCTTTGAACAGAATCGTTGCAGAACTCTTCCAGAACCTGTCTCATCGATATCCACGTCTTAATATCCTTGAGATTGGAGCTGGTACTGGTGGAACGACGAACTCAGTCCTCAACGCCATCGGAGACACGTATGGTCGATACACGTATACCGACATCTCAGCTGGATTCTTCGAAGCCGCCAAAACTCGCTTCCATTCACACAGTAAGCGTCTTGACTACAAGGTCCTCGACATTGAGAACAATCCAACAGGCCAGGGCATTCCCGAAGGTAGTCAAGATGTCGTTCTAGCCGCGAATGTCCTCCACGCCACTCGCAACCTCAACGAGACGATGACCAACGTTCGCAAACTTCTCAAACCCGGTGGTTATCTCATCATGGTTGAAGTCACAGGCCATTACCTCCAGATGATGTTTCTCATGGGCGGTTTGCCTGGATGGTGGCTTGGCGTCGATGAGGGAAGAACTCGCGGTCCAGGTATTGGGCTGACGGAGTGGGATGAGATATTGAGAGATTCGGGCTTCACAGGAGCGGACAAGTATGTCACTGACTTGCCTGACTCGCTGAAGCATGTCTGCTCTGTCATTGTGTCGCAAGCTGCGGATGAGAGGGTGACTATGCTGCAGGAGCCACTTTCGTTTTTAGATGAGATTCCTCTGGAGCAGCGGCTTTTGATCATCGGTGGCAAGACTCTCCCTATTTCAAGAGTTGTCAAGAGTATTCAGCGTCTTGCATCCAGAGTTGCAGATCAAGTCACAATCGTTGACAGTATCGACTCCCTGTCGGAGAAGCATCTCAGCGGTGAAACATCCGTCATCTGTCTCACCGAGCTCGAAAAGCCCATCTTCTCAACTCCCATGACCTCTTCACGTCTTCGAAACCTCCAGTCTCTGTTCTCTCACTCATCGCATGTTCTCTGGCTCACAGCCGGTCGTCTTGATGAGAATCCCTACACCAACATGACAATCGGTCTTGGGCGCGCTATCATCAATGAACTCCCTCAACTGAACCTCCAGTTCCTTGATCTTCCCAAGGCCTCGGGCGTGGATGCGAAGATGGTGGTTGAGGCGTTCTTGAAGCTCAAGCTTGGCAAGTCAGCTGAGTTTACTCAGACACCGATGCTGTGGAGTACAGAGCCTGAGGTTTTGTTGAGAGATGGTCTTGTGACGATTCCAAGAGTTGTACCTGATCAAGAGCGGAATAACCGATTGAACTCACAGAGGCGAAGGGTTACGAAGGAGGTTTCTCTTAGCGAGACCGAGGTTGTTCTGACCGATACTGAAGGTGGTCTCTGTCTCGAAGAGAAGGCACCTTGGGCCAAGTCCCTGACTGGTGATGGCATTGCCAATATCCAAGTGGAGCAGTCGCTTTCACTTCCCTTCTGCGAGGATGATGCACGAGTCCTCTGTATCGGTAAGAGTGGTGACCGACTCACAATGGCCATTGTTCCTCGCCACAGTTCGACAGTCTCTGCCCTAGCAACAGATGTCTTTGTCGTTCCAGAGACAGAAGCTACACAAGGACCGACTGAACTCTTGGCCGGCATGGCTCTAAACCTGGCCGCATCTCTCATCCTTTCGACCATCTTATCAGCTGCACCTACTACCAAGGATGGCAGTGTTCTCATCTACGGTGCAAGCACTGACATACAGAATGCTCTCACTGCCCAGGCTTCTCACAAGCTTATCTTCGCCAGCTCTGAGGTACAGTCTGACTCGATCTTCATTCACCCCAGAGCATCTATCAGGACAATTCAACATGTCCTCCCTCGCGGCATCAGTCACTTCCTCGGTCTCTCCGAGAAGATCGACGATAAGATCAAGCAGCATCTCTCCCACTTGTATGAGAACATCAGCTTCAAGCCCAGGCATTCACTGGCCTCCAAAACTGCTGAGTTACTTGAGACTGCTTATCAGTTCAGCCGTCAATCACACCTCTCATCAAATCCAACAACCGTCCCCGCCCAAGACATCACCTCACTTCCAATCCTCGACATCACACGCACTATCGTCGACTGGACCAAGCCCCAACCCGTCAACGTGACCATCCGCCCCATCAGCGGACAAGGCCTCTTCTCCACCGACAAGACCTATCTCATGGTCGGACTCGTTTCAGACTTTGGTCGCTCTCTCTGTCGCTGGATGGTTGAGAACGGCGCCAAGTACATCGTCCTCACCAGTCGCAGAGCCCAAGTCGACCAACTCTGGCTGCAAGAGATGGAAGACCTGGGCGCCGTTGTCAGAGTGTACCCCATGGACGTGTCCAAGCGTGACTCTGTACAAACTGTTTGCGATTCCATCAAGGATCTTCCGCCTGTTGGTGGTGTTTGCAATGGCGCACTTGTTCTGAAGGATCAGCTGTTCGTCAAGATGGAGCCTGATGCGCTGAGCGATGTGTTTGCGCCCAAGGTTGATGGAACTATTCATCTAAGCGAGATCTTTTCAGAGCCGACGCTTGACTTCTTTGTCTTGTTCTCATCTATGAGTTCTGTTGTTGGCAATGCTGGTCAGTCCAACTACAACGCTGCGTCTCTGTTTCAAGCCGCCATTGCCCAACAGAGACGCCAGCGAGGTCTTGCTGCGTCAGTCATGGCTTTAGGTATGGTAGCTGATGTGGGATACATCGCTGCTAAAGGCCCTACACTGATGGAGCGGCTGAAGAAGGCTTTCTACATGCCTATCTCAGAGTCCGATGCTCATCAGATCTTTGCTGAAGCTGTTGCTGCCAGTAAGCCTGGTGTGACAGAGGATGACACTATTGAGATGGTCTCTGGTATTCAGCCCTTCAACTACACAGCCTCTACGAAGGCTCGGCCTCCTTGGGTCAACAACCCTCGCTTCTCACACTTTGTTCGTGAGGAGGAAGGATCCAAGGATTTTGACGCCTCTCGAGCAGGCCAGAGCAACATCCGTATCCTTGAGCGACTGGACGCTGCTAGCTCAGAAGAAGAGGCTGCCGCGGCGCTTCTTGTCGCCTTCAGAGCCAAGGTCGAGACGATGCTGCAGATGACACCAGACAGTCTCAACGTGGAGGCATCTCTTTTGGACGTTGGTATTGACTCTCTCTTGGCCGTTGAGATTCGTTCATGGTTCTTGAAGGAAGTTCACGTCGACGTCCCTGTTCTCAAGACATTGAGCGGCGACAACGCCAAGGATATCTGCGCTGATGCAGCGAACAAGTACCTCTCAGCTAAGATGCAGGAGAGCAAGTCTGAAACTGGCGATGCGTCCAAGTCAGACTCAGCAGCCAACGGTTCAGCAACCGGGACATCTAGTGACGGTAGCTCAAGTCCTGTTAGATCAGGTCACGCAACCCCACCCAGTACAGTTGGAGAGACGGAGCATCAAGAGGAGGTCAAGCAGGAGAAGGAGCTGGAGAGAGTCGAGAAGCTATCGTATGCTCAGTCGAGGTAGATGTCACATGGCAGTATACAGTATGTATTTAGCTAAATTTTATATAGGTTATGGTTCTTAAGTCAGTTCTCCAAAGATGATACTTCTTATAACTGCGTCTACGTGTATAAAGCCACCGGAAACATTCAGCTCCCACGGTTGAAGAGGGCCATATCGACTGTTGCAAACCACCATGATTCTTTGCGAACATGCTTCTTCACACGGCCGGGAAGTGGTGAGCCCGTTCAAGGTCTCCTTGTTTCGGCGAGGGACTGTCTCAAACACGTGAAAGACGAAGATTGTCACGCCCTGGACCGCGAAGTCGAGAATTGGCGAAACCATGTTTGGCAACTCGCTGACGGAGATGTCCTCAGTGTTATTGTCGTGACTCATGGACTTGAGGAGCACTCTATCATTATCGCGTACCACCACATAGCAATGGACGGCGTGAGTATGCATCTGTTCCTGCGGGACCTGAACGCCGTCTACATGGGCCACAAGCTCAACACTTCACCAAAGCAGTATATGGACATCTCAGTTGAGGAGCGAAGCGCCATTGAGAGTGGTCAAATGAATGACAGGATTTCATACTGGACCAATTTGCACTCACCACCTGCAGACACTCTTCCACTGTTCCCTTTCGCTCGTGTCAAGTCACGACCCATTCCCAAAACATATCGTAACGTCGAGTCTCTTATCGACATTGGGTGCGAACTATCGGATCAGATCAAGCTAGCAAGCCAGTCTCTGCGTATCACGCCTTTCTACTTCTATCTGACTGCTCTACAAACACTCTTCAACCGGCTTCTCGGTATTGAGGATATCTGCATCGGTGTCACGGACGCCAATCGCACCGAAAGCAGCCTACAGACCATTGGCTTCTTCTTGAACTTACTGCCCCTCCGGTTCAACCTACAGAATGATGCGAAGTTCTCAGATCTTGTCACAGAAACAGCCCAGCATTATCGGACAGCGCAAGCGAACATGGGCGTTCCCTTCGATGTGATCCTCGACAAGGCGAACGTCCCTCGTGAGTCAACAAGTACACCACTCTTCCAAGTGGCCATGAACTACCGGCAAGGAAACTTCTCCAAGATTCCCCTAGGTGGAAGTAGCCTGGAATTCAAGGATGGTTTTGATGCTCAAAGCCCTTATGATCTTGCCTTCAGTGTTACACCGAACAACGACACGACTTACGTACAAGTTGTTGCAAGGGAAGATCTGTATACGAGAGAAGGGACTGACACTCTATTGTCTGCATATCTGGCATTGCTGCATGATGCATCGCGGGATGTAACGAAGACGCTGGATAGCATCAATGTTTACGATCAAGCGGGTGTTGACAGGGCACTATCACTTGGGTATGGGAAGGTGGTGGACTACGGATGGCCTTCGACGCTAACAGAGAAGTTGGATGAGGCGATCGAAAATAACCCTCATGATATCGCTATCAAAGATGCCGACGGCCAGCTCACCTATGAAGAGCTTGCTAGCAAAGTCCACGACCTTGCTTCTATCATCCAGTCACAACAACAGCCTGGTTCATCAGTCGCTGTTCTTTGCGAGCCGACTGTATCCTGGGTCGTTTCCATGTTAGCCATCATTCGTTCTGGTTGCATCTACGTTCCTTTGGATGGCAAGTTACCTGATGAGCGTCTCAAGGTTATTCTTGAGGCTGTCGAACCTGACTTGATACTCTGCGAAGCAGCCACTAAGGAACGTGCTGAGGGTCTCTTTGCTGGGGCATCTATACTTTCCGTGGCGGACACGTCGGAGATCACTGAGACCATTGCTGCAGCCAACCTGGAGCGCGGCAATGAAACTACCTTCATCCTTTTCACAAGCGGGTCGACAGGCATACCAAAGGGTATTCGACTCTCTCCACGAGGAATCATCAACTATGTCGCCACCAAGAGCTCGAAGCTTTCTCTAGGTCGAGAGGCTGTTCTTCAGCAGAGTGCTCTTGGTTTTGACATGTCACTTGCCCAAGCCTTCCTGGCACTCACATTTGGTGGTACTCTTGTTATAGCTCCCAGTGCAAGCCGAGGAGATCCTCTCGCTTTGAGTAACCTCATGGCTGATGAAGCAGTAACGTTCACATTGGGAACTCCGACTGAGTATATTATGCTTCTACGCCATGGAGGTCAATCCGTTAGGTCCATGCACTCTTGGAGGAACGCAACTTCAGGTGGTGAAGCTATCACTGCTCAGCTGAAAGCCGCTTTCAGAACGCTACAGCAACCTCCGACTCTCACCGATTGCTACGGTCCCACGGAGATCTCATGCTGTGCCACCATGAAGACCATTGACCTCTGCAGTGATTACGATGAGGGTGTATACTCGACTGTTGGCCCAGCGAATCCCAACACTTCCATCTACATCCTTGATGAGAGTGGACACGTTGTGCCACAAGGGCTCACTGGGGAGATCTGCGTTGGAGGTGTTGGCGTTGCGCTCAGCTATCTCGATGAGAAGTCAACCTCTCAAAAGTTCGTGACGAACCCGTTTTCGACCGCTGAACACGCTAAGAAGGGCTGGTCTACGATGTATCGCACTGGCGATAAAGGCCTCATCCGTGCTGATGGCGGTCTTCAGTTCATGGGTCGTATGGATGGTGATACAACTGTCAAACTCCGTGGACTACGCGTCGATCTTGATGATGTCGCCAACGTCATGCTACATCAGTTCAAGGAGGGTTTACAGGATGTTATTGTCACTGTTCGTGGCGATCCAGCTTTCCTTGTTGCACATGTTGTGCTGGCCCCGGATGCTTCTATGGAGGTGTCAACTTTACAGCAGTTGGCAAACACTTTGCCGCTTCCTCAGTACATGAGACCTGCAATGGTCATACCACTGGAGAAGCTGCCGTTGAACAGCAGTGGAAAGGTTGATCGTCGTGCTATTGCAGCCTTGCCTCTACCTACATCGCCTGCATCCCCTGATCTTTCAAAAGCAACATTAGATAGGAAACCAACGCTTGTTGAAGGAGAGTTGAGACTCATCTGGCACAACGTTCTATCTCAATCGGGCCTTGTCAACAACACGAGACCTGAGCCTGACACAGACTTCTTCCATGTTGGAGGCAACTCACTGCTCCTCGTCAGGCTTCGAAGTGCAATCGAGATCTCAATGGGTGTTACATTACCTCTCAGCGACATGTATCGCTCCAGCACACTGGCCGGAATGGCTGGTCTAGTCACGCGACAAAAAAGCTCTGATTATGTGCCTGATGTAATTGATTGGGAGGCAGAGACAGCTTTACCTCGTTCCATCGACTTGAGTTACTCTCGCGATGCAACTCCCGTCAGGACAGACTCTGGTCTTGAGATTCTCATGACAGGCTCGACATCATTCCTGGGGAAGCATATTGTCCAATCTATACTCAACTACTCGTCAGTTGCACGTATCCACTGCATCGCTGTTGACCCAGACTCTGATGCTAGTCACCTCAAGGATGATCGCGTCACACTATACCATGGTAGCCTAAGTGAACCAATGCTAGGGCTCAGAAACGATACCTACCAGAAGCTTCAAGCGAATGTCGATACTATCATCCTCGCAGGCGCTCAAGGACATTGTCTGAACAACTACTCAACCCTTCGAGCACCTAACGTGGAGTCGACGCGACAGATGGGTCTCTTCGCTCTTGGCCGCCGGATTCCTATCCATTATATCTCATCAAACCGCGTTACGCTGCTTGACTCTAGCGCAAATGCTGCTCTTCCACCAGTCAGTGTCAGAGATCACCAACCTCCCACAGATGGGTCGGAAGGGTTTACAGCAGCCAAATGGGCAGCCGAAGTCTTCCTGGAGAAACTGTCAGAAGCAGCGGCAGCGAGTGCAGAACGGGATTTACCTGTCTCAATTCATCGGCATTGTGCTATTATTGGTGATGAGGCTCCTATCGAAGATGCACTCAACGCTTTACTACGATTTTCCAAGCTCATTAATGCTGTACCGCGTGTATCGAGCCTGAATGTCGGCGGTTACTTTGACTTCCTACCTGTCACAGATGTCGCCAGCTCCTTTGCTGACTTTGTCATATCCTCGCAGGGAACCCACGCCGGCGTGGCTTTCAAGCATTATTCGAGCGGTGTCAGGGTGCCGCCTGTAGATTTCGCTTCTTATATGCAAAAGACATATGGCGGCGAGTTCCGGGAGCTGGACTTGAATGATTGGATTGAGGAGGCGAGGAGGGAAGGAATTGAAGAGTTGATTGTGTTGTATCTGCAGGCTATCGTGGAGAAGGGACAAAGGATAACATTTCCGTATATGGGGAACAGGGAGTAGATATCGTGTACTAGCATAACTCATAACGAAAAAGTCTTTATGCCTTTTTAGCCACTACCACGACAAAGTTGGGATCCTTCAGATAGTCTTCCCAGAACTCGCGATTGTTCTTCACAAGTTCAGTATCCGCAGCTGGGGCGACCTGTATCTCAACCAGTCCAAGCTCCTTTCCGATATCATCGGACAGTGAGTAAGTCGACTCCATCGAAGTAGCCTCGAACGAGAACGGCGGCTCAGTCACACAATTGACCTGGTACCTCAAGCCGCCCGGAATCTCAGTGACATCGGTAAAGGTGACCCCGTATTTCCCGTAGCTCATGTACTCGGCGCGGATGCTCTTTGACCTCACGCCGATGAACTTGCCTCCAGGCTTCAAGTTCTTGACGACATTCTCATACATGCTTCTCAACTCGGAAACGGAGGTAGCATGATCGAAAACCCAATTGGCCATGACGATGTCGTAGCCCTCCTCCAAATTGACTTGCTCAGTGACCGGCTTGGTGACATCAGCCTCTAACCAACGAATGCGATCCCTTCGTCCGAGGCTCTTCTCAATCTCCTCACCCGCTTTCATCATCTCAGGCGAGATATCGACAACATCAACAACACTCGCCCCAGCATCAATTGCCCTCCTAGCATGAAGTCCACTTCCACCGCCAAGATCCAGAACCTTCAAACCAGTACAATCCCCCAAAGCATTCTTCACAAGCTGCCCCTCCAGTTTCGAACAGGGCAACTCCTCCACAGAAGCATACTTGGGAGCGAACGAATCGTATTGCGTTTTCTCAGCGTGAGACATGCTGGGCATAGACACTGACGAGTGATTGGTTTGTTGGGTCCGTTGTTTGCTTCTTGATTCGTGTGTTGGTTCTGACAATATCACTCAAACCCCGCTCTGGGCATTAAATATCTACAGGGATGTTGATTCTGGTCTAGCCGATCTGATGCTAGTCTTGATGTTATCGCGACACTGACTGGAACGTGACTCTTATCACACGTGACCGGTGATAGATCATCCGTCTTTCCAACCCCACTCGTGCCGACCGCCATTTTGATCTAACGCAACGTCAAACACTAAATCGACCCTTGACTATGTGCGCGGACGAGGACCCCCTTGCTGTTGATGAGCATGTATGGATCTACTGTGGCTGAGGACGCTTGAGGGTCTTGCTAACGGGTGGATAGGCGGCTCAGGATGACACTGATGCGGACTCCGCCCTTGGAGACGTAAGTGGATATTATGTCATGAACCGCTGTAGCTAACGCGCGACAGGACAATGCTAGTGATACTACGTCACTAAGATCGAGTATTCTGAGATATCGCGAAGAAAATGGGAGGACATATCATGCTTACAAGGATGGAGGTGAGAACTGAGGATGCGTAGGACGACAAGTAGTTGAACTAATTGACATAGTTTATGCACTTCCTAATGACGAGGTAAGACTTGTTCGCTTTCCACGCGATAATTGATACTGACATCAGATAGATTGAGAACGAACGACTAGGTACACCAGACTATCTCTTCCTACTTACCGATCTAATCAGATATCCTCGCAGATCTTCAACATCATCTTTTTCTGCTCACTTTCGACGAAAGACTACACGCAGCTCCCTTGCCCAAGACGCTCAACCGGGCCTTTGATGCGGGCTGTGGCACTGGAATCTGGGCCATCGAATTTGGTGAGTACTGCAAGCTACAGCAAAAAATAAGCAAGATGTTAACATATTGGATAGCTGATGAGCATCCCGAGTGTGAGGTGGGTTTTACAATCACGACTCCGAACTTGTCGTTGACTTTCTAGGTCATTGGCGTCGACCTGAGCCCAATTCAGCCTTCGGAGTATGTCATCGTTACCCTGATAATGAAGCGAACTAACAGCTTGAAGCATTCCACCCAACGCCTCCTTCTACGTAGACGATCTCGAGGAGTCATGGGACTACTCCAACAAGTTCGACTTTGTCTTTGCTCGCTTTCTCACAGGCTCTATCCTCGACTGGCCCAAGTTCTTCAGTGAAGGCTACAAGTACGCCATCTCCTCTCCCCTGCCGATTTCATCAAGTCTGATACGTATCAACAGTAACCTCAACCCTGGAGGCAGAATAGAGATGATTGACATTATCTATCCTCTCCTCTCCGACGATGATACCCTTACAAAAGACTCAGCATTGTCCAAGTGGTCAGAGCTTCTACACGATATTTTCACCAAGAACGGACGTCCTATGGATAGCGCGTTGAAGTACAAGGATCAGCTTGAGGCAGCTGGCTTTGTAGATGTTAACATTGTCAAGCGCAAGTGGCCTTTGAACCGGTGGCCCAAGGATCCCAAGCATAAGCAGATTGGTCAGTTTAGCCCTATCAGCAACTTCTCCTCAGCAGTTACTAATGGTGTTGACAGGCACCTGGGCCCAGCAGAACACATTGGATGCTTTGGCAGCTTTGAGTCTCGCTGTCTTTACACGTCCAGATGGCCAGGGTGGACTTGGCTGGAGTAAAGAGGAAGTCGAGGTTTTCTTGACTGATGTGCGAAAGGATATCAAGAACGTTAACATTCATTCATACTGGCCGATGTGAGTATCCAACTGAACATATCAAGTGTTGAACTAACGATGCAATAGTTGGTCGGTGTATGCTACAAAGCCCGAGTGAAATACCAGCGCTAGCAGGTAGCTTTGTAGATATTCAATGGCGCATTTTTATTTTCATATCGTCGAAGCTGCAATGTACAACTTCAAAATATAAAGTAACAGCCTCAAATTTCTCCCTCTTCAGCCTCTTGTATCCCTTCACAATAGTCGTCGTGCTATCTTTTCTTACACAAAGATTTCTCTCTATAAAAAGAAACAATGAGGTCTATTGCTTTTCAAGATCTCCAACAGCTGTGAACAGGAAACATAAGCCCAGAATACAAGTTGTATGCTGAAAGTTCTGGCAGTAGGTCTATCTCCCTCTTGCGATGCAGCCTACAACCTTGTTGAACTGAGTTTTCATCATAGCTGAGTCCAATGTCACATGTCACGCGCCCTGGTGAAAATTCTCCAGCGGTACTGGTGGTCCGGTATCGGCGGATTCGAAGTTTCGTGTCGTTCCAAACGTTGAGGAAGCGAGGGGGATTCGAGATTGAAACGACAAGCTCATCGGGTAAGACGCTAATACCTCTGACTAGCCCTTCCTCGCATATGATCTTTCTTAATTGAGCGCCTGTCGACGTGTTCCAGAGCCAAACCGAATTGTATAACGATGCTGTCGCTAGGACTGACCCGTCCAGCGAGAATGCGATAACCGTCTCTGGCCAAATACCAGATTCCGTATCTTTTGGAAGCTCTTCTACGAAGTCTAACCAACACATCGTCCCTCTTCTCAGTCCTTCATATTCAAAATTCCCACAGACTCCTTTCGCTTTCAATATCATACATTTTCTCTCTGAAGTCCTTCCTTACTTCATCCTGAATCTGCCGAGGAGACTTGCCCTCCGCATTCAATTCATCCATCAAATGTCCCCCATCCCCTTGGAGCCTTCGAAGTATATCAACCATGGCGTTAAGCCTTCCTTCTACTATTCCAGGCCAAAACACCCCAGTTGCTGCTTCATGGAGAGGTGTGTTTCCTTTCAGGTTCTTTGCAACTACCCCTGCGCCATGATCAAGCAGAAACGCGATGGCATCAAGATTCTCTAGGTTCTTGACTGCCAAGTACAGTGTCGTATTTCCGTTATCGTCTGTATCTGTAACCTTTGCTCCATGGTCGAGTAAAATTCCGATGGCGGCTGTATCGATCGGTAGTCCCCCATCATAGCAACATAAGCAATGTAATGCGGTTTCGCTCTTGTTGTTAACAAGGCTGGAATCAGCACCTCTGTCACAAAGGTACTGAAAGATGGCCGTATACTCTTGTCCATAATTGCTGTAGTTCTTGGCTGCATAGTGTAATGGTGTATTCCCAGCATTGTCTTGTGCGTTGATTGTTTCTGGGTTGCAGTCCAGCAGCAGGTCAAGAATTGTGATGATTCGTTGCACTTTCTCCTCCATAACTATTGCAGACACCTCACGGGGATTTTCTTCAATTGAGACTTGACAAGCCCAGTGAAGGGGCATGCTTCCCCAACTATCGCGATAAGATACTGCGTCTGCCACATCACCTGCTTTGCTTGCGCAATCAAGCAGGATTTTGAGAGCATCAACATTCGCACATCGACTTGCGGTGGAGATAATTGTTATATCCGTGCGAACTGCGAACTCTGTATCCTCTATCAGCTTGACGTGGGGATCAGCGCCACTCTCAATGAGCCGCCGGATCAAATCCGCCCCTGCCCACTCTGCGGCCGAGTTCAAAGCCATAAAGATTGGCACCTGCTTCTTTTTAGACTCGCCAGTAATGGGGTCAAGAGAGTAGTCCCATATGTATTCTGCATCGGAAGCGCGGGCACCTCGATCAAGCAAGAAGTTGATGACTGCCTCTTTTTCCTCAAGATGATCTTTCCAATACGAAGCGTCGGCAGCTATCATAATCGGAGTGAATCCTTGACAGTTAAAGTGGATATCAGCCTGAAGAAGAGGGTCATCGAGTAGAAGCTTCACTACCTCAAGACGGCCACAATGAGCTGCCGTGTTCAACACTCGACAACAGCGACCATCAAGGTCAGTTTTCCCAGTGGGCTTGATGAGGGTGGAGTAGTGGTCCAAGAGCATTTTGAGCGCATCGAGACTTCCATGTCTAGCTGCCACAATAAACGGGTCATAATACATCCCCAAGGCATGACCTCTCTTGACAGCCCAAGGTGCGCTTTCCAAATATTTTTCTAGGGCCACTGTATCATTACGTTCGATGACGGCAGTGCGAAGGCGGTAGAATTGCTGTTCATAAAGGGTTGATCCATCAGTATCACTTATTGTAGGATATAGCGTGGATGGGTTAGGAAACTCGGGATGAACAGCGCTGCCGTGATTTTGACGAAATGCTTCATAAGGCGACGTAGCTGCCATTGTGAACGTCGGGGCAGTTGTGGAGTCTGATATACTTGAGCTGGGAGAGAAATAGATATGACTCTATATTGAAAGCCTTCTACTTATACACTCTTTTACAATCATGCCGATAATCATCCTCATCCTACCCTGGATCATCTCACTCAGCCCTGCAACTAGATGAGTCAGGCCGTCAATTTATCCGAATAATAGCCCGAAGTCCCATAGCACGCGCAAACTGCTAACCGAGCTTACAAGACCCTGGAAAGCATTTGTCATAACGAACCACGACATCAAGTAACCCACTGGAACGAGAATTTCCGGGAGCATTAGCCTATTATTACAAGACCAAGCTTCCGGGATCAAGAACCCGGGGAGTCGAGTAATGGAGCTCGGATCCTGAATGGTCACGAACTCGTTGCTAAGACGAAGCTAGGTAGCCGATCGTAATAATCCTTGACGCCAATCGATTCATTGTGAACCTTGAGCCAATTTTTCAGCCCCGCCTGAGTCAAAATGGACGGAAGAAACTGCTCTAATTGAGGGAAGATATGAAATAATCACGATTGAGAGAATATGAAGGTAATACTGCTATATGTAACTGTGTATATCATCAGGTTTAATAAGTATGCTCAGCGGCTGTGACCCGAAATTCCGTCATCTGCATCATCGCTAAAATCTTTAGTCTCGGTCTAATGAACCAGAAGCGATCGCTTCATTTAGATTTCAGGCTCACCGCAAGCTAGCGACAGCGGAAGCTGGAAAATTCCGGGTTCACGCTAAGAAGGCGGGGATCAATGCTCCATATATCGTCCCATCTTCATCTTATTCCTCGATTCCGATGTTGACGATCAAGATACATCATATCTTGACTCTTACGACCGTCTTCTGTCCATTTTGACTATCTCTGAGCTCTTTACATACGGCAAAATTGAGGAGATCCGCACTGAAAAGTGCCAGCTAACATGAGCAATTTACCGACGGCTATTCCCCGAGGTTCATGGGTCCTCGTGACGGGAGCGAATTGTTACACCGGCAGCCATGTGGTCATAGAGCTTCTGAAACAAGGCTTCAAAGTGCGCGGAACAGTCAGAGATCTTTCATACAGCAAGTGGCTGCTCGAACATCCAGCTGTCAAGCCGCATGCCGACCAAGGAGAGGTGGAATTGGTTGTTGCAAACACATCAAAGCCTGGAGATTTCGATGGGGCGGTGAAAGGCGTCTCGGCTATTATTCATCTCGCCAACATCGGCGATTATTCACCAGATCCGAACGTTGGTTTTGCATCAGCTATCGAAGCTGCCTTGACTGTATGCCGATCTGCTGCCAAGGAGCCTTCGGTCAAGCGATTTGTTGTAGCAGCTGGATTATGGTCAGCTGTATGGCCCAAGCCCGGCGAGACAAAGACTATCACGCAGGACACGTGGAATGATGATCTTGTTAAGGTCGCACAGGCACCGCCGCCATACGAGTTGAGCCGCATTCTTCCAGTGTACCTGGGCGCCAGAGTTGAGGCCGAGAAGGCGGTATGGAAGTTTGCCAAAGACGAGAAGGTCCCTTGGGAAGTCAATGCGGTTAGCCCATGCTGGACTCTGGGTGATCCTCTACATGCAAGACATTATGGGCCCATGCCTACTCAACTCCTTCAGCAATTATACCTTGGCAAAACAGATGCGCTTACCGAGAACACAACAGGTAAGTTGACAACGATATATTCACTCACGTTAAATAAGCTAACCCGGTAGTCTACTACACTCACGTCTCCGACGCAGCTGTCATTTACGTAGCAGCAGCTATCGACCCAGATGTCAAAGGTGCTCGCATCCCAGCATTGGCCAAGTCATTCAACTGGAATAATGTTCTTGCCATCTTGCGCAAAGCATATCCCGAGGAGGACTTCGAAGAAGACTTTGTGCCCGGAGACCCTGTCCTAAGCTACAAGATTGAGAACGATATTGCACCCGAGCTTCTTAAAAAATGGGCTGGGAGAGACTGGATCAGCTTGGAGAATGGCATTACGGAGACTATCGACTTTTCACGGAAGCTTGGTAACTTGGACTAGTCCAATTATTCGAGCGGGTGACGAATATGTTGAAAAAGCTTTGAATGTCTTTATGTAACGTGTGCACTGACTTGTGACGGGATTTGGAAGAACGAAACTTATGGAAATGAGAAATACTACTTCGCCCTATGGTAGAGAAAGACGTATAATATGCGCCGTATGATAGACACGCGGACCAGTTGGGTTCTATTACCTAGCCTTTGGTTACAGGCTCTTCCAGTGGCTTTCTTCCGTAGACCACGTATCTATAGATGCCAATGTTAGCACGAGACCACGGGAGTATCAAGCGAAGATATGGACTTACACCGGGATGTAAGCATGAATACTTCGATCTCGCAGCTGCTTCCTCATCGCGATGCAAAACACACGAACCTCATCCGCACTCCAGCCCAAAAACCTCGTAAACAACCCTAGTAACAAACCCTCCAGCCCATTGTTAATATTAGCGTAAGACCATTTCCCCAATTCCTTATAGTGCTTATCCTTAGGCCACTCGTTAATAGGCCACTTGAACTGTTTCTCCACCACATCCACAAACCCAGCTTTTTCAAGGAAGCTCTTGTACTTGGGAGCAAGGTTGATAGCCCTTCCTGCTTTGGCACTGGCTTCAATACTTAGAAGACCAGAGCGGAGCACTTCGCAATCTGGGGGGAGTGTTCCGTCATCGCAGGCGATGGGATATGTTAGATCTTGCATTTCGAGATAGCCGCCAGGTTCGAGATTACTGTCACACGTTAGGGAGACGAGCGGTGGTTTATTGAAGGTGAACTCACTCGTAGGCATTTTGAACGAATTTTTCCATGTCGGCGAAGGATCCTGTCATGACGCGGCAGAAGATAAAGTCAAAAGGCTCTGACCAGGTCCATTCTTTTTCGAGATCGTCAATCTCGAAGATGCAGTTTGGCGGGACCCTAATGAGGAGGTTAGCCTCACTGACTATGCCAGTAAGTTGTAGCCGTACAGTGAAGGTTGAATGGGACTGAGATCAACGCCAACGACCTAAAAAGTCAGCTACAGAGAACTAGCATAAAGGAGAGGTGGATTATACCTGAGCTTCTGGGTGAAGATCAGCTACATTTGGTGTCAGTCATTTACTAAACTACCAGCCCTGTTTTGCATACCATATTCGATAGCCCAGATGCCAGTTCCAGTGCCAACATCCATGACTTGTTTGGCAGGCTCTTTTATCTTCGGACTCAGACCAAGCTCTCCTTGCAGGGTGAGTAGCCAGAGATTATGCTGCAGATCTTCACCAAGACTCAGCACGTAACATGAACCAAGGTATCCCAATATACCTACCTAGACGATCACTTTCAGACGCATCATTGGGAAAGTTGTATTCTGCATCCAGCTTTAGTCATGTAAAGTGAATTTAATTGGAGTGACGTACTGCCAGAGCTCATGGCATGATATGTTCGTCCATTCTCCTCTTGGAACCGCAAGACGCTGGATCGAAGTGACTCTAAACTTTCTGAATCGGTCTGTGGTTTAGCTCTGACTCTCAGTGCAATATCGCGCATGCTGTTTGGCGCTATTGGGATACTCGCCGCTGAACTTACGCCAGAGAAAGTCGAGTCACTGTCGTCAAAGGTATCGGCGGCCTGATCAGCATATCAGCAATAGTTAACGCAGTCGACAGTGTGGTTCTGGCGTACCAGAGCCTCGTGGGGTTTTTGTGTAGGCGCAGACATGATGAATTGCGTCTGTTGGCCAGTAGTAGGTAGCAGATGGTTGTTGAGTGTGAGTGAGTTGAAGAAAGGCGTTGACTTGAGAAAGGACAGCAATAAAGCCATGATCAGTTAGGTGATTTTCGGAGTTCGGATCCAGATAGGCAGGCAAGAAGAAAACACCTCATAGACAATCATGTACTGCTACCTCGTTGAGCCTATTTCCGATGCATGTCACAGGCACAGCGACGTAACCAACCAACAGACCCACCATAGAACTTGTCCAGGATGTTACGCGGGAGCCTTTAGGTTCGCCAGGTCCAGTGACCCGGATATAACCAGTAGGAGTAAAAAGCAATACATAAATACATAAACTGGTCGCAACAAGCTGTTTCTAAAGGTAAACCAGAACTAAACCTTGTAGTTGTCGGTCACGACTGAGATAACGTGCATCCGCAGTAGCTTAATGTAACCTTTCTCGGACGGATTCCCTGTCTTCGGATATTCTGTCAAAGTCCCGTGTTATACTGATGCGAGTGAGCGGAGAACCCTGAGAATGCAACGAAATATCGTTGCAAGAGCAATCAAAGCAATCCCCAGCGAGTGATCAACCTGACATCTACTCGAGAACTAAGTATGGGGTTCAACATGATGACTCCTTTTTGCAACTCCCAGATTCCCACCAGAGGTCCCTGGCCATGCCTCAGTCATGCAACAAAACCTTAACCCCTCTGGACCTAGCCAATGCTTTGATCTTCTTGATATCAAACATAACCGGGTCATCCACAAATGTTCCCGAGAGATCGAGAACTCTCAACTTGCTAAACCGTCCATGTGGTCCAGCTTCCTCGAGTAGTTCTATGATGCCCTCGAGATATGGCTCAAGAAACACGTCATTACTAATACTAACCCAGTTTTCGATAAATCTGGAGCAACGAGGCGTGAGAACTTGGATATCTTGAGGTATTCGACTAAGAACGACCTTGATACAGTTCTCGACTCCCTTTTTCCAGAGGCCGTCGAAGAGGTCGGCGATATGAACCGCAAGACTCCAGATATGTGGCAAGTGTGAATAGGTTTCCTCCACCACAGGCTCCGGGTTGGGGAAACTCATGAGACTAATGTCGAGGTCTAGTTCTTCCAGAGAGTCTTTTTGTTTCATAACAGCCTCTGCTAGCTCTTTCTGGTCCGGCACGCCGTAGTATCCAGAACTGTAGTCGACACGAACAATGAGCTTTTTGAGTGACCGACATGCAGAGATGAAATCTGGGAGTCCAGCTCGTAAACATCCCACGATGTTTAACTCTGTAATGGTTGATGTCCCAACTGGGAAAGGGAGCATGTAATCATCAAGGTGTGCCAGGGATTCTTTATCCAGATCATCAAACAATCCATAGGCACAGAACGTCTCGATACTGGGGAAATGCAGAAACAATCTAGCATACGCCATATCGAAAACTTCCTTTCTATTCCAGGGTTGCAGGGTAACATGACGAACCTGGCCAAGAGGCAACTGTGATGCCATTTCAGCCGGTTCATCAAGCAATCGACAAACAGCCTCCTTCACGTAAAGCAAAGGCATAAAGTGTTGGCGAGATTCAGGATCGAAAGAAGGTACCGTAATGTTCAGACGTCTTAACCTTGTACACCAAGCCAAGATCAACACTGCGATTGCATCCTCGCACCCGAGGCGTATGCGATGACATACTTGAGTTGAGAGAAACTTGGATACATCGAGATCTTGCCCAGCAGCGTCTGCGAGAGCAGCTAGACTCTCGGTACTCAAGTCAGCTGAATCGGGATCATGATCGTGCAAGGGTCGAAGGTATCCAAGGTCCAGCCTTTTGACGTGCTTTCGAAGATCGGGGTTTCGGAGAAGGTGAAGAGCAAGTCTCTCAATAGAAGGCTCGGCACATTCTTGGCTGTTGTTCCATTGACGCACGAGGAGAGGAAAGACGATTTTGTTGAAGCGGCTGTTGACGAGGCTGACGTTTTCGAGCGATACACGGTCGCTTGTGACGAACTCGAAAATTCTTTCGAGGGCTTCATCAGGCAATTGAGATAAGATGGCCATGATATTCAAGCACGGTATTGCAGCAATAGTGATGCGCCGATAAAGTCAAATGTATAACTCGGCTCACGGAAATAATCTAGAGGTGAGAAGAACATGTGGTGTCATTACCTCAATTGGGCAAATTTTCTTATCGTGCATAAAGTCCTACCTTTTGAACATAAATATTATGCATACTGTGCACTAAGCTTAAAGCTGTGTGCTCAGCGACTGATTTGTTCATCTCTAGAAGTCTTCTTCTGCTCTACAAAGTCGTCGTAGTATCTCACCAAATAACAAGAGAGATCGTTCGTGATTCTTTACTGTTATGCAGTGAAAATTGTTAGTGGAAGAGAAGTCGAAGCAACCAAGCGGCACCTGTTGAAGTTCTAGACGTGGCGTTTCAACCCCTCGATTTAGCGGCGAGCAGATGGACGCATCTAGACCACCGCCAACACAGAACTGCTCACTGCACCATCTGATTACAGTCTCTATGATCTTCGCAGAGTCTCACATCTTGGGTACATATTCCTCTTCAGTTCCCTGCCCGGTTTATCCGTAGTTAACCGTAGCGTCACCAAGATTGTTTGTCAACCTCAGTCTTGAGAGCCTTACAAGGCTCATTTCCGGGGGCTGTGGGCTTCCGGGGGCTGTGGGCGGTTGCCAAGACCAATAGCTCTATATCATAGCGCTGAAATCTTTCAGCTCTCGACGCCAAACCAATTAGACGCCGCGGGGCTGATTTTAAGCATATTCGCCGAGATGAAAATGGCTCATGCTTATTTTTTACAAAACAGCCGACTTGAGCGAAACGTCCAACTAGCGTGATTCTTGTTCTTCAATTCCGGAACGAGGTGCTGCGTTGTGAGGGGGATCTCGTATAGAGGTAGGGATGTTCCGTTTGGGGAGATCTGTGCGACGAGAGGTTGATAAGCAAGGGACTGGCAATGTCATCTTCATCTTTGGCTCGTCACCCACGATGGATTCTATTGAAGCTCCTCATTTTTTATTTGGTCTGGACCTGGAATAATTGAAGCTGTCAATAAGGATAAAACGAGAAGTTTTAGAGGGGCAGCGCTTGAAGCTATGGATACAAGGTGCTGCTTTGTGGATAGGCAGCTCGAGCTAAGAGCAACCTTCGCGTGACATCCGTCGACCTCATTGGGAGGAAAAGATCTGTATTTCGATAAGTAGCGGGAGCGATGATATTTATCTTCTTCCGAAAAACCTATTTGGAGGCAATTGAAGCTCTTTCAGCGGACTATCTCCATCTTGTGAGAGGTCCCTGCATTCTCTCATCGGAAGAAATCTCATCGACCATTCTGATCTAACGTAACTTTTCTACTATTTTTGGTCCTCAACTCCCATTTCCTCGTCTAATTCTCCTCCTAGTGTAATTAGCTCCGTTTCGGGGCGGAGATTGTTCACCGTCACCCTGAATGGGTGCGGCTGAAGTGACCCTTGGTATGGAGGCTTCAGCTTCTGCAAGCCCTGTCACACAATATTGGGTTCTCGCCCTTTAGTGGCGTTTTGATCTGCCCAGGGGGGGAATCAGCTGAGCCGCATTGTCGCTCTGGGCTGGGTCCTTCATAATGATTGTTTCCTGCAATCGCGCTGCTCGTCTGTTTCCTTGGCTGTTTCTTCGTGCATCTCCTTGTCCTTACCATTCTTAGTACCATTTTTCACATTTTTTGGCTGCTGGAATAGATTCACCATGCGGTCAACTTCGCAGGCTCTCCTTCTTGGAGCTATGCTCCCGTTAGTGAAAGCAATGGACATTGCTCACGCCGCGCAAAGGAATCACGCACGCGACGTGCCAGCAGCGACAGTCACAGCAGCACCAATCGGTATCATCGATCAACTAAACCTCCTCGTTGGCCACGATGGACTCCGAGTTCGACAAGCAGACTCATCGAGTGAGCCGCTGGCGGTTACTATCGCGCCCGACAAAACATGCGGATACTTGTCTGGTCAACCCGGTGCCGCAATCACCTGCGACAACGATCGCTCGTGTTCATGGGCCGCCACAAGTGGTGTTGGTCTTATCGCTTGTGCATCCGAGATTTACGTCAATTGCGTTGAGTCCAGTAGAGCTGTTGATCCTGGTCAATGCAATGATGTCTGTCAGAGTAACACTTTCAATCTTTTATGGTGAGATATCATTGTCGCGATGTTGACTCTTGATGCTAATTGCATTTTTAGTACCAACTCCGATATGCCTTTCTGTCGCACTTATGTCTACCCAAGCGGCATTTTCGACTATCGATGCGCATCCACATCCGTCGAGGATGTACAATCTATCAAGTTCACATACCAAGGCCAGAAGAATGCCAACTTCGTCACAACCACTCTCAGCGATGGAATTGAATCATCACTGTCACAGCCAACAGTCACCAACACTGATACAAAATCAGCCGGTGCGGCATCTGAGACGGAACCACAAACAACAACAACATCTGTTGTCCCTGAGCCTACTAAAAAACCCAAATCAACGCCTGTCGGTGCCATTGTCGGCGGCGTAGTCGGCGGTGTCGCTCTCATCGGCCTCATCGGTCTTGGTGCCGTCTGCCTGCTGCGCAGACGCAAATCCAAGCCTGAGCCCACCCCAGCGCCCACCCCAGCACCAGCTCAACCTGTCATGGCTCAACAGCCTCCTCCCCCTCCTCCTATGAACCAAAACCCATACCCTCAACAACAACATTACCCACCTGTTGTATCGGCTTACCCCGATCACAGCATGGCGACATCTCCTTCGCCGTCTGATGCTCGTTTATCGATGATGAGTGGACCTATGTCTAGTGTTGGACCAGCTTCACCTACGGGGTGGAATCAACAGCCATCGCCTCCGCCGTTTCATACTCCCGCGCCGGCTTATGAGATGGCTGGCCCTGAGGCTCGTGAACAGGAACCAGTTTATGAGATGGGTACTGACGCTGCAAAGAAGTAGAGTGATCAACATTCGTTCCTGCTATTATATGCATCGCTTGGTAGTTTATTTAGAGTAATCATCATTTGGAATTAATACGGACTTCTCATGAGTTACATCCATTACCTTTGTGATCTTCAATCCATGTTGACCATTCCCCAATCAGCAATGATCTTTGATGTGAGACTCAAGTCACAACTTGCGATGGGTTTAGTTCCTCCAAGGAAGTCATCGTAGTTGTTATACACCGAGACCCTATGCTCATGATCCGGAACAAGGGACAGTCCAGGTGCATCAGTCTTGACAACCAATGTTCCCTCTTCGTTCTCCTCTTGAGGCCTGTTTAACATCAGCACGAATGACTTTCTGGGAAGAAGAGATAAAACTTACAGCGGCTGGATTGAGTTCTCAAAGACATCTTCCAGCACAGCGACGACACCCTTACCAAGCTGTTCATCGCTCAACGCCGGCTCCAGATTGAGCTTGACACGGTCTCCGCTGAGTTGAGCATTAGGCGAAGTCCTCAAGACGTGGTCGATATTAGCTTCAGCATTGCTACCATAAAGGTAGAAAGCCATTCTATCTTGATATTTCTTGTCCAAGTCATCATAAGACATGGATCGCTTGACCACAACCTCAATCTTAGGAAGCTTGAACTTGGCAAGAGGTTCAGCACCATCAGCTGGAATACCATCATCCATGCAGAACTCAACATCGCCAGTTGACTCCAACAGATTACCGAGTTTCTCAGGCTCAAAGTTGGCGAGAGTGTAGAACTTGTCCGGGTTTTCTTTTTGAAGCTTTTGGTAGAGTTCCTTGACCTCGCCGGGTAGTTCGGCGGTGATGATGACTTGCCAGTGGTGAGCGGCCATGTTGAACATGGGAATGTGGACGAGGTAGATCTTGTCGTGGCATTGCATGACGAAACCGTGGAAGTCTGGCTTCTCGATGTTGCAAGCCAGGACGTGCTACAACCATTAGTTCCAATTTCTAAATGGTGTTACACGGTGATAACTTGCCTGAACCTCTTCCTCTGAGATCTTTCTGAAAGAAGTCACAAAGCTCTCAAGGAATGGTGAGTCTGTAGGCCAAGGACTCATCGTGACATTGACCAAGAATGCCAAATCTCCGTGAGCAGGATGTTGTTCGTTAGAGAGTTCAAGGCGCCGCTTGAAGTCAGTTAGACACTTCCCGTAAGCCTTCTCACTGAATGACGATGAGGTCAGAAACAGAGGCCGATCAGAGATAGGTGTCTTGTCATCTTCAATTGTGTAGGAGAGTCGCTTGAAGATGCGTTGGTTAAGGTAGTTGGCTTCTCCCTGCTTCCCGTCAGTATGTACACCAAGATGACAGTGATAGGTGACTTACGATGTCGGTGTTGGGCTCGCCATTGATCCTAAAGTTGCAAGCAAAAGCATTGATCATCAAATCACCACCAAGTGTCTCCAAAAGCTCCCAATTCTCCTCGTTCTTGAACAGATCCTCGTTGCTAACTCCAAGGATCTTCTCTCGGATTCGGTCCTTTTCTTTCTCGACATCTTCAGCTGATCTTCCGTTGCACTCAATGGGCAGTCTGATAAGAGGAACAACTATCGAATCGTCTTCGGGCCTGTTCAAAGTAGCCCAGTGGAAGTAGAGCTGTAACAATCAGTAAAGTACATGCTTTTCGGGAGTTTTTGTGACACGAACCTTTGTGCAAGTGAAGATGACTGCTCCAAGGAGTCTACCGTATCCATCGACGTCACAAAGAACGGTCTAGACCGGTGATAAGTGATGCATGCAAACTTGAACTGAAACATGTCCATCACGGTGAGTGTTTAAAAGCCTATAGTTTCATGCATGTGCCAATTCTTGAATGGGAAAAGGCGTGTCTTGCCCACTTTGACACAATGATAACGCGTCAACGAGAGAAACCTTCAAACGGTATGAGTGAGACTAGTCGGCTTCCTTCTGCTCTTGCCAAACAATACCAGCCATTGCATTTGAAGCTCGTGCAGCTAGTTCCCGAACTTCCGGCGATAGATCCTCATTGTGAGCCTCAACCTCAAACCGTCTCCGTGCAAATTCCCTTCGTGCAGTCTCCCATCTTGCCCGGCCTTTATACCTCTTCCGCGATCTTTTCCAGGGAAGTTCATTATCTCTCAACCCCAAAATCCTATCCACCACCTGAATATCCCTCTCATCTCTCGTAAGCGGATACTCCGCATAAACCTCCTTTCCCGCAATGGTAGTCCATAATGCAGCGCAAGTAACATAATGCCCAAGAATCTCATGATCTGGTGGTGGTGATACACGGCGATACCATGGCGTCGGGGCCTTTTCCAGCGCGTCGACAGCACATATCTCTCCTTGAATGTGTATATCTGCCACTCCGCTGGCAGTCAATCGAGCATAGAACGCGTTCAGATTCTGCTCTGCATGTTGCTCTGGCCAGGACCAACCGGCTCCGCATCCACAAGAGTCGTTTCTCACTTCGGCGATTGAGGCGCCTAGAATAATTAGGCTGCTCCAGACTGTGCCTAATTGCCAGACCCAATTTCTTTTCAGGGGAATCGTCATTGGTGCAGGTTCCGGTGGGTTGGGTCGAGCTTTGAGTGCTCTGACTAGATCAACTAGCTTCTCCTGACGAGTTTCATCGGTATAGGGGATTTTCTTTGCTGTGTGAAGAATAGAGTACCATAAGTTCCAAAGCAGCATCTCAGCTGTTCCAGAATGATCTCGTTCAATTTCAGGCTCAGGCCAATCCTGTTCTGGTCCCCAGAGCTCAAGAGCCTTCTCGGGGTTATGATACTTGCGCTGTTGTCGAGCGACTCTTTCTTGTCGAAAATATTCCGTACCGGCGTTGGCAGTTGAGTAGGCCTCGTCTATTGGTTTAGCCAGAACATCGACAGCTTCGGCCGTTGAAAGTTCGCCGGCCATGTATTGATCGACAATGGTTGTGTCTGCGCAGAACCAATTTCGGATCTCAGCTAAGCGGTCAATCTTCGCTGCAAAGTTGAGGGAGTCGTCATTCGCAATCTGCTCTGCGTGGTCATTTTCTTTTGTTTCCCTTTCTATCCTCAAGGTGCGTCTCTCGCCTGCTTTTGCTTGGTCTCGCTTTTCTTTAGACAGTCTGTTCTTAGGCATTTTTAAAACAATACTTGGTCGTCAGAGTTACTGATAGTCAATCCTTCAATGAATAAAACGTTAAATAGTCCGCGCGTAGTGGGTCTGAGGGGTCAGTCCCCCAGTTGCTATAACCATCTCACCGAAGAGTCATTGCCGGCCTAACTAATATCTTACATCAGCATATTGATCCTCTGTCGCGCCCCACACGATACGCCATGCAAATTCTCAACGAGACGGGGCGAAACTGTTGAGGAGTCAAATAGCTCTAGGGAACTGGTTACAAATACTAACAGAGGACTCCCTTAAACTACGTCCTGTATATCTACAAATTCGATTTTAGCCATTGAACTCTTGTGTATTTAACACTTTCCGTACCAAGCTTCAATGTGCATCACTGCAAAACTAAAGCTTATTCTGAGCTCAGCAGAGGAAATCTCGCCCATGTTTGCCATGCCGGCTAGTATGATTCTTGTCCCAGAGGCTTCGGCCTTTGCCTTCACTTGACGTTTTGAAAGTCTTCGAATCGAACACCACAGCAGATGTCGATATGGGATATTTCCTCCCGCCATGGTCTAGTCTTCTTCTCCAATTACATTCGTGGTACGAGCTATTTCTTTTCGGTACCTAATGCGGCGATCTCACGTCAGTAAAGAAAGCTTGCAGTTGTAAAAAGCTCTTCCCTTTGGCAGGTTTTCCAACTGGCCTCGGGAAGTCCAAACCAACGGCACGCATCTGTTTCATAAGCATTCCTAGTAATATAGCCGAACACTCCACGGGACAACTGCCATTATCCTTCCAGAGTGATTCTAGTAACTCATATAAATGGTCCAAAATCCGAGTTGTAAGAGTCTGTCTCGATCGTTCTAGTAATTCTGCAAAGTTGTAAGTCATTTTTTGAAAGCCATTCCATATTGCAATTTACCTATAATACGAGAGGGAATTGGGAGTTCTGTCTCTATCGGGCCGGTGCTCGATTCGAGGATGATATGAACAACCGAATTAAACAGCTCGCTCTTAGCATAAACCCAGCTGATGAACAACCGAGACGTGTTCGTCTGACAATCAGAATTTTTTTTATCTCGTCTTCTTAGATAACAGAGGCAATCCAGTTTTCAGAAAATATCTCCACGATCTCATTACACTTGTAGCAGTCAACAAATATCGCCATCTCCCTCAACAGATCAAGATCCATGGTCTTTGGGACACTTCTATGGTGTCCATGTATGATATCAAGCAAGATGAGCAACGCTGAAGCGTCGCACTCAAATGTTTTGACTTCAAATCTCCCATCCTCGTTACGATGGCCCACCGAGCATTGCCTTGAAAACCGGGGAGGCAAGCATCAAGTGCGCTGACGATACGCGGTAGCGCAATTCAACGTTTTGCCCCTACTCGTCAACCGCTTCGAGGTTCTTCAGGTCTTCACTGGTCTTTATTGAAGATGTGACGTCCTTGAACTCCACCGTAAGTGGCTGTTCATGCTCTGCTTCACCTTCATCCTTCCCTGTCTCGTCGCCATTCTGTGCCTCTATAGCCTCCTCAGCAGAAGGCGTCGTCTCTTGTTGAGCTTTCTGAGTGCTGCCCTTGTTTGGTTGTCGAAGGATCAAGGCCGTATCTCCATTAGGAGTAAAAACTAATAGTGAAGGTTTCATTCCTGTTAATAAAACCAGTGGCTCTCGGCTCCATGAAATGTCTTGAAAATCAAACGCGTCACGACAGCCTGTGGTTCGCGAATCACGTCTTCATCATAGCACTAGCGTTATCACTTATCGGTTATCTTACTAGACAAATCTCTGTTTCAAGCTTCAGAGTAGGCATAGTTGCTGCAATCCCTTTAGCCCTATAGCGTAAATTTATAAGTTATTATTTTAGGCGGTAGACATTAATATTATATAGTAAACTATCATATAATTATATTATTTCTAATTAATTATTATTAAAAATGCAGTGTTAGGGATTGGTCTATGTGTTTTATTAGCTTAAGTAAAACAATTAAGCTTATTTAATAATAGGAGACTTAACTTTCATAGAGTAATAGTTACAGTTAAATCATCAAAATAACTAGAAGGTGGAGCTCACATCAATGATAATATGTTTCTGTTCATATCCACATAGCTGAGGCCACAGTATACCAGGAATATACCTACTGTCTGTGCGGATACAGCTTGTAAGATCACCATACCTACACCAAAGGTGAGGTGTACTGTACGTAGGAATTGCCGTAAGTGGCTTGCAAATCCTCCAGCCCACCTTCTTACGCTTCAATGAGACAGGAGTCAATTGATGACGATTATCGGATTATCACTTAAATTCATCCACCGGAATGGTTTACCTTTTCTTCAAATGAGACTAGTTTCACCCGATGTATGCCATCCTTGATACTCAACAGGCGATAATTCTCCCGCTAGTACAAACATACCCCAGCTAAGTCTATCGATGGAGATGCCGTTCCCCATTCTGCAAGTTCACCGAATTATCAGAAATATCCCCCGGGATGAGGTTGAAGACTAGCGATATCCCGCAGTGACTAGTGGTAAGCTACAGTGGGCGTGCAAAAGTTCCGACACATTCCGGATCCACCCCAACTACCTCGATCTCATACTGCCATTTCGGATTGCAATTGCATGGGCAATAATTCTTCAATTTAGATAATATATATATCAATCTGTAGAGACTTAAAAGGAGATTCCAGAAATATAGTTTAATACTTGGTATAATAGCCATTTGCGTTGTAACAGGCGTTCAACCGGTCGGGCATCGATTTTATCACGTTTTTGACCACTTCATCTTCGACCTCCGACCAAAGCTCCTCTGCAGCTTCAATCAGCCGGGCCAAAGCTGCTGCAGACTTTGGATAAGCAGCAATTTCAGGATATCTATCGCATATCCTCTTCTTCAGGACTTTCCATAGATTTTCAATGGGGTTGAGATCAGGGCTGTATGGCGGCCAGTCAGCAAGAAAGACTCCTGTTCTTCTTGCCCAGGGCAGCAGCCAATTCTGAACTTTCCGGCATTTATATGTACGGGCGTTGTCGTGCTGAAAAGTCTCTCCTTCCTCGACCAGTCCGGGAAGATAAGACTGTAAACAGGATAGAATAATCCTTCCTGTTACGCCTCCCCTCTCAGACTCAGGATCGCCGGCAAGAGGGACGATCCTAGACGGCTTATCATAGTGAATTGCACCAAAGAACATCTGAGAATGTCTGGCAGGCCGTCTACAGGGCTGCACCTTATCTTGATGGAGTCTCTCACCCTGTGGTGTTGTCAAAAGAAGCTTCTGAAATAGAAGGGGCTAGACTTACAGCAGAGTAAAATGACCACTTGGTATAGTCACCGTCTGTACGGTCGATAGAGACCTCATCAGAAAACCACCAGCTATACCAAAAAGACTCATCTTCATGACGATATTTTTCACAGAAAGCTTTTCTCAATTGAGCACTTTCTTCGCTGAGAAACGGGCGTCGAAGTGCAAGCTTGTGTTGTATCTTCTGATTGATAAGCCAGCGACGAATTGTGCTTCTTTTGCAGTTCAAACAGGTGCAATCAATTATTTCTTGGTATGAGATAAAAGCGTTTCTTCCAATGAGTATTTTGATATGATTTTTATCTATATCTGATAGTCGTGATGGCCTTCCAGAGCGAGGTAAATCTTTTGCTGATTGTTGGTGACGGTACCGTCGAATGACTCCATAGATCGCGTGCCGACTTAGCCCCTCACTGTCTGCGATATCCTGCACGCGAACACCTGATTCGTACATCGTCACAAACCTCGTTCTTTTGCAAGGAGAATGATGTGTTTTTTGCCGTATTCGAGGCATCTTTTCCTATAGAAATAACGCGATGAAGTTGTGGTGTTGATGTTGATGTTTAATTGAAAGCGGGGTCCGGACCTCGGATGTGTCGGAACTTTTGCACGGGACTGTAAAGGCGGTTCAGCTGGCTCTAGTGCTCGGATCGCTATGACAGGTAGCCCAAACGGGACAAGATCCCCCCGAAGGGAGCAATAGTTTCAGCTTAGTGACGTTGTATTGAGGCATGATGATAAGAAAAAGGAAAGGAAAATGATAATCGATGAGTATTTATGCATTGCGGACGCAGTTCTTCTCCCCAGCTCTTTTCCCTCCATTTCATTCGTTTCGAGCCAGCAGTCACAATGGTCTACGCAACCTCTACCAAGCATCCCAAGGGACTTCGTCTTCTCTCCCTCGATGGCGGTGGCGTCCGAGGTATCATGGGTCTCGTCATCCTCAGAGAGCTCATGCTTCGCGTCCAGAAGAAAAAAGGCCTGGACAAAGTTCCCCTGCCAGCTGACTACTTCGAGCTCGCTGGCGGTACTAGCACTGGTGGTATTATGGGAATCATGCTCTTTCGTCTTCGCATGAGTGTTGATGACACCATCGCTGAGTATGACAGAATCGCCAAGACCATTTTTAGTCCTAAGATCTACGGCTGGGATATTAGTTGGATCCCTGGTTCGTCATATCTCAACAACAGCAAGGCGTTGGTTCAGGACAGTCGGTTTGATGCTGGGTCTATGAGCAAGGCAATTGACGAGGTTGTTGAGAAATTTGGACTCGACGAGAACGACAAGAAACTTAAAGGCAACGCTCCTCTTCAGCACGAAGGAGGTGCACGAATGTGAGCATCTCTCCACACTTTTGATACGCCGCTGACATAAGAAAGGTTCTGCTGCACTACTGCTCAGAACAGGGCTGAGTCCATGTTGATGAGAACTTACAAGGACAAGACCATCTACACCAAGTCCAAGGTCAACGATGCACTTCTGAAGCACGGTGATAAGCTCACCATCAGCATCGCAGCGCGTGCAACATCTGCTGCCCCAACCTTCTTCCCCGAAGTGAAGTTTCCTGAGGATAAGCCTGAGTTGGTGTTCTGGGACGGTGGCCTTCTTAACAACAACCCTATCGACCAGCTCTGGTACACACGCTTTGAGCTAGTCGACCCCAAAGACCCTTCACCCCAAGTCTCATGCGTCATCAGCCTCGGCACTGGCTACGTCAGCCCAGGAAAGGCAAAGAAGTCTTGGATCAAGGTTGTTGGAGTAGCATCCAAGGTTATGGACTTTGCTACCAACACCAACGCCAAAGGCAAGGACTTTTCACGCCACATGACGCATCTGAATGAGCGGGATGAGCACAAGGATACCAAGTATATCCGTTTCAACCCATTCCTGAAGGAGGAAATTGGCCTTGATGAGTATTTGAGAATGGATGACCTCAAGGTGATTGCGCAGAAGACCATGGATGACCCCAACCCGACCAACCAGTTTTGGATCAACCAAGCTGTAGATGCTATTTGCGCATAGGATACAGACAAATGGAACAAAAGAATGTTAGTTTATGTATAAGGTAGTATCAAGAAGCTATTAGTTCTTCACCGTGATGTACCAATGGAGCAATGGTATGGTACATGCATTGACTTCACCAACCTGTGTAATTCACTGCTGTAAATATTCTGTATAGCGGGGTAGACTGGTCTGCTTTCAGGTGGCAAGAATCAAACAGCTTTCATGCCGTGATTCAATAGTCAAGATATTGTGCTGCAAGAGGGCATTGTAAATTGATATCAGAGCTACCTTGTATTTTGAGGGTCTCGTTTTGAAGTGAGTAACATCATATGACCTAAATGCGTGGCTTTCACAGAAAGGATTTAAGCTACTGCCAGAAGGCCATTGTTGACTCTCGGCAATAACGGCCACAAACATCAGACTGTTCTTTATCCCCACCAATCATAATAAGTATGTGCGGTATGGATCTTGGTCTGTCGGGCTATTGCCTCTTTCGTCAACAGCCGCCAGGCCCTGTACAGAACAGAACCAGTTCAGTAGAACGTGCCTGGGTATGCCAAAGGCCCATTATGTCTAAGCATGCTCTTCAAATCCAATTGGCTCCACCCAGTTCTTGGCCCGTTCGTGCTTTATGGAGAAATTCCACGCTACAAAGCAATTGGTTCATCGAACTGGGATTTACCCCAGATATCCTTCAGCATGCATCTCAATATCTGTAGCTATTCCGTAGGGGGTATCCTCCCGGCTTTAAGAGCATTGCTTCATCGGTAGCACTTTGTGTGGCGGTTCCGAGGGCCAATGGAAACCCAACTCCATGATCAGGCCATGGCCATCAGAATGAATTACCCAGAAAGTCGGCGTAGAAGCATTTATCTTAACTATAGCATTGTCCCGTTCAATCATCCAGCGCGACTGGCTCTGCTCTGCCCAGGAATAATACAAGTACCAGTGATACACCAACCCTTCAAAGATTGAAGTAGACGCTTAATCCGTTACAGACGACACCTCTCGATTCGTTACACGAGGTAGTGCACTGTCGTGGCCCTACTGCTTCCATCAGGCTCCAAGATGGCTACCTCATGTTTTGCTCCTCTCGATCTCGTGGGCTACTTCGGATACAGCATCTTCGGCCAGTACGCCCAGCAGGTGATCCCAACTCGTCAGACGAGCGCTTGCCAGCAGCTGGTGAACGCATTCGGAGACAAGACATCACTGCTAGATAGCTCAAAGTGTTCTCTTGTACGACAAGGTTAGCACTCACTGTCAATGGTTGTGCTGTAATAAGATATCTAATGTTGATGGACAGAAAACTGGTCCGACGCATGCCAGTTATCCCCCGATTGCATCTTCGAGCCCACAACAGCAGAAGAAGTTTCAGGCGCCCTACGAATTCTCGTATCGACAAGCACCAACTTCGCTGTGCGTAGCGGCGGTCACATGCCCGTCCCCAAAGCCTCCAATATTGACGGCGGTGTCCTTCTTTCACTCAGTCAACTAAAGACACTGGAACTCTCGGAAGATAAATCGATTGCTTCAGTTGGGTCTGGGCATCGGTGGGGTGATGTCTACGACTGGCTTTCTTCCTACAATCTATGTGTTTCCGGTGGTCGATATGATCCAGTCGGAGTTCCCGGATTTCTCCTCGGAGGCGGTATCACATTCTTTGGATCCAAGTATGGATGGGCGGCCAACATGATTGCCAATATGGAGGTTGTTCTGGCCAACGGCACAATTGTCAACGCGAATGCTACCATCAATACAGATCTCTTCTGGGCCCTGAAAGGAGGATCTAGTAACTATGGTATCGTCACCAGATTCGATCTCAAGACCTTTCCCGACACTCCTGTGTATGGGGGTACTAGTCTGTTTCTGCCCAATCATCTAGATGACTTTGTTCATGCTATTGCTGCATACTCGACTGTTGGAGGCGGTTCCGACGATGTGGATGCATCATACAATCCATCCGTTCAAGTGAACCTCGCTACCAACCAGCTCACCTTGCTCTCTTACTCAAGCCATCTTGGTACCGATCCAGATCCGGCAGCTTTCGCCAACTTCACCAAGATACCCCTCATCTGGACGAATAGCAGTGTTCGAGCGGACTTTTTTAGTCTCGTGGAGGATACAACCATGGAGGCTTACCATGACCGTTCACATAGGTATGCATGGACTGTCTCTGTTAGCATCGGAGGAATAGAAACGGATACTAACAAGTTGAAGGCAACTTTTCTGGGCGACCTCCCTGAAGGCTAGTCCCGAATCTGTGTACTTGACCAACGAGACATTCTTCGAGACCATTGATAGCATGCCAGAACTTCGCCATGCAGCTGGGTTGAGCTTGACAACTACTCCTCAGATGCTGACGCGGTCGTGGATCGATGCAGCAAAGGCCTCTGGCGGAGATCCCATGGACATTGATTCAGAAGGTGGAATCATAGGTAAGATAAGAAGTTGGATCTGCCGGACATAACTGACTTTAGAAGTACATCTCATTACCTCTCTTTGGAAAGAGGCTGTCGATGATGACCTGGTTTACGAATTCAGCAAGCGCTGCACCGCAGCTATCGATCGAAAGGCCAAGGCCAAAGGCTTGCATTATCCTTTTATGTACCTCAACAACGCTGGCCTTGGACAGAACCCATTCCAGGTATATGGCCAAGGCAAATCGCTCCCCAAGATGAAGAAGATCCGGGAGGTATATGGTATGATACTCCACTTACATCAGTCTTGACATGGCAATTACTAATGAAGACCAGATCCAAAGGGCATATTCCAGGATCTGATGCCTGGTGGATTCAAGGTTGGCTACTAATAGGCTGAGCATCATAAAGGGCTATATCATGCATGTTAGGAGTTATGTGTTCAATACTGCGTATCAAGTGGGATTAGCTGTCACAGGTTGATCACCTCGCGGCGAGTTAGATATAAGGCGAGCGCCTCTTCCATCACTACGGGTAGCATCTCAGACTCGTCGTTCACCTCTCAGTTTGGGGTCAGGAACAGCAATGAGACCAATACAAGAGTTCCAAATAAATTAGTGTATTGCAACACTGCTCCATCATTGCATACTATGTTGATCACCCCAACTTGGTCTTCGGAGTAGGCAGTCAAACACGCAGGGAATGCATAAATATGTATCATACACGACTGATTTGCAGTTATTATAATCTCAACTTCCTTTTCTGTGACCGTGTTGTCGGTTTATCGGGCTAGGTAGATATGGCACATCACTAATCTGTCGGTGCGGACTGGCAGGTTCCTAGACCGCGGATGAAAGTCACAAGTGTTCACGCGCCTAGCCGATCTGATACCACTTTGACAAAGTTAATCGTAAGGCTTTAATTCCGTGATAACATTCAAGGAAATCAAATGTTACTAGAATACACGAATCTCCATATGCACACTTCAAGATTATGTAATAAGCAAGAATGTCTTCTATCTCGAAGAATGCGATTTTATTTCTAAGGAAGAATTTGCCTACTCATGCTTTTCCTGTCCATCCTGCAATAACTACTCCGACTTGTCTTGCTTAGAACCCTTGAGATGCTTGCTGATCTCTCCGTTTCGAAGAAACTCAGGATACTTAACGCCAGGATCAACACCAAGCTGAAAGCCCGCATGCCTTCTCCAACCACCACCATCAACAACCAAGCTCGTACCGTTGACATGATGTCCCGCGTCACTAAGCATATAAACAGTTGCATCCGCAATATCACGACCCGTGGCCCACCTTCCGCTAGGGATAGGATCCGTCCTCTCTTTGGTGCTCACCTGACTACTTCCCAGACGCTCCATGCCTTCAGAGCCCTCAACACCGCCCGGAGCGATAGAGTTTGCATTGATACCGAATGGGCCGTACTCTAGCGCTACGCTTGCCATGATGGAGTCAACGGCTGCTTTGGCGGCGCTGGCTGGTGCCATGAGAGGATAGCCTGTGTAGTGGAATGTTGCTGAGACTGAGATGAGACGGCCACCGGAAGTTCCGTCGCCGGGGCTCAGGTTTGGGTTTCGTGATGCTGACTCTAGGAGATAGGAGATTGTGGCTTTGACGGTGTTGAAGGTACCGAGGGCGTCGATGTCCATGATTGCCTTGAAGCCGTTGGCACTCAACTTGGAGATAGGCGCGATAAAGTTACCAGCTGCACCGCAACTATAGCGCAGGTTTAACGTCAGTTATTAATTCCAGAATGGCGGTAGGGAAGGGTTTCAGAAGGCGACTTACATCACATAGTCAATCCCGCCCAACTCCTCAGCGCAACGGTCTGCGGCAGCCTTGAGGGCCTCAAACTAGCAAGCAAAATCGTCAGTGGCAGTGCTTTATCTCCAACTCAGTCACAACTCACATTCCGAACATCAACACCTCCAATGCCCAGCACCTTTGCGCCCGGCCGAACCTTTGCAATTTCTTTGGCGGCGTTCTCAGTCTTCTCAATGCTCCGACCAATGATGCATGCATTCGCGCCGAGGTGGACAATTGCCCGTGTCTGAGCACTTCCGATAGACCCAGCTCCGCCTGTGATGAACAAGACCCGGTTCTCTAGGATGTTGATCAGTGACTTGGATAACGAGATATTGTTTTGGGATGTATGCTTACCAAAGATACCATCCGCCCAGACGCTACTCAGGTACTCAGATCGTGGAACTGACATCTTGCCCAATTGAAGGAGAGAAGGCTTGTTTCAAATCTACGAGGCAATGTAATTGATTGTGGGAAATGATGCTGGAGTAAAGTTTGATGTAGCGAACAACAAGGGATTATCACCACGAGATCAGATCTGACCTTCTATGGGTGTTACGGAATAGAAAGGGTTTTGTATGTTGCTTCTCACGACAATCGCTAAAGTGGAACCCGGAACCAGACCTGTCGAGCGAACCATATTGAGTCAAAATCCTGAACTGAAGTCTCACGCTGTCAGCATCATTGCCCATGGGGGCTTGAGCCGAAAACTGCTTACAGGCGGGCCGCTGCTGATCTCACCAAGGTAGCTCCGCTAAAGCCGCCCGGCCCGCAGTGAACGAAACAGGCAAGCCGCCGGAACCACGCAACGAGATTGACCTGGACGCACCCTCTGAGGGAACACAGCCCATAATCAGCCATGGAGAGATTTACGAATCATGCAGTTCCCATTCTGGTCGGGAAGTCAGCTTACTCTCTACTCATTAACAGAAACACTGAAACGAGATGAGTAGCGTATGCCAGATATAGAAAGCTTCCGGTAATGATATGGACAAGTCCAAAGATGCGAATGTCGGGCTGTAGCCATCACGAAGCCACAGGGGCATTTCAGCCTTGATAGAGTATATACCATTCTGTTCGCCATTGCCACTTATTCCACATTCCACGTCACGACATCTACAGCAAAACTGTGTACATCACTTGTAAACGAAAATGCTTCAAACGTTGCCTTGGGAGGCCGTGCAGGCCCTCGAGGTCCGACACCAAATCGCCATCATTCTACTCATAATCCCTTTCCTCACATACATCATCACATCAATTCGATCAGCTATTGCCCTCCACGCCAAAGGCGAGCGCAAACCACCTATTCTTCCCTACTGGCTACCATGGCTAGGAAATCTCATCGAGTCAGGAAATCCAGCCAAACTTGCCTCCAACATCACGTAACTACCCCTTCCTCTGTAACTCAACCCTGTTTCTGACACAACTTACAGAAAGCGATTTGGCTTTTCAGTCCCTGTGAGAGTTCGTGTCGGTCCTGTGAAAGGCTATCTCGTCTCTGATGCCGCGCACTTCGACTTACTCCTCCGCGGCGCACGAAATCTCAACTCAACGCCCGGTATCATCCTCGTACTGCGCAACATGTTTGGCCTGCCCCAATCAGCGGGTGATTTCTACGCCGAGGACAATTCGGGTATCGCCGCGACTCCTATACCCGGATCACAAGTCGCGCCGCACAATCGAATGGCTCATCTCCGACACGGCGCTGCAGCAAAGTTACTCTACGGCCCGCACTTGCGCAACATGACTGATCGGTTCATCCAAAACTTCACCAAACAGATCGATGATTTTAAGGAGGTTGGTCCAGAGTGGGTTGAGTACCCTGATCTAGTCGACTGGCTCCAACGCTTCATGTTTCAAGCTGCCACCACTTCCCTAATGGGCCATCACGTTTTCCGCTTCAATCCTAATTTCAGTGATGACTTTTGGGAGTTTATGTATTACCTCCCTACGTTGATGAAGGGATACCCACGATGGATGAATCCCAAAGCTTGGAAGGCTCGCGAGCGATGTTTGGACACTATTACAAAGTATCATAAGCATGCGTGGGAGAATGTTGATCATGAAAAGGATGATGACTCTGTTGAGTATGAAGAGTTTTTCGGGGCGAGGATTATGAGGGTTAGGTATACATATGCCAAGAAGATGGAGAAGATGTCGGATCAGGCTAGGGCTGCTGAAGATCTGGCCATGGTTTTCGCGTGAGTCACTCATATGCCTCAAACCACATGACGTTTCGCTAACAATGGTTTCAGGGCCAACGCAAATGCTGTGCCAGCCGCAATGTGGTTCATCATCGAATTCCTCCGCGACCCCAATCTCCTCCAACGCGTCCGCTCAGAAGTTGACCTCGCTCGTCTTCCCACTGCAAAAGGAGAATTACCTAAATTCGACGTCAGCAAACTCTGCGACGGTGCTCTTCTTCAATCCGTTTGGGCCGAGACTCTTCGTCTTCGAGTAACGATCGCTTTGATCCGCGCACCAGAGAAACAAGACTTTAAGCTCGGAAATTGGATCTTTCCCAAGAACGATCTTATCTTCTTGTCGAGCCGCACAGCTGCTTTTAACAAGGAAGTTTGGAATGAGGGAAAGGAACAGGAGGAAGAACATCCGGTTGATGAGTTTTGGGCTGATAGGTTCATCGTGTACCCCGATGATCCCAAGAGCGGACCTCTCAAGAACCCAAATGCTCCCAAGGGCAGTGATGGTCTCAAAGGTGATAGGGAAACTCCAGATGAAAAGGTTGACAAGGGAAAGCCGAGGTTCTCTACGGCTGGACTAGCTGGTGCTTTTGTTCCGTTCGGTGGGGGCGTGAGAATGTGTCCTGGACGCTTCTTTGCGAAGAATGAGATGATGGCGGCGTTTGCACTGTTGTCGTCTTGTTATGACATTGAACTGCATGTTCCGGACGGGTGGAGACCGGAGCCGGATATGAAGTATTTTGCGATGGGGACACTGCCACCAAAGGATGTTATTCCGTTTAGGATAAGGCGGAGGGTTTGAGGAACGAAGGGTCGTTGGATCTGTATGACGACGCATTGCATGTATATAGAGCCTCTTGTGGCCTCACTGCTGGTTCGATCGATCATTACAAGTTATGGGAACCGATCATTAACAAACCTGTGATCTACGACTGCGCAAACTGATTCATCAAGACCCTAGGTCTGCGGGCGCGAGACACTCTCGCGTTAAGAAAAATGGAAAGACGCGCTCAAATATGCATGATGGCCAAGAAAAGCTTTCATAACCATGAACATGAGTTGACATGGCCCGCGGTCAGAAATTGAAGAGATGTAGTTGAATTTTCTATGAATGCTTTTCAGTGAGCCTCCGAGGCTATGGAACAAACTATGCTGACTGTCCGCCGATGCTTTTGCCCAAGCTACAACATTGAGCTGAGTCGCACCGAATCCCACTCGTCATCATGCGCCAACCTGCTTCAAGCCGTCTCCTTGAGTCCCAAAGTCTCCAGGGCGAGCTTCCAAGTCCTGTTCTCCTTCTCTGAGTCATAAATATAATCCTTATACCCCATCACCCCCGGGATCAACGGCTGCGGCATAGAAGGTCGACAGTTCTCAAGGTACTTCCCCCCCTTACCCTCCCACTCCTTACCCACCGCAGCCAAAACCGTAGTCGCAGCTCCCTGTTCAGGACTCTTCATCCAATTGAACGTTGACGGATTCTCCTTCATATCCTTGTGCACCGCTTCAGGAAGATGCTTCTGGAGGTTCGATGCGATTCCACCGGGCATGACGCTAGTGGCATGAAGACCCTTTGGGCCATAAACACGGTCGACGTAGTTGGACATGTAGATCTGGGCGAGCTTGCTTTGGCCGTAGGCTTTGAAGGGATCGTAAGCGCCACCTGCCTTCAACTGGAAATCGTCGTAGATGATCTCTGAGGCGTGGTGGCCTGAGGAAGACACGTTGACGAGGCGGGAGTTGAACTCGGGGGTGGATCCTTTGAGGAGGGCGTCTTTGAGGAGCCAGAAGAGGAGGAAGTGCCCGAGATAGTTGGTGGCTAGTTGTTGCTCGAAACCATCCTTTGTTTCGATGCGGGTAGGTGTCGCCATGATGGCGGCGTTGTTGATGAGGACGTTGAGTGTAGACGATTTCTCCAGGAATTCTGCGGCGCATGCGCGAACGGAGGACATGTCGGATGTGTCAAGACGTATCAAGTCGACTTGACCAGGATCCAAGAATGAGGAGCATGCCGCTTTGCCCTTTTCGAGATCCCGGACAGCGAGGAAAACACGGGCGCTGGTGGCAGCAATAGCACGGCCAACCTCAACGCCAATACCCGCAGAGGTACCAGTGATCAAAAACACCTTGTCTGTCAAAGCGCCCTCAAGACCCTCATCGCGCACGATTTGCAAGGCCGTTGGACGAGCATCGCCAGGTCCAGATGTGTTCTTGTGAGCGTCGGCGTACCGGGACATGATGTGTAAGCTTGAGATAAAGTGATGACGGAATCGAGGTTTGGTCAATGAGAGTGAAGCAATTCGATGAACTCGGCTTAACATTGAGAGTTTGTATTGGAGAGAGATTGAAGAGGAGGGGAAGGATTGTGTTCCTTTGTATCCTGCAGGTGACGAAAAGGGAAGTCGCCCGAGAGCCACCTACTTCATCCATATTCGGAAGTCGTACCTGAGTGTCACCCCAATCGGGCTTAATGCGGATTTACGGGCGCTAACTCCGTTTGACATGAGATGCGACACTGAATCACAGGAGAAGTCATAGAAAGAGGCAGTAGCAGTGATGCAGACGGATAAGATAATTATGTGAGAGTGGTTCGAGACCCCAGCAAGTGAGATGACCTATGACCTATGGACTATTGGATGGGTGATGATGGGCCATATCAACCACTTCCTTCATGTAACCTGACCTGAACGCCCTTGAAAGGATTATCAACCAGCGCCAAATTATGCGATGGCTCAGTATCAGAGTCCAAGTTCTCAATCGTGTCAAATCTCTGCAGTATTCGAACGATGGTGTACCCGCCCTGCACCAAAGCAAATTGTTCTGCAATCCATTAGTACTCAATCACAGCCATTCATAGTCAAAGAATTTACTTACGGCCGAGACAAATTCTTGGTCCTCCGTTAAACGGCAAATAATCCCATCCAAACTTGCGACCCTCCCATCGTTCAGGTCTAAACTCTTCTGCATCATCTCCCCAGTACTCTTTAGTTCTGTGAAGTACAAAAACTGAAAAGTCAACGACTTGGCCTTTCGCCACAAATATCGGACTCTTTCCATCTGCACCCCCACCGACAGGAAGGGAGGTGTCGCGGAGGGCTTGGCGCATGTTGACGGGTACGACAGGGAATAGACGTAGAACTTCATTCATGACGTATTGCAGATAGGTGCAGTTCTTTAGACCGGATAAAGTGATGCTATCACCGGGGGTTGATGTGCTGTAAGGACCGAAGCTCTCGGCGACAGCCTTGCGGAGCTTGGCCATGACATCGGGATGTCTGGCGAGTAGCCAGAATGTCCAGCTGAGGAATGAAGCGGTAGTGTCTCGACCAGCGAAAAGAGTGCTGCATAATTGATCGCGAAGCTCCACCGGATCTTGCGTCTCAGATGCCAGTTCCTCCAAGAAGACGTAATTTGTATTCTCTCGAGGCTTTTCAGAATCAACTCGCTGCTTGCGATACTCCAAGGCTCGATGCACAAAGTAGTTCACAAACTCATGCACGATCCTCACGTTCCGTCGACGACCTGGACCGTCATCCATCCAGTACTTATCCATCAGTCTCGACCGATCGGAAAGCCAGGCTTGTGCATGGTCAAAAGCCGCTGCAAAGGTGACTTCATCAATCACCCTGTCGTTTGCCAAAGTGCGAGCTTTTCCAATGTTCTCTGGTAGGTTGATCACCTGCGAATTTACAGACTCTCCAAAGAGAAACTCAGTGGTGGTATCGAGAGTAAGACGAAAGAATAGTGTCTGTAGATCTGTCGACGGTGTCCAGCCGGATTTGTCTGTTGGAAGCGCTTTCATCATATGCTGAATGTGAACTTCTTGTTGTCCAAGGTCAGAAATCTGACTCCTCGCAAACTGAGGTCGGAGAAGAGCACGAGAATGTTCCCAGCTCGGTCCATCAACTGCAAAAATGCCATTTCCGAGCAGCGGTCGAAAAGTGTTGTTCCGCCGCTCACCCAGCCCAAAGTCTTTGAACCGCGTTGAGAGTACAGCCTGAATATTCCTAGGATCATTGATAGAAATACCATGATTTCCAAGGGTGTAATGCTCAAACGTCCCAACATGGCTCATTTTCCCGTACCGCTTCACCATCATCTCTGGAAACTTCTTCTCCTTATCAGCCTTTATGGCATCGACGAAGAAGTCGACGGCGAAGGGGTATTTGTTGGGCATGCGAGGAGCACGCTGACAGCCTTGTTTCTCACGTTTGGCGTCGTACCGGAGATACGACCAGTAGGAGTTGACAATATTGAAGGCTATCCAGGACCCAGCGGCCCAGAGAGCGAGGACGAGGTACGAGTTCATGTTTAGTGCTGGCGGTTGAACACAGGCTTTGGGTGTCGCTGGCTGGTGATTTCATTGAGGCTGGATCAGACTAAAGCGCTTGCTCTTGTACGACCAATTCAATTGCATTTATTCCATACTCGGAGTTATTGTGTCTCTTATGCCAATCGAAATGTGCGCGATGGATGTAGTTCAATTGGGTTATGTCCCATTGGGCCTTCTACGGGGTATTACCGCGTTGGGAGATGCAGTCCGGGGCTGTACCACGCAATAAAGTCATCCCGATTGGCTATCACAGATGCAAGCACAAACCCCGAAAGAGTAGCTGATGCACAGAGAATAATTGTTCATGTAAATGAGCTCATCGAACCCCGCCTCGCTCAAACTCGTGTAGCAGTAGAACCAACACCAATCTCTCATCATGGACTCAACTGCAATGGACATCAGTCAAGACCTCGTGCAGGTCTTGAAGGTCCCTCGCGTAGCTGCTATCGTGACAGTGAGATTCCATCTTCCCATATAAATGCCAAATTGAAATACAAGCTAATTATGATTTAGTTTCTTCTTGGATGGGGAGTATACACGCTCTACCGCTACATCACCCATCCTCTCTACAAAATCCCTGGTCCTCGCCTCGCAGCATGGTCCAACCTCCCCTACAGCCGTATGTTTCTCAGCGGCCGCCAACCCTACGCCATTTTAGCCCTGCACGAAAAGTATGGTCCAGTAGTCCGCGTCGCACCCAACGAAATCTCCTTCTCATCCCCATCATCATGGGAAGACATATACGGTTTCCGCCCCGGTCACAAGACCTTCAAGAAAAGTCCTTTTTACAGCGGAGGTAGTTTTGCTGATCGTGCTCACTCTATTGTTAGCGAACGAGATCCTACGGAGCATGGGACTATGAGGAAGTATCTCAGTCATGCGTTTAGTGATCATAGTTTGACGAAGCAGGAACATCTTGTTGCTGAGAATGTTGATTTGCTTATTTCGCAGCTTGGTGCGCTGGGGGGTGGGGATGAAGGGCTTAATATTGTGAAGTGGTTTAATTTGACGACTTTTGACATTATTGGTAGTCTGGCATTTGGAGAGTCTTTCGGTGGTCTCAAGTCACGTAAGTACCATTTTCCTTTGGACATCATAAGCTATTTTGCAATTACTGAGCTGACTGCATCAGAGGAATTCCATTTCTGGATTGACCTCGTCACCAAGGCACTCAGACAAGGCGCGCTCGCAGATACAATGAGCAGGTTTCCCTGGATGGCGCAGGTCTTTATGTGGCTGATGCCAGGAACGATACGGAAGCTTACTGAGGATACCAAGATCCATGAGGATCACACCATGGCCTTGATAGAAAAGTTTGTACCGATCTTGTTAATAGTACGATTGTATGTTTGCGCTGACCATGGCATAGGAGGATCAACAACCAAGACCCTCGCCCAGACTTCTTGACTCGCATCTTGGAGCAGGAGCAGAACATCTCGACAGTACAGCTAGCAGCTCATGCTTCAGACTTTGTGTATGACACCGAAAATAGCCTTTTCCTTTCCGGTGGTTGCTAACTTCACCTCTAGTACAGCAGGTTCTGAAACCACTGCTACCGCACTAAGCTGTATCACATACTATCTCCTCAAAACACCACATGCTTGCACCAAACTGCAGAACGAAGTTCGCTCAGCATTCACAAAGTACGAAGATATCAATTCTCAAGCTGCGAATAGACTGCAGTACATGCGCGCTGTCTGCCTGGAAGGCATGAGGATGTATGCTCCACTTCCGTTTGCTCTGCCTAGGGTTGTGCCTGAAGGCGGTGATACTGTAGATGGAATTCAACTTCCCGCTGGTGTGAGTTTATCTAGGTGCCATGTTCTCGGTTAATAGACTGATTGATTATCTACAGACAATTGTATCCACCAACCCCGTTGCTGCGGGCTTATATTCACGAAACTGGGAAGACCCGTATTCATTCAAGCCAGAGCGCTGGCTCGGGGCGAATGAGAAAGATATACTCGCTGCTTCACAGCCATTCTCTCTTGGTCCCCGTGGCTGCTTGGGTCGAAAGTAAGTACCCATCGCCGTCATCTGCACCAGTACTACAGAACCCACCTCACCATTGCCACGTTGCCAATACCACGCAGCGCAGACAAGAATTGCTAACTATAACTTACAGTCTCGCGTGGATGGAACTGGGCACAATTCTGGCAAAGCTGCACTGGAGTTATGATCTGGAACTTGTTAGCAAGGAGCTCGACTGGCAGCTCGACTCTCGCATGGCAACTCTGTGGGTTAAACCCGAGCTGATGGTTAAGGTTCATCCACGAAAGGTGTCGGAATAGGAGACAGATATTAGCTTGAGAGGTCAAACCTCTTTTTGTAGGCGCTGGGTATTTAGAGTGCTTTTAAATGGGTGCTCTTCTTGGGATGTCAAGGCAATGTGTTATGTATTTTCTTCATGAAAGGTCAATCGGAAACTCCATCAACCCCTTACGTGATTCCAAGTTACGGCGTCAGGCTGGATTGTTGAGTAATCATCTTCTGTGCTTCTCATCTTCAACCCATGGTTTATATGGAGTGATGACAAGCCAGCTAGTAGGTACTCTACTCATAAAGCCGAAGACAATACGCCATGGAAGGCGAGAGTCGACACAAGTTATGTTAATGGCTCGTAAAATATGTACCCTACGAGATATAGAAACAAGGCAACTGCGTATGGATATACGGATAGAAAAAAGAACAAATTTGTATTATGGTATATTCGTGAGAAAGGAAAGAAAGAAAGGTTCCAATTTTGTGTAAACACTCCCATGACATCCATACAACTACCGGTATCACCTACTCGGTATTATCCAAACTCTGCAAAGCGACAAAGTCATGATATCTCCCCCTCAGCGCCAGCAACTCACTATGCGTCCCCTGCTCAGCCACCCGCCCCTGATCAAGGAAATAAATCATATCAGCATTCTGAATAGAACTCAACCGATGAGCAACAGCAACTGTCGTGCGTCCCGCAGCAGCAGCATCAAGCGCCGCTTGCACAACCTGCTCAGACTCAGAGTCAAGAGCAGACGTAGCCTCGTCAAGCAGAAGAATCTTGGGGTTGCGTAGAAGAGCTCTTGCGATTGCGATGCGCTGCTTTTGACCTCCTGAAAGCATGGCGCCTCTGGGGCCGACGTTGGTTTCGAGACCGTCGGGGAGGGATGTGACAAAGTCGCGGATGTTAGCTTCTTGTAGGGCGTGCCATAAGCTTTCCTCCGGGAGGGACTCTTCAGGTGTGCCGAGCATGAGATTATCTCTGATGCTGCCGTCGTATAAGGTTGGTTCTTGGGATACGAGAGATAAGAAGCTGCGGTAGTTGTTGATGTTGTATGTTGAGATGTCACGGCCGTCTAGTCGTACTTCACCTGCAGCTGGGTCGTAGAATCTCTCGAGAAGTTGGATGACCGTACTCTTGCCGCAGCCGCTGCTACCGACGATCGCGACGTACTGTCCAGGGTTGATGGTCATGTTGAGACCCTGAAGCACAGGACGCTCCGGTCGCGTTGGGTATGTGAAATGAATGTTCTTAAGCTCAACTCTTCCCTCAACTTGAGAGCGCTCCAAGTGGAGTCCATCCTTGGACCATGTATCGATAGTAGGTCTCTTCTCAAGAAGCAGCTTCAGCTCATTGGCGGCATTGGTAGCCTTGGCCATGTTTGGAGTAAGAGAGAATAAGGTACCCGCAGCTTCCGACCCAAAGATGATAGCAGCGAAGCAGGCAAAGAACTGGAACAGGTCGTATTCCCTTGAAGCGACCTTTCGTCCGCCATACCAAAAAGCGAGCGCCATGGCGAGAAAAGTAACAGATTGTGAGGCTGCGTAGAGGATGGCGGACTTGGCGACAGAAAGCTGTGAAGACTTTAACTGTTTCTCCATCATACCGCGGTAGTGATCAACAGCTTCGGTCTCCCTGGTGAGAGAGGCAACGGTGCGGATTGATGCCGTCAGCTCGGAAGCATATGCAGCCGATTCGGCATACGTTTTTGAGCTTCTGGCTTCGAGTTTCTGTAGGACATTGTAACGCAAGAAACCGCATGTCAAAACCACTGGAATGGTACTAGCGCAGACGAGGGCAAGTTCCCATCCAATGCCAAGAGACAATGCCAGTGCAGCAACGATAGTCGTCGCCAGGGTAAGCAGAGTTCCCAGGGTGCTACCGGAAAGACCAGCAAGATGCTTCGTCTCAGTTGACAAGAAGGCGGTAAGTGTACTGCTAGAGTTCTCATCCCGGTCAAAGAAGCCAATGTCCTGTCTCAGCATAGCTCGAAGCGAAGCGACACGGACTTTATGGATCAATCTCTCAGAGCAGTATGAGAACGCCCATCCTTGAGAAATAAAAGCGAAGAGGAATACAAATGCCAGCATCAGATACATGAGAGCCCAGAAACTCGCCTGGCTCTTGAGATCGTCATAGCGGCTGGGAGGGTATGCTAAGGCATTGACCGACTTGGCTAAGAAGACAGCTTGTGTGGGGTTACCACCGCCGCAAATGATGGCGAGGACAAGACCCAGTAGGATGACGCCGGCTTCGGCTTTGTTGAAGGATGCCATGAGCTTGACAAGAGCGCTGTAGCTGTACTTCGTCTGCTGCTCTTCTTGGAGGAAGCCGGAGGGGACAGAGAGTGCCAATTCAGCCTGCGTGTCTGCATCATTCTCGAGCTTTGAAGAAGCAGTCAACGCGTCGGGATAGTCGGTATCTGATACACGCACACCCTCAACTCGCTCCTCGACTTCTTGTCTGATATTCTGCGCCTCGACGAGTCTAGAATAATAGCCCTTGGAGGCGACCAATTGATCGTGGGTACCTTGTTCAACAACCCGACCACGGTCCATGACAACAATGTTGTCGGCGTCTTTAATGGTAGAGAGTCGGTGCGCAATGACAATTGTAGTGCGTCCTTTGGAGGTCTTGTCAAGAGCAGCTTGAACCTGGCCCTCAGATCTCGTATCAAGAGCTGAGGTAGCCTCATCGAGCAACAAGATCCTAGGATCACCAACAATAGCACGCGCAATAGCAATCCTCTGCTTCTGACCGACACTGAGGAGAGAGCCCTGCTGTCCAAGATGTGTGTCGTAGCCCTTGGGCAGTTTCTGAATGAACTCGTGTGCATTGGCCATCTGTGCAGCTTTGTAAATGAGTTCGTTCTTGTTCTGGGCATTCTCGTACTTGGTGCCGAGAAGACCGTGGGAGATGTTCTCTCTGACTGTTGTTGAGAAGAGGACTGGTTCTTGGATGACTAGCGACATTTGCTGTCTTAGCCATCTAAGCGATAGATCCTTAATATCATGCCCATCGAGGAGGATCTGGCCTGAAATTGGCTCATAGAACCTCTCCAACAGACCAATGATGGACGACTTGCCACTACCGGATGAGCCGACTACAGCGGTGACCTTGCCAGCGGGGATGTTGATGGACACATCATCCATGGCGAGCCTCTCACGGCGCGAAGGATAAACATGCGTAACGTTACGCAGCTCGATGCCTCCATTCAGTGATGGGATAGTCTCACCAGTATCGGATGATGGATCAAGAGGGGAGTTTCTGTCGATGACCTGGAATATCTTGCTCGCGGCCGAAACACCGGTGACAAGTGAATTAGCTGGCGTGGCAAGGGTTCCGAGAGTGTTGGCTCCGAGTGTAAGCGCCATCATGATGATGATGACGCTGGGGAGGTTCATTTCTCCACTGACGATATATCGGGAACCCAACCTGACAAACAGATTAGTATGTAGAATATCAACCGCGGGCAATTACTCACCATACACTCAATCCGTAAGTAAGATACTGAACCCAAAGCATACCTCCGATGAGGCAGCCAAGCGCAACCTTGACTCTGACACCCCATTTCTCGGCTTCACCAAGATGCTTCTGATATCTCGCCGCAAGTTTCTCCTGTGTCCCAAACGCCGCAGCATTACGAATCGAAGCAAGAGCCTCTTCCGCAACAGAGCCACCGATAGCAGTAGCCTGCAAGCCTTTGATGGTAGCAGTGACGAAGAACTTGGAGCCCATCATCATAACGATAACGGTAGCGAAGACCCCGCTCGTGAGAATGAGCGTCAGTTTCCAGTAACGCACGAATCCCACGACTAATGCCGTGATAAACGTGGCAAGGGAGGTCAAAACAAAGGCAACTTTCTCCGATATACCATCTTGCACGAGCGTCATGTCATGCGTGATACGTGTTGTAATCTCGCCGACGCCAAATTGGTCATAGAAGCCGATGTTCTGTCGAAGCAGCGCCTTGAGATACTCCTCGCGGATCTTGCCAGTGATATGCTCACCCGTGTATACAAAACCCCATGTACAAACATAAATGGTGACGAATTCCGCAATGGCAAGGTATACGAAAAGAAGGGAGTAGTAACTAAGATCAGACCTGAACTCGCTCTGTGAAATATCGTCGTAGAAGATGCGCTGGAAAGAGCCAGAGAAGTTACCCAGGATGAGAGTCATGAGCGGTAGGGCTGCACCGCCTGCGATGGCGCATAGTGAGCTCACGGCGATGATTATAAGGTCGTTTCGTGTCGCATAGCGAAAGAGGGTGGTGAACGTCACTTCGACGGTTGGAAGGTCGAGTTGTCGTTCGATGATCTCTTTCTCTTCTTCGTTGAGTTGGGCGAGGAGATCTACCTCTTTGTCGCTTGGTGTACCTCCACTGCTGTCGGTCATCGTGAAGATGTTCGAGTCGCCCCCCTTTTCATTCGTGACCTTGTCATGGTTAGCATCACACACACATATCTTCCACTATCTCGAGGTGTAATGCATACCTTGTTGTCACTCCCCTGAGTGATACTTCCAGCCATGATTCCTCACTTGATTGGTAAAGACTGGTGCGGATTCAAAATAGTTGACAAAAGACAAGTCCACGATGGTTGGTATGTTATCGAGAGAGAATCATTCAATCTGAGAATAAAAGGGGGGGATGAATCTCGAAAGTGTATTAGAGCCATGTCGTTTAATTTACCGGGCTGTTGCCTTTCTTGCTACGGGTTCTGAGACATGAAGCTCTTTGTTGTTGGTGATGTCGGCTTATTTCCTAATGCGGTAATTGCCCGAATCTTGATGTTGCACCAAATTATACGCTGTGATCAGACAGGCTGAGACACTCCAAATTGATTATTGGACAACGGATTAGAGTAATATCAATTCCAATTCGAGTATAAGCGGCATTCTGAAGTGGAATTGGATGTCCTAGAAGCTGACAGCTGAGATAGTGGTGCGGCAAGAGAGACATATAAAACAATACAGGCCATCTTCTCCACCAACGTCATTGTCAACGGTTCAGAAAACAAGCTGTCACCATGTCACTTGCATCAACTCCAATGAACTTGGAAGCCTGGCTTCAACTCAACGGCAAGTCCGCCACAGGGCTATTGGCGCTATATGGTAGCGGTATCTTGGGACTACTGGTACGTCTAGAGCATCCGTCAAGAGAGATCATCCAAACTAACAAACAAAAGCTCACCGTATACTGGACCGGTCTCGTCATCTACAACATCTACTTCCATCCACTGGCTTCCTACCCCGGCCCCCTCCTAGCAAGATCTACCCTGGTACGTGCCTGGCTCCTCGTGATGTACTTAGAGGCCATCGTTATTCATTCCGGAAAGATATGGAGAATCATTCAATCAACCCGCGGCCGCATCCATCTCGCCATCGATGAAGGTCACAAAAAATACGGTGGCTCATAACCCCAATCCCCCAGCTACTTCCCTGGTTAATATCTGAAGGGCCGGTGTTTCGCGTCTCGCCAAATGAACTTTCTTTCGCGTCTTTGAAGTCGTGGAAGGATATTTACGGTCATGCTGTTGGGAAGAAACAGACGCTTGTTAAGAGTGAGTTTTACGACATGTACGGTGCAGGATTCCGAAGGTTGTGTATTGGGAGTGAGCGGGACCCTCAGAAGCATAGAAAGATGAAGCAGTCTCTTACTGCTGCTTTTTCTACAAAGGCGCTTCGTGAACAGGAGGAGATTGTGGCAAATGTTGTTGATGCTTTTGTTGATAAGATTGGCAAGCTTGGTGGGCCCAAGTCGGATGGGTTGGATATGGCTAAATGGTATGAGATGCTTGCGTTTGACGTTCTTGGAGAAATGGCATTTGGAGAGTCTTTCGGGTGTATTGAAGACGGTAAGCAACGCGATATTTCATATGGAGGTTGTTCTAACACTAAAGCAGGCAAGCCTCACTTCTGGCAAGAGCTCATTCTTGACCATCTCTTCTTCATCACTGTGGCGGACAATCTGCGAAGGTTTCCGTTCGTGCCGACCATTTCCAGGATGTTGTTTCCATTCATCTCGGCAGTATCCAAAACTCACACAAATTATACAAGAGCCAAAGTGGACAGGTGAGTACAACACTACCATCTTTTGAACAGAGCGACAGGACTAACTTTCTGAAGGCGACTGGCCAGCAAGTCGGGCCGCAAAGACTTGATGTCGAATCTCCTTAGCAAAGTAGAAAGCGGAGAGATCGAAAAGGAGGAAATGACGGCCCATGCATCTACATTGGTGTAAGTGTCCCCAGTTGCAAACCAAATAATACAGACTAACGCAACGGAGCATCGCGGGAGGCGAAACAGTAGCGACTTTCCTCGCTGCTACTACATACTATCTACTCAAATACCAAAATAATGGAGTATGGGATAAGCTTTGCAAGGAAGTCAGAGATCGCTTCAAGACGTATGAAGAGATCAATGCAGCCTCTGCGCAGCAGCTTCCATATCTCCAGGCTGTCATCAGCGAGGGCCTGCGTATCTATCCACCCGGTTCGCAAGGATTTCCTCGAATCTCTCCAGGAACAGATATTGATGGCCATTGGGTTCCTCAGGGAGTGAGCCAATTCGCGCTAGAGAATTAACACTAGGTAGCTAACAGGGTACACAGACCGAGGTCTACACGAGTGCTTACACGGTTACTCACGATGAGAAATATTTCCCGGATCCTTACCAATTTGATCCAAACAGATGGCTTGATCCGGATAGCAAGAGTGTCAAAGAGGCTAGTCAGCCATTTTCGCTGGGGGCCAGAGGTTGTCTTGGACAAAAGTACGTGCGCCTTTCTTGATCATATTTGACGAATAGTCTGCTGACTACCACATTTCTAGCTTTGCAATGATGGAGGTGAACCAGATCCTTGCCAAAATGATATTCAATTATGATTGGGAATTGGTCAATGCAGATGTTGACTGGCTAGGTGAAAGCCGCTGTCATGTCATGTGGTGGAAGCCGCATCTGTATGTTCGATTTCGGGAGAGGTCCGATCTGGCACAGGCGGTAGCAAAATAGGCAAGTAGGGAGAACCACGGTAACACTGAGTGTATTAATCTGGACAATTACTCTCGCTGTTATGTAGGAAGGGTCATATGTCAAATATCTGGACGGCTACCTTGTCAGGCTGCTGAAGGCAATGCTGGACGCAGGTGATTACGAACTCTGTTATCTGAATGACTGAAAGGTTAAAGATTAAAGAAATTTGAGAACACCATAAATGACTCCCTCTCCACGCCATCCTTGATAAATGATGTATAGTCTGTCTACATTGTCTTAACTTTTCCGGTCTTGGATTCTTTGTGTCCAACCTTGCTATGGCTCATCGACAACCTTGAATAACGCCTCTCTAATCCTCCCCAAAAGTGCAATGACCTGCTGCTTCACACTCCGCAGCATTATCAGCTGGGCATGTCTCCCCTCAATAGCCGGGCTTCTCTCAATATCATCCACCAGCGCCTTAATCTTCCGTAGCTGCACCGCCGTGAGAAGTTGCAACATGCTGCCCCATTCTTCAATCTGATCTACCTCGTATTCACCCACAAGCAATTGCTGCTCTACACTGGCACCCTCTCTCGTGTACCAGAGAATCTTCTTGTTGAGCATGATAAGCTTATCGCAGATCATGGTAAGAAACATCATGGCGTCTGGGTCGATGTAGCAGCTCTTGCAGCGCACTACCTGGGCGCACTGAATGCATGATTGCTTTTGGAAAGAGAGCGCAACGTCGGCTTTGCAGGGCCTCATGTCGTGCATGCGAGCTTCAAGCTCTTCGAGTAGTGATTTCATGACCTTGAGACAGCGCCCGGCACAAGAGCTGTTGCTGACGTTGATGGGATGCCCCAGCATACGTGTCGCTGTCATGGCTGTCGATGAACGAGAATCCAAGAAACTGAACGTGTCTGGCTGTGTGCCGCGAGGTGAAGAGATTCCAGGTAAAGCATATGGTGACCAGTGAAAGTCTGGCATGGAATTGGACTCTGCTACTAATTTTGCAAAAAGAAGCTCAGCGACTCGCCATTTATCGTGCTGGATCGGTCACGAGACGAAAAGAGAGAGAAAGGAACTTACGGTCAAAAGTGGAGGGGTCCAGATCGAAGAATACGAATTCTTCCCCCGAAGTGTTGCTGCTCATGGCCGTATCATCTGGGAGCGTTGCATCCATCGGCCGCGAAACGTCGTTCGCCAAGGGATCAACAGAAGAATTGCTACCGTTTTCATCACCGCTATTCCCCCCATGCACCGATGCAGCCGCCGGCAGCGACGCGCTCGGGGAGCTTCTGGTGGTGGTGGCGACAACGATGCTCTGCATGGCATCCGAATCGGGCTGCTGCTGCTGCTGTTGCTCAGGTGACGGCGAGTGTGCGCTGACAGCAGAATCGTTCTGTGAAGCCGTCCGCTTTCGGTCCTTGCGCCGCACGTTGCTTCCAAAGAGCTGGGTATAAGTACACTCTGTAGAACTCGCCTTGCAGCGCTCGCAGCCCGTCTTGCGTCCCGTGCAGCGGAGCTTCTTCTGGCGGCACTGATCGCACGCCGTGTGCTGCGGGACGTTGCTGCCCAGGGCACTGAATGCGGCACCGTCTGCTCGTTCAACGAAGGTGGGCCCTGCGTTTGCTGTATGGTTGAACTGGAGAGTGCCAAACATGTTGAATATATGGCCCTTTTTGATATCAGATGGGCCTCCCCGCGTATCACTATGCTGCGCTGCTTCAAATGGTGAGGGTTGACGACACAAATCAAGCTGCTGCTGCCACCATCAGCCAATTATTTGCCTGTATATAAGCTGTATTAAGCTCGGCAGAATCCGAGGGGTTGTGTGCCAATAGCTTTTTACTTTAGCCGCAGATGGAGATTCGCTGCGCTTAGAGATTTGCTGGGGGTGATATTCTCCTTGAGGGTTGTCTAATCCCTCTTTTTAAAGTCAGAAGGGTCTCAAATGCCGCTTCACGGCACGCGCAGGCGAGTTGGGTGGGTTTGTTGGCTCTGAAACATTTTTGGGGGCTGTGGTCAGCCTGCATTCTCACCTCATCCTTCAAGCCTCCCCCCTCCCCCTCCCCCTCCCGCTCGGCGGCAAAAGTGCCTGGTGCGAAAAGACATGGTTCTCCCCACGGGGTGCGCCCCACTAGCTAATCACAAAATTGTTTTTTTTTACTGCACTTTACAGCCACTGTGCTACCTATTTTGCTGAGAGGATACGCCTATACGCGGTATCTTGGCGGCTTCCGAAAATCAACAATAAGCCGAACGTGCATTATCGTAAGCCATTCTGTGTTAGGACTAGCCTACCATATAGAGTTAAGTCAGCCCTGTGGATCTTCTACCACAAAGCCTATTTGCCAAGGCCCGGTTTTGAGTGTTGAGGTTAAATCGATGTTTAACCGACAAACAATTACAACTTTACAAGCATCGAGAAGTAATCCACATTGTAGATTAAAACCCATTAATTGTGACACTAAGATAATAAACTCTTCGTTAGATATACACACTGTTCTTACCATTCCAAAATCATTAGGAGGATGGTTTAACTGACAGCAAGGTCAGTAGGCGCGATACTGTACAACCCTACCAATAATATGGCGTATGCTCGCCAATGCCTGTCCCTCTTATCGCCCGGGCAAGCCGGGGATGGTGTCGCGCAGATCCGTCCCTGTCACCCCCTGCTCCACAACAAGGATCTAACGTGCATTTAACCATCGCCAACGGCACTGTTTTGTACGGGATAATCATCCCACGTCTTCGTATCGGTGCAGCCAGGAATCCTTCAAAAAGCTTGGTTATCAGTAATAAACTCTCTTGGCGGTCAACTTCCGTGGAACAGTTGCTTATGTAACTGCATAAGGGGGGCACAGAGTACCTACCCTACAGTCGGTTATGCATTGGCAGGGGGCTTCATCAAGGAAAAAAGGAACTCGCTGATTCTTACACCAATCCGGCTGGGAGTTACGATTCAAATGCCTCAACGCGAGATGGGGGTCATTGCTCACACTTTTGGCCACAGGATGCAATTTTCGTATCTCGCATGATCCTTCGAGACGCGAGGGTCCAGATACGAAGCAGTTCAACGTTGCATTGAGATGTTGCTACGACCAACGCGCGCTTACTTGACTGAGACCATGTTCCGTCGCTACCTGGTAAATTACTTCGTGACTTCTGAGCAGTGACATGGCGCTTATCGTTATCCTTCTCTAAATCGCGCAAATAATGGCAATCGAGCATGTTCGTGTTCACGAATAACATCTGCCAAGTTCTCACGGAATCTGACTCAGATGAAGAAGCGGACGCGTATTCCGCCTTCGTGACGGAATCTTAGGTGGGTGATTTTTGAATTCGTAAGCCTGATTGATGCACTCGCGGGAAACATATTTTAGAGGAAAGGAAACGACAAACATGAGGCATTTGTGATTTCAAAGATGACAGCAAGGTGCTCACCCACTGCCTCCTGACGACGTCCGTTCTGGAACGGTAGCACCGCCGCGCAAGAACCCCCATTGGCCCGACGATCTTGTAAGCTCATGTGTAACCCAAACGATGCAAGATTGCGAAGAAAACAATGTATTGGTCGTGTAGAGTTCAAAATGGAGTGTAAGAAGATACGTTAAAGTAAGCCTACAGAGGCTCCTTACGTATCCGTACTAGCAGAAGGATTCCGGCTCCATCGACAACGCAACGGGCCGTTCCTTGTTTTGAAGGGGAGAGAACTATTTCGGAAAATATTCTTCCTCCGGCGAGCAAGTCGGGTCACTCCCCGACCGAGCTCTGCCTTATGGAGTAAGCGCTAGGTTCGTGGCCCAGGGATCTTACGGGCATTTCCGAATCTGATGCTGTGATATTAGTGGTCCGAATTGGGAAAGTTGATCCGGGAGAACGTAATCATATCCCTGGATGGGGAAAATGTGTTGTTACAGCAGAGGTCGCTCTGCTTTCCATATCAGGTAATTGCCCGTTCAAGTACAATTCTCGAGATACAGTCAAAGAATGAGCTCTATAAAAGACAAAGTTTAGTGTTTAATCATGAGTCACAACCAATCAGTCTTCACAATCATCTACTTCCATCAAAACTCTTATCTTCTCAAATCAAAGCAAAAATCATGACACCTACACGAGTTGGTCTAGTAGGTCTCGCACCCATCGACGTTCTAGAACCTGTCGGTGGCAACTGGGGTGTCCTATCCCACCTGAAACCCATCCTTGAATCGCCACGGTACGATATCGTGGCTGTGTGCAACTCATCTGTTGAGTCTGCCCGCAAATCAATCGAGTTCCACAAACTCCCCGACACTGTCAAGGCATACGGTAACCCCAAAGACCTAGCCAATGACTCCAATGTCGATCTCGTGGTCGTCTCTGTCAATGTTGCCAAGCACTTCATGCTTGCCCAGCCTGCGTTGCAGAATGGGAAAAAGGTGGTTGTGGAGTGGCCATTGGGTGCTACATTGAAGGAGAGTGAAGAGCTAGCGGCTTTAGCTGCTAGTAAAGGCGTCCAGACTGCTGTTGGCCTCCAGGGCCGAGCGGACCCTCTTATCGTCAAGGTCAAAGAGATTCTTGATAAGGGAACCATTGGCAGAGTTACTAGCTCCGTCGTAGTGGGCTGCACTAGCGCTCTTCCGGCGGATATCTGGCTTGATAGTGGACTGTACTATCTTAACATGGACAGCGGCGGCAATGAGTTTTATATCAACTTTGGTCATTGTAAGTACAAATGACATTGAGAGCTTTGAAAGTTGCTAATCTTAGTTTAGTCCTTGATACCTTCACCCATACTCTGGGTGATTTTGAGACTATCCAGTCAACCCTCAAGACACAGCACCCAGTTGTTCCAATCTTCAGCATGGAGAAGCAAACAATCGTTGATCCCGCCTACAACAAGACGGCCCCTGATCACATGCTCGTCCAAGGCGTCCTCACCAGTGGTGCCGTAGCTGCCATCAGCTTCCGCAAGGCCAAGAAGCCAGTTGACGATCTTTCCATCCGCTGGCTCATCACCGGCACGGAGGGTGAGATCGAAGTCACCGTGCCCGAGGGCCATTTCCAGATGGGACCTGATGGTAGCACCCTGCGCCTGCGAGTTGGTAAGGAGGGTGAGGTTCAGGATGTTTCCTTCAAGGAAGCTGCTGTGCCTGAACATATTCAGAAGGCGCCGGTTGTTGGAAGAAATACTGCCAGAGTTTATGAGGCTTTTGGGCAAGATCAGGAAAAGTATGCTGATTTTGAGTCTGCGTTGAAGACTCACAAGCTGCTGGACCAGATTGCCAGGGATGCAAAGTACATCTAGGTTGATGTTTGAGATGCTGGATTCTGTATACAGATGATCATATTCTATAGCTAGAATAAAGTGTTGTGTTTGATCCCAATTCTTGCAAAATGACACTGAGCTGCGCTAATCAGTCTCACCTTTGGCATCTGAAACGGGAAATGAGACCTTGACTCCAAGAGCGAACACAATCACGAAGATAAGTCTTTACATCGGTGAGCAAGTGCATGATCCTGCATGAACAGGAAGTGAATTCTGTCACGGTCGCTGCTTTGGTCGCTTATCAACCACGTATCGTTATCACTCAGCTTTGCATGATGCAACATGAACCAAAGGGCACCAACACCCATATTTAATTTTACAAAAGTCTAACCTAAGCCAGTTGGCGAAGATAAGAGTATCTTGACAACTCGGGTACGTGGTTTGTCTGCAAAACAAGCGATAGACTTGCCGAGTCCAAGACAGTGATATAGGAACACTCGCAGTTATACTAAGCTTCAGATAAGAACGATTGTATTTCGTGATAGACGCTAAAAGGAGCTGACTCAAATCTAACAAATTTCCAACAATTGTATATGAAAGTAACAGAACACAAACAAACTGTCAATTGCACTCCCAACCAATCTACTCAGAATAGCGACGTGTAGTCTTGCTCCAGAGCTCATTGCCACTCATCTGATACTCCAAACCCTTCATGTATCTCTTTACGGCATCAGAGCAACCCTCAGCTTCAACCTTGGCGACAATCTCGTCGTGAATGTGCTCCCACTCGCGAATCATATGCCACAGGATACGAACAGTGGCGTCAATGTCAAGCGAAGTGCTGACGGAAAATACCTTGACGGCACTGCACAGGAAAGAGCCTTCTTTGTGGCCCTTTTCTGACTGTCGAAGTTCCTTCTTCCAGGAGTAGATGTCGTTGACCACGGAGATCTGCTTGGAGCAGTTTTGCTCCAGGGGTTTCATCAAAGTAAGCTCCTCTGGGGTGAGACGCAGATCCATGGCGAATCTCATCAGAGATGAAAGAAGCCTTTGGTTTGACTATTAGCTTCTTACTTTTAGTTATCCAGTAATGACAGAACTCACGCTTTGCCAACATCTTTCTCTCGGTACTCAAGGTAATGACCTAGCTCAGTGATGCTGAGGCGAACCTTGTCTGTCTGAGCTCGCATGAAAGTGAAGGTGGGCTCCAGCACTTGATCAGCGAGCTCTTTATCGCAAGCGCGCATGCTCTCCCAGAGGTCATAAGTGATGAACTCAGCGGGGACATTGCGGTCTGGCTGTACATCACCTCGCGCGATGGGGATCAACTTTTCGTTGTATGCCGCACCATCTTCGAAGGACATGTCTTCAAGAAGGTCTATGGCACTGTCAGGTACTGTAATATAAAACTTGGTGGGGGCTTTGTTACGTACCATCAATGAGGAAGAGGACCGTCAAGAGGCGACAGGCAAAGTGGATCCTGTCATCTTTCGCCAGAGGGAAATAGAGACAAGTGACGCGGGAGAACCCAGCGTTGAGGAATACCCTCTCTGCCTTGGGGTTAGGGAAGTTCCAGTTCTGTAGGAAGTACCCGTCAACTTCGTTGGAGACCTCTTTCACGCGAGGGTGACAATAGGGTGTCCAATTGGTCTCAGGGATCTTCCAAGAACTTTTGACTGGAGCTCCATTTATCGGAGTGCCGGGCATAGAGGAGACAGCGGGGGCATTCTGAAGGAGTGTTGTCGTCATGATTGCGGTGAGTGGGAAACAATGTCTCAGAATGAGTACAGGAAGTATGTCAAGATGTTTTAAAATGCTACGCTGTGGAATGGAGAGGATTGAACTGGCAGTGAGCCATGGATGAACCTATAATTAATACTTGTCCAACTGGAGTTTTCCTCGTCCTTCAGCCACCAGCCCAACAACTGTCAGCCGCTCCACTACCCATTTCGGAAAACTGCCGTCTGACGCGCTTCCTTCACGAAAGTGGCGAGGTATTTGTCCAAGATGGTATTTCCATCCTTTGTGAACTCGGCGCATTGGCAAGACGAGATCCTTTCCGAAAGCGTCTTTTACTGACCTGGTTCGTAGCTCGAAGAAGGGGACCCGTGTCTGCATGGCGTCTATGCAGCCTAGCGCGATGCTCCCCTTGCTGTCAGATAACGTTTGGGGCCTGCTTGTATGGGACGACGAGACTCGGTCAAAAGTTCGCATTGTCGTTTTGATTAGTAACTATAAAGCCTATTTGCTCGTGCAAGGTCCACAGGACTTGAGCGTATCCAAGCTGTGACATACTCAGCAATCGTGAACACAACATCCATCATGTTCGGGGTCAACATTTTAACTGTTTCTCTTTTTATTCTCACTGCACGTGTAGTGTACGGAGTCTTTACGTCATGGTATCGCTTGAGATCCTTCCCAGGTCCCTTCGTTGCGGCGGTGTCCAAGTTATGGATCGTTCGAGGCGTACTCAACAAATCTCTACATCTTGACCTCAAGCAGGTTTGTGAGGAGTATGGTATGTGAAAAGATAGTATATGTCTTTTAATGGCGATAATGTCGTGCTAAGTAATGCAGGTTCCTTTGTGCGCGTGAGTCCGAACGACATCGTCACGGACAGCCTCGATCACGCTCTGGCAATGAGCTCAGTACGCAGTCCCTACAGAAGATCGGAAATCTACAGTAATGTCAAATTTGACTTCGAAATGGACCACGTCTTCTCTGAGCGAGATGAGAATAGACATCAAAGCTTGAGAAGGAAACTCAGTGCAGGGGTCAGTTGCTCACATGTGCTTTGTTTGACCACTGCTGATAAACGCTTAGTACTCGGGGAAGGAAAACACCCATCTAGAAGCTGGAATTGATGGTCAGATAAGAATTCTGGTCGATCTGATCGACTCGAAGTACCTATCTACTCAATCTTCCAAGCGCACGCTTGAGTTTTCACGCCTGGCTCAGTTCTTCACTCTAGATGTCATCACAGAAGTTGCCTTCGGTCAAGCATTTGGGTTCTTGAGCCGCGATGAGGATATCAACGGATACTGCCACGTAGCGGAGCAAGCACTGCCAGTATTTGAGTGGCTTGGTGTGTTCGGGACGTTGAACAAGATGATCCGGCTTCCTGGTATTCGGAACTTGACTATGCCACGCCCAACTGACAAGACCGGTGTTGGCATGATGATGGGGTAAGTTGGCTCTGCTGTAGACGTATGAGAGAACTTTGAGCCTTTGCTAACGACTCGTACAGGTACGCGAAGAAGATTGTTAGCGAGAGATTCGATTCAACTAAGGTCCCCAGAGACGATATGCTGGGAAGCTTTGAAAGACATGGTTTGAGCAGCCGCGAAGCCGAGACTGAGGCTACTCTTCAGATGTAGGTTGACATCAGAGGCAACATGACCACTTGCTGATACACATATAGCATGGCTGGCTCGGACACGACTGTCACAGCCCTCCGCTCCACCCTCCTCTTCATCATGACAAACCCAGTCATTTATGCCAAAGTCCAGAAAGAACTCGAAGCTGCTTATCAAGATCAAGATATTCTTACTGCACAGGGAATTATCTGCGACGCTGCAACACAGAAGCTAACATACCTCCTTGCCTGCATCCGAGAGTCTATTCGCATGCTACCACCAGCATTCGCAATGCTGCAGAAGCAGACTCCGCCAGAAGGTGATTTACTTCCTGATGGAAGGTTTATCCCCGGCGGAACTCGTGTTGGCACGTGTGTCTATGGCATCGTTCGCAGCAAGGCTATCTTCGGTGAAGATGCTGATGTTTATCGACCCGAGCGGTGGATCGAAGCGGATAATGCAGCTAATCTTGACCCAGAGAACAACACCAGCTCGGCAAAGGTGACTTATAGGCGTATGATTCAAGCTGCGGATATCGTATTTGGCAGTGGAAGGTACCAGTGTCTCGGGAAGACCGTCGCTATGTTTGAGCTGAGAAAGACGTTGGCAACTGTAAGTCCACCCCGCTCCGTTCGACATCATTTGTAGTGCTTACATGATATAGCTTTTACATCGTTATGATATTGTTTCTGTGAACCCGTCTCAACCGTGGGTCAGTGTGCCTGCAAACGGACTGCTTTTGCAAAGTGACATGTGGGTCAAGGTTACTGCCAGGGAGAACACCGAGAGTCTTTAAGTGGGACAGAGATGGAGTATTATATCTCCTTTGATGAGCTTCAGATTACAGGAGAATAAGACATTGCAACGCAAAATACGAAAAGAGCATTGTTTGCCTATCAGAACCGGTTCTATTTGTGAGGCAGCTACCTGCCTTATTGTTTAACATATTTTTGCGTTCTGCATAAAGATTCTTTACTTTTTTTCCTCAAAAATCTCTAGATTCAAGTAGCTGAGGACTTCAAATTGCTCTGTACTTCCCGACCTTCTGGTCATCTTCAGTGTTTGGCTTGTCTCAGAGCCGATGGGCTTCTTTTCGTCGAGTACCCTGAAGAGTTTCCCCAAGGCCCTTGCAACACTAATCCCAACTCTGTTTAGTGGACCTATGTCACCAATTCTAGATGTGTGAGGGTGGGTACTACGCAATCAGTCAAGTTCCGGCAATAGGCGGCTAATTTCCCGGAAGGGGAGGTAAGCAAGCAGGAACGGAATCCATGGTAAGTCTTGTCCGCTTCTAGATCCATAACTTTGCATGAAGAAGAAACGGACATGTGGCCAAATGTGGACTTTATCACCTTCCATAACCATGATAGACTCCTACTCATATTAGGCAAAAGAGCGGAAGCTATCCCGGTTATGGATGCGAAAGAAAGGTGAGGAGTGAAGTTCTGTCAACCTAACAAAATATTGCAATTGAAGCTCCGACTATGATACTGCATTTATCCTTCTATTTGATCCCCTGTAATTTGACTCATGAAATAATGCACCAATTACACGCACACAAAGTCAGCATACTTCTTGAACTCCTCGTCCTTGAAGAATCTCTCCATCTCTTCTTCATTAAGGCTAATAAATGCCTCAATGTCCCCATTCGCCTTTCTTGGCTGTAAACTGCAAATCCCGCTAAACTGGCCCTTTGGCAGACGCATGAAGTCCGGCTTTCCAAGAGGAGGCCCGAAGTCAACTCCTTGGTAGAACGGTGCATCAATCCAGCTCGTAGTGATCAGATCGTAGCCAAGGAAGTCTTTGAATGCGATGGACAACTTTCCAACATCAGGAATCGATGCGGCCAGTTGATTGGTGTCGTTGACAAGGACGGGGTCTGATTTGAAGGCTTCAATGTTGCTGCGGACTGCTAAAGCAAGATTTGATAGGGTGTTCTTTGAGGGATCTGGATCCAGTATGGTTGTAACTGGCATCTCGGTCATGCAGCAGTATACCACGTTGTTGATTATTGAATATGGTACTTTTGGCTTGCATAGGGAGCGACCTTCAATGGCAACCGAGACGATAGAGTTCTGCCGGGTCGCTGAAGCGGTACCATTAGACACCCCATTCGTGGCGGTGCCGGGCTTTGCCGCCTCGGAGAGTCGGGCACGCATGACACTTCTCCAGATGAGTGCCACAAGTGCATCTTGAGTAGAAATCCAACCGTCTTTGCTTGACGGCTTAGCATCAGCTTTCAGACGAGAGCAGGCCTCTGGTGTAAAAGAGAAGATACATGTCCGCATTCCCGGTATGGCCACAGCCGCTGCAGGAATGGTAGTAGGCAGACTGACAGCATCCTTGGCGACAGTGAGATTCTCCTCCCAGTGCAGCCCAAGTAGCTTCCAGAGCTCAGGTCTTCCCTTCAAACGGTCAAAGGTTTCAGGAGAAGAAGGAATCTCATGGAGTGCCGGATGACGACCATTGGATTCTGGGAGAGCATCCAGTGGAGAGGGCGTCGAGATGCCCTGAAATTCTCGGCATTCTTGAGCCCAATATTGGACTACCATAGCGCCGCCCCATGCATCCGTAAGCGCGTGCGCAATATACATGGTGAATAAACACCCGCCTGGAATCCAATTGACTTGGCCCATAAGCACCTTTGTCGTGGAAGCAATCCCTGTGGTGTACGGCGCGACAAGTGCTGGGTCAAGCCAAGACAGAGGCATGCCTGCTTCTCGAACTTCGTCATAGCTGTGCTTCCACCCACTTTCAGGAGATGAAAGATCTACCACAGCGAGCTGCAAGTCTGCAGGGGGGTCTGGAACAACGAGTTTCAGTGAGCCTGGACGTACATCTGGGCTATCGTCACGGACAATATCACCGCCCATGTAGGGCCGAGATTTGAGCAATCTGGAGAAGCCACCCTGGAGAACTTCCAGCGCGCGGTCCCTCTGGGACTCCTCGCAAGGAAATCCATAGATGATTGCATGGTAAAGTGGGGGGATGACCTCGTCCAGAGGACCGAATTCGTATGACGTGGGGAGAAGCATGGTAGCAATCAATGGAACGGGGATGCAAATTTGGAGTATGTTGTCACGGCTGAAATCCGTCCGACGATGCGTGATGAGCTTTAAAATGTTTTGATCTTATTGATATTGCAAGCGACTAATACGAGAAGTGAGGCCAAGCCAACCAGTTACTTAGAGGAGTAAGCACTCGGCGGGATCTTACACGCAATAGGTCCGTCCAATTCAGCCGGCCCCGGTGGCCGCCCTCATTTTCACCCGGAAATGGTAATGTACCGAAACAGGAACAGCATGCTGGACACTGGCTTACCTGATGGTATCCAAAACAGCAAAGATACATGCTTGCCGTAAGGGTCTTTGCTCCTTGGAGAAAGGAAAGATTCCAAGAAAGAGTTAACTTGAGGTATTAGTCTAATACGTATTCAGTTGATGCTTAATAGACATAGAATATTAGTTAATGCTTCTATACGCAATTTGAAGTCATCAATACATTTCCCTTTTACTACCTTGATATATACCTTATTTACTTTGCACGCATCAGAGCTGTCACAAGATCAACAATCACTCGTTTGTTATACCATCAAGTTGTTTCCAGCCCACAGCCTATGCTCTGTCACCAAAATGGAGAGCCCAAAGACCATGCCCATCGCCATCATCGGCATGAGCTGCAAGTTCAGTGGAACAGCCACCTCTCCTGAGCAGCTCTGGCAAATGGTCGCAGAAGCTCGCAGCGGCTGGTCCACATTCCCCAAGGACCGTTTCAACGGTGATGCCTTTTATCATCCCATTTCTGAACGCCTTGCTACCACTCAAGTCAAAGGCGCGCATTTTATCCAACAAGACATTGGACTTTTCGATGCGTCGTTCTTCAACTTCTCTGTTGAAGTAGCGGCGACTATGGATCCCCAGGTCCGGTTACAGCTTGAGTCTGCTTTCGAAGCTTTTGAGAATGCAGGTCTTGCGATTGAGACGCTAGCTGGATCTGATACTGGTGTCTTTGCAGGAGAGTTTGTCAAAGACTATTATGATAGTCTGATGAGAGATCCAGAGACCATTCCACGTTTTTTCGTCACTGGTAACGGTGTAGCCATGATGAGTGCAAGGGTATCTCACTTCTTTGACCTCAGAGGACCCTGTCTTACACTGGATACTGGGTGCTCAACAGGTCTTACTGCACTACATCAAGCCTGTCAAAGCATTCGATCCGGCGAGTCCAAAATGGCCGTTGTTTCAGGATCGAATGTCCTGTTGAACCCCGACATGTTCAATCAGATGTCAGCTACTGGACTGCTCTCCAAAGAGGGCAGGTCATTCTCGTTTGACAGCAGAGGCACTGGCTACGGTCGCGGTGAAGGTGTCGCCACGCTTATAATCAAGCCTTTGGAGGATGCTCTCCGGGATAACGATCCTATTCGGGCTGTTATCCGAGAAACAGCGTTGAATCAGGATGGAAAGACCCCAACCATCACTTCGCCTAGTGAGGAGGCACAACGGGCTCTTATGAGAGCTTGTTACGACAGAGCCGGTCTAGATCCTTCAGAGACGGCGTACATTGAGGCACATGGAACCGGCACAAGGACAGGCGATCCCATCGAGGCTCGGGCTATACATTCCGTCCTTGGTGGTAAGCGTCCAAGCAACACTCCTCTCCTTATCGGCTCAGTCAAATCAAATATCGGACATACTGAAGCCGCCAGCGGTCTAGCAGGCGTTATCAAGGTCGTCATGTCCCTTGAGAAAGGCGTTATTCCACCCAACTACGACTTTCAGATCGCAAACCCAAACATTCCTTTCGGTGACTTCAACATGAAAGTTCCAACAACCGCGACACCATGGCCTGAGAACCTCCCACGAAGAGCATCCGTCAACAGCTTCGGTTACGGTGGTACAAACGGCCACGTCATCATCGAAGACGCTGCTCTTCATACCCGTCGAACCCGCCAAGATGAGTCGCGGACTTCAGACTCGTGGAAGGTTTTCCGACTCAGCGGTAAAGATGAGGTCACTACCAAGAACATGCTATCGCAACTCAAGGACTACCTCACCACCACTACCGTCAGCAATAACAAGGCGTTGCTGGACAGTCTCGCATATACGCTAGATCAACGACGAACGAAGTTTGCATGGAACTCAGCGGTGGTAGCCAAGACGAAGGACGAGCTTATCACCGCTTTGGATCCAGCTGCAGTGCCTCTTGCTAGGTCGGATAGCAAGCCCAGGCTCGGGTTTGTGTTTACCGGGCAAGGTGCGCAATGGCATGCTATGGGTCGGGAACTCATTCTGTCATACCCCGTATTTCGAGAGGCGATCCTTGAGGGGGAGTTGATTCTGAAGGATCTGGGTTGCACTTGGTCTGCTACAGGTATGTTGCGGGAAAGTTGTTCTTTTCAATATTCACTTTACTAACTGGCGTTTGCAGAGGAGCTTCTGAGAGATGCCCAAACCACTCGTGTCAATCAGGTCATGCTCAGCCTTCCCCTCTGCTGTCTCGTACAAATGGCGCTAGTCCGTCTTCTACGAAGCTGGGGCATCAATCCCACCGCAGTCACTGGCCACTCCAGTGGTGAAGTCGGAGCCGCCTTTGCCGCCAACGCGATCAACATGCGAGAAGCCCTCGCGGTTGTTTGGAGCAGAGGTACTTTGACCGAGGAATTTCAGCGAAAGATCCAACGCAAGGGCGGTATGCTAGCAGCTGGTCTTAGCAGGGCTGAGGCGGCGCCATATCTGGAGGGTCTGACTTGCTCGGGCAAAGCCGTTGTTGCATGCGTCAACAGTCCTTCGAGTGTCACGCTATCGGGAGATGTCAACGCTATCGTGGAGCTTGACATCAAACTGAAGCGTCAAAACATCTTCGCGAGACGGCTCAAGGTCGATGCTGCATATCACTCTGAGCATATGGAGGTCTTTGCAGACTACTACCTGGATTACCTGATGGAGAGGATGTCGAATGACGGAGACTTTGACGGCGTCGTCTTCTCTTCGCCTACCACGGGTAAGCGAATTGCCAAGGCCCAGGATCTTGGACCTGCTCATTGGGTTGAGAACATGGTCAAGCCAGTCGAGTTCCTCGACAGCTTCACAAACATGTGCATCGACACGACCATTCCCGAATCCGACCCGTCTAGAAAGTCGATTGACATTGTGGTTGAGATTGGCCCTCATGGTGCTTTATCCGGACCAATTCGCCAGATCCTACAGACTCCAGAGCTGAAAGGCATCGGAGTCCAGTACGGATCCTGCCTTACTCGAGGCCAAGATGCCGTCATGACGATGCAGAATCTCGCTGCACTCTTGGTATCCAAGGGTTTCCCAGTCAACTTGGACGCAGTCAACTCTCCTTCCAGAACAAGTCGTCTCCCAGTCCTCCATGACCTTCCATCATACCCTTGGAACCACCAGACGCGTTACTGGTCTGAGCCTAGACTCAACCGCCAACACCGTCTACGTGAACACCCTGACCATGATCTCCTCGGTGTTAGAGTTGTCGGCACGAACCCAGCGACTCCAACTTGGCGGCATATCATTCGGCAAAAGGAGCTTCCGTGGGTCACTGATCACCGGGTTCAGTCAACTGTTATCTATCCCGCTGCTGGATATGTCTGTATGGCGATTGAAGGAGCTCGTCAATATTTGGGAGCCAAGAGCAATATGATCACTGGGTTCAGATGTCGTGACATCGATATCGCGAGTGCACTGATAATTCCCGACACGAATGAGGGGATTGAGGCACAGTTGCAACTCCGAAACTGCGATGATGACAACACCTTGGGCTGTGAGGGCTGGTATGAGTTCCACATCAGCTCTGTTACCGCAACAGATGAATGGTCACATCATTGCCGAGGCTTCATCTCCGTCACCACTACTACCGGAGAGTCAGAAAAGCGGATGGTTGACAAACTTAACAAGATGAGCTTCGAGAACAAGATAAGTGCCAAGCCCAGCCAGATCTTTGAGTCGATCCATCGTCTTGGTGTTCAGCATGGACCCATCTTCCAGAACTTGACTCAAGTGGAAGCAGACGACGAGTCACAATCTCTGGTGAGATTCAAGCTCAAGAACACTGCGGAACTCATGCCGGACCAATATGAGCATGAGCACGTGCTGCACCCGACCACGCTTGACTCAACCGTTGTGGCTGCATTCACAGCCCTTCCCGGGGCGGGATTGAACCAGACTACCGGCATGATTCCACAGCATATTGGAAGCTTGTTTGTCAGTGCCGACGCTCCGCATGCTCCTGAAACTCAGTTACAGGTTCTTACCAACATCTCTGAGTCCACTCCTCGTGGCTTCATGTCGTCGAGCATCACTTGGGCACAAGATGGATCACGCAGGACCCCCGTTCTCGAGATCGGAGATTTGTACTTCAAAGCTCTCGGGGATACCGGTAATGCAAACAGTGATGAAGGCTCGGGTAAGCTTTGCGCCACTGTCAAGTGGTCGCGAAGCCTTACGTATGTTCCCAATGAGGACCTCAAGGAGATGATCGCTGGCGTCTCAAAGCCTGAGAATCTCGACTGGTTATCGGACCTGAAGGTCGCAGCATTCTATTTCATCCGCCTTGCTCTAGAGAACCTGGACGACGCGGATGTCGACAAGCTCACGGGCGCTCACCGGAAGTTCTACGATTGGATGGTCCAGCAGAACAAACTCGCCAAACTCAACGAGCTCGGCGCTCAAAGTCTAGCCTGGCTTCTTGCAAGCGACGAGGACCGAGAGGCGCTGGTTACATCTCTCAGACACCACAGCGTTAGCAGCCAGATGCTATGCAGGGTTGGAGAGAACATTGTTCCCATCCTGAAGGGCGAGGTCACTGCTCTTGAGCTCATGCTCGAAGGCGGTCTGTTGTACAAGTTCTACGAAGAAGACATGAGGGTCGTCCGATCACATGAGCACCTGAAGAAGTATCTCAGCATGTACGTGCATGAGAACCCACGGGCCAATATCATTGAGCTCGGTGCTGGTGTTGGTGGTTGTACGCAGGCGGCCCTCCAAATACTTGGAGGTGCCGACGAACCTCAGTTCGCGCACTATGACTTCACCGATATCTCCGCAGGATTCTTCAGCACTGCGCGCGAGAGGTTCTACAGCTTTGGAGACAGGATCAACTACCGCAAGCTAGATCTTGAGATCGACCCTTCAGAGCAGTCATTCGAGACGGGCTCATACGACTTGGTGATTGCTTGCCGAGTCCTCCACGCTACCAAGCTCATGTCCAAGACCATGTCTCACGTTCGCAAGTTGCTCAAACCAGGTGGCAAGCTCATCATAATCGAGGACACTACCAACTCTCTAGATCATCAGGTAATCTATGGAGTTTTGCCGGGCTGGTGGTTGGCTGAAGAGGATGACCGGAAGCACGGCGCGACTATGCCGGTTACTACTTGGGATAGTATTCTCCAGCACTCTGGGTTCAACTCGCTTGAGTTGGAGGTACCTGCCTTTGAGGAGGAAGAGTATCAGTCATCGAGCTTCATGGTGTCCACCGCGGTAGCTTCATCTCCAGCGTCGTATGATCCCATCATATATGCAGTGCATTCTAGCCGCGAGCCACCAGCAGAATGGATCAGCACTCTCGGAGAGGAGATCTTCAAGTTGACTGGATCTCGCTTGGAAAGTGTGCAGTTGGGATCAGTCGATCTCACCGACAAAACATGTCTCTTCCTCGAGATTGAGGAGCCTATGTTGGCGAGCCCATCCGCTGAGAAGTACGCTGAGCTTCAAGCCATGCTTTTGACGTCCAAGGGTGTACTTTGGGTCACACGTGGAGCAGCTGTTGACTCTCAGCAGCCAATGTTGGCTCTCAGCCAGGGACTTCTACGTGCTCTCCGGTGCGAGAACCCAGCCAAGCGTTATATCTCTCTGGATCTCGACGCTGCTCGGGACCCTTGGACAGCAGCGGATACCTCGGTTATCTCGCGTGTTCTTCAGTCAACCTTTGATCTTACAGTTGAGACTTCACCTATTGACTTTGAGTACGCTGAACGCGGTGATTCGATCCAAGTACCTCGTCTGATGGAGCGGCCCGACCTGGATGAAATTGCCACTGGATCTGGAGACCCTGAAGTGACACTGCAGCCTTTCCTGGAGAGCGATGAGCTCCACCTCGAAGCAATCAACTCTGGCGATCTAAGCAGTCTCGCTTTCCGGTCATCTACTGGTAGAGAGCCACTACCAACCGACTTTGTCGAAATCATCCCCCATGCCTTTGGTGCAAACCAGAGCGATATCTCAGTGGCACTCGGCCAGGCCGATGACTCTGTGGCAGGGCTCGAAGTGGCTGGCACTGTGACAAGGGTTGGCAACAGTATCACTGACTTGTCGGTCGGCCAGCGTGTATGTGCACTCGTGCTACAGGGCTCTTATAGTAACTTGGTTCGCGTGCCAGCCACGAATGTTGCAGTGATCCCTGACTCGTTGAGTTTCGAGGTCGCGGCTACATTGCCTATTGCGTTTGTTACCGCCTACAGCGCCTTATATGAGTTTGCTCGCTTGCGACAGGGAGAGACAGTACTCATCCATAACGCAATGGGAGACATTGGCCAAGCAGCAGTATGCCTGGCAAGACTTGCTGGAGCCGAAGTCATCACGACAGCCTCAACGCCGGAAGAGCATACACTTCTTTCCAAGGCGCTGGATGTACCTGTGACGCACGTCTTCTCATGTTCAGATGCGTCGTTCGCGAGGGGCATCATGGAGCTCACCAGCGGCAAAGGTGTCGACGTAGTTCTCAGCTCGCTTTCTGGCGAACTTTTACGCGAGTCATGGAACTGCATCGCACCATTTGGTCGTTTCTGTCAAATTGGCAAGCATGATGCTCAGGCCAATCGTACTATGGAAATGACCCCCTTCCAGCGTATGACCTCCTTTGCTACCATTGATGCGGTTTACCTTGCCCAGCACCAGCCCGACGGCTTCCACCGGGTGCTGGCAGAAGTTGCTACTTTGACGAAGAAGCAGCGCATTTCTCCAATCGAACCTATCACTACATTTGGCATTTCTCAGATCGAGCAAGCCTTTGCGCATTTGCAAAATGGTCATCAAACTGGCAAGACTGTCATCACCGTCAACCCTGACGAGCAAGTGAAGGTCATTTTACCTGAGCTCTCGGCACAGCTTTCGCCCGACCGCAGCTATCTGATCGTCGGAGGTATGGGCGGTATTGGCCAGGCTATCAGCAAGCATCTTGTACAGCTTGGCGCGAGAAATCTCATCCTTGTTTCTCGAAGTGCTGAGAAGCAGATTGAGTCATCACAGGCATTCCTCAAGGATTTGAAAGCGTCTGGGTGCACTGTTTGCGTGAGAAGCTGCGATGTTACAAACGAGGCTGATCTTCAACGCGTTGTGGCAGAGTCCGAGCAGGAGACTGCTCCCGTTGGAGGCGTGATTCAAGCTGCAATGGTTCTAAGAGTAAGTCACTCGGCCTAACAATAGTGGTGATCGTTTCTAACATCTTGGCAGGACACTATTTTCGACCAAATGTCTTTTGAAGACTACACCGCTGCAGTACGCCCCAAGGTCATGGGTACATGGAATCTCCACAACCAGTTCATCCGCCACTCTCTATCCTTCTTCATCGTCCTCTCCTCCTTCGTTGGAGTCGGTGGCAACGGCGGCCAAGCCAACTACGCTGCTGGAGGAGCCTTTGAAGACGCTGTTGCTCGTCATCGCGCCGCTACAGGTCTGCCCTCCGTTACCATTGACTTGGGCGCTGTCAAGGAGATCGGTTACCTCACCGAGAATGAAAATGTTGCTGGTCGACTTGCCAGGTTGGGCTATAAGGCACTCGGTGAGAAGGAGGTGCTTGCTCTCGTTGAGGCAGCTATCAAGAAACCTGTTCGCGACACCGAAGCAGCTCAGATTGTGACTGGTATTCTTGGCAGCGAATGGGGCAACGCTCCTTGGGCCAATGACCCACGCTTCGCAGGTTTGAAGCCAGTCACATCAACCACTGCTTCAACCGGTGGCGTCAAGGTAGCTATTGATCTCAAAGTCCAGCTCGCAACAGCAACGTCTTTACAAGAGGGCACTGATATGATTGTGGCTGGTGTTGTTCGCAAGATCTCCGAGATGTTCTCAGCGGCTGAAGATGAGATTGACACGAGTGCGCCTCTTTCTCGATATGGTGTTGATTCACTCGTTGCTGTGGAGATACGAAATTGGCTTAACAGTTCTACAAAGGCAGATGTGTCGATATTTGATGTTATGCAGAGTCCTTCGTTGGTTTCGCTTGCTGGGAAGGTAGCTGAGAAGAGTCAGGTTTTGGGTGAGATTTCTAAGTAGTGGGTATTGGGCTTTCATAATTTTGTTTTGCTTGTCTTTAGATACATTGTTTCTTTCGTTTCCTATGTAACATATCTAGAATTCAAGTTATTTTCTGACATACAAATTGGCAATCTTGCGTGGCTTAGACTACCTTTAAATTGATGATCAGCTCCAAGGAAGACCGCAGCCATGACCATAGTGACTCTCTATAACCCCCTACTACATTTAAAACCCGTGTTTAAATATAAATTAGTTCATTGGTGAGTTAGTTTGCTTGAGTATCGATCAGATACCCAGCTAACATATCTTCCATAGTCACCGTGGAAGCTTCTAGCTAGAGGTTTATGTCGTGAAAAGTGACATTGTTTTTTATCACCATTCTGTGTATTCACTACCTGAAGGTAACTCTTGTGGCTTACAATCTTTCCCATAGCCATCTACTTGATACGCTGGTTTCAACAACTCTCCTTGCTCTGGTCGCTCTCGGTCAGCTGCCGCTCCTCAGGCTAATATCAAACATCCTACACCGAGCGCTTCAATGAGATGTGAATCCTCATCCTGCTTTATTGAGTTCGGGCGGCGGCTTTCCTGTCACGGGTCGGGGGTTTTCCCTTTTCGGCCATAAATGCGATGTATCCTTGTAGTTCAGCGAAGGTATCGACCCGTCAGCCTGTTCCAGAGAATTCCGGACATCCGTATGAGGAGGCAACTGGCTGTTGCTGATTAGAGCCTCGAGCCAGATCAGGTTTGTGTCAGCAATCTCATGCAAATCGGGTTTCGTATGTTCGCGACTCTTGATTCTTGTAGGACTGTATCCAATAATAATACAATTGTTACCTTCATCTTCTATCCCCGTCGTCAAGAAACACTGCTACTACCCAGATACTTGCATCTTCTTTTTTTCTTTCAGTGTCGTAACTCTTGCCATGGCTGGTCATCTTTCATCCACGCTCGCCATGTCGCGCCAGTTCGTTGACTCGATTTCTCCAGCTTTTGCAAATGCCACTACCATGGCTAGCAGAATCCACCCAAACATGAAGTCAATCATTGACAACTGGGACCAAGCTTCATCTGCTGCCATCGGCGTAGTAGTCTCCATCCTACTGGTAGCGACCTACACTGCTTGGAAGTTCCTGTTCACAGGTCAAACCTACGCCAACGCTCCTATTGCCTGCATCGACCCCAAACGTCCAAAAGGAACACTCCCAAAGGCACGTGAAAGGTTTCGAAGCGATGCCATCACCATGTTGCAGGAAGGCTACCGTCAGTTCAAAGGTCGGCCATGGTACGTCCCTAGTCCTTTAGGAGAGCGTTTGATGATCCCGAGCAAATACGTCGAAGAGCTGAAGAACGCACCGGTAAACGAGGTCGATTTTGTCGCTACCTTCTTTGAGATGTTTGAGGGCAAGTATACGACTATGGGTAGTCGCTCTACGCTCCATCCACGAGTTGCTAAGCATGAGCTGAATCAGAATATGGGTGAGTTTTGTCTTTCTTTTAGGACCGTTGTAACGAAGGCTGACCATTTATACAGCGGCGGTTCTGGATCCTGTCATGGAAGAGATCAAAGACGCCTTCGAGGAACATTTGCCTGCTACAGACGGTATGTTTAAGTCAATCTGAACAGATTTGACCACACTCGCTAAGGCCTTTTCACAGATTGGAAGCCAGTTCACGTCCACGACGCTATCGTCAACATCGTCGCTCGCGTATCATCACGCATGTTCGGCGGAGTCGATCTCTCACGAAACAAAGAATGGGTCGACTCAACCATCAACTTTGCCCTAGATGGCTTCGTCGGCGCCCAGGCCATCAAAAAGTACCCTCTCATCGTCCGACCATTCGTAGCAAAGTTCATCCCAGCTCTCACAAAGATCAAACAACATCACGCAACAGCCCAGCGGGTCATCGTTCCGATTCTCAAGGAACGAGAAAAGGCTGCGGCTGCGGGCTGGCCTGAGTCAAATGGCAAGCCACCAGCTGATTTCTTGCAGTGGATGCTTGACGCTGCTGTTGGCGATGAGAAGCAGAAGAGTTTCATCGCTCAGATTCAGCTGAAGCTTAGTTTCGCTGCTATTCATACCAGCGCTGCGGCACCGACACAGTTATTGTATGATCTTTGTTCGCTACCGGAGCATATTGGGGGACTCCGAAGTGAGATAGACGAGGCTAGGGCTTCTGGTGGTGGTGAGCTCAACAAGCGGACACTGCTTAAGCTTGAGAAGCTGGATAGTCTGATGAAGGAAGCGCAGCGATTCAACCCGCTACTTCTGAGCAAGTTCCCTGCTCTCCCTTTTCTTTGGTCTCGACTAATGATGAGTAGTTACCTTTGAGCGTATCGTCACGCAGCCATATGTTCTGTCCGATGGCTTCCGCATCCCAGCCAATACGCAAATCGGCGTACCAACACAAGCCATCTCTATGGATCCCGAGCTTTATCCCAATCCCGAGGTCTTTGACCCTCTGAGATTCTACAATCTCAAGAAATCACTTGATGGAAAAGATCCGGGTGCTGCTGGTAAATTGGCATTTGCCAGCTCTAACCATGAGAGCATGGCTTTTGGCTATGGTCGCCACGCGTGTCCGGGTCGCTGGTTTGCGGGTAATGAGATCAAGATGATTATGGTCTATCTGCTGGAGAACTATGACTTTAGACTTCCGGAGGGAAAGACTGGGTTGGAGAATAGGCCGCCTAGTTTGTGTTTTGAGACGCAGTATCTGCCAAACCCTGAGGCTGTTCTTGAGTTTCGGCGACGCAAGGCAGACTAGACTAGTTTCGACAAGTATGTCCTCGTTGTATACTTTTCTTTCTTTGGGAATATCATTACATATTTGACGCCTCTACCTGCAAATTTACCTGATTTTACCTCCGTAATGCCTGCTGCACCTAGATCAAATTGTTTGCTTAGGGAGAAGTCCCGTTGACCAGTCCGGCATGTCATCTAGTCTCTGAAGTACTGAAGTTTTTTTAATTAGTTTACTGAAGCTCCTTCTTCATCCACAGACGTCAAATTGACGCTAGACCTAACACTTTACATATGCATACGACGGGCGGCCTGCCTGAGCTATTTAAGGTGCACACACTGTATATCATTCACTTTCGGAGTATTGTTTCTTTTAGTAATCGCAAAGAATTGCATTTACCGTTCTCGATCCATAAATGGTGGACGGGGCGTATTCAGGGTATAGGCAAGCCACTGGAATCTTGACCAATGTGGATGTCTGGCGCTGATCCTGGATCGGCCACTGCTTACTCCATTGCAGCTACGGGTGCATTCCAGAAAGGGACGGCGCCGTAGCAGAATTGTTGTAGTCCAAATTGGAATTTCTCTTAATTACTTAATTAACAGTAGCAATCTCAAGATACCGGTAAATACTGTGTCAATATCGACAATGACAATCACAAAGACTTCGACTATGACCATGCCATCACTAACCATTAACGACGCGGACATCCCAAGACTCGATGGAGAAGTTGCCATTATTACCGGTAAGCACAGACCTAAGTTTTCCTTGATTGTACGCGCGACTCACGTTGTTTTTCTCATTACAGGAGGCGCTTCAGGAATCGGATTGGCAGCTGTTAGACTTCTAGCTGCAAAAGGTGCTCAAGTGTTCGTCCTGGATCTCACTGAACCAGATGCCAATACAATACCCTCGCCACCTGAGGGAGAGCCGGTGTTGCCAGAAAAAGCCAAGTTCATCCGTTGCGACGTCACATCATGGACAGATTTGCGCAATGCTTTCGACCAGGCTATATCTGAGGCAGGTCGTATCGACATGGCGATTTCTAACGCTGGCGTATCTGAAGAATACGACTACTTTTCGGATCAATTCAATGAGTCAGGAAAGTTGCTTGAGCCTGCTTTTGGAGTTATTGATGTCAACTTTCGCGCGGTTGTCAACTTTGTGAAGTTGGCGGTCAGCCAGATGCGACAGCAGAGAAAGGCCGGCGATGAGACGACAGGACGCATTGTCATTACGAGTAGCGCGACAGCTTATGCACCGGAGCATAACCTACCAGTCTATAGCGCTTCTAAACTTGCCGTAAGTTTATTCCTTCCGCGGGCTAGTATTGAAAGAGCTTACAGGATACCAGACCATCGGACTGATGCGCGGTCTCCGTTCCACTCTTATCATGGACGATATCACCATCAACGCCGTCGCACCCGCAGCAACAATTACCAAACTGCTCCCACAGGACCTCGCAAAGCCGCTCATGGCTGCCGGACTACCCGTGAGTTCAGCCGAGTTTGTCGGTCGCGCTCTGGTCTACTCTGCGACGGCTCAGCAGGATAAGCGCGTTGAAGATTACGGGAAGGATACGCCGGCCACTGGTGGCAAGGGCAGGTGGAATGGCCGAACGATTCTTACTTTGGGTGATCGGTATACTGAGTTGGAGGAACCGTATGCTGAGCTTAGGCGATATTGGTTTGGGTGGGAGAATACGACACTTACCAGGGCTCAGCAGGCGGCTACGGACTTTAGACAGTTTTGAACTCCAGATATTACTACCAGATACTTCACTTCAAGATCACTGGCGGATGCCACGAAGTTTCCCGATCTCCGATGATAAGGTTCTCACTCACGAAATTGGTAGCTGTGTATATATCTGTATAGTGCACGAAGCAATAGAGCCCCAACGAATGACTTCAATATAGATCTGTGCACTACACAGTTTCGATCATCAACCGAGGCTCTCGGTCTCCAGCCGGAACCATCCCTCCTCATTGATAAACTCCACAATCGCCTTCAAATCTGTCGGTGTAACAATTCGCTGCACCCACCCACTCTCGCCATTGTAGATATAATACTGGGCGTTGATTTCAATCACAAAAATGACCTCATTGCTCCTGTACGGTGTTCTGAAGAGTGGCTTGACCTGTCCTTGGATGCCAAAAGGGCTGACAAGATCTGCGACCTCTCCATCTTCGCCCCATTCCGTGTCACTGCCAAAGTCATCGTAGTTGACTGTCCATCCGGTTGGAGGTTTGACCTTTTGAATGTTAGCTATGAAGTTACAGGGTGATGGGTTTCGCACATTGGTGTTGGTGACGGTTTTGCCGTTGACGACTTTTGTTAGAGGGCTCATTCTGTATGCAATGAGGACAGCCAAGATAAATGAAAAGATGACGCCGAGAGACAGAAATCGTGCAATCCACCAGATAGTGGATATGGGCTGAATAAATAGGAATCGCATATTGAGAACGAAGCGCTATTGATGCCAGTGATCAACTGCTTCACTCATGGTCGAGAGCCTAGAACCGCCACCAAACTCGTGGCTGATCTATTGGCCTGCCTGGTTCACTAACTCCAAAACCGTCTCCCTTACAGCATCGGCGTGGCTTGTGGCTGAAGTATTGACGAAGAACGTGTCACAACAAATCAGCAATTCAACCCAATGCCGTCATTGCAGGGCATATTCGGAATCTCGACGAAAAGACAGAAGCAGTGCAACAAGCAAAGAGAATGAGGCATCACGCCATATCCAAAGTCCCTTCACGCTTATGCCTCCCTTGCTGACAGCCTCCCACCGTGGCTGGCTGAATGCAGCGCTATCAAAACAGCTCTCAAGTCAACGCGCCCAGCGAACCATACGGCCCGGAACGGCACGGCACGACGCACGGTGGGCTCCCAATAACGCACCCAAAAGAGTTCATCAGCAGCGTCTTAACCTCAAAACAGCTCCAACCCCCTGTTTTACCAACTGACGCTAGACCAGATCCTCCTGCCAAGGCAAGCCAAGGTATTTCAGCTCAGTACTAAAAGAAGTGGCGCATCCCCTGCACCCGCTGAGGAACCTGAAGGCTACGCCATTCTGCTAGGAATACGATAGTTTCGTAAAGTATTGATTCATGACGCGTAATGATTGGTGTGATGGGCGTTGGGTTAGACAACGGCTGAGAAAAAGTGGCTTGTCACGTACAGGAAGGGATATGTGAGGAGACAAGAGGGTTTTCGTGGAGGGAATGAGAAGAGTGAAAAAGCGAGTCGCCCATGGTTCCGCGTTCTTTTGGACTCGTCGTTCTAGCTCTGCCATTAAAGCCTTTTTTGCCAAGTCAATTGACTGAAATACACCATATTATTGTTCAAAAATATTGCCATTAGATTGAGTCAAAATGTGGATCACGGACGCCTGCAAGGCATTTGTCTTGTCCTTTGTGGCGGTATTCCACTACCCGTCCGTCTCAGACGATGGCCTTCACCAAGATGTCATGACCTTTACCCACGAGCACTCCGCACCAAAACTGGACTACCCATATTTTGACTCGCCCAGTGGTCCTGATCAGGACGGCAAGGTCTTTACATGCAACTACACTGATCTCAAGGGCTGGAAGCCTTGCACGACTGCAGACGATCGCTCGTGCTGGTTAAAGGGTCCTTACGGGCAAAACTTCACTATCAATACAGATTATGAGAATTTCTGGCCTATCGGAATAACAAGAGAGGTAGGTCACGGTGCATCAGCATTGGTTTGCTTTGTTTTCTGACTGGAAACCAGTATCACCTCAATGTCACTGATCAAGCCATCAACGGCGATGGTGTCGATAATCCATTCGGCAAGGTTTTCAACGGCAAGTATCCCGGTCCTTGGATCCAAGCCTGCTGGGGTGATCTCATCAAGGTTACTGTGCACAACCACCTCAAGTACAACGGCACAACCATTCACTGGCACGGTCTACGACAACTCGAGACCTTTGAGATGGACGGTGTCAACGGTGTTACTCAATGCCCCATTGCACCTGGAGACAGCTATACTTATACCTTCCGAGCCGTTCAATACGGTACATCGTGGTATCATAGCCATTATTCTCTGCAGTATGCTGATGGCTTGGCGGGTCCCATTACTATCTACGGACCATCGTCTGCTCCCTTTGATGAGGGAAGGAACCCAATTCTTATCACGGATTGGAGTCACCGAAGTGCGTTCCAGTCATGGCAGCGGGAGCTGGTGCCGAATCCTACGAGACCCATGATGAATGGTGTTTTGATCAATGGCGTGGGTAACTTTGCTGGTAGTTTCCCTCGTGAGCGATTCAACATGACAGTTACCAAGGCAAGTTATTCTATGACACCAGATTGCGTTGACATACTGACCATTAATAGGGCAAAAAGTATGTTCTTCGTGTGATCAACACGTCCGTCGACACAACATGGATCTTCAGTATAGACAATCACAACTTCACGGTCATGTCGACTGATTTTGTGCCAATCCATCCTTACTCAGTCTCTCATATAGTCCTCGGAATCGGTAAACACACCTCCTTCTAATCACCCATTAATAAATAGTCAATAGCCCACTGACGTCGATAAATAGGCCAGAGATATCACATCGTCCTTGATGCAAACCCCACCAACACCACAAAGATGCCTGCAAACCCAGACGGAAACTACTGGATCCGAACCGTCGGAGCAACTCGCTGCAAGGGCTTCGAACCAGGCAACGAACCCGATGAGCGTCAAGGCATTCTTCGGTATAATGCATCAAGCAAACTAGTTCCGACAACGTTCCGAGAAGACTACTCTTTGGAATGTCGAGATGAAGCTTATGAACGACTCAGCCCAGTTTATGAGTGGAATATTGACCCCGTCAAGATCAACTGTAAGTCACCGGCAACCTCAATACTGCATACTTTATTTAACTTTGAGTTAGACACCAACAGTCAGTTCGATATTGGTCTGGCCAAGTACGCCCATAGACCTGAGCTGATGGATAACTTCACATGGTGGGCCTTTGGCGAAAACCCTCTGTGGTTGAACTTCTCCAACCCTACCATTCTGAACCTCAAGAACACTACGTGGGATCCTGACTACGCTGTGGACCTGGTGGTCCCTGATTCGAAGAAGGATAAATGGGTCTACATCGCCATCACAGCGCCTCCAGCTCCGATGAAGACCAAACCCAACAGAGCTTTCGCCCCAGTTGCTCATCCCGTAAGTCACAACGCAACCCTCACGCTACTTAGCCTAACATGTGCTAGCTTCATCTTCACGGTCATGACTTTGCCCTTCTAGCGCAAGGTACCAACTTCTCAGACCTGGACACAGGAAAAGTGAACCTCAAGTTCAACAACCCTCCGCGTCGAGACGTTGCACTGCTTCCAGCGGGAGGATATCTCGTCGTCGCCTTCAAGGCCGATAACCCTGGCTCTTGGCTGTTCCACTGCCATATTGCCTGGCATGCTTCTAGTGGTCTGGCGATTCAGATCCTGGAGCAACAGAAGCTACTGAACAGGATCTTGGACCAGTATCCTGAGAAGATGAAGGAGGTGAACAGGGTTTGTGATAACTGGAATAAGTGGTTCAAGAATGATACGAACCTTTGGAATGCCCATATCTTCCAGGATGACTCGGGTATCTGATTGGCACGATATGAGACAGACTGGAGGCTGAGGGTCACAAGATTGAGACTGGATAGTATGTGAAGACATAAAGAGATTACATTATCAATGAATGATACTGTCAAATGACTGCTAACTACAATCCATCCACCACCACTGTCCGTACTGACATCAAACTCGTTTTATATCGTTCCAAGCAATCATGCTCAAGGGTACGTTACACCAAAAACAGGCGACTCCGACTTATCCCAATCACTTTCCTTCTTCTCATCTCCAAAGATCCTCAGAGCCCTATAAGCAACCTTGTACTTTCCAGCAGGTGCATAACCTCCATCAGCCAACTTTCCATTCCAGACAACAGAGCCCTTGCCCATGGGGTTCCACAAAGTAGGGAAACCAGCAGGTGCACCGAGACTCTTGGCAGTCGAGTTACCAGAGACGGGAATCAGCTCGGCTTCAAGCTTGGCAGATCCAAGGGCAAGCTTCCATGCCAGAGCAGGAGCGGGCTTCTCGTCAGTGGCATTCTGGCCCTTGACGGGAAGAACGAAGGTGGTGTTGGCTGGAACGGGGTTGAGCTCGTCCTTGTCGTTAGACTTGCTGATCCAGGTATCGCCAGAGTCGAGAACACGAGAGTTGTGAAGAGAGCCGGTGAGACCTTGGTAGGGAAGAGACAGGGAGACACCGGTACCATTGACGGCGATGTATCCGGACCAAAGTGCAAGACGCTTAGCATCGAGACCCTCGGGAGGAGTTGGCATGACCTCGATAGTAACAGAATCACCAGCGCCAATGCTGACCTTGGCTTCGCTGAACTTGAGGCTGGCGTGTCCATCGGCAACATCATTGGGGAACTCAGAAGCATAGATGCTGTCCTTAGCAAGAGTATAGACGCTCTTGGTAGGAATGTGGGAGATGCTGAGATCAAGGTCCGTCTTACCAGTGTTGTGGAGAGTGAAGTTGAGAACCTCAGTGAAGTGATCGGTATCGTTGAAAGCCAAGCTAGAGCGGCTCAACAAGAGGGTAGAGTAAGCAGCGTCGTAAGCTTGGATCAAACCACCACCTTGTTGAGGGACAGGAGCAAGATAGTCATAGTACTTGGCACCATCGTTAAATAGGACAGGGTTGGCAGTAGAAGACAAAAGGTTCTCAAGCACCTCAGGGTCAAGGGTACCACGGACCTCGGCGATAAGGGCAATGACAGCAGCGACCAAGGGACAAGCCATTGAAGTTCCAGAAAGGACAGCATAACCGCCCTTCTTGAGAGGATATGTCGAGAGGATGTTTCCACCAGGTGAGCCAAACTGGGGCTTGACGTCGAGTTCCCAGGTAGGACCCCAAGAAGAGTAAGTGCTCACAGCGCCACCGGTGACATTGTTCTTGCTCTCCTCAAGAATGACCTTGCCATCAGAGCCATCGGACATCTCGAGAGTGACGGTAGATCCAGCCTTGAGAAGCTCAACCCACTTGGTACCGACCTTGGATGTGACCATACCAGCAGCAACGATACCCTCAACAGTTGAGACATCGATGGCTGAAGCACCGCTGGCAGCGTTGTTGTAGACAAGGAAGTACTTGGCACCATGCTTAGCAGCGTTCTGAGCCTTCTGAACAAAAGTACAGCTTCCACGACGGACCAAAACGATGTACTTGCTGAGATCAGGAGTATCAGCTGGGTAAGCATCACAGCCGCCGTTAGGAGCAGTAGGATCCAGGTTAGGAGCCCAAAGGGGAAGGGTAACGTTGCCCCAAGCAGCAGGGCTACCAGCAGTTGAACCAAAGTCGATCTTCTTGCTGTTGTTGTCGACGGTGTAGTGAGAAATGTTGAGAAGAGAGACGTAATCGCTGTTGTCGTAGGAAGCGATAGCCATGACCTTGTTACCGTTGGCAGCAGTGCTAGCATAGAACATACCGACATCACCAGAGTTACCAGCAGACACAGTGCAAGGAACACCCTTCTCGACAATGCGAGAGACGGCAACAGCCCAGGGCTCCTCGGACCATCCGCTAGGACCGCCGATGGATGCAGTGATGATATCAGCGCCATCTTGGTAAGCCTGGTTGAAAGCAGCGATGAGAACGTCGTTACCGGCTTCTCCAGAGCATCCGAAGACTCGGTAGGCGCCAAGGGTGACACCGGGAGCAGCACCGGTGAAACCGTACTCGTTCTCTTGGGCGGCGATTGTGCCGGCGACGTGAGATCCGTGGCCTTGGCAATCCATGGGGTCGTCATCGGGATAAACAGCGTTGAAGCCATCGTACTTGTCTCCAACGAGATCAGTACCGAAGGACACGAGGCAGTCACCACCGAAGCATCCACCGAGAGCAGGGTGCTTATAGTCGATCTAATAATGTCAGCCGGAGTTTAAACCCAAGGGTAAACAGACTTACACCAGTGTCGACAACAGCAACCTTGATACCATGTCCAGTAATACCCTTCTCTCGAAGCTTATCAACCTGAGTCATGACATGAGGTGAGAATGTATCTGCAGTATCATTCAAATCACGCTTCTTAAGAGGAGCCTTCATGCCAGGCGTAGCAGTCCACTCAACGCGAGGCTTAGGAATGCTGTAGACTTTGACAGGCCACATATTCTTGACAGCGGGAAGAGCAGCCATCTTGGCAGCCATGTCTTCAGCGGTAGAAACATCGTCAAATTGGATAGAAACGCCCTTGAAGAGGTCGTAATCGAATTTGACGCGTGTGGTGTACTTGTCATCAGCAGTTCTGTAAAACTTGGCAGTATCCTACTACTATTAGCGGATTGACGAATGCGTGAGTGTAGATGCGTACGTGGTTCTCTTCGAATTCGAAGATATAGGCACCTGGGACGTGAGTAACAGCGGTACCCTGTTCAGTGTCTTGAACGGCAGTGGACAGCCCTGCGAAAAGCAGAGCCGCCAATCCTAGACGGACCATAATGAATGAATGTAGTGTGATAAAAAGAGTGACTTGTAAAGAATGACAGAAGCAATAAAGAGTGTGGAGCAGTCAAAGAGCGACAGGATACCAGAACGAGTGGTTGAAGACAAGACCTTGGCAGATCAACAGCGTTAAGACAACATTATATAGGCTACACGGAGTTTCCCATCCTGTATGGATTTACTGTACATGTCCATATCAAGCAACCCCGTCTATATGCAGGAACATGTGATGACCCAGCGATAAAAAAGTCAAACCTGCATGACCTCCCATAACTGCTTCAAATCAACTCCAGAAGTTCCAGAGCAATTACCATAAGTTCCCTCGCTCTTATCAAGAGACCTACCAGATTAAAGTTAGCGCAGGGAAGATCGGACTAGCTGATCGAATGAGAGTCTCGATGCTAGCCTTGGCGTTCAGGGGAAGTGCAGGGATTAGCGTTGCAGTCGCGCGGGTTGGGTGGTCGAATGGAGGAGTTTAGTCCGTGGAACCTTTTATCGAAGTGCCGGGACTCCGCTGGTGATCCGTAATTTTAATGATATATGCATGTATGTCGATTGATAGAGCAGGTCGAGGAACTGTTTGAGGGGGGCCTTTTTGTCCGCGGGCTAGGGGTTTCCTATCGGGGTTAGGAGAGATGGTGACATCGAGACGCGGGATTTCTCCGCAGATAGCGGAATGGATGGTGCATCGTCAATCATGATAGATAGAGTTATGATGCCATTGTAGTAGTACAGGCGATTAAAGGCAATTGTGAGAATAGACTTCGGCTTATGGATGATCTCCTTATTCTCGGACATTTGCAGCGTATCATATGATTTTCTCCGAGTAGGTTTCTTACTCGTGTAAACTGTAAAGCTAGAATAAACTTTCGTCTTACCCTGTAAGAACTCTATCTGACGGAAATATGAACCAAATATGTAACCTAGCGAATCGCAACTCCCTTAAGTCGAAAGTTTCAAGGTTTCATCGGTCCGTTGATGGTGTTTTTATTGCTAGATTGGCGTTGTTGGGTAATAGAAACAGTGTGCAGAAATGGTGAGGCATTGCGCTGGTTTCTTATTGATACCCACCATGTATATTCTGTGAGGACAAACTCGGTCAAGCTCTGGTGAGCTTTTCTAATAATGACGCCACGCCCAACACCTTTTCCTCTTCATATCTCCTTCCAATGATCTGTACTCCAATGTCAAGCCCTTGCATTGCCTCAGGATCGTAGAGTCCCCGTATCCACTCATCAATCGCATTGCGAGGCGCATACTCATGCAAGTAACTATGACGCGCTTCCTCAGTTGCAGCGACATAAACATCAGACGATGTTGAATCTTCAGACTTTCCGAATTTTGCGAATGGAAACGACATGGCTGTGTAGTCAAGGAAGTTCCATATCTTGGCATAGCCGGTCCATCGGCTCGACCTATGCGGGACAGCCGTATGAGGCGATACTGAACTGATTATAACGTCGACACATGATCCTTCGTCAGCGGCATTCCACTTCTTGTTGTAAGCTTCTTGGGCCGCTGTCTTGCGACGGTTGAGTTGCCAGTACTCATACACCGATATAGGTTTGGACGAGTTGACGAGCGCCTCGACATGGGCAATCATCGGCTCGCCTGCGACTGCGACCTCAGTCTTGATATCCTCTCCACCATCTGCACGGTAGAATTGGTCTTGAATTTCGATGCAGCTTGAATGATCTGCTGTACTCCACGGAATGACTTTATGCCCTGCCTTTTCGAATATTGCTACTGCACGGTGCACAGCTTCTTGGATTTCTGGATGAGGTCTCACGACCCCATCGTCTAGAATGACACCGATTGTGAGTTTTCGCTTCTGAACATTGTAGAAATCGTGTTGTCGCCATGGAATGGGGACGACGTTTGGGTCGAGCCTCCACGGTTCTGCGAGTAGACATTCTTTGGTCAAGGTGATAAGGTTCGAGAGCACTGGACTCATGGGACCAATTGATGAAGGAACATGAGACTGTCCCTCGTGAGAGTTCGCTGCACCGGAGTATGAGAACCGACCAGACGAAGGCTTCAGTCCGAAAAGACCGCATAAGTGACTTGGAACACGAATTGAGCCTCCAATATCAGTTGCCCAACCACCAAGTGATCCAGACATTCGCATCAGAGTAGCCTCGCCACCTGATGAACCACCTGGCGAAAGCTCGGGTTTTCCGGGATATGTAGTCAGTCCCCAGAGAGGGCTTTCAGTCTCACCATACATGATGCTTTGAGGAATGACTGTCTTGGTTATAATGATTGCACCAAGATTCTCGAGGATAGTCACCATGACGGCATTGTCGCTGGCGGGCTTGAATGAGCGACCAACATAGCCTAGAGTTGTATCGACGCCTGCGATGTTGAATTGATCTTTTACTGAGACCGGAATGCCGTGAAGAGGACCGATGAGCTTTTGGTGCTTTTTGAGGTACTCATCGAGATATTTCGCGCGTTCAAGAGCAGTTTCGAAAAGAGGTTCGCTGAGGCAGTTTGCCTAAAGCATGTTAGTCATTGCCGCGTTTGTAGTTACTACACGCCTACTTCTTTGTGTGAAGTAATGGCCCTGCGAGGAAGTCAGCAATGGGAATTGGTGTACAAGGCAGGAGACTTACCTGCGAATTGTAATAGAGACCAGTTTCTCTGCTGTTATCTGTCCTGTCTTTAATTGTTCGAGAAGGGAAGAAATATCGGCATGTTCTGGGACAACGCTCTCGTCGCTCACAGCGGAAAGCTGAGCCTCGCAGCTATGGATGGCACCATCGCGATCCTCCCTTTTCTGCTTCACGGTAGTCTCCCAATACATGTCGTATAAGTAACTCCCGAACTCAACAAGTAAAAATTACAGAAATTTACTAAGGAAGTTCTCGAATGTTAAAATGCCTCGTTTAAAGGGAGAGTCGTCAGGAAGCTAAGCTAGCGGTTCTAGGACTGGCAGTTGATTGTTTGATGATAGAGATAAGAGGGCCCCTCCGAACTCGGCACTGTATCCCCGAAAACGCCCCCGCGCGGCAATTTCAAACCCGAGATGCATTTTAATTCGCATTTCGCATTTGGAACAAAGCGGGAACTTTGCCAACCACTACCCCAATCTATCGTGACTGACAGTATCAACTACTTACATAGTCATAACAGACCTGAAGCGAACCTTTCCGCTCTCCATCTTCTCAAAAGCCTCTCGGTGCTCCGTCGCAAAGTCAAACTTCTCAATGATACACTTGATACCATGCGTATGCGCAAACGCAATAGCATCCTCCGAATCCTGTTGATGTCCAGTATTCCAACCATGCACGCTGAGACCTTTCATGATCATGTGAACGGTATTGAACTCAACGGGGCCAAGAGGTGACAGAACAACTAATTTGCCCTGAGGCGCAAGACCGGCAGTAAGAGGGCTGACTGCCTCTGCGTTTGGCGCCGTTGACAGGATCATATTAGCGCCTCCAAGCTTCTGCAACGCATCACAGGGGTCGCCTTTCCTGGAGTCGATGTAATGATGGGCACCTAGCTTCATTGCAAAATCCTTCTTCTCGCTCCCAGCACTCATCGCAACGACTGTATATCCCATCTTGGAAGCATACTGGAGCGCCAGGTGACCCAGTCCTCCCAGACCCTGGACGGCAACAAGTCCGCCTTGGAGTACACCCATGTTGCGAATGGCGTTGAAGACAGTGACTCCAGCGCAGAGGAGAGGAGCGACTTCAGCTGGGTCTGCGTCGGAAGGGATTCGAACGGCAGCTTCGGCGTGAAGCAAGACATATTCAGCGTAACCACCATCCATGGTCACGCCGTTAATGACACCGTTGCTACACAGTTGAAACAGTCCTGTCTGACAGGAGCGGCATGTTCCGTCATGACCTTATCTCATATCATTAGTCAACGATCACACAAAGCTAGAGATGGATTGAGCCTTACCGCCATGCCAGGCACCACCAACTCGTTCACCAACCTTGACGTTCTTAACGCCATCACCGACAGCAACGACGTCTCCAACGGCTTCATGGCCCGGTACACGAGGAAATAAATCTCCAAAACGACCTTGCCGCATCCACGAATCAGAGTGGCAGACGCCGCATGCAAGGACTTTGACCAAGATGAAGCCTGGGCCAGGTTGCTGAAGTTCGACTTCTTTGATGGCGAGCTTGGAGCCACTGTTGTCAAAGGATGCGGCTTTGTAGGTTTTGGGGAGAGACATGTTTGCAGGAGAGATGTGAAGAGCAGATCGTGTGCTGAGATAAAAGTGTTGGGCGTTTTGATGAGGCACCCATATCTGCGGTCTTGTACTCTTATATACACGATTTCACTTGTTTTATACGCTCGGAAGTATCTCATAATAGCTCTGAGCCTCTGCGCCAAGAACGCCGTTACTGGGCGTGTTATTATGTCGGTGCAAGTGAAGTTGCGTCGCAGTCAGCTTTGAGAACCGAGATCGAGAGCCGAGCACCGAAGAATGCCAACGCGCTTACAAATTGTTGAAAATAAGTACAACACAGCCTGTGAATTAACCATGGTGTCAGTATTATGACATCAGTAGGCTCTGCTAGAGTAATTAGACTCAGATAGGTTATAATTACAGAATGTCAGGCGGCTCTTCAATCCCACGTTCCTCCATAAGCCAGTCAAAGTTATCTAGCGCACTAAAATACGAGAAATGATCCCAGCTACCAGCGAAATCGAATCCTTCAAACTCTGTTACTGGCTGAGTTACAGTCGGATGATTCAGAATATGATCAAGGACCTTCTTTATCACTGCTCTGGCATTGTGCGCAACTGAACAGTGTGTTTGTGATGGACATGAAGTCTTGAGATAACCCAATAGAAGGCTGAGTTGCTGAATGATTGAGGATCGAGAATACGTCTCGCCCGCAATGATACTTTCATGCTGGGACATGGTCACTGGAACGGGTTCTATGAGCTCCATACACAAGACGGCTCCGGCGAGGGTAGCATATCCCATGATCTAGCTGTTGTCAGACCAGACGAATTGAACTAGGGTAAAAGCAGACCAACTTACTATCCATCGGCATTTACCTTGCAAAACAGCCCATACATGCTTCTGAGCCCAGAAATTCAACGTCAAAACGACCATCTCGAAACTGGTTCGCAAAAGGTCATTTCTTGGATGACCGTGCTTGACGAACAATCGCTGGATGAGGAAACTATTGAGCAAATGGTCTAGTCTTATGAGCAGCTTTGGATACCCTATCTCAAGGTCTATTTCTGTTATGTCTTCTGTAGTAGGATCCCAGATAAGGTGCTGAGGGAGTTGCCTGTAGAGTTCAAGTTGTTTCGCTTTTAGATCCCTATTTGTGGACCAAACATCAGCCGCCGAGCTGTTGACAGTGCTACTGGGGTTTCGCTCACATGATATCTGTGACCCTGTAATATCCGTCCTGAGCGTGTACAACTTCGAGGATCTCGTCTCTCACCAACGCAATCTTCATGCGGACACGCAAAAGCGAGCTCGAGTAGATTCGGCCATCTGTGTTCCATCCATCCTGATCAAGGCGTTGAGATTGCCTCTGGAAGGAGTGTTTGTCCGACAGTAAGTCTGATTCTTTTAGGTCAAGTGGCCACTTGATAGAACAGAATCTGCGTGTAAGGAGAGGCGGTCTTCCAACAAAGGTTGCCAGAAACTTGTCAACTATGAAGATCTGGCATCCGATACGCCTGCGGATCTCGGTAGGTACTGATGATATATTCGGTGATGTTGACTTGGCTCGATTGTCATGAAGACCGGAGAATGTTAACATTGCAACTGTTTCGGCATGAAACTTCCAGTATGGCAGACCTACACTGGTCAGAATTATCCGCAGATGAACAAGAGGGTTCTGGGAAACTTACTGGTCTCGCCATGCATCCACGCATGGAGGACAGATCGCCTGTACATCAGAAACAGCATAAGTGTACCAGAACTCCCGCCCATATTCGCAAGGGTTATACAAGAAGCGCAGTAGTCGGTGCACTGGCGTATGATATTCTTTGACTCTTCATTCGAAGTGGCTGATATCTCGCTCAGAGCTGTGTAGAGAAACATAACGCCAACAGTCTCCCAGCGTAGATTCTCCCCCGAGAAGCTTTCTATCCATGCAGCCGGGTCATCCTGGTCCTCCCTAAGCGTTTTTCGTGTGTTAATACATATTCTGCTCCCCATCTCACGAAGCTTTGCTGTGTTGCTTTTGTCGCAAAGATAAGACCCGAAGCTGTCCCAGGTACTGGTTATGAGTTTATCACCGATGCTTGCTAACCAGCCATCGTCAAGACTAACCTTGGGTCTAGGTCTAGATATGAGAGGCTTTTCGGGCAATGCTTGGAGGACTTTGATAGCGAGTTGGCTTGCTCCTTGATCCATATTCACCATTGTCTGTATCTCCGCCACTGATGGCGGAGCCGACATCGATGGTGAAAGAGGAGCATCAACATCTACAACTGGAGGACCTTGCGCAGCCAGATTCGCCTCAGTCTCCTGATATGCCGCAGGAAAGCTGGTAGGTCCAAAGAAGCCCTGCGGAGGTCGAGCCGCAGGCGAACTCCATAGCCCATCATCAGGCCCGAAGTTTCGGGTTTGCCGGGTTGAAGATTCGGCGGCCCCGGCGTTCAGAGCCGATACCCCGGACACTGGCTGCTGAGAGTGACTTGTGTCAGAGGGACGGTCAGGCAACGCATAGTAACACGCAGATGCACCATTCGGCCGTTTCCTACAACGGCGACATATTGGGTAACCGTGGTCGCACGCCACCTTTCGGCGCCGGCATGGCTCGCATGCTTGCTTTTTGCCGTTACGCCGAGTAACGAGTGGACTAGACATGATGACGGTCTGAATTTGGCTCCTGCGCTGATTGGAGCAGCTGTTGAGTGCCGAGATATTCTGTGAGTGTTGTTTGTAGGCTGGGGATTGAAGATGTCAGCAGATGGTGCTGACAGCCAAGACCGAGCTCCGAGGGCCGAGACAAGGGTAATGTGTCATGTACCGGTCAAAGTCAGCCGGAACATTTTACCTAGTACTTAGTCGACTTCCATTCGGTACCCTAAGCCAGAAGCTTGAGGCTAGAAACGGACTAGCAAACCGTTGTGCCGCATACATACATCCTTGTGTAGTTCAAGCTGGAGGCGAGACTGGCGAAAACTGCGCTGGCATTACTTCGGGCTGTCCTCGAGACTGGTGGTTTGTCACTGAAGCATGCAGATTCATGAGAGGGACCAGGGCGTGGCTTAACGAAATGAAACACCGATTCATACTCAAAGTCAAATAATACATTAGCCATCCACTGAGCTCCGTAGGGTATTCCAATCAATCTCTTCCAACTTCTCAGCGTAACATTTCCTGATGTTTCTATCCCGTCCCCAATCAAGTTTATAAAAACTCAGAAGTTCTTTCCCCGCCGATTCCAGTATAACTATCCGTAGGTTGCCCATTATCTTGTCCCAAATTTATCACCCAAGCTCAGGACCTTCCATATTGCATTTCCAGAATGCAGTCAAATGTAGTAGCAGGAGCGTATTCTTTGAAGATGACGATTGATTCATGTCCAGATAGATCTTGCCGTTTATAAGAGCGGTAAAAGATGAAATCACATGTATCCGCCCGTGATATGCGTCAGCCAGCCTTTTACGCGTTTTGAGACTGGCGACGCGTCGTCTTCGTCGTCATCCTCGGCAGGTCGCTTCTTAGACTCTGGGGCTGACAATTGCTGATTTAATGCCTCATGGGCTGGAATTTCTTCACTCGGTATCTCTCGGCTTGGCTTCTGATGTTCTTTTGCCAAGGTACTCATGTCGCTGGCCGATGCGCTCTCGCCTTGGTCAGGCGCATGATCGAAATCGTATATGGGCTCATCTGACAATTCTGAGGATACGTCAGAGCTAAGTTCGATTATCGGCACGTGATCCTGCCGATCGCGAAGCTGGTATCTGCTGCCTTCATTCGTAGGGACCTTTTGCAGTTCACGAGCTGGTTGTTGTTGCTGGGGAAGAGAATACCGAGGTAATTCTGGTTCCTCTGGTTCTAAAGAAGGTAATGACTGCTGTTGTGATTTTGGTTTCGGTTTTGGAAGTAAGCCCGCGAGGGTATGACGTCTGATTTCTTTGGTGGTTTCTCGCAGATGAGCGGCCAATTCACTGTGAGGGTCTAAATGCCAAAGAGTGCGCTCGATAGTAGCGCGCAGCATGTGAAGATTCCCTTCCTCGTGAGCCGCGCGCTCAGCGGCGGTGAGCTTGGCCATGGCAGCTTGGGCTTCTCTTCTGGTGGAGGGTCGGTAGAGTGAGCTCATGAAGTGAGGGGACGTGACAGGGACAGGGACAGGTGGGGACACGTGTTTGTAGCGATTTAGGTGATGCCATGGGTATTTTGATTAGATTTCATGCAGTCTCGATTTCTGTTCTGAGTGAAGATTTGAGGTTTTGTCTTCTTGTCATGTCTTTTGAGGTTGAGGCTGGCGTGAATAGGGTTGGACGATCGGTAATATTAAGAGGTTGGTTTTATTTTTCAAGCGTCTCCACTCGGGATCTTTTATTTATTATGCATGATGAGCTGTCAATTCTACTGGAGCCTGAAAAACCGCGTGGTAGCATCCTGTGGGTCCTGTTGATAGCGATAAACCAATCAACCCTAAGATGACGACCACTGATGACTCATCCCTGATTCACGCTATGACGTCTTCAGTCTAGGCTGACCACTCAAAGCACGAATACTAAGTGTTTCAGGTCTCCACTAAGCTGTTTTGAGATCATCCAAGTCAGCCTCAGGGTAGCTTTATCTCTTTGCCTGGTTTTATCAACCATGGAGATAGCTAGACAAGTCCTTTAGTTATGTAACTGACCGTATTAAGTATTTCTCTTAAGATATAATTGTGGTAAAGCCAGTCTGGTGCTAAAATATACTGAAAAGTGACACTAAAACGAAATCGGAAGGGTTTTGTAAGTTTGGCAAGTCGTTTGTAAATATTTGAGCCAAGTTCCGTAGAAATTATTCGACCCGTCCGCAAGACTTCACGCATATTTCGCCAATGGGTAATGCTAGATATACACACACAGTAGGACTTATATTATCTATGCATGGCATATAAAGATATAGCAGGTCGAATATGTATTCAAATAAATAGTAGCATCACTCATCTAAAGTTATTGTTCCAACATCTGTCCCCGTTGCTTGCTTTATCGCATAAGACACTAAATCCAAAGTATCTTTCGGAACAAACAGCTCATCTGTGGTACCAATAACCCTATCAAAATGAGCCAAATAATCTTCCGGGCCCGTCGCGTGAGAATGTCCAGGTACAGTAGCCAGCGTCGTTCTCGCGGCTCTTCCACCACCAACACTGAACAGCTCTCCAGACGTCGGACACTCCTCACTGCACAACGCGACGACAAAGTCTGCCACGAGACGAGGTTGGAAATATTCCCTTGTGATCCTCTTAATAACAGGCGACAAGTCCGACATGCGTGATGCTGCCGAGGGTAGAACGCCGTTGATCTTGATGCCATGCTTGGGACTCATACGTCCAAGATCGCGAGTCAAGCCAAACGTGGCACCTTTGCTTGACACATAACCACCATCACCGCCTGCTCCCATACCAATGAGGCTATCAGAGGAAGTATTGACTATTCTTCCATATCCTTGCTTCTCCATGGTAGGATATACAGCACTGATAAGCATAACAGTACCTAGCGCAGCAATTTCCCACGTCCGTCGGAAAGATTCGACGTTCACGTTATCGTGCGCGCTAGCTTCACCAGCAGTGCCCGCATTGTTGACAAGGATGTGAATAGTTCCATATGCCGCCAGAGTGTCCTGCACAAGTTGCTGGACTTCACTCTGTACGGAGATATCATGTCCATCTGCGATGGCTTCCCCTCCCTTTGCTTTTATCTCGTCAACAACAGTTTGCGCGCGAGATATAGTGCCGCGTTGGCCGCTTAGAGAGCCACCATAGTCATTGACGACCACCTTGGCGCCATATGATGCCAGTAGAAGAGCATACTCTCTTCCGAGGCCGCCTCCTGCACCCTGTAAAGAGCATTGTCAGTGTGATCATAGGTACAATCGTACGCGAAGAACCTACAGTTACGATGGCAACGCGGCCTTGAAGGGAAGTCAATTTCGGTTGGGACATGGTGAAAGGTTGAAGAGTGAGTTGTTAGTTCAGAAGCCGGAAATTAATTGAACGCATGCTCGCTGGACCTATAAACTTGACTTCCCCGCACTTTTGGCGCCGATTATTCAGTGACGGATAGTTGTGCCGTTGAGTCAATATGCCGCTAAATCTCGGTTTTAGGGGACCTCGGTGGCTTGAGTCAGTAAGCGAGTCAGTGGACTAAATCGCTCAGTGGGCCCCATTTGGCCAAGATGGCTTGTGGTGGATACGCCACTTATTGATGTATCAAGTATCCGCAAAGACACACGAACGAAGCATACTGGAATTGAAGAGAGTGTTGCAAGTCAAGAATTGGCGGCAAGATGACCGACTTCAGCACAATGTTCGAGGATACCAGATTGACTGCTTATTTGATCCTATTAAAATGTAGGCCAAACTTGGAACGTTGTAGAAGACGAGATATCAAGCTACTAATATTTATTGGATAGATTATGTGATTCCTAGGACCAGATTACGAGCCCTCATATCACGACTTCTTGGGAAGAAAGAGCCAACGCTTCAGCATATGCTTGCTAATGCCACGATCCGGTGGTGAGGACTTTTATCAGCAATCATGGGGTATGGTTCAGGGCTAAAATTGTGTCTAGGTTGTCATCTACATTATCGGTACACCAGTTCAGAGCTCTCACCTCTAGCCAGTGTGATGCAAAGGCTCTGTTACAGAACTGCCCGACTCTACTCGAAGAGAAAGCCACGACCGAGACGGTAACATATCTGCAGCGGTTTGATAGTGTCCATATTCTGACGATAACAGATCATTGGGGAAGACTATCGAGGGCATTACGTCGTAAAATATCCCAAACCAACGCACATCATATTCTATGTTTATGGAGGCGGTTTTGTCAGCGGCTCTCCAGCATCCGTGATGCCGTACCTACTGCAATTGAGCGTCGAGCTCCAAGCCCGAGGGTTCCAAGCAGACATGTTTGTCGTGGAGTACGATCTCGCACCAGAAAATCCCTACCCAGGTGCTCTTAGGCAAGTCGTATCGGCATACAGATACATCGCCAGCCAGAACAAACCCATCGTTCTGGCAGGCGACTCTGCTGGGGGGAACTTATGTCTTGCACTACTTCGACACTTCGTCAAGCCTCACCCGAATATTCCACCAATCATACAGACTCAGGGAGAAACTGGACGTGTTGTAGCAGCTTGTTTGAACAGTCCATGGGTCAACTTGGAGAATAACGGAAAGTCATACCGTCAGAATGCCAATCAAGACTGTCTCGACAAGGGCGCTCTCGACCGTTGGGGAAGGGCATACCTAGATGGAAAACCACTAGATGAATATGCGAACCCCATCGATTGCGTAGATGGCTGGAAGGAGATTCTACCCCGGAATACACTTCTGGTCACAGGCGACCTCGATCTATTTGTCGCTGACATACAAAAGCTGGCCCAAAGCATCACTAAATTAAGTCCCCCATCCCGTTGTTTCGATGATGTTGAAACTGACCTTATGTAGAGCAGTTATAGTAACCTTGAAGTGCATATCGCACCTAAGAAAGGACATGTCTGGAATCTGGTTGATTTTGGTGGTACGCAACCAGGGCTACCGGTGGCTCGAGGCAAAAAGGAGGAAGAGCATGTATATGCTGGTATTCACCTGCAGGCTGACTGGATTGTTGACCGGTGTGGAGTCTGAGATGAGAAAGATGAGTCTATCTTTTGTTTCTTTATTGGAATCGGATGTATTTTGAAGAATTTGTGCAACAATCGAAATGAATTAAGCATTGATGTATTGGGCATGACCGTCCTCTTCAGAGCTGTTATCTGTCGAAAGATGAAGACATAATCATCTACGCTTTTTGAGATTCCCGTAGTCATAGCCCATAAAAACCATAGAATATGCCCATCCCAAACCTGTTCATATCAGTTGTTCCACCCTGTGTAGGACTTGGAGTATCTTTAAGCTGTGAATATTATAGAGATAGTTTGGAGTTTTAATAAAAATATATGGAACGAGTTATAGTCGGAATGATAATTAAAGCAAATAGTCATTCTTAACAACATACTAACTATGAAGTACTAGTACAGATAGCACCCATGGCAGCTAGAAACCAGAACCTACCTCACCGAGAATGAGACCCTTCCTAGGCAGTCTTGTCATCAGACCCTATAGCCTCGCCCAATGAAGTCTTGTGGAAACGACGAGGCTTGACTTTGGCAGCATAAAGATCATCAAGCTCCGCAGTAGTTCGGTTCTTCGTCTCAGGAAGCCAAACCCAACATCCAGCAAATCCGATAAGAGTGGTAGCACCAAAGATGAAGCCAACTTTACCACCCAGGTTACCAGCATCTGGGTTGAACATGTATGGGAATACGAAGCCTACAAGCCATTGTACGATGCAGAGCACGATGTTGGAAAGACCTTGGGTGCGTGAGCGAAGACGCCAGGTTGGGATCTCTGCGACAACTGTCCATGCAACTGTACCCAGCGTGATCTGGTAAACAAAGCCCTACAAGCATCGTGTTAGAACAGCGTTATCACCAGGATGGGAGGAACTTTTACTTACCCAGACAAACATGAAAGCAATGGTAACGAGATTTGTAGATCGACTACCAGGCAAGGAGGCGCCGCCGACGATAAATAATGTAATAGCACAAATAAACTGTCCCCATACAATAAGAGGCCGTCGACCAACAACGGTCAACAGAGGCCAAGAAAGTATGTTGGCAACAAACATACTGCAGTTGTTCAGCATGCTCAGCAAGAAGGACATCTGCGCACCAAAGCCAGCCAGTTGATAGTAATACGACTGATATCCGAGAACAAAGATGAGACCACTGAGGTATTGACAACCGTAGATAAACATACTGATAAGTGTGCGTTGTCTATCAGGCTTTTGAAAGCACGATGCGTAGGAGACGGATGATGTCTGAGAGCGGTAGTCATGCTCATGTTGAACAGTCTGCTCAATGACTGCTAGAATAGCCTTCTTATCGATGTCCTTTGACGAGCCGTGGAGTCGATCGAGGGACTTGACGGCAGCGTCTCGGCGTCCGACTCGGACCAGCCAAACAGGTGATTCGGGGCAGAGCCAGACGGTAGGAAGAACAATAGCCGGGATAATCCATTGACATACGAATGGGACGATATAAGAGTTGGCGTCATTTCGGGGACCAAGCTTATACATGATTCCAGTGAACAACAGGGTGCCACTGAACTGGATAAAATTGGTCATGGCTGTAAGCCAACCTCGTAGTTTGAGAGGAGCAACCTCTGAAGCGTACAAGGGGCCAATGATCAGCCATGCACCAATGGACAGACCATTGATGGCTTTTCCTACTGTGAGAATAGGGAGAGAGCCGTTATGGGTCGAATGATATTGAACGCCTACTCCGACGATAGAAATAGCGCAGAAGGCCATGTTGGTGTATCGTCGACCGATCTTATCAGCTAACCATCCTGTAATAGCAGCTCCGAGAACAGCTGCAAGCTGAGATACGCCGCCGTAAAGGCTCTGCCACGTAGCAGGGATGATATAAATAGTCGTATCGCCTTGCGCAAGTGTAGTGCCATAGTCTTCCCTGTGAGACAGTCAGTTTGAGTACTCATGACAACAGCTACAAGGCTACTGACCGAAACTTGGGAATTGCGAGCAGATTGCCCGCAATGATACCGTCTATACCATAGCCGAATACAACAAGCTGAACGTATAGAATCCAGAGAGTGCTTCTCCAAAAGACCCGAACGCTCTGGGCGAAGCTGAGGGTCTTTTCGTAAACGATTTGGTTGGCGGCGGCTTCAGCATTGTCCTCTGCCTGCTGGATCTCAAGATGTTCAGCAGTAGTCATTGAGGTAGCCTCCTTCTTCGAATCCATGACAAATATTAGTAAAGAGGTATGAGTAAGGAGATCTTGATCCCCGTAGAAGCAAGTTCTGTAAGGAGCGAGAGAAGCGAAGAACTCGTTATTGACAAGGGGTTTTGTAGTTCACGACAACGCCACAATATGAACACGCTCTAGACAGCTGTGCTAGTGGTCAATGTCTGGTTGGTTACCAAAGATCGAAAGCTACCAGCATCAACCCCATGGGGAAGCGTCTTGGTCTTCCTCCACAGGCCACGATAGGGAACAGTAACCGTGTGGAGATGTTGACTCGACGGAAGAGTCAGCTTGCGGGGTTGGGGCTGCTAACCGCACTAGCTCCAGAGTCATGGGCTAGCGTAGTCTGGGGGCATGGAGTCAATATTGGCGGTTGTGAACGCGGGGTCAGTAGCCGAAGATCAGAGATTGTGAATCATTGGAGCATTGCATGCCAAGACCCTGTGCTTTATTTCTTTGCTGTTTCGTCGCTACCTGAGCCAATCTGTCTCTTCATACTCATCCTTGTATTCTACTCAACGCGCAAGATGACAGTCTCAAACGGAAACAGCTACTCTACAACTTTCGACAACCGGGTTGGCGGTACACCCATTACCCGCGATAATGTCGATCCTTACAAGGTGTCTGAACATATCCTTTGCGCCCCAAGAAAGCTCCGTATTGGATGTATAGGAGCTGGAGCCTCTGGAATCATGATGTGTTACAAGAAAGAGAAAGAATTTGGAGATTCAATTGATCTAGTGGTTTATGAAAGTGAGTAAAACCCAGCCCAAAGGATTAGCCAACTGAGTATGGTCTAATCTCCTCAGGATATCCCAAGCCTGGTGGTGTCTGGTACGCCAACAAGTACCCCGGTTGCCGCTGCGACGTTCCTTCACCAGCGTATCAATACCCATTCCACCCAAAAGCAGATTGGTCCAAATACTATTCGCCTGCGGCTGAGATCCAATCTTATTACGAGTCGTTTGCGAGAGAGAAAGGTTATGTGGATAACTATATCAAATTGTCTCATCGCGTCGATAAAGCAAAATGGGATGAGCCCAATGGACAGTGGGTTTTGAGTGTCACGGAGACTACTAATGGCAAAGAACGAACCTTTGAAGATAGGGTTGACTTCTTGATCGCCAACATCGGCATCTTGAATACTTGGAAGTGGCCCGACATTCCTAATCGTGAGGCATTCCGTGGACACATGACCCATTCAGCGGATTACGATACCAACCTTGATCTACACGGCAAGACGGTGATTGTCATTGGATCCGGTGCCTCTGCTATCCAGATTGTCCCAGCCATCAGGACTACCGCAAAGAAGGTCATCTCGTTCTATCGCACGCCGCAATGGATCGGACCTGGCTTGGCCATGGATGGCTACACGGACTCTGAGGGACGAAACTTTCACTGTTAGTAAGATGAGACTCATTTATGAGCGCATTTAACGGAAGTTTAGATACCGACGAGCAAAAGAAGCAGTTCGCAGAAGACCCAAAGGCATACTTGGAGCATCGGAAGGCGATGGAGACAAAGATCAACGCGAGCTTTCGACATAACATCGCTGATCATCCAAGCCAGAAGATGGCTCGCGATGTAAGTACAAACGGGTTGATCCTAATGGCTATCAGTATCTGACATTTATCTACAGTTCGTGGCTCAGAGAATGGCCAAGATCCTGAAGAATGATGACAAACTGACTCAACGACTGATCCCAACATTCCCCATGGGATGTCGTCGCCTTGGCCCAGCTGAAGGATTCCTCGAGTCATTCCACGAGGATAACGTGGAATTAGCCGAAGGCGAAATCGAATCATTCACCGAAAACGGTCTGCGCGTTACCGATGGAACAGAGTATAAAGCAGACGTCATCATATGCGCCACTGGGTTCAACGTCAGCTTCAAGCCGCATTTTCCCGTCATTGGCCGCGAGGACGTGTCGCTTGGTGAAGCCTGGAAGGATGATCCAGCGGCGTATCTTGCGCTTGCTGCGAGTGGCTTTCCCAATTTCATGTGTAAGTTATCTTGGCTCTATTTTGATGTTCGGGGCTGATTGATATGTAGTGGGTTCATTGGGGCCGAACTGTCCTGCCGGGCATGGGTCGTTCATCACTGTCTTGGAAGCAGCGCAGAACTATATCTGCAAGATCATCAGGAAGATCCAAACGGAGAATATCCTCACCATGGATGTCAAGCCTGAGGTTGTAGACGAGTATAACGAACATGTGCATGAGTGGTTGAAGCGGACGTAAGTGAAACCCCGCACCACAGAGGTTTAGATTTGCTAATGGCCATTGACAGTGTCTGGGCTGCTGGTTGTCGTTCATGGTATAACCAAGGTCGACCGAATGGCAAGATCACGGCGCAGTATCCAGGATCTCTTGTTCACTGGCGGTTGATGCTTGAGAATCCGCGCTATGAGCACTATAACATCCAGTACCGAAGCCGAAATAGGTTTGAGTTTATGGGCAACGGCTTCACGTTACCGGAAGTGGATGGTGGAGATTTGGCATGGTATTTGGATCCAGAGTACATAGCAAAGCCTCTTTTCTCAGATTAATTATAGATAGCTAAGCAAATTTCATGGTAATGTTACATTAAAACTCTTGTATTTAGGTAGTATTGCTCTTCCACTGTGGATATCGATTAAAGAACTCCTTATCCAACTTCCAATTGTTCAAATCCAGTATCTTAGAAACGAGTTGCTGCGGGTCATGAACGAGATCAGATTCAGACGTCGAGATTTCCACGGTGAGATATTTCCCCACGTCAGCAGAAACATCATACACACGTTCCGGATCTGACATTGACATCTGAACGAGACCTTCTCTTATTGCAGGCCTATCAACTGTCAGCGAAGAGTCTAGTGTTTACGTAGAATGCCAGACTTACCATGCTATAAGATCAGCTGCCATGGGGTGATGCACGACAAGCTGCAAGGGCGTAGGACGAAGCCAGGGCGGCAAGCTATGGTAGGCATCTTCACTACGAAGAATCTGCCACTGTTACGCGTTAATGATAATTCTCAAACAGTGCGTGGGACACATACCCTCAGTAAGAGATACAAAACCCAATAAGTAGCGAGATATTCTGAAGTCCGACGTGCTTTTCGTACGGGCTCTAAATAAGCCTTTAGATCAGTCGACAGTGAATTCTGTTTATTATCAACCAGAAAGTCGATCAGTACCGGTGGTCCAATAGACTCTGGGTTCTGGCTGGCACGCTGTATCATATCATGCAGGAACACGTCTTTGGCGAGGGATGAAAACATCAGCATGGACATGTTTGGGCGGAAGGCGGGGAGGTTATGCTTCATGCAAGCATCGAATAACTCCGTGAAGCCGTCGAGAGGATCTGGGGCATGCTGCTTTCCATGCTGGGAGGATGAACTGTCTTCAGCTTCTGGGAAATGATCCATGCCGTCATTTTCTCGGAGTAGATGGCTCGGGCTGCTTATCCATCTCATGGTCATGGCGGTTTCAGATTCATCACCGTGATACACTCGAGGTGTCTCCATTTGTGTTGAGTCGATCGTGGAGAAGTGATCCAGGTCTTTGTTCCGGAGTGTGAGGGATTGCGAGTGAGTAAGTTCGGTGGTGGCTCTGTCGCTGTCATCAGAATGATCCATGTTGGCCAGATGAAAGCCGTCACCGAGAATCGCATCCATGGAATCACCCTCTGTGTTTAGTAGTTGGGAGCCATCGTGTATGTCCAATGTCGTACAATGAATCAGGTCGTCAGGTAGATCGTGTCTTGATGAAGCATCATGAAGCATGAGACCGTCCAGATCCGATAGTCCTGTCGCTTCCAAATGATCATCCATTGTCACGGCTGCTGGCTCTGCAGTAGGACGCCCTTGAGCGGTGTCGTTGAAGTTTGAAGACCTCGCTGCAAATGACTGTGCGGAAGCATCCCGTTCGTTATTGCTACCGTAGCTAGGCGTTGGACTACCATCGGATGGGATCAATTGAACATTGAGTATCGAGTTTAGTCTTAGGTCGCGTTGACGTTGCAGTATGTTCTCCATCTCGTCCCAGAGACCGCGCATTTGTTGGAGCTGCCAACTCGATTAGCCACTTCATTGGGGGCAAAATGAATGAGAGAGGAGACCAACCTCATCTTGTAACTGCAGGTTCTGGGCAGCAAGTTGAGATGCCTCAGTCTTGTCAGCTGATTTGAGAAGTGATATCTGAGCCTCCAATCCTTCGATGTATTGCTTCTGCCGCTTCCGATGTTGTCTTTGCGCATTCCTGTCAGTTTGGCGCTTCTTTGCGCGTCGCGATTCAGCGTCGGCGGTCATATTCAGGGCCTCGTTTGCGCCAAGCAATGGCATCGATCGGATTGACTGAGTAGTAGAGAAAAAAGTCCACCGTCTTCTATTTGTGATATCGACAGCAATTATTGTGTAAGACCGTTACATGTGTCGCAACGGATGTGATGGAAACAAGAGAAAGAATATTTGCCATCGGACCCCTTCCCCCTCTTTGAGCTTCAGACCATTTTCCCTGAAATAGTTAGACTGACGGGGTCTTGTAAGCCCCGGAATCGATCTCGACCCCGCAGATCCCCCAGCTTTCAGATAAGCTAGCCACTTACGCCTTGGAGAAGAGGTCGACCTTAACCAGTGCATTTTGACAATGATGCCTGGTATCTCAAAGATCGCAGATGACCGAGTGTGAAGCTTGAAAGGCAATTTGCGAAGGGACTTATGCAAATTCTTCTGCTTATATCACCGCGTTTCTATGATTATATTGGACTGATGTGTACCTAAACTGCTTATCCAGGTTGCACCTTGCTAGATCAACGTGTAACGCCGCCTCGTGTAAGAAATAATGAGGCTATCTTTTCTTTCCATTGACGAAGTCTACAGTGGAAAGTTTAATACCCAACACGGCTTGGTTTTGATACGAAGAAGCGTGTTGAGTCGTATCACCATATTGATCTCAATCAACCTGGCCAAATCCTAAGATATTCCCCCTTGCCTTCCAGATGTCGGTACGTCTGGGCATGACTTGTGGAAGGTGTGGAGAGTGTCTTTTAGATCGCCTCAAAAGATGGAATGGAAATAAATGAATATCAAGAACTTATCCAAGTCAAGTGTTGAATGGTACTGCACTGTCAAGCCATTTCCCGCTAACCCTAATGGTTCTAGTGATGTGACATAACCGAGGGTTCATGCTGACTCGACTGACTGACTCGACTGTTTTCCCCGCATTCAAATGTCATTATTCCCTGCATGATTTTCCCCTCAGTAACCCTACCCTACCCTTCGGCTATGTACCGTCAGTCCGGGTCAGATGACGCCGAGTATACTACTGAATCATGATATGAAGACAATGAAAAAGGCTTGGTCTAGCTGGGAAGATCGCGATTTGTCCACTGCACGTTCTTTGAATTAGCCCATCTCCGATCTTATACTGTTTCATCCATCATGACTATCTCGCAAAGCAATCATGAGAGCAATGGCACTCGGCCACCAACAATCCCAACTACACAAGGATATGGCCATCATCCACTTCACGACAGATCACAGAGACCATTGAAAGTCATTGTCGTGGGTGCAGGACCTTCAGGAATCGCAGCTTTGATCGAGCTGAAGAAACTCCCGCACGTTGAGTTTTTGTGCTTCGAGAAGAATGCTGATGTTGGAGGGACATGGCTGGAGACGAGGTACCCCGGAGCAGCGTGCGACGTTGCAAGTCACGCGTACCAGTATTCGTTTGATTACAAGACGGATTGGTCCCGACAGTAAGTCACAATGGATTGGTACCGATTTGAGGTTGCTAATGATGGCAATAGCTTTTCACCCGCTGAGGAAATTGGCGAGTACTTCATCTCAGTAGCCAAGAAGCACGATCTATACAACAAAATCACTTTCAACTCCCGGGTGATTGGCGCCGAGTGGGACGAGAATACCGGGCTTTGGCGGGTTCAGGTCGCGCGCGACATCTCGCCCGAGAGTGATGCTGTTATTGAAGACCATCATGCTCACGTTTTCATCAACGCTGGCGGTATCTTGAATGATTGGAAGTGGCCTGATATCGAAGGCTTGCACACCTTTAAAGGGAGATTGATACATACAGCTGCTTGGGTAAGATGAGCCATGACCTTGTTCAAACGCTTGGTCAGTCACTGACTAACAATAATTAGGACCCCGAAATCGACCTGAAAGGCGCGTCTGTCGGTATTATCGGATCTGGCGCAAGCAGCATACAGGTAGTCCCAACCATACAGCCATTATGTGACAAGATCGACGTATATGTGCGATCGCCTACATATATTCTACCTACAGTTGGATTTGGCATAGAATCTTCCGACTTCAACGCGCCATGTAGGGAGCCGCGATGTTGTCAAGATCTTGTACTGACTGTTTATAGATACTGAGGCGGATATCGAGCGTTTTAACAACGACCCCGAGTATTACAAGGTGTTTAGAAAGCAGATTGAACAACAGATGAATGAGAACTTTGCTGCTAGCATTAAAAACTCGGAAGCGCAGGAGAAAGGCAGACAGGTATGCTGATATGAGCACAGCTGGGAGAGTATCATTAACCTTGATGTAGTGGGCAGAAAAGATGATGAGCTCGGCGATCGCCTCACCAGAGCTGAGAGAGAAGCTCATTCCAAGGTATGGCATCTTATTATTCCCCACATGTTCATTTCTGACGCTCTCCGACAGCTGGGAACTTGGATGCCGACGACTTACTCCTAGCTTGCCGTATCTCAAGGCCATCCAGGAACCCAACGTAAATGTGATCAGAACAGGCATTCGCAAGATCACAGAAAAGGGAATTGAGACGGACGATGGTGAGATCCATCAAGTCAATGTCCTTATCTGTGCGACTGGCTTCAACACCTCCTTCTCTTCCAGATTCAACATTGTCGGCCGAAATGGTACGAGTCTGCGTACTATGTGGAAAGCTCGAGGTCCAGAGGCCTACCTCGGAATGGCTATCACAGGGTTACCAAATTACTTTAGTGAGCCACAATGAACGGGTCATTTAGAGAGATATACTAACGACCACTAGCCTTGCTGGGACCTAATTGTCCTATCGCCAACGGGTCTCTCATTCCCTGTATCGAGTCGAGGTGCGTCTTCTGTCTTCTAACCACAATGGCACCGAACTCACAGTGTCTGCAACAGTGCCAAGTACATCATGCAAGCGATCACAAAGATCCAAACAGACCAGATACGCTCACTGGATGTGAAGCAACCGATCCAAGACGCGTTTAATGACTATGTTCAAGAAGTTCACAAAGACCTAGTTTGGACAGGATCTTGCCAAAGCTGGTGTATGAATTTCTACCCAACCAACTAACGATCTATGCTGATTCATGATCTGTAGACAAGGACCGAAACTCAGGCCGAGTTGTTGCAGTCTGGCCAGGGTCAAGCATTCATTTCATGGAGATGATAGCTCATCCGCGATGGGAAGACTTCAACATTGAATACACAAACGTGCGTAACGTGATCTGATGGGTAACCAAGGCTAACAACAGGGCCAGTTGAACCCTTTTTCGTTTATGGGCAATGGCATTTCTCAGCGCGAGGCGAAGGGTGAAGATCTGACATACTGTGAGTAACTTGGATTTCAACCAAGCGGACGTTGGCTTACACTTTAAGATCTCGACGATATGATACAGGGCACGAAGGTTTGATCGGATAGGGTGCAGGAAGCTTGCTCTAAAACGCTTTAGGCATTGTTGGGATCGTAACAGTGCCTGCTTCTTAGATATGTATGAAAAGGCAATGGGCCCTTCGTAAACTAGATAAAGACTGATGAGACCGCGGTATTTACTTATTGTGAGGTTGATATGTCTGTATTTGCCATCCTCTGTTCTTAGAAAGCCCCTGAAACTCCCTGAGTTTGGTGACTTTCATTGCACATGTCTCCCGGTCGGCTTCAGGGTTCGAGTCAGCTTGTTTTGTCATAACAACCCGGCCCAAGGGTATAAGTGTCTGAGATTCCTCCAACTTCACATACTCCTAGCCGTCTCAGAGACGAGCGCTATCTTTCTTGCGTAGATCACCATGTCGCCTCAAAGCCCCGAGAAAGCATTCAGCAATGGCGTTGCTGTGATCACAGGAGCTGGAGGAGGGTTGGGCTCCGGCCTCGCACGTCATATTGCCTCCTTCGGAATGACCGTCATTATCGCCGACATCGATCTTAAACGTGCCGAGGAAGTCGCTTCTGGTATCAAAGCCGCAAATGGAAAAGCCGAGGCCAAGGCCGTCGACGTATCGCGGCCAGACGAGTTGGATGCACTCGCTGAACACGTTCACAATCGTTACGGAGATGTTCAACTGCTTATCAACAACGCGGCGATTGAGACGCTGGGTCCATTGTGGGAGTTATCTTCCACGCGCTGGGAGACTACCTTGAACGTCAACGTTCACGGTGTTATCCATGGTGTTCGGGCCTTTCTACCTCGTATGATGGCTTCAGGAAAGGTATGCTGGATCGCCAACGTTTCGAGCGTCGGGGCATTCACCACTATCCCAGGCCAGTCAGCATATGCCGTAACAAAGCATGCCGTTCAAGCTTTCACTGAGTCATTGCGCGTGGAACTGATGTCTCGAAAGGCGCCAATACATGTGAGCTCTGTCATTCCGGGACTGTTGAATACTGGTATCTTCGACCGTGCTCAGCATGATGATTCTGCGGTTGATCCGGCTTGGGAGAAACATCGAAAGTCAATGGCTGAGTTGGCACGGGAGAAGGGAATGGGTATTGATGAAGCGAGCCGTTTGATTGTGGAACAAATCGCAGCTGGGAGGCTCTGGGTTTGTACCCATCCAGATATCATGGCTGAGATTTTACAACAGAAGATCGAGTACTATAAGGACCAAGCAGAGCCTAATGTCCCCCCAGCATAGAGAGAGTAGATACAACCAAAGACATCCTTTTGCTTATCGCTTGATAAAAAGAAAACTTGAAACGATCGTAGAACTGTGAATCGGCCTGTTCAAGTCTATGGCTTTTAGGATAGCTTGAGATTACCTCTATTCTAAGAAGACCACCACCTTTCATAGTAGCTCACTCTGTCGCATAAAGCCGATCAAGTCATCTTTAGTCGAAATCCCATACAACAGAATAAAGCGGGCAAAAGAAAAGTAATTGACTCAAGTCTTGTAAGCCATAATCTACAGTTTAGCTCTCTGCGTCTCCATCCTCTCCTTCCATGCATTATTCAACACTCGACGCAGAATCTTGCCCGATGCGCTTTTAGGGATCTGATCCACGAACTCAACACCTCCAGCCAAACGTTTGTGTTTTGCCTTCCTCGCCGCAACGAAGTCCTGTAAATCCCGTACAACCTCAGGTCCCCCGTCGACCCCGCCTGCAAGGACTACGAATGCTCTAGGCTTCTCACCAGAGTAGTCATCGGGGATGCCAATTATAGCAGCGTCCTTAACTTTGGGATGGCCGTGAAGCAGATCCTCGAGCTCGGCTGGAGCCACTGCATGTCCTCGCACCTAGATTGTCACAAGTCAGCTTATTGAATCCTACATCGCAGGACGCAAGACTTACTTTGATCATCTCTTTGATGCGGTCATGGATGGTGATGAATCCTTCGTTGTCGATAGAGCCAAGATCACCGGTTTTGAAGAATCCATCTTTTAGATACGATGCCGCCGTTTCTTCCGGTCGATCGAGGTATCCCATTGTGACTTGAGGACCCTTCGCCCATATCTGCCAGGCAAAGGTCAGCGTTGGTCACACGTACTTCGATATGAAGTTGCTCACCTCTCCAACATTTCCAGCTGGTACATCCTCTCCTGTATCGGGGTCTACGACACGTATTTTGGTACCTGCAACCAACTTGCCAACCTTGGAGGCATTGCTCCAGGTGCTCAAATCTGGCGGAGTCACCGTCAAGCAAGAAGTAGTCTCTGTCATTCCCCAGGCTTGTCGGACGGCAACAGTCGGGAACTTTCTCGCAAGCTGAGCGATCACTTGATCGGCTAATGGGGCCGCGCCAGTATTGAATTGTTTGACAAACGACAAGTCATACCCTTGGGCGGACTTGTCATTCAATAATCGGATCAACAGAGCTATCGAGTCAGTTCAGGGTTCCCTTTGACTGACGGGAAGGTTGACTTACGAGGTACGAGCCATAGCTCATCGCATCTGAACCTCACAATTACTTCCATCATCTGCTTCATGTCAAATTTTGCCATGACAACCATCTGCTGCTCGAGAACGATGGGTAGGTGAAGTAAGTGGACCAAACCGGTGACTAATCATGTCAGTCAAGGATATCTTGATTGCCTGGTTGACTTACTATGGTAAAAGGGCAGAACACCTAATACTGTGCGATTTCTGTTGGGAGGGGTAAGGGCGCTGATCTGACGGATTTGACTGATGACGTTCGCGTGAGATATCTGGACCTGGTGACCACCGAGATTAGAATCAACTTATCGCCTTGTCTGGGAGCGTCTATTGGTTAGAGCCGAAGCGCCCGACTTACAGCTTTAGGCTTTCCAGTAGTACCGGAGCTCCAAGAAAGAAATGCACATGGCGACGCCTCGTTGTATTTAGGCTCCCAAGATTTCGTGTAGGATAGAGTGTCGAGTGACTCTCCTCGTTGACGCAGACCTTGAAGGCTGTTTATCTCATGCTTGGGTCCATCTAATATTAGAATACTCTTTTCTGGTATTCCGATTGCTTTGCAAGCGGCTGTAACTTGGTCAACGGCGCCCTCGTCACAAAACACAAGCGACGTCTTCGAAGTTCCGAGGAAGTAGGCCAGATCATCTCGCATAGAGCCAGGTGGCAATAGCGTAACTACAGCACCCAGTCGACTCGAAGCTAACATTGCAGCAGGATACCAAATGGAATTCTGCCCAACGATTGCAATCTTTTGCCCAGGTCTGACATCATATTCTCGATGAAGAATTGTAGAGACGGTGATGGCAATGGACTTTAGGTCATGAAATGATAGGAATTCGCCCGTGGCGCTGTCATGAAATCCGCGAGTCTGTGATAGTACTGGATCCGCTGATGGAGATTGGCCTAATTCGATCTCATCGCCCTCGAAGATCCATTGCCATATGGAGGGGTTCCCAATCACTGGCCATAAAAAGTTAGCGTTATCAGCGGTTTCCTTAGCGTGACCTACGGGGTTCTAATTGCGGCCCGGAAAAAGACATTGTCGACAAATAGGAAATAAACAAACACGGCCAATGTGCTCCAATACCTCCTATCAGCATCTGGCTTTATTGCCTCTTCTGTAAGAAGTGTATCGTGGATAATTACTGTATGACATAGCATGCTATGGCCCTCTGACTCGGGTGGAGAATACTGACTAGCGAGGTTGACTCGATGCATGACTACGTGCATCGGTAATTGCTAACTCGGACCGAGATCGGATTATCCGTCATGCTTTCCAGCACTACATCACATATCTCCTCATTTAGATTATTTCATCTTCAACCACCCGTGAAAGCAATCAAAGCTATAACCGGTCTTATAACTCGGTAGAAGCATCGGTGCTCGGGTACGCAGCCATACACTTTCTCATCCATCCAACCCCACATTACATCTGCGAAATGGAAGCTTCACCAATAACCGTGGCTGTTATTCACACTCCTTACTGGAATCTATCAGATGTCGGTTGCCTGAGAAATGGATCGCACAACGTCTTGATACCTGCACTTCTTTACCTCCGAGCCTCCGATATTGAGAAGACACCTTCTTCACCTCCTACATCGCATCGCTCTCGAGAACGAAAGAGGAAATGCACTCAAAGAAATCATCGCCACTCAGCTGAGAAGCATCTGTATCAGTCTTCTCATGACTCAGATACGGAGCATTCAAACCCATCTCCCTGCTCAGTGGGCTCCAATGATTCAAGCGGCCAGAATGATAGAGACCCCTCAAACATTCTCTATAAATTGAATACGACGGACCACGAACGCCTGCTAATAAATGATCTCGACAATGAGAGACGGCATGATGAGTATTACTGTTCGGCTCCGTCAACTCCAGGTTATACACCCGCATCAAAAAAGAGAAGAAGGCATGACGACGACGTATCGAGAGCGAGGGAACGGAAGTCGCCAGAAGAGGAGAAGGACGAGTATGAGCGATGGGTAATAGGTTCTTGGGACAATCTATTCTCAAGAGCATCTATATATCCTGAGTAAGATGTCAAGATAGCATGCGTAGCTTCTGCGTGTGTAATTGCATTTGAGTGACATAACAGTAAGTCAGCACCTTGTCCCGTACAAGCCCAAGCTGACGAGACGAAGAGCCATTCCCAACATGCCTAACAATCGACGCGAAACCTCATTTCCGCCTGTTAATCGCCCCAATTACCGAAGATTTGAGGAAATAACACGAAACCGCCGCTTTATCCCGCAAAGATTAAGATGAAAGCTGGGTGACATTCCTCGTGCTAAAGGCTACTATTCTTGAGGAGCAGAAGACTATACTTCGCCCTAGTGACAGCTGGGATGAGCAGTTCAAGCGGTTGTGGTAACTGGTGGAAAGGAGGAAGAAGGGCCATCGCGAGGCTCGAGAGACACGAGCAACTGGACAAGATCCATTGGAGGGCCGTGGAGCTGGCCCAAAGGCAGACTGGGCACTAGTGCGTGTTGCAGTGATTTGTGGATGAACGAAAGGCTGTTCAGGGGGCAGTCAATGGTGGGCAATTGCCATAAAGGATGACTTTGAGCTGGGAGGCTCAGAGCTTACGAAAGCAACAACCAGATTCCAGGCTTATTGTCAAATGCCTACGAAATTTGGCACCTGGACCTATATGATCGGTGATGCCTCGTGTAGGAAGCTCCCGGTCAGGCTTGAAAGAGGGTAGATATCGCTCGTGGGCAACTGGCCATGCTCTTCGTGAATTTCTGTCTGCTCCTCTCGGCCCTGGTCAGGTTCAGCCTGTAAACAGATAACAGAACAGACTCTTTCAAGAAATCCAATGAATACTCCAGGCTGGGATGAGCCAGTATGTCCATGTAGTCTCGGGCCTTGAGCACGGAGGTCTGGTGAGAATTTCGTCTCTTTGCACTGCAAGTAACTCCATAAGCTACAGCCAGGCATTGTCCTAGCACATACGACCATACCTATCAGAAAACTCGGGATCCCGTCCGCTCTCCCATAGATAAGCTGATAAGGGGCGGATTAGTAGTTGGGTCGGTGACGACCAGCGAATCCCCGCTGTTGTATGTTTTTTGGTGTTCTATCTTATTCCTTTTTGGCCTTGTTCTCGTTTGGTCCAGTGCTGAGGCCCTTCAGCTGTGTTGCTTGCCAGCGCAAGCGCGCATATGGAGCCAACGCGGCTTTTAACAAAGTAACTGTTGTCTTTAAGAACATTATAGATTCTTAGTCATTTTCGGCAACATGTTAGGTTTAGGAGGAGCTTGAGGTCATCTTTATATCACAGAAAGATCAGTCACTGCAATAGGCCAAGAGGATCAGTTTACAGCCAACTGCTAAAACATAGCAGTCTTGTTTACCTCTCTCTCTGAAGAGCTTATTGGAACCACAGGTAGGGCAGGAGCAAGACAGGGAGTGAAAATTTTAGAGGCCGATGCCGCAAGGACGATAGACGTCCCGCCGGGGAAAAAGAGAACGATGTCACAGGCCGGGTAAAGGTCGGCGATGGGCAACGATCGAGCTTTATCACTAACTCCATTGAGGTCACATTGCCGGCGAGCGCATAATTCCGGGGTAAATGCAGCCAAGCTTAACCCCAAACCAGAAAGGCGGGGGTGGAGAAAACTGGGGAGATGGTCTGTCTAATTGTGAACCTGGTAAATCCATCCTCTCTGAAAAGTCGGGGAAACCAATGTCAGGCGACAAGACAGACCCCACAGTCCCAGTGACTTGGTAAAAGGCCCGAATATCCTCGACTTTTTCTGTAAAAGTAACGCTATTGCCGAGTTTCCTGCCCATTTCAAAGCATTGCGTAAAAGCTAGAGGCCAAGATCCATTATTCAGAATCACCATGTTATTTGCTAAGTTCCCCGATGGTGTTGAGACAAGTGACCAGACAAGCCGATATGTTTGCCGATGAGCGGGGGATCAATGGCCGAGTCGTGTTGTTTTTACATGCTGTAGGCTCGAGTAGGAGTATATAAAGAGTGCAGATTCTCAAGGTAAGTGCAGTATGTCCAGACAAGCAATCGAGTCGCAATGTTTCCTACATCCATATCTTGTTTGGTGGCCCTGTCTTTGTTGAGCAAGGGTCTACTAGCTCAGAATCAACCGGATAATGTCATCACTGATGATACTTACTTCTACGGTCAATCGCCAGCGGTTTATCCTACACGTGAGTTCCCTCTCTACAAAAACTTCACATGAGCCAGACTGATTTCTTGATAAGCGGAACAGGTAGACACAGGATCATGGGCTGCCGCTGTAGCCAAGGCCAAGAACTTGGTATCCCAGTTAACTCTTGAAGAAAAGGTCAACTTGACAGCAGGAGGCCAGACAACTACCGGTTGTTCGGGCTTCATCCCCGGCATTCCTCGTGTTGGCTTCCCTGGGCTGTGCTTAGCAGATGCTGGTAACGGAGTCCGAAACACAGATTATGTGAGCTCATTTCCTTCAGGAATCCATGTCGGTGCAAGCTGGAATCCTGAATTGACTTACAGCCGGAGCTACTACATGGGTGCCGAGGCTAAAGCAAAAGGCGTCAATATCTTGCTTGGTCCAGTGTTTGGACCTTTGGGCCGAGTAGTTGAAGGCGGTCGCAATTGGGAAGGTTTCTCCAATGATCCGTACCTTGCAGGCAGGCTGGGACATGAGGCCGTCGCTGGTATCCAGGATGCAGGAGTTGTTGCGTGCGGGAAGCATTTCCTGGCTCAGGAGCAAGAGACTCATAGACTTGCCGCATCAGTCACTGGGGCCGAAGCTATTTCATCGAACCTCGATGACAAGACACTCCATGAGTTATACCTTTGGTAAGTACACAGCACCTTGGCTGCATCGAGGGACTTTACTGACGCCCGAACAGGCCCTTCGCCGATGCGGTCCATGCCGGACTCGCCAGCGTGATGTGCAGCTACAACAGGGCCAACAACTCACATGCCTGCCAGAACTCCAAGCTTCTCAATGGCCTTCTGAAGGGCGAACTGGGCTTCCAGGGTTTTGTCGTCTCCGACTGGGGAGCGCAACAATCTGGTATGGCTTCAGCGTTGGCTGGCCTGGATGTTGCAATGCCCAGCTCGATTGTGTGGGCTGCCAACCTGACCCTTGGTGTGAATAATGGAACTATTCCTGAATCACAAGTCGACAACATGGTTACAAGGTATGAACATAACCCGGCTCGGTTGGCTTGTGTCTTCTCACTGACAACCGCGTAGAATTCTTGCAACTTGGTACCAGTTGAATCAGGACCAAGACACTGAAGCTCCTGGTCACGGGCTGGCTGCCAATCTTTGGGCCCCTCACCCGGTAGTCGACGCTCGTAACGCGAGCTCCAAGCCTACACTTTGGGACGGTGCCGTCGAAGGCCACGTTCTGGTCAAGAACACCAACAATGCACTGCCACTCAAGTCCGACATGAAGCTCGTCTCTTTGTTTGGATATTCCCACAAAGCCTCAGACAAGAACACCCCAGAGCCCGCCCAAGCCATGTTCTCCCCCTGGTCTGTCGGTGTTCAGTCCGCAAACCTTACCGAGTTGAACACCGGCTTTCTTGGAAACCTAAGCCTCACATACTCAGCCATTGCACCCAACGGAACCATAATTTCAGGTGGAGGTTCTGGTGCTAACGCATGGAGTTCGTTCAGCTCGCCTTTCGACGCTTTCGTTACCCGCGCGAGAAAGGACGGCACTGCGCTTTTCTGGGATTTCGAAAGCTGGGATCCTGTCGTCAATCCTACTTCTGAAGCTTGCATAGTTGCTGGTAATGCATGGGCCAGTGAAGGCTGGGACAGACCTGCTACCTATGATGCTTATACTGATGAGCTCATTAATAACGTTGCCGACAAGTGCGCAAATACCATCGTGGTTCTTCACAACGCGGGCACGCGCCTGGTGGATGGCTTTATTAGTCACCCCAATGTCACCGCTGTTATCTTCGCACATCTTCCGGGTCAGGACAGTGGAGATGCTCTTGTGTCGTTGCTTTACGGCGACGAGAACCCATCAGGTCGCCTCCCGTACACCGTTGCCCGCAACGAGACGGACTATGGTGGCTTGCTGAAGCCAGACTTGACTCTTGCCCCAGACCAGTACCAATACTTCCCTCAATCCGACTTTGCGGAAGGTGTTTTCATTGATTACCGACATTTCGATGCCAAAAACATCACGCCTCGCTTCGAGTTTGGCTTTGGCCTGAGTTACACAAGCTTTGAGTACACCGATCTTCAAATCTCCAACTCCCAGGCCCAGACTCAGGAATACCCAACTGGTACTCTGACCGAGGGAGGGCGTTCAGATTTGTGGGATGTAGTTGCTACTGTGACAGCAAACGTCGGCAATACCGGGGCTGTTGACGGCAAAGAGGTTGCGCAGGTCTACGTTGGAATTCCCGGTGATGGTCCTGTGAGACAGCTGCGTGGGTTTACGAAGCCATCTATCAAGGCTGGAGAGACTGTTGGTGTGACATTTGAGCTCACCCGTCGGGACTTGAGTGTCTGGGATGTTAGTGCGCAGGAGTGGCAACTTCAGCAGGGTAACTACACTATCTCTGTCGGACGAAGTAGCCGAGATCTACCTTTACAGGGAACCCTTTGCATTGGGTCATGATTCCTTAAGAAATGCGGTCTGTATTTAGTTATCTAAGTCTATATCTCTAATACTTTGTATCATGAATTACTCGTGTCTGTCTCACTTTATACTGAGTGTTTGGTATAATACCTGGACTGCAAATGGCGGTAACATCTTGGTATGTTTTATAATTTCTTTATCAAGTGCGGCAGGGTCCATCAAGCACGACACTTGAAAGGCTTCAACCCATACTTATACTCTTTAAACCAACACTTAAACATCACGGTTATTCTAAGGCAGTATGGATAAAAAGGGAATTCTGAAATTTAGTGTAATAGCAAGATTAATTCCTTCATCTAGTTTTAATACCTACTGCCAAACTACAGTTTAATTCCCCACAACTCTCTTGAGCGTTCTAAGCCCTGCTAGACAGTCGATACCCTTGGTTTCTTACTCCTCCTCCAGAAGCTTTTCAAGTTCAGCCTCGACCTTCTCAGCTCGTGCCAAGTGGCGATCAGCCAATTCCTGCGCAGCCTTCTTCTCCTCATTTGCCTGCTTCAACAGCTCCTTGAGTCGCTTGTTAAGCAGCTCAAGAGAAGCAATCTCAGCCTTGTCACCACCGTTCTTGTTGACAGTTGGTGCAGCCGTCATAGCCTTGGCGTTGCGACGGAAGCTTCCAAGAGTGAAAGAAAGGGATTTGGCGAGTTTCTCCCACTGCTCGGGATACTCAACCTCTCCTTCGTTGCACTCCTCGAGACGCCAGACCGGAGCGAGAAGCTCAGCGAGCTCGATGTCGGATTCGGTGATCTTGTCGGCGTTCGGGAGAGGGCCGGACTCTTCGTGCTTGTTGTGATAGCGAAGGAGTTGGCGCGCTCGGAGGCGAGTGTTTTCTTCGGATGTTGCCCAGGCCATTATGGATGACTGGAAGTGAAAGCGAATTGTTTTATTTGTTAAGTTGGTGTTTTGTGGTTGAGATATTATGATGTCTCGAATAGAGTTGTCTTTAGAGTTGATGGTAGATAAAAAAGAAAGTTAGATGCCGAGGAGGGATTGCGTATAAATAGTTAAAATTGGTCCTCCAAGCTTGCAAGGCCTCAATTGGAAGTCAGATGTTCCTCAAAGCTAACCTCAGACTCTTGCATGTTCAAAAGGCTAGTATGAGCTATAGCAGTATTCTATGGACGATTACGTGCACTGAATCCTTTGTAACATTTCTAATGTTCACCAGGCTCATATTGTCCTTTGTCCCAAGTCAAGGCGACATGGTTCGAACACGCATGAACGCTAAGATTGGGCAAGCAGGTCTAGGCCTTTTACTCGGCAGTTCAAAGGACAGTAACTAGAGAACAAAGAGAACATTTAACTTTCCAAGGATCCGTGAACATGCCACCTCCGCTACGTTCAAGCTATTTTGGATGACTGGGGTGACGTTTGGTGAGAGACATGCTGAAATGATGAACAGAATAGGCACGATGAACATAGGCAGAGACCTAAATCAACACTCTTTGTTATCACCATTTTCTCCAACAACGACAAGCTCCACGGTTTGGCAACCCATATTTCACCACAACTAGAAACTAAAAGTATTAAAACAAGTATTGATCTATGTGTACATTCTTAATTTCCTAGTCTGCAATAGCAAGAGGCATTAATAGAAACGTCAGAACCTGCTAGTGCTTTTTGTAAGTGGCCTTCAATATCCTTAGCCTCTGGATTTCTCCCCAATCTCAACAAACTTTCGTGAAGACCGTGCAGTGCCCACACATTATTAGGGTGCCTCAAAGCTCGAGGGAGGTTATCGTTGAGTCCCAAGTCTGTCTTATAAACCTCAACTGCCTGCTCGAGGTATCCCTGCTCCATCAGCAGGGCACCATATGCATGGCGGGTAGGCTGCATCCATCCCCAGGGTTCGTCGTAAGGGAGATTATCCTCCCGAAGAATAGCCTCACGAAGGTGCTCAAAGGCGACATCATAATTCTTTCGCCGGTATTCCAGTTCACCATCGAGCATAGCCTCAGCCACTCGAAGAATATCTAGACACTTGTTGTTGAAAAGAGTGCGTGAGGATGGAACTCTCTCTAGGGATTTATGGAAAAGCCCTCGATGGTGTTCCGATTCCGATACTCTCCCAGTAGCAGCAAAAGCTACACTCTTCGCATACAAGATGATTGACGTGGTCATACAGTATAATCCCTTGTCTTCCGGTAGCTTCATATCAATTAGGTCCTGCCATCTTCCGAACCTGACCAAGATATGGGCACGGAGGCTCAGAAACGCTTCGAGCCAGTCAGCCATAGGCGGAGACTCGATTTGAAGAAGACCCTTTGGGATAGTAGACTCTAACTGATCAGCAGTATCAATGCAAACTTTGAACTGCCCCGCAAGCATAGCGGCATAAACTCGAAAATGAAGATCGTGGCATCGATATAGAGAATAAAAGTTCAGGGGCCCAGCTTTAGATAGATACTTATCATCAGCTTTGATCGCCTCTGAGTTTGAGTCAATGGCTGCTTGGTAATGTCCACAGAGCACGTCGAGATGAGTTGGCATGTGGTGTAAATGTCCTCCGTCAGGTACGAGCCCACGCAGGTGGTTGGCCGTTGGAAGAGCAGCTTCAGGTGTAGGAGACATTTCCATCAGATGGATATACATGTGGAGTAAGCCGGGATGCTTCAAAGATCCATTGAGCTTCAGGCCATTATCAAGTAATGTCTTGATCTTCAGTGTGTGAGCTCCGGCAATAGGTTCTCCTGTTTTTAAATCCCAGAGATTCCATGGGTTCAAGTTCATCAAAGCGTCTGCATATAGCGTGATAACATCCAAATCGTCCGGAAAATCCTTATGTACCAGTTCCATTGCGTTGGCAAAACCCTGGTTCCAAGAAGAGCAATGATCCGGCTTCTCTTGTGGATAGCGTTGCTGAAGTGCTTTGATAAGGGCTTGCTCAACTGGAGTGCAGGCCGACATCTTAGCTATGGCCGTACGGGCGGCATTGTGGCCACGCCGAACTGCATCGGTCAGATCTTTGTTATCAAAGAACGACCATGGCTTGTTATAGTTTGGCCCCAGGCTATATGCCAACCCCCAATAGGCCATTGCGCAGTCAGGGTCGGAGATAGCGGCTTGCTCGAAGCAAAAGACAGATTCCTCATGATTAAAGGCATATGCCCATATGAGTCCACGGTCGAACCATGTCTGGCTTTCGGGGGAAGTAGTCGAGATGATTCGCTTATACAAGCCAAGATCGAAAGGATATATAGATGTCATTTCAAATAGTGGCAATTTTCCAGGTAGATAGGGCCAGACCTACAACGATAAGCAATATTAAAAGCTGCCTTTCTAAAGATGAGTCATTTTTCTTTTGCTAGATATCCCCCTCATCAAGTCATGGGACCAATCACACTCTTTTAGCTTGAGCCAACCAGGCTTCCGGAAATAGAGTGGGTATACGAGGTGTCAGCCAGGATTAGATTTCCATCGATGAATTGTTTTGTTTACGGTAAAGAGTGTGTTGTCATTGAAGATTACGAGCCAGCTCAACTAAAATTAAAGACTATTTAAATCCTTCCTTCCCTACCTAATACACCACTCCTTACGGAAACCCTTCCCCTAGGCATTCGAAAATTCGTCGTCTATACTGATCCATCAATTTGAGACGTTGCATTCTGTCCTAGCCAAATTCCCCGAGAGGCTCATCTAAGTGCCAATCAAGGACTTTGTACCCCTCTCGCTCTACAATGCCAAAATTCGGCTGTAGACCATGAAAGATCCGACAAAGTAAAAAGCTGATCCTCTCTCTTTCAGCTTCTTCTTCATCAAACATCTTGATTCCACCGTAGCCGGTATGTCCGCAAGCGACAAAATCAGCACGTATACCAGTAACCTTGACGTCAATATCCCCAAGAGTGGTTCCTGTATGGGCACGGTCTTCTTGGTTGCCTTCGGTGATCTCCATTTCTGGAGATTGTGCGAGCGACCAACGAACCACTAGCCGTGTCCATCGCAGGCATTCCCGGATCCACCAGTTGTGGATCGTTGACTTATAAACAGACGCCAATGCCCAGTCTCTGGATCTCACCTTCTTTCTCAAGCCAACCAAAATGACCAAAATGGCTTCTTCACCACATGACATATCGTGCATTCTGCCACAGCTTCCCCAAGAATTGATTAATGCCATTTCTCATTACCTAGAGGGCAGCGACCTCAAGAGCCTGCGCGAAACATGCTCAACAATGGCAAGGGCAATACCACTTCGTTTCGATCGCGTGTTCATATCAGCAAATTCTCTCAACATTCAAGTCTTCAGTGCAATTGCAGCCCATGAAACCTTTCGCCATCAAGTCATTGAGATTATCTGGGATGATGCCCGTCTATTTGCTGGACCGGAGCGCTGGCAATACAAAGATGAATGGGAGCATCATGGTCGGGAGCCAGAAATGATTGTGACTGAGAATGGATGTCCGAAGTGGTTCCAGAAAGGATCAAGCACTTCTGATGATCACTGGTGCCACCACTATACATTCCCTGTTGCAGATAATCATATGGGACTCGCAGACTGCTGGGATTATTATAAACCCTTACTGGAAGACCAACGGCAGATTCTCTCAGCTAATGCTGACATTGAAGCTTTCAAGTATGGTCTCCAGCGCTTTACATCCCTGAAAAGAGTCACCATTACACCTGCGACCCACGGGCGGCATGGAAACCCACTATACAAGACCCCTATGATCAGGGCGTTTCCTCCCGGGTTCGACTATCCTATCCCAAACGCATGGCCTACTGCTCCAATGAACGAATCTGGCGAATGGCAGGACGAGCTTCCATGGATGTCTGAGGAGGGCGATGCCCCATATCAGTGGTTTTATGGTACCCACTGTACTGCTGAGAAGTACAGAGAGAAGTGGCGAGGCTATCAACTCGTGAGCCGAGCCTTGGTTGAGTGTGAGAATCAAGTCACAGAACTCATAATCGGAGGCCATGAGATCCAGTCTGGATTGAGCTGTCGTATCTTTGATCAGCCTTGCACCGAATATGACGATCTATGCACTCTATTGCGACGTCCAGGGTTCCGATACCTCGATCTTCATCTTTTCACAGGTCTCATCGAGCATGACGACTGGGCAACATACAAGACCGGACTTTTGCGCGATGCTTTAGCTCAAGCTAAAGACATACAGCATTTATGTGTGCGTGCCTCGACAGATATCGAGGATGCATATCCCCAACAGCTTGATCCAGACGACCTCGAAAGGCCTGTATTTCCCCTACGGACAATATTTCCTATCGATCACTGGCCACGACTTCAGCATTTTGGTATCTCGAATTTCCTGGTAGAGCTAGATGATTTGATCGATGCTCTATCCGCTTTACCACAAACGTTGCGCTCCGTTGAGCTCATCAGCTTGGCATTCCGAAATCCAGAACATGGCTACGACGATCTAGTTCGCCAGATGCGTGATACATTGGACTGGCGCTTCCGGCCTGTGGAAGAGAGACCTAAAGTTCATATGGTCTGTTCTGGAGAATCTAACACCAGCTTGGTGGAAGATGAGTTAATCGAGGTAGATGATGCAGTGTGTTCTTATCTGTATGGGAAGGGTGAAAACCTATTCGAACCTGAGTCAAGGTACGTATCACGTGGAAGAGGTGCTATACGTAGGGATGTATTCGATCCAACCTTCCGAGCTCCTTACTAGAGTCTAAGATACATTTTATTGACAATTGTCCCTACTCTAGCAAGTCCTTTAGACTCCGTCAAAAGCTCAGGGGACACGGGTTTGACAGTGGGCTTTTTGATGTACTATATAGAAATTATTAAGGCTAATTCTAGTGCCAGTGATGGCCAAGCAACCGTCAGCGTATTTTACCTTATTGGAGTATTATAAGTAAAAACCATGCCAGCCTGGAACGGTTTGGCGCTTCTCTAGTATCGGCAAAGTCGGTGTAAAAGCTGTAGACACTCATATGTCTAAATCCGAGTTATTCGGGTGTTGGTAAAGACTCATGTTACGGTTTTGATCTTGACAAAGACTGGGCTTATCTTATCGTACAAGCCACGTGATGCATTCCTCGTCCCATGCCAGGCTCCAACTCCAAGGCTGAAAGCTTCGTTCTTGGTCCGATTTCAGCTGGCCATTTCATAATTAATTCTTCTAACTACCTGGAAGATGAATATGCCTCAAGACCTCAAGCCGCCGCGGAAGGTAGAGACCTCTCAATCGTTTCCTTTGTCACGACTTCCTCCCGAGCTCCGTCACATCATCTGGAACTTCACTCTCCCCCAGCGGCAAGTTCACAAGGCAATCGTGAGATCATGCTTCGACTCCAATATTCGTACCAAGGCAACTCATATCCTCTCGCCCCCACTGCCTGCTGCTCTTTGGACATGCAGGGAGTCTCGTGCATCAGCTCGCTTGATTCAGACACGCTTTCCGCGCTGCCAATGCGATCCAAGCACTACAGCATTTGGATATTTTAATCCAAAGAGCGATATTCTATATATCGACACGGCAAATCCGAGTGACGACTGGTATGCTCCTTGGGTTGACTTTACGAACTTCTGCATGGTGGTTCTGCACAACTGTGAATCTACTTTCGAGACTCGTATCAATCCCGCAGTGTCCAAGATACTGTCATGTCGACCAAATATTACTTTATATCTAATGTACCTGTACTTTGACTAGGAGATGGAGGTTATCTTTTGTAGGAATATGTTGCGTTACCCTCCCATGGACTTTATCAGGCTCACGGATTGTGTTCCTCTGCAGGATTTAAGACTCGGGTGTTCTCGACCCTCGAGGTGTGAGATGATGAGAAAGTTAGCTGATAGAACTGCACGTGGTACAAAGTTTAATGATCGTTTGACGTTGGAGATTGCTGAAGCGAAGCTTTACTGTTGTTGTCCGAGCCCGAAACAATCGAGTATGAAGAACAGATATTGATATAGTGCTCTGTTTTGGTAGCGAATAAAGATCTCGTTTGAACAGTTGTTCAGCTCAGGTCCGTGTTAATATCTTGCTGCCATAAATGGAAATGCCCGAAGGACTCCGCTCTCCAATGCTCTTACCAACCAATATCCATAAGCGAGTCACTTGGCGGGCCGACTTTGAGTGGATATGAGCAAACCAACAGCATTATTCCCATGAGATAAAATTTGCCGTTGCCTGGTAAATACCAAAAATATTGATGCCTCACTTCATTGAGTTCATTAAAGCAACAACTTCAGCTATAAGCTCGTGGTGGCGCCGTTAATAATGACTTGAGGCTCTCATGTGTCAGGCCATGGAGACTAAATATGAATGTCATTAGACAATGGGAAGTGGAGTCTGGTACAAAAGCCAAGACCTTGGCTAATTAAACATTGGCCGATATTCCCGGACTACTCATGCCGGTCCACTGTTTAAAGACCCTTTGCTTCCATGATCGCCCTCTGGACTTTGAATCGATCGTAAATTCATCTCTAAATCGATCGTCTACACTCATTTCACCATGTCTTCACACATCACCACTTCCCTGCTTATGCTGGAATACACCGGCACTCCCAATCTTGTTGCCCAAGTCATTGGCGCAAACCCTACAGCTACGACATTCGTCTTGGACTGCGAAAAGCCCAAGAACAAGAAGACCTGGGACGAGGACGAATGCTGGTTTACGAAAGATACCATCATTCTCGGTCCATGGGCCGACAAGACACCTGCGCCTGGTGCTGTCACCACCGGTATCTGGAGAGAGACCAGCGTCGACGATGACGAAGAAGAAGGCTTCTCATTCTCGATTGAATGCCAAATGGATCAAACGATGCCCAAAGTCTGCACTACAACCAACCATGCTTCCTTTTCCTTCCACGACGGTCGGGAGGTTACAGCGACTTACACCAAACACGGCGGTACGACGTTTGACGGGTTCTTCTATTTTGGCTATGGATACTTCGACTGGACCCCCGTGACAGTCACAGCTGGTCAATCATATCTTCTGGCTGCTAAGACTGCTGCTTCCACGGAGGCTACACCCACCAGCGATGTCTCTGGAACTGCCAAGGCTGTGGAAGCGACGACTGCGGGGGGCGATCGTACCAGTACTGTCGACGAAGACGTGATTACCGTTACTGGCGAGGTTCCATCTACAACGACTTCGAGTAACAGTGCCGGCATTACACGAGCTTTGAGTCTCTGGGCTGCGGTGGGACTCGCGGCGGCTGTGGTCTCGTTATGAAGGTTGGTTGTATTAAAGTAGCAGGATCTTTACTCATATAACTTGCCAATATTAAGTATATTAAGGAAGCATTAAAGTTAAGGCGATAATCATTAATCTCAAGGTGAAAAGAACACCTTAGACCGTGCTCTTTTTCCTGGTGTGGTTGCTCACCTGCGAGCTGTTCGGCCTTGGAACGAGTGGGTCATGGTAGCATTTGGTCCCAATGGCAGCAATCCCCATGAGGGCTTGACCACTCAGAGCCACGAGCTTGTAGACTTGATCTGACATCTTGTGGGAGATGGCTCGCTTGATGTTGAGATCTTGAGGCTTGATCCTTGGACTGTGCGCGAGTCGGTCGCGGAATCGTACCCCAGAGACGACCAAGCCTTGTTTCTACAAGGCGATGCGGCCCACAAACATCCCCCAACCTTTGAACATGGTAGCAACACGTGCATCCAAGACGCCTATAACCTCGCGTGGAAGTTCAGATCAGCACCTATCCTAGTAGAAGATTGCCGCACGTGTGGATTCATAAACCAACCCGCCTCAGCATGACATTGACTCTTTACTTGGCTGGAAAAGGGTCCTTCTGTTTATTGGCGGGCGTGGATGGTAGTGATGGGAAAAACGCAGCTGAGGCCGTCAGGACAGCCACCTGCATCCCTATCAATGTCTTGAGCATCGGCCTAGGTCAAGAATACATCGACATATATAGGCATTGGCATGAGAAGAGAGGCATTAGCGACAGTGGGTGTGTTCTGGTTCGACCAGATCGTTTTGTTGCATGGAGGGAGGTCTGTTGGCAAACCTACAGATAATAACAGAGTTAATTCTAACAACCAAATACTAAACATTATTATATTGCTGGACCTGCTGGAAGAAATATACAACTATGGCTATCGTAGGACAAAGCCCGGGGATAGTGGATCTTCCCAGTCAATGTAGAATCTTGACTGTGCAACCAAATACGCCTCGCCTCTAACACGTACGACGCAGGACGGGAATTTCGCGGTTGGGCTCTGGCCTTTGGAGACAAGCTTTGCCTCAAAGGTTGACCCGATAATAGATTGATGCAAGAATCTTGAGGTTCCATCCTGGAGCCGACCCTCTGCCAACAGGATAGCCATTCTTCCACAAGTCCCAGAACCACACGGGGACCGGTCAATTTGCCCGTCGCCATACACATTGACGCTTTTTTGAATGATTAATCCGGGCCCCTCCGGCTTCTGTTCCTGTTCCTCAAAGAAGAGCATTGCATACAGCTCGTTGGGGCCGTACTTTGCTCTGTCACCAAGAGACGCTTTGATCTCTCGTTGAAGCCTGATGAATTCGTTTGCATTCTCTGGCTTGACTTCGAGACCTAGCTGGGCTGCGTTGACTGACGCAAATACAGCACCGCCAAATGCCAAGTCCACATGGACATCAGTATCGCGGGACGGGATCGCAACACACAGCCCTTTCGCTATCTGGTAAGTAGGAACGTTGACAAAGTCGGCATGTATAGATTTGCCGTCTTTGATCATAACCGTTGCTACCACACGCCCTGACGGGACATCAATCACGACATCCACGGGGCCGTTCTCAGGAGCGCTGACGAGACCCTTAGATACCGCCCAATATCCCAGAGCCATGGTACCATGACCGCAAGCAGTTGAGAAACCGTCCTTGTGCCAGAAAAGCACGCCAAAGTGCGACCCAGAGTCATTTGGAGGAGTGATGAAGCCGCCGTACATATCCGCATGTCCTCGAGGTTCATGACTAAGGAACTTGCGGAGTCCATCCAGCGGATGGTCGCCGGCTTGGATGATGCTCAGCCGCCGCTCAGAGACTGTCTGAGCCGGCGGCATGAAGCCTGGAGGAACATTTTGAATGATGCGAAAAGGTTCTCCGGCTGTGTGCCAGTCCTCAGCCTCGATCCAGTAAGGTGAATTGCCCGTCATCACTTGTGAAATTTGAAGGGGGTATAAATTGTTGTAAATCGTGGTCCCGCGAGCTGATTATTTAAGATAATTCCATTAAATGCTAATGGGCGAAGAGATGAACCATATCTGAATTCGATAGAGCGAAGATTTTATGCTGTGATGCGTCAATCAGATTAGGAAAGAAATCCCGAGGAGGTTATTAATTGATTTATTCTTCGGAACAGGTCCCGATAGCCCCAAGCCGATTACAAATCTGGCCCCAGAACTCAAGGTGGGTAGTAGCCGATAATAGCCGGCCTAAACACCTGGACTTAATAAGGTGCATTTGATATTCCAAGTCTGTTGCTTTTTGGTCCTCACGGCACCGCTGGAAAAACTCGAGGATGAGGCCGCAGCCAGTCAGGAACCGTCTTGGCTATAAGTACGCGGAAACTTGCCTCGCCACACAAATGACGCGGGGTTGCCTGGATGATCATGGAACTCACCCTCAGCCAAGTTCCAAGTCAAGTTGGTAAAAGCACTCTTTAGCAAGCTGCAAGATAATGGATTGTTAATAAGATTAGATCGCTAGTAGACAGTAATTCGACTTTCCGATTAAACCTATTAATTGACATGTCCCCTCGGATTGCGGTTACGTCACACCTCAAAGATGTAAAAACTACACAAAACCTCACCTTCTTAACAATAGTGTTATATGCACTATTGATAAAGCTAAACTAAACTATTTAAAACAGCAGTAGTTCAATATTTGCATAACGTATCAATTCCATCATAGAATCCCTTCTACAGCTAACTGATCGAATCCTTCACTTCATCTAGTTGCAGTCTATCATATAATCACAACTGTTCCATTACGCACCATTCAGTTTAACAGTAACTTTGCCTGTCTATTGTGTCATATAAGCCAATCCCGCATTACGACAGGAAGTCCCAATGCCTTGGCCTCCGCAGCAACCACAGCAGCAACATCGTCAAAAATATCATCTTTCGCTTCCGGACTCCAACCTAACACCTTACGTGCTCTCGTAGCCCGGCTCCTCGAGTTCGTGCCCCAGAAGAAAGATCCATACTCCCACACCTTATCCGCATCATCCACACTCAGACTATCGACAGTCTCTTGCTTCAGAAGTCCTTGCTGTTTCGCTTCTTGAGCAATCCTTTCCGCGATAGCCTTCCAGCTAAAGTCACCATTCTCGACAAAATAAAAGCCATTGGTGCCCCAATCAGCTTTACCACCGCCCTGAGCAGCAGCTTCGATCAGCTTCAACCAGAGTTGGGAAAGATCGTGCACGTGGACTGAGTTCCAAATATTCTCGCCCCCTTTGACGGTCAAAGCAGCGCCTCTTTGTAGACTGCGCCTCGCTAGTTCGGGCACCTGAATGCTTCTTTGATTTCCGGGTCCACGTCCTGTGCCATATATAGTTGGCGGACACACAATAGCTGTTTTGGCGCCTCTCTTAGCACCTTCAAGAATGGCCCCGTCGACTTCCCGATGGGGCGCGTTATCAGGAGGCGACGTCACCTCGTTGAGTCCGTGCCAGTCATCAAAAATGCGATCCCGCTTGATGCCGTAGGTTACCTCGGCTAGATCCTCGAAACAGATAATATCGGCACCTGACAGGTGGATGATGAACCCCGGTTTTCCTTTGCCCCTTCGAGCGATGCCTTCGACAATGGCCTTTGCCGCACCTTCATGTTCACAGCTGGCCCAATGGCCGATGATGTCGGCCTTTGACACTTCGTCGGCAAGCAATTCGAAGTCGTCTAGATCGCCGTAGACAAGACTGACTGAAGGGTATTGTTTTGTAACAACAGCCCCTTTCTCTTTGTTTCGGACAAGAGCGGTAACCTCGTACTCTGGATGCGTTTTAATTAAGGTGTAAAGGGCATCACCACCCACGTAGCCAGTAGCGCCAGTTCTAGACCCAACTTGAGCTTCATCCAGTGCATGTCGTGCAGTCACGAATAAAGGTACCACTTACACAAAGATCTTTGTCATTGTTGTTAATCTTGAGATGAAGTGAATCCTCTAGATTCTTATTTCTGACACTATTCACACCGTCGGGCAGCCTGTTGCATATAAAGCCGCTGCCTCTTAGTGCCAATCCGGGCAATCTTGTTTTGTAAGCAAGATTGCTCTTGCACATTTGTCATCAGAGGGGGCGCTAAACTCAAACAGTCGTGCTATCGCGGTAAACTTCCTTTTCCTAATAGCAAAGACAAATAAAGCTGTGCCGAATTGTCAAAGGAGAGCCTGTGCAGTAGGATCCATCGACTTCAGCTCCTTAGTCAGATCCGTCCATCTTATCATTTCACAGCCTAGCTTCCCAATCACATCGCAATCTTGACCCTATCCACAGCTCAAAAAGAGCCACGTCCGTTCAACCGCGAAAAGCAATACAGTCACCTCGCGACCGCCGAAGCCACAAAACCAAATGTTTCAGGTCCGCTCTCCCACATCACGCATTGACACGACCGTCAGCTTAGTTGGTTATTTAGCGATTGGCCAAGGCATCTCGCAATCTAGGCCAATCCGTCAACTGATGTTCAACATGACTCTTGGAGGATGAAACGCTAGCTCTTTTGGGATGTGATGCAGGGGTATGTGGCATTGGATTGGGCAGTCATGGAAATTGTGAACGTCAAGAAGAAGAAACGATAGATCCACTGCGCGTTGTTTCTTCTCCACAAACGATGACGGACACTAAAACAGCCCGGGAACATTAGTGATAAATGAAGAAGAGGATGTGAATTCGAGATAGTTATGGTACCTGTTGGAATAAATCCAGCTCTTCAGAACCACTAATGTCATCATCCTGAGACGGCGAAGTCCATTCCATAACTAGACAAAAGCAAACCTATCTTCTGCCATCACCGTCAAAGTCAACCCTTAATATCACTTCTGCCCCGCAAGCATGTGACCAATGCTCGATACGAGCGTGCCAAGGGCGCATCTGGCAGCTGTATGATATGATTGACATTGCAGTCTGTGCGATGCATGCCTTGACCCGTTTCGTTTTGTTTCGTTTCCTCCTCTATTTAACTCTCAACATGCCTCGTTCTCACAGCCACTCTAATTAAGTTGTTGTTCATTCTTTACAGCCAAAATGCATCTCAATTTGCTGCTTATATCCTCCCTCTTCGCTGCTTCAGCCCTCGCGGCACCAAGCGCTTCAACAAAGAAAGCTTGTGAAGAAATCTCGAAAGCCATTCCGGGTCGTGTATCACTTCCGTTCACTATCAACTTCAACAGTCAATCATCAGGATACTGGTCCACAGCTTTACGTGAGATCAAGCCCGCTTGTGTCATCACTGCCAAGTCAGCTAAAGATGTTTCAACCGCTGTTACGATCTTGAACAAGTATCCTGATGTCAAGTTCGCTGCCAAGTCCGGTGGACATGATCCTAATCCTACTCATGCCACTGCGGGCGATGGAGTTCTCATCTCACTAAATGAGATGGTTGGCGCTGCTTATGATTCTGATAAAAAGGTTGCGTATGTTAAGCCTGGTGGAGAGTGGAATGATGTTATTTCGCAGCTCAACAAGGATGGGGTTGCTATCGCCGGAGGTCGCCTTGGTATGTCTCTTGAGGTTAGCTGGGTGATACACTACTAACTTGACTCTAGGACTGGTCGGTGTTGGAGGTCTGCTTACACAAGGCGGAATCTCGTTTTTGAGCGCTCAATATGGTTTGGCTGCCGATGTATGATCGAACCTGAAACTATAGTGACCTCGCTAATGATATGCAGAACGTTGTCTCCTGGGAGATGGTCAACTGGAACGGCACAATCATCAATGTTGACGCAAAGACTCAGCCCGAGCTTGCCGTCGCATTGAGAGGCAGTGGCAGCCAGTTCGGTCAGTCTCAACATGCCCTCCATCAAGATTACACTAATAACCGCAGGTATTGTAACGCAATTCACCGTCAGAGCATACCCCATCGGAAAGGTCTGGGGCGGTATTCGCACCTACGACGAGTCCAAGACAGACGAACTCTACGAAGCGATGCACAAGTTCATTCCATACAGCAACGAGGACCCAAAGGCCGCGATTATTGTTACCAGTCTCATCCTCACTGGAAGTAGCAGGATCAACCTTCTGTTCTACTTCTATGATGGCGAGAAGCCTCCTACCACTGGAGCATTTGCCGATTTGTTGAAGGTCAAGTCGACGCTTTCTACTACCAAGACACAGTCGTATCCCGATCTGGTAAACCACTTGACATCACTTTGGAGTGTAGCAATGCTAACGACACATCAGCTCAAGTCTAACGGCGCTGGAGTTTCACTATTGAACTCGAGAATCTCATTTAGAGTAAGCAGCCTCTCTCCAAGATGTAACTTCAACTAACATCTTAGACCGCCACCATCCCATACTTCCCCGACGACTCAAGCGTGTACGCCGAAATCACCGACAAGTTCGTTGAGATCACAAAAACTTACTTCAAAAACCTCCGCGGTCTCGCCTCCCAATGTTCCGTTGACTTCCAGCCTCTCCCCTCCTCGATCGGCAAACACACCGAGGAACGAGGTGGGAACGCCATCGGATTCACCGCCGACGACCCTGACCGGGTTCTTCTCGAGATCCAGTGCGCCTGGGTTGAGAAACGCTATGACGATACTGTTCGTCAGTTCTCCAAGGACTTGACGGCTTGGATTGAGGATAAGCTTCCTGAGTGGATTGAGAAGAATGGAGGATCTGCGGATGAGTATCTTCCGTTGTTTATGAATGATGCTATGTATGATCAGAATGTCACGGGGAGTTATAAGGATTACGCCAAGTTCAAGGAACTGCAGCTCGAGGCTGATCCGGAGGGTGTTTTGAGAGAGAGAATGGGTGGTTTCAAGTATTAATTCCAGCTTCTGAGCTGTAGTTATTGTATTTATATAATACTACTAATAATGTCTTGTCTATAACCTTTTTGATGGAATCAGGGTGCTCATACTACCAAACTAAACGCGACGTCGTATATGAGCGACTGTGAATACAATCAACAAACTTACCTTCTGGTAACGTGCGAACACATATTCGCTCGTCTCGAGGAAGCCATCAACCCTTCCTACATCTGTTTCAGCTCCGCGTTTCCCTTCTCGAACTGCGCCAGATATCGTAACGCTTCCTGCGTCTCCGGAAGGTTCCCAATATCAGATCCACTTCCACCTTCAAGATACGCTTCTATAAGATGTTTTCTAACATCAACCTCTGTATATAGATTGTTGAGCTCTGCGACAGCTCTGTCTATCTCTCTCGTCTTTGCGAACATCTCGTGACTTAATATTGCCATAGCTTTGCCCAGATCGGTATCAGGTCCAGCATTACGGGAATTCGTTTGCAAGGACTGTATCATGTTGTTTAGGTTCAAGAGAAAATTGCGTATTCCGTTGCGATAGCCCTCGTATTTCGCATGTTCGGCCATTGCGCCCTGTCATCTTGCTCGAACAGCATTGACGTGGGGCGCTGCTGACGCTTGGTTATTGTCCGTTGGATATGGTTTGTTTCTTGCACTACTCGTGAGAATATAATGAATTTGTTGAGTATAGTAGAGGGCCAGACGGTAGGAAGATAAACTATACAAGAAGTATTTATACTTCTACGTAGGGGGTACTATCAGTGCTCGGGCGCGTCAGTGATAGAGAGTATTATTATTATTGGCTGATAAATCACAAGTTTCTTCTATGAGATCAAATTTAAATCACCGTTTAAAACGCAGATAATTTCAATCAAACCATGTAAACGTTGTGAGAGATTGGCACAAATCGTCAATGGTGTTGCAAGTGACTCTGAACTATTGATCTCTTGTCAAATGGACTATTTCGACACTGACCTTCATCACGATGAATATGACTGACTAGAGGTCCTCTCGAACCTTTCTAACCCTGAACCAATGACATGTCTGAAACTGTTTCTCCGTCTAGTGTGAGATCACATACCGTTGCCCCTTGGACCTGACTGACAACCTGTAGCGCCAGAATGCCAGAAGCTACGCGGAGCGTGAAAAAGGCTCCCGCAAAACAGAGACGTGAGTATGAAGTAGGGTACAGACAAGCAGTAGAAGCTCTCAACAAGTTGGATATACTGGGCATTGCAACGCGGAAAATGATTACTACGGTCAATGATATTTAGAAGCTTACGAGGGACATTGATGAGATTCTGGAGATTGATGTACCTTTATTTCCTAACGTGCAACTGAAGAGGTCTTGTCAGAACGTCATGGGGGTATATGAGGAGAGACTGGCCAGCTTGGACCCCATGAGAGAAATTTGTTGTAACGATACTTTGTCCTATATAGAGCAATAGATGGCCTAAAAGTAGTCAAGATGGTATCTTTCATTCTAGGTCGATATTATTACTCTCCTGAACTGCATCTCAGGCTCTGCGCATTTGCTAAAAACACTCTCAATGATGAACTGTTATTTTCAGGGCCTACTCCGGTTATGCAGTGCGTGGTCAATGAACAGGATGCTCTTCACGCTCCAGAATAGGCGCGCGGCATCTGCAAAAGCCCAAATCATTTGATAGAAATACCAGCTGAAGTGCAAGTCAAAAAGCTCAATGTTCGATCTATTGAGAGCGATGACAGGCTTTTCGTGGCCCAGTTGTTTTCGAGCGCAGTTGGCGTGTCCGGGTTGAGAATAACCGCCCTGTACTGATCACTAACAGCGCCCCATAGCGAGACACTACAGTGCAGTTGAGGCCAAAGTGCCCCTGGATGCCAACTACAAATGTTATTGCATTGTTCAGCATAATATCGTAGCATGTTCAGACTCTTTGTAAACACTTGTTCGAGAAGGAGTTTATTGTGTTTTGTTAGAAACTCGTTCTTGCTTCTGTTCATGTTCTGATTACGAGAACAGAGGCTGTACAATAAGTCAACACTGGGACACGACTGCTATTCTCTGATATACATACAGATTCTTATGTTCGGCTCACTTGTCACTCTTGTATAGAACTTCACTTCTGGTCTGTCGAGCTCAAGCTCGCAGAGTCTTCTAAAACCCGCCTAACGATAACAATTAAAGTCAGCGCTCAATCACATCCTTCAATAAGCAAACCAGCATTTTCAAGACCATCCAATCAGCCAACTACCATGATGTCCAACCAATCTTTGCCATTCCGAAACGAAAAGTTCATGTCAGGCCTTATCTCTGAAACGCGACGAGAGCACCCACGATACATATCCAACTTCGCAGAGGATATCGCCCAGTCCTATCAGCTACGCGTCGAAGTCGACAGAGCAAGTCGGGAGTTCAAGGAAGAAACCGCAAACTATATTGATAACTCGATGCTCCTGCAAGTTGAAGTAATAAGGGTAGCCAAGACTGTGCTTATAGGAGACACTTGTGTACTGGCCGAGGAAGATATCACAACTATCTTCAATCAACTCCGTACCAAGGCTATTTCAGAGCGCTGGTATGAGTGCTCTCTAGAGAATATGCAGGAGAACGAGAGGCTTCGATTGCAGGAGAAGACAGTCAGAGATATGTATTACGCGCTGTACCATCAGAAAGGACGACCGCTCTTGACACGTAACAATGGCTATTATACACGTCGTATGGATTGGTATGCTCGACGTCTGTTTAGTCAGGAAAGTTCATCAGAAGATGGAGCATTGCAAATCCAAACTGCAAAGAGACTTGATTTCCTTCAGCAGTTGGTAGAAACCTCTGTACCTGGAAGTTCTGCTTCTAGCACTACTTAAGCGCCCTGGTGTTGCAGCCTTCAAAGCCATGGTAGTTAGGGAATAGATTACGGTTATTGATCTGTTGCCAAGGGATGGACTAAGGTAATTATCTTATATAGTACCTTTAATTAATACTTAGTAATTAAAGATAATAAAATTAACTTAGTATATTAATTGCAATGTATTAATATATGGCAGGTATTTACATATAATTTTATAATAATAAGAGTTAGAATATAAGCTTTAAATCTTTATTATATAATTATTATTAATATTAGTTAATTAAGTAATTATATATCTATTAATTACCTTAATTAGATAATTATAATAAGGTTAATTATTATTAATAATAATTATAGTAATATATCTTAAATAATAAGGGTTATAATTCTAGGCTTATTTTCTTATAAAGCTTTATAATTATTATAATAATAATAATTATATTAAGAAGTTAATAATAAAGAAAGAACTTAATTTATTATTAAGAAGGAAAATATCTTCTTTATACTTATAGATTAAGGCTACTTATTTAATTAGATCTTAAGGTTTAAAGTAATAGCTATATAATCTATTAACTTAATATTAAGGTTATTATGTTTTTATAGTATAATATATAATGCCTTATATTATAATAATATTTAAAAAAAAACATTATTATTATACTACTTTATATATAGCTATGGTATTACATCTCTCTTAATAAGTAATTAATTAAATAAATATTAATATATAAATAGTAAAAGAATTATTAAAAAGTAATACCTAAAGAAAGTTAATAAAACTAGGTAATTAATAATATAATATATATAATAAGGCTAGATATAATATAAAGACCTCTTTAGTAATAATTAAGATATCTAGGGAAGAGTAGAGTAAGTAGTTTTAATTAATTAAATAGTTTATAGTATATTTAAAGTAAGTTCTAGCTTAAAGGGTAAGAAAAGTGCGTTACATGCTTATCTGCGTCGCATGCTTATTAACCACGTTAATCTATTGCAAAGTCTGATGACGTATCTCATTGACTTTTTAGGTTCTATGCCTGGTACATCTGAACTGAAAGCTCTAATCATAAGTAGAAGATATTACCAATTGCAGAACAGAAAACGGTGAGCAATGTAGAAGTTATAGAGGTTAATGACCATGAGTGGTAAAGTATGATACCAAGTGAATCCGGTCAACAACCTCCATACCACAACGCCAGTCATAGCGCCTGTAACAGTAATAGTCCAGAGCCAGCAAAGAATGCGCATGTTGCGATACTTGTTGGACTTGTGTGCTTTAGAGTCACCTGAGGCAACCCAAAGCAGCTCGATGTTGAACAAGCGGTCCTTAATAGCTGACAAGTATGCATAAGACATGATTACCATGACGTGCTGCACGCTGAAGCCGTAGGAGGCCTTGGTCCACACTTTGAAAACGACAATTCCATAGAAGATGGACGGCAAAGCGAATGCAAGGTTCCAGGCCTTGAACCATTCCGAGCGGAAGGCAAGGAGCAGCGTGCCGGCGATGGGCGAGAGGAAGATATTGAGTGATACTGCTGAGTAGTAGAGGAAGCCTGGAGGATCGGGCGTTAGTATGTTACGTGACACTCAATATCTTACGTAGGGGACCCACCAGAGATGTAGCATAGCTTTTGCATAAAGTTGAGGTTTGAAGTCCAGAAATGAGGATTAGTGAGTAGAGTTGTACTACCTCTGGCCCATCGCATTTGCTGTGAGAAGAACGCTCGAGGACCGGCGGGGCAAACACCAGTGGCCAGACACAAAGGGATATACTTGACTTTCCAGCCACGGTCAACAGCGCCGAAACTACGACCCAAGTTAGCTCCAGGTCAAACAAAGTTCAGAACTCGATTTGTCTCATACCCTGTGTGGACATCCTCGGAAAATCCAATCTCTGCAGTACCTCCTACTTCAGTTAAGGCAGCTCGACGATACATGGCATTGCTGCCAACACAGATAGAAGCGCCCCATCTGTTTCTATTGACTTGGACGACACGGTAGAACAATTCCTGTGTAGCTCCCGCTCCTTGTTCAACCCATGTCTGGTCGTCAGTGACTCGAAACCACTGGGGGCTCTGAACAATAGCAGTCTTGTCATCGTCCAGATGCTCAACGATAAGCTCCTTGATGAAGTCAGGTCGGGGGCAGAAGTCGGCGTCAAAGATGACGAAATACTCGCCATCGGTGCGGGTAAAGTTCCATCGCAAGTTGCCCGCCTTTCGCAGGCGAGGCCGATCGTCGCGAACGTGGTAAATGAAGCCATATTTCTCTGCTAACTCGCGAACAGCATCTTGCGCGCTGTCATCCATGACATAAACTTTAAGCTTGGATGCAGGCCAGTCGAGGTTAATGACGTGTTTGTAAGTATTCTCCAAGATCTCGAGGGGTTCTGAGCAGCAAGGTAGGAAGATGTCAACGGTAGGTGCCGATTCCTCAGTGATCGGGTACGCATCAACTCGTTGAATATGTGCCTTATAGTCCCAGTCCTTACCGATGAGCCCGACACCATACGAGATGATCAGGTAGATGCACATGGCACCAGCAAAGACACCGTACCAGTAGAAGAACGGCGCAGAGAGAGCAAAGAGCCACATACCGGCACCTAAAGATAGGAACGAAAAAACGCCAAAGGCATAAAGCAAGATCCGGTTGGTGTGAATGTACGAAAGCTTCTCATCGTCATTAGGACAAGTTGGAAGCACTAAGGGTGGCTCCTCTTTCGGACAATACGTGTTTCGGAAACTGTTGTGGATTCGACGAAAGAAACCAGCCTTTGGTTTTTGATCAGAGACTGGAGTTTCTTCTGCCTTTTCTTTTATCACAACCGCAGGCGGCACGACACTGGCTTCGACGTCTGGGCCCACAGGCTGGAATTTCTCGTTAAACGCCTGTTCTGTCTGGCTAGAGGTAACAGGTGCCTGGAAAGTTTAGTTACTATCCCAAGTTACAGTAGCCAGTCTGACATACAATTTCATCCCGTTGCCCCGTCTCGACATTTTTGCGTTGAACAGGAGGCTCAGGGGGTGGACGCCGAATTGCATCGCGATTGGCAACTGGAGGGACTCTTGTGGGCTCTAGGTCGGTGTCATCCTAGATAACGTCAGTAAAGGGGTGAATAATATGAACAAGAGCCCTACCGAAGAGGTGATGGAGCTGCTCTCTGAGTCCAAGGATATCTCTCCAATGTCAGAGTCGAATGGATCACGTGCAGAGCCGGACTCGGTGAGAGGCGTCACAGCAAGCTGTTCAGGTACCAATTGGGGCACCATAGCTCCTGGCCTAAAACAAGATTGTCAAAGAAACGAAACAAAGCGAATGTACCCTGGAAACGAATGAGCCAGAGGTGCAGGACGATCTCAAGTTCTCGTAGGAGAAGATAGAAAGTTCTATGTATAAAGACATAGACATTCGATTCCAGCATGACATTGCTCATTAGATAAATTAGTCTCCGGCATGCCTAGATCCACTACTTCGGCCCTGTTAACTTTTCTTAATTTTTCCTGTGGACGCGGCTGAATAGTCTAGATTAGCAACCAGACGGAGCTATTGGAACTTGCAAGGCTATCAGATCCAGCTGTCGTAAAGATTGCGGGCTGGGTCTCCATCATAGGAGGTCTAACTGTTGGCTTGGATCCGCGAATGCACTGACTAGACATTATCTTGATATTAAGGCGACTAAGCCAAGCCAATAGTCTGTGGACGGCCAATTTGGACCGAGTTCCCATCTGGTTCTAGTAGCCTTGGTGCAGCCTTTCAGCTGTTATCAAAGAGTACCAACGGCCCAATTAGGACTTACCCTTTCTGATTCGGCCTTGAAAGGACAAAACCCTTATGCGCCCGGGGAAGCGGGATGCTTAAGAAGTTCCGGAGTAGCTGACATGCGCCCAGAAATCTGCGTCTAAAACAACAAAGTATTCACGACTTCGAAGCACTAAGAGGCGGCATTAAGAAATAACGACCACCTGCTGAGAGCTCAGTTTCCAGCAAAAGCTCATTCTAGTAATGTCAAGGTCATAAGCTAGCCAATTTTTCAGAGGTGGTAACCAGGGGCATGCGATGAGCACTTCCGACGGTGACACTAATCGATGGCATGGCCCCTCTGTCCAACTTTGAAAGGCCATTAATCCCGACAAAATCTTGCTAATCTCCACGACGCCTAATTAAGCTTAATATAAACTCAATGAGGCTAGGGCACTATCCACGAGAACTAAGTCACCCGAACTAGTACTTCAGTCTAGATTCAAACTTATTGCATCCCACTGTACGCTATGAGTCGGCGGTCACCTATATGTGGTTGGGCCCGATATAGCGCTGGCGCTAGGTGTGGAAACTATTGAAAAGTGTTTGACCGCAAGCGAAAATCCTTACAGCAGGCGTCCAGCTAGCGCATTCAGTAGGCCTCGAACCACGTAGTTGCATCGTGCGTGGCGAATCTCTCGGGTCTGGCCGAATCAGGTAGGATTAGCAGTCTATCGCACAGTTTGCTTGTCGTGCTCCATCGGAAGCGAAAGCGGGAGTGGAAACTGACTAATCGCATCTTGGTGGAGAGTATAGCCTCACGACCCCAAATTAGATGGGCAAGGATGCCACTTCTAAACGTTGAGATCGTCAGTGAACCATACCCGGCAATGTATACAACTTTCAGAGACCAGTCCAGATCAGTTAATTACCTGAATTGATCGAGCCGGATGGGGGGTCCAGCGTGCATCGACTCTGATCACCGCTACGAGCACCAACGCAAAGCCCAGCTCTTCGGTATTGCAACGGGCAGCGACGATCCATGTAGGTACAGGGAGCTCCCCAGAGATCTCTTACGATTCCCCAGTGTTACTAGATAACAAGGTTCTTACCAACAGCAACAGCGAGCTTGGAGGTTTCCAGGGTCCTGCTGATAGTCTAGTCATCCTTAAAGGGACTTTGTTTAATGAAGGCGAGTAGAGAGTGGAGAGACTCCTCCACTAGACCGATCATTGCTTGAGTTGTAGTCCCACGATGCCCACTTCGTCTGCAAAGCACGTTGTACCTTTTGGCGCAGAATTTCCCTTAAGGGGCCTATGGGTTGTTAGCCACAGTGGGGGAAACAAAATAGGAGAATGGTTTGGCTGGCAATATGCCTCAGTCAGCACCGCTTTTTTTTCTTTTTTTCTTTTTTCTTTTTCTTTTTTTTTTTCGGGTTCTTCATCGCTTAAACCCTAGATCGCAGCTTTTCCCAGGCTGGAATAGCTATTGGCAATCAAATCGTCTTCGCATGCAGTATGAAGACTCAAACCATCAGACCGTTACATCGTGGACGTTCGGGGTCACCCAATTCCAATAGAAGTTTCGTCATCGACCCCCCCTTTTTTCATCACATGAAATGACTCATCTGTACTTTCTATAAAGCTGCGGCAAATACTTTATACTCGCACTTGGTGGCGGGCGGGGTTAAGCGTTGCTGGTGGCGTGAAACCCGTTAGCATGAACTAGTACATTATCACTGATTCAAGTCATCTCCATGTCAACAAGCCTGCCTAATTAGATTGAATATTGAACCTATGCTGTGTCTCACTCCTGAACTAGCCAATAATTAACATGGTTGTGGATAAGATAGAGCCGCTACAACAGCCACTGTGGCCTGGGTCTGACGAAGCTTTCTCCAATGAGATTGGACGCAGAACTACCATTTTGCGCGGACGCAACTACCCAATTCATGGCCGCAGGACAACGTCAACACCTGAAAAGGGGGCATAAAGATCGTACTTAGATATGAACAATATGGCGTAGCTTTTGTAACTGTGGCGTTTGCTGGAACTTTTATCACATGCTAATTCAGGCATGAAATGGAGGACCGCGAAAACTGGCTTTTCCCTAATTGGTCTGTTGCTTTGTCGTATCCCAGCCGGCCTTAGTACGTATTTTATGGGTCCCGGAGATATTAATACCGGGTGGCGGGGGAAAACACCTGGAAGGACAGAACAGAGACAGAAGAAGAAGAAAAACGAGCTGTTGGGGAGTAGATTGACCTTCAAGTGCGAAAATCAACCTCATTTTAATTGGACATCAACCCTACTCGCGTATCCAACACTTCTGTCGTCGATACGTCGGTTCATACCTTATACTACCATAGGCTGATACAAGGTACGTGGGGCCAAGTGGAGCAAATTACAGAAAAATCTCAGGAGAAAAAGCTCCGACTACTTGATATCTGAGTTATCTCCTGAGAGGTCATAAGGCTCCTTTCTGTACTTTGATCCACTTGGCCCCACATACAAGAAAGCTACAAGGGTTTTGCTTAATGAAGAGTGTGTAAAGGAGTCGCCTCTCTGTGACAAGTTAACCTAGGAACGTTAAGATGCCTGATGTGTATAGGGTAGACTGGCAAGCGAGCTCTGGGCCGGACCATCGACTTGATCAATTGCTCCCTCCCCCCCCCCCCCCCCCCCCAAAAAAAAAAGGCGAAAATTTCACGCGATGCTATTTTTCCACCTGTGTTCGAATCCATCGACCGCTAAATTAGTCAAGTTCTTGAGAACGCACCTCAGTCAAACACATCTCTTGCTGGATCACCTAATGGAGACCATTACTGGGAAGCCGCGCTCGGACCAATACACCGAATGATGAGCACTAACCGCCCATTCAAAGACGATATGTACGTGTATTGCAAGACTAGTCCAGCTCTAGGTGGTGCTGCGGACCTTATCCTCAACAGATCTGCGAGCGTTTCATCCTCCTCCTCATAGAACGCAGTCAGATTCAGTCAGCCACCTGTCTGCCTGGCCAGGTGGACACCCGAAGAATTGGACGAAAGAATTCGAGCACTATGCACTGGCCGACGCATATCTCGCTATTTCCTATTACCTAACCAGGCTTTGCCTCGGGTTTATATTATGCCCCACAGAGCAAGACTAACAACTAACAGCAATCTACCGCAAATTCTCTGCCGACTCCACCCGCTCGAGTCTAGATCACAACAGCCTAGTGGCAGCGGGGAGATTTTGGACCCTGACGAGGAAGCCCCCGTGGCGTTAATAGTCAGGCTATAACTTGCCGTTGAAAAGGTCACGTTGGCTGATGACTGCCACGTCTCTGACCCGAACTCAACTATGCCCAAGTATGTCGAGTTTGCAATCAAGCCGTTGCGCCAGACATATTCGAGAAGTGGTGAAACATCTTCGTCGAATTCCGTTATATCGTCTACGTCTTCATGCGGCACCCAGGTGAGGACGTGATGGTCTCGCTGATTTTTGCCATAGTAGAGAGTACTAGACAAAACAATGATTTCTTATTAGCGAATGACCAAAATCCATACCGACAGATAAGAGGGGAACGAGAAATCACCCACAACTCTCTATCGCCGAGTTTCTGTGTGCCTAGCGTCTTAGTCTTGAGTGGCCAAGGGTCACCAACACTACCAATCCATATCATGAGCTCAATACCCGCCAAGACCGAATCGGTCGAGTTTGTCAGGTCAGCATCCAGAAACATATCAAAGGCGGCATTGGCTACGGTGCCAAGCTCATTCAGTGAAGATTTGTTTTCGTCCCACTCGTTACTACTGAATTTTGGTGTCTCTGTCTCCAGGGATCCCGCTGTCATCATCCAACTCGCCGTCAGGCGCATTGAGGTAATTTCTGCCAGAGGTAGTGGTAGTTTTGAGGATTGGAATTTGACATGGGGGTACGAGTGCACATTGTCCTTATCGCCCTCCCACAACCAGGGGGCGTTGAACCACGCATTCGTGTCGTCTTCGTTGACCTATTGCTCAACAAGGCAGAAAATTGTCAGAAGCCTTGCATCGTTAAAATTGGAGAAGGCCATGGTAGAGAGCAGAGAGAAACAACACGAGAGAAGTTAAAGAGAGAGAAGATAGAGAGTCGGAAAGAAAGATGGAAATGTAAGGAGCCGAAGAACATACCGTCAGGCATTGGAAACCCTCCGAGGTCGGGTTCCATGCATTGGCAGCATCTGAATGTTTTGTTAGTACTGCAAATCCATAAAAACGTCGCGCGAGCGAGAGACATCACATTCGAGATCGCGCGGTTTGTCGTGGAGTGTCATTTTCCCGCAGACAGTAGTGGCGTCCTCTGGTGACCGCGACGCCAGAGCTAAAACGCTATTTGGGACCAGCGTGGTGGTGGATATGAGAGCAATCGCTTGCCGCTTCCACCACGGCAGGTAGGGTGCAAGGCGAACCATTGTGTATTATGACTCAGGACATGCAGAACGAGGCCGAGGAAGTTGTAAGGATCTGTGTTGGCCATGTTATATAACGCTCAGAGGCCGCCAATCTCTGCTAGCGCCACTATTCGTGCCAAGTCCAGACGCGCCCCTTTACGCCCGAGATTGTGTTGTGCGAGCCTCCCCTACTTTGAATTCCATCACTTCATTTATTGACTTGGTTCCCATGGTATGGAGCTTTGTAATAGCATTGCTGTCATATGCCAAACAGCTGTGTTTTCTCTTATCAGGTCAACACATATTAGAAAAAATTCCATCGCGTGGAGCCCCGGATGAGCTTATCCGTGAAATTGGTTTCGCGTTCTCTATCGGCTAAGGGGATGAGGATCTTATGTATTAAATAGGTCCAATACTCACTCAGTGCATTCCCTGGTCGAACACTCCTTGTACGGCGTGCGGATTGCTTATCACACGGGCATGTGGCTGTCTCAGAAGGGAGAGAAATAAGTGGAGCCAGGGATTCTAGCCTCATCAAGGTTGTAGCTTGATGGTTCTGGCCGTGACAAAATCCCCACCCACCTAGCTAAAAGGGCGGCCTGCCTTGTTTCTTCTTACAGCAAACTTGTTGCCCCGCGAGCTACTCGCTGATGTTGCTTACCGTCGTGTTGCCTCACCGCATCGCGGTCACCTCTGGCAACGCCTCCCTCCGATTCAAAGCGGACGGGAGGGCCATCTAGGTAGCTATCACACAGCGCACTCAAGCAGATCAGCTGACCTAGGCCTCCATCTATCATTCAATTCCCTCGCCTTGCCGCCTCTCAACTTACCATGAGCCAGACAATCTTTCTGTCTCCTCGAGCCATCATGCAGAATACTAATGTTAAGCTTACTTCCTTCAACGTCTATAACAGTGACGAGCAAGGTCGTCTCAACATTAATCTGCACAAACATTTGCCATTCTTAGCGCTATCACCATGCTAACTAATACAGCCGTAAGTCTAATGCTGGTCATGAAATCAATTGTAAAACGAGTTTGATGATAATGATCTGATGATCGTCAATATATTATGTTAGACGCGCAATGACTCCAGTATGGCTTAAGCCATAGCACTCTAGGGCGTCTTTCAAGTGACGCATGATCGTTTTTCTTTCTAGGCATTTCGTATTTATTAACTATATAAAACCTATGCTTTGATGAGAAGTGCAAATTCTCGCCTCTACTTGTCTCAATTACCCAGCATAATTTTAAGAACAATTAAGTTTTAATACTACAATAACCTCTATCTACACACCGCTACATGCTCTAAAAACCACAGGTGCCTATTAAAACTAAGAATTTAATAAATATACTTCACTGACTAGTGACCTAGGTGATGAAAACTTCAGACATTTTCCTCTTTGCAGCTGCCCCGTTCTCAGCGGCCTCTTGGCAACTGATTCGGGGCCCAAGAGATTCACATGGTAATTCGAAGTATCAAAGAGCGGGAAGCAAGAATTTACCAGAATGTCAAGACTTCCGCCACGAGTTATTGAATCGGCCTGCAAAAGATCCGGCACCTGGATGGCTCGGATGCTGCTTTCACATCTACGGCGTTAACACTGGTTCCTCATTTATCAATCACAACTGCCGTCGGCTCGAGGGAGGAGAGCGACATGTGAACGAGTTTTGTGACGGAAAAAGCCATTTGATTCATCTTAAAGCCAACGAGGGAATAGGCAGCTATAAAATAGTGGGATGTAAGCGGAATTAGCGCACAGCAGAAGTTCTACAATTTAAGAAATAATCTGGGAAAGACGGTGCATTTTCTATTTTTAGCCAATTAGATTGTAGGCATTTTCTATTAGGTTCTTTAGTAGTTAAGTGCATTGAAAGCAGAGAGTTAATAGAAACTATCCATGCCTCAACTTGTTACGACCCCCGGGGTTACGTCACGTGCACCCCACACTTTTCAACCTATTACTAGGAAACCCCAAGCAATTACACTCTTAACTGTAATCGCCTACAAAGGATAATAACTCTAATTATAATCCATTTATTAGAATTACAACTCTAACTATAATTAATTAAAGATTACCTTTAATATATAAATTATACGTATTAATACTTTTATAAACTCTAGCTTATTAATTATTAATAAACCTTTTTTATATTAATTAAACCTAATATATGTTAAATTTAGCAGTAAGAAATATAACACTTTACTTTACTTAATATTATGCCTTATATTATTTATAAATATATATATAATATAAACTAGTTTACTTATTTAAAAACTGAATTATTATATAACTTTACTTAATTATATAAAAATACATATATTAAATAAGTGCTTTAAATAACTAAGTATTTTATATAATTTATATATTTTAAATTAACTTTTTAAAAAGCTTATAAAAAGCTTAAAATAAGTATAAAATAGCTTAAATTATAATAACATATTAATAAATCTTAAAATTTTAAATAGTATTTATTATATAATTTTAAAAAAATCCTTAATATATAATAATTTATATAATTTTAATTTAATAATAATTATATAATTATAGCCTTGGTGTTTTAAGATAAATACTAAGCCCTAGTATAATTTAATTAACCCTAATCCTAGTTTAATAATATAATAACTTTTTCCTTTATTAATAGGCTATTTATTTATTTATACTTAAAAATAAAGATTTATATTATTAATTATTATAAAATTTAAAATGCTAAGGTTGCCTTTATATTTAGGTTTTATTAGTTCTTATTTAATAGTATTATTATAATAATACCTATCTCTTATAAAATCTGCTTATCCTCTTAGTAATACCTTAAGCTAAGTTATTTTAAATTTATATAATTTTATATATCTAGTTAGATTTACCTTAGTATTCTCTACAAAACTAGATCTCCTATTATATATACTTATTTATCTAATATAATAACTATTATAAATTTCTTTTATAATATATATACCTTACTAAATTAATACTACTACTTAGCCTTAAATAAGTTATTTTTACCTTATAAAATAGCTATATTAAGAAAAAGAATTAACCTTTACTATATAAATATAATAGTAATAATTTTTAAAAAATAAATTAATTTATTTTAGGTTTCTATTAGTAGATAATATAAGGCATAATATTAAATACTATAAAGTATTATAATTCTTAATAATTAAGTAATATATATTAGGCTTATTAATATAAAGGAGTGTTATTAATAGCTAATAAACTAGAATTTATAAAAGTATTAATAAATATGTTTTTATATATTAAGGTATTTACTTTAATAAGAGTAAGGTTTAAAAAAAAGCTTATTTATTTATTATTAAGCCTTTAGCCTAGGCTTATAATATTAAAAGTACGTATAAGGGTATTTATATTAATATAAGTAAGTAAATAGGTAATTAGGTAAAAATTATAAGGTATATATAATATAACTACTAAGGTTATAATATAATTTTTCCCTTTTATTCAGTCTTATTCTTAAGACTTATATACCTATTTATCTCCTTATATTTATTAATATATATTAACTTAAACCTTTTATTTTTTATTATATTATATTATTTAACTAACTTAAGTATAAAAACTTTTAAAAAGTTTTTTTTCCTTTTATATTTAGGTATTATAAAGCTATTTATAATATTAATTAATTTAATTATAAAATTATATCTTATTATTATTATAAAGAAAATAGTATTATTAATAATATAGTTAAAGGCAAGAAGAAATATAATTTATATATTTATTTAGACTATCCTTATAATATAATAGATATTTTATTAAATTCTTATGTAGTATTTCTTAATTAGCCTAGGATTCTCCTTGTTAATCTTAATTATTACTTATATTATATTATATCCCCTATTTATATTAATAATATATTAATATTATAGCTAATTTACTTATTTAGTTATATAGCCTATCTTATAATTTATTTAATCCTCTTTTCGCTGCTAATATCAAATATCTTTAACTTTAGGCAACCTAAACTCATATAAAACTTAATATATTTTTCCTCTATAAAACCCCGCAATTACCCTGCTTCTATATATATTGCATTATAGGTTCTCGGTCTTCTTTAATACCTCCTTAGCCTGCTACTAGATATCCTTAAGCTACTTATTATATAAGCCGCTATTAAGGGCCTTAAGAAACCCCTTCTTTCTCTTATTTAGCTATATCTCTTTATATAGCTTCTTTTTTAAATCCTTAAGCTTTTACTTTTTATATTTAAAGAAATCTTTATTAATTAAAAGGTTTTTATAAATAAATTATATAAATAAAAGGATTTTATAATTAAAGATTATTATCTTAATATAGCTAATATTATTTTTTACTAAACTAGGCTTTTTTAATATTTATAATTATTATATATAATATATTACCTTTATTTTTATTTTACTTAAGAGATTTTTTAATTTTAGGGATTATATTATAGCCTTTAGTTAAATAAGGCTTATTAGGCCTAAGTACTTATAAGCTTTTTTAAATAATAAATATTATAATAAGGCAGCTATAATACTATTTATAATTATAGCTAGAAGGGAAAGTTAGGTTAAATAACTTATTATATAATAGATAATTAAATTATAATATATTATAGGGATTAATAAAAGACCTTTAAAGTAAGTTAAAGAAAAAAGGTTAGGGCTAGCTAATAGGTAGGTAAGGCTTTTTAGCTAATAAATATATAACTAGGTTTAGGCTATAATTAAGGCAGCTAATTATAATAATTTAACTTAATAAAGCTTTACTAGCTATAAAGGTAATAAATATTTAAATTATATTAGACTTTAAAAATACTTAAATATACCTTTTATAGCTAACTTATAAACTTAAAAAAAATTAAAAAATTAAAAAAAATAATATTTTATAGTATTTTATTATTTTAAGTAGATTTAATTTATAATTAGTATTTAATTTTTTTTATATAATCTTAAATAGTATAATATACTTATAATTTAATTTATAATTTAATTAGTTTATTTTAATATTTTTTATAAATAAGTAAATTATATCTTCCTTTTAAAAGGTTAATCCCTTTAACCTCGTAGGGTTATAGTAATATTTTATTTATTTCTTAATATATTTAAGTTTTATTTTATTTCCTTATATAATTCTTTTAATTTATTACTTTTAATTATAGTACTTAAGTTAACAATTTTAG